CCTTATGTGAAGCGACACTCCTATGGAGTGGATGGAGATGAGGTTCCTAATGTGAAGCGGCACTCCTACGGCGTGGATGGAGATGAGGTTCCTTACGTGAAACGCCACTCCTACGGTGTGGATGGAGACGAAGTTCCTTACGAGAAGCGGCACTCCTACGGCGTGGACGGAGATGAGGTCGAGCAGGTTTAGACACCACTAAGCTGCAGATAACTGGATCCTTATATGGAATAAGCCTAACAACCATCTATAACGTGTTCTACAGGCGAGCGCGACAACCAACCAACTTTGCACCCTCTTTGAGCATATATTTCTCACCACATTCATTACATAGCAGTATACATCTATATAGATAGAGTATGCCAAGCAGTCTCTTGAGTATCCCTTTTACATGTACGTGGATTATGCCTAGTCTCTCTACAACTTGGACAGCGCGCTAGAGCCTGGCGACTAGGAGGACCTTATTATTCTCTCAACGCCTTTCACGAGCAATTTGCTTTTTCTGACTCTACCTCATTACCCTTCTTAAGCCCTGACCTAATATAAATCCATATCAATCAATTAAGATTGAATAAACCTTGAATGATCACCTTATGTTAACACGCTATAGCTAGCAACAATACTATGATGATTACCCTAGTTTTGATAGAAACAAATAGAGATGCTCGCAAGCTGGATAGCTGCTTCATTTCAAGCCTGAAGTGAGTCATTATATGTTGAGATGGCAGAAGTTGCACTGGGAGAAGTGCCGGGCCTAATTGCAGGACATGACAGTTCTCTAGCCTGCATCTACAGGTACTCATCCGGCATCGGGATAAGTGTCTCGTTGTTGGCCGCACACATAGCTGGGTGATCCTCCGGAAGAGCCTGTATGTCAGCCATCTTGACGTCGGAGCACTACCTTTGCATCAGCATCAGTTCTGCTACCTGCAAGCCGGAGTAACTGACATGGTATTGCACACTCCCCGTCCTGGGATCCCTCGCCTCAAAGTACATGACTCCCATCTCGTCGAGCTTGGTCTGGAATGGTATCGTGACGTTCACACACAGCTGCCCCGAAGCCTGGATAGGCACATCCTGCAGGATGATGTAGGGGAAGTCGTCTCTCTTTCTCGGCACTCTATGTCGTGTATAGAGCGCCGTCACAAGGTCCCCAGGATGGCCGGAGAAGGAGAGGAAACTGCGGGAGCGGCGGGAGTACCGTTGAGGATTATGCACTATCTCCCCTTTCTCTGTATCAGCCTACGCTGCTGCTAGACCAAAGATAGAGAGGAACATACTGCAGAAAGGGTTATACCTATCAACCTGTGACCGGGTCCTGGGGTTTGGACCGCGGGACATCCATGGGAACTGGACGTGGAAGCCAGCGTGTGCAGCGGATGTGAGATTGATGTTGATGCTGAGGGCAAGCAGGAAGGTGATTGCGGCAAGGGGAGAAGGCATAATTACCAGAAATCAAGGACAGCACTGGACAGAGAGAAAGGGGAGTATACGAGTATACTCGAACAATTCAACTCCCTTTAAACCCTTTACCTGCTTGGAGGAGCGGTCACAGCGACACCCCAAAATGGAGAGTCGCCGAGTGTGCGCTTATGCGACCTGAAAGATGCACTAACACATAGGGGCGTAGAGGGGCAAGTTTCTAGTACTGTTTCTAATAAATACTTTAAGCTTACTTTTCCTTATAGTGTGCCCTCTCTCTTGTCTTACCTACTCCAGTCTGTTTTTTGACCGCCTCTTCTTATATCCTCCTCGGGGGTGATGTGCGCTGATGCGACCTAAAAGATGCACAGACGCACAGGGGTGCAGAGGGGCCAATTTTCTAGTAGAATATAACCCTACCATCTCGGGCGAGCGATTTAACCTTGCTTTCATCCACGGCGCGCCCTGTCTCTCCTCTTCCTCGCTCTTCTCTACTCTTTGACCGCCCCTCGCCATGTCCTCCTCTAAAGCAAAGTCCAGCTCTTCCCAGTATGCGCCCCTTTCGAGACACGATGATGATGAGGACTCTAGCACAACTCTTGAGAAGCGCTCCTCCTGCGAGGACGACCACTCTGCTCCCTTATTACAAGCCCCGGACAACCTTGCCGCTCTCGCACCGTCCAAGCCCTCCCAGCTGCCCAAGCTCATCTTCTACTTTTCCTTCGCCCTAGCACTGCTATCAGCTATAAACGCTGCTCTCCTTCCCATTACACTATCAAAGTACCAAGCTTACCCCTTCTCTGACTCTGAACTCGAGGCCCTCCCCTATGGCGACGCCAGGCTGGGATTGAGCAAGGTAGCGGAATTCATCCCCCCTCCTCAGGCCTATTCCCACGCCTGGCCGGATAGAATTGCACGGGTGAGCCGGAAATTGAGGAATGCCGTGTGGGGTCATGGAGTGCAGGTTTATATCACTGTAGAGGTCTGTATTCCGTCCTTGATCTTTCCTCATTCCCTTTCGTATATTCTATGTGTGCAGATGCTGACGCCGGAGAAGGACTCGACAATCATGCGCTTCCCCGTCCCCTCCACCGGTGTCAACGCCTGCGCGCTCCTCTGGCGGCCGCCTCCCCAGTTCTCTGCGCGTGCCAAAGATCTCACCACCAAGGGCGATATAACGGAAATCGAAGTCTGGCAGCTTATTGCACCTTCGGCCACATCGGCCACCGTCTCTTCCAGTCTGGACGGGCTCGACTATGACACCTTGTCGTATTCGACCCTTCCCGTGCGCGGAGAGCTGCTCGGCGTGTTAGACCTCACAGCCAAGCCAAACAGCACAACACTAGACTTTGCCTGTCCCGGCAGGGCAGAGAGTCTAGTGGTGGAGATGAGATGCCAGCGCGTGGCGTGCCATGTGAGCTTTATGCAGATTGATATAGCGCCGAGCTTTGGGTTTGAGTTGGTGAGAAAGAGGGAATGAGTGAGGTAGATCAAATATATTATATTTAATCACATTATCATTCACATAGAATAGATTGTGTCTCTAGTATTTTAGTGACTCTTAGTGATCATCTATATGCCTAGTATCTTTACTCAACTGGCAATCTACTGCGCCGAGGGTTCTCCTCCACATGAAAGTAAACCTGTAGGCAGAGCCGATCGATTAGATAAGGAGATGTCTGATTTTCAGAATTATAGAAAGAGGACAATTTAAAGGCCTGTCTCTTGGGGTAGTTGGGCAGTCACCTACCCTTCTACTAATTTCCGAAAGGTATAATAGCCTAAATCATGATAAATAAGTTATATTATTAGCTTCTAAATAAAATAATCAGACATGAGGCCTGTCTGGTATCTTAAAAGTAGATGCTAATCCTAAAAGGGAAAGCAGCCTACATGACCCCTCATTCACTTGTGATGCCTGAGGCATCCGTCATTAGCACCCTGTCGTTGCTGTCATGGCGACCGTTCAACTTTCACTCTGCAGCTCTTCAGTAACTCTCCAGTAGCTACAATAAATGCTACTTCTAATTTCCATCTTATAGCTACGCAGAACACACTCGGCCCTCTTCTGCCTCACAGCCATCGACGACATGTCTACTCAACTCGACGCCGCCTCTCTCGCCCGTGTCTCCCTCCACGACCCCAAACACTTCAGCATCCAGCACTCCCAGACCCTCCACCGCCTGGTGATCCTGCAGCACTGGAACATTCCCACTGGCTCCAAGGTGCTGGAACTAGGGTGCGGACAGGGGGACTGCACGACTGTCCTTGCCCATGCTGTAGGCGAGGAGGGGAAGGTGGTGGCGGTCGATCCGGCGGACTTGGATTATGGTGAGTCCTCTCGCTTTTCTTACCCTGACTGCCTGTCCTGGCGGTGCGAATGGGAAGCAGCCAACTGATGGCTCCTACAGGTAGCCCCTATACTCTCGGTCAAGCACAGGGTCACATCTCGCAAGGCCCGCTGGGGAAGCGGATTACTTGGGTCCAACAATCCCCCCTGGACTACCTGTCCTCCCTCCCCTCCCCCTCTTCCACCTCCTTACCACCCGCCAGCCAGAGTAAGGCCTTCGATGTAGCAGTGCTCGCCCACTCCCTATGGTACTTTGCCTCCCCTGAGCTCATCCTTTCCACCTTTCATGCCCTCAAGCAGCACAGCAAGCGTCTCCTGCTTGCTGAGTGGTCGCTAGTAGCGACGAACCCCTCTGCCCAGCCCCATGTGCTAGCTGCGCTTGCCCAGGCAGCGCTCGAGTGCCGCAAACCCAAGAGCGACTCGAATGTCCGCACGGTGCTGGGACCAAAGCGGCTTACCGAGTTGGCCCTGGCTGCCGGGTGGCAGCTGGAGAGTGAGACCCGCGTGCAATGTGGGGAGGGGTTGTTGGATGGACAATGGGAAGTCTCTGCTTGTCTTGCTTCCTCTTTCGAGAGGGAAGTAGAGGAGAATGTAGATGATAAGAGGGATCAGGCAGTGGTTCTCGCGTTACGGGACGCATGTGAGGCGAGCTTGGAGAGTGTGCAGGGGGGTAAGAAAGGAGTCAGGGCCATGGATGTTTGGGTTGCTAGTTTTGTCTGATGAGGCGAGCTGAGTGTATCCTAGCCCTCTTCCAATCCCATTCTCTGACTCTGCTTTACTTGGGCAACTCGATTTAAAATGCAACTATTCAGACTGAAGCGCCATATAAACAGTAACACTTTGTGCCCTCCGCTCTTGCCGCCCTTCCTTTGCCCAGGATCAGACACCGCATACTTCTCACCATCATCCAGGCCTCAGCTTAGGGGGTGAGGACTGTTAGCCTAGTATCTAGTAATGACTTCCATCAAGCAAAGGATTCCTGCATATCCCTCCAGCTTACCCCAATTTTCGTATACTGTAAGTATCAGGCCTAGGGGAACCTAACCAGCATGGCCAAGAAGACCGACACTATCCGCAAGAACCTCTCGTGGACCCTAGCCCCCTAGCACTAATTGAGCCACACAACTCTTGTTTCGTTACATCGAGTTTAATTGATATTGAATACACGATATAAGCTATAAGTTAAATAGATATATACTGTCTTTAGCCCTGAATATGTATAGATTCATTGAAGCAAGGCTACAAGGAAGCATAATTTTACACATCCCCTCATATTTTTTCGAGATCTCAAAAAATCATTCATTGATGAAGTTTACAAGGTCTGCTATTGAATATTCTTCACTGATTCATTCTATCATTTTCAGCATGTAGTAGGAATATAGCATACGTATTAACTGTAGTACATGTACCAGAGAAGACATAAGCATTAGAACCTGTAGTGTATATTAAATATCATGCCTTGCATACTTACTACGCAGGCGAAGTTGCTTGCCACGCCAGTATAGTATAAAAGGATATGGGACGAAAAGACAAGTCACGCAGCCAAGTAGTGTGCAGGCCCATCCTACTCCCAGTTCATGAAACATCGCAGTGGCAAACAAGGGAAAACCAGCACCAAATGAAGACCGGAGGAGGTCATTCCCGGCCAGGACAGACGCGGCATATTTAGGGTAAGCATGGGTTTGGTAGCAAAAGATGCAGTTGAAGATCAAACAACCACCCACTGAGAATAAACCTGATGCAATGATCGGGACTATCCAATGGACCGACTCAAAATTCCCAGTCCACCCAAACCAGAATAGAGAGACTGGTAGACAGATACTGCCAAAGCAAGCTGGTGGTAGTTGCTCTTCCGGAGGGAGCGTTCCATCCTGGTTGAATCTTTTCGACTGGTAAAAGTATTTCCAGGAAAAGTAACCTGGAATAGCGAAGCAAATAGTCCCAGTAATGGTTCCAAGAAACGACATGCCACTTTGACCGGGATTGAAACCATGCACTTCCTCGAATATGATCGGAAATGCCTCGAACCATATATAGAGAATACCATAAACAAATGCAATATAGATATTCATCACGAGGACAATCGGTTCCAAGAAACAAAGCTGAAAGGGTCGAATAAGAGCTTCGAATATGATATCCTAGAATAGTGTTAGCCGAGTGATATTTAAGCCATGAGTGGAAGTTGTTCTTACCCTTGATGATGTTTCGCGAAACTCAAGCTCAGCCTCTGAGCAAAATGAAGAGCTTCCAGAGGTCTTGCGAATTCTTCTTGCACGATGATACAGAATGGTAGGGCCATATGTTTCTGGCATGAGGACAAATAGCAAAACAAATGCAAATGTAGATACCCATATCAGCTGCCATATAGTCCAGGTCCAGCCTTTAGCTGAGTAGGCGAACCCCCCTACCATTGGCCCAAGCACTGGTGCAGCAATAGCAAAAGCACCCCAGACGACTATCATGTAATCAGCAACTCGAGGGCTCCAGATGTCCCCCATTGAAGCGCCACCTGTTGCAAGAGCCGGGGAACCAATAAATCCGGTTAGAAATCGGAAAACAAGAACCGCTGCAAAGTTTTTGGCATATACAACAGCAAAGTTCAGCAAAACAAAAGCAAGAAGTGTGAGTAGGTAAACTGGGCTCCGTCCAATGGTAGGAATCTCCGAGAGAGGAGACCATATCATGGGGCCTGAGATGTTTCCAAAGTTAGCCAATGAAAATGTACAATTCGGTTTCTTCTCCCATGGCCAAAGAGTTCGAGTTCTAGACAGAAATGGCTTACCAATGCCGTATCCTAATACAAAGAGCGTCAAGCCCAAGGTTGAGGCGACATTGCTCACTCCAAACTCCTCCGCCACTCCAGGTATACCCGGTGAATAGATAGCAGAACCGATGTAGACTGAAAACGTCAAAACCCATATGAGGGTGCTCACAAACAGTTTCTTTCCTACACTCCAGTTTTGCGGATTCTTTGTTCTTTTAGCGAATAATCTTAGGCCCCAGTATGCTGGTGAAAATAGCTTACCTCACTATCATTTTTCCTCCAACCAACGACGACAATTGTATCAGGGCAAGTCTTGGGTGCTAGCTTTTGGTTTGGATTTGAACAAGGCGAACCGCTCGCAATGGCCTCTGAAGTGCTCTTCTCTGTGGCGTATTCATTGATTCCTAACTCTGCGGAAGAATTCGCGTTTTCAAAAGCAGCCTCAGCAAATTCTCCCCTAAGGTAATCACCACATTCCTCAGGATAGAGCAGAAGCCGGTGGCAGCTAGTTATCCGAATAAGTTTTCCAAGAGCTGTGTCTCTAATCAGTTCAACCATTATGATGGATTCATTTACAGGCGACTTTCACCAGCGCTTGGAATTCAATCAAATGAAAAAGGCGGAGACTAGTTAACCAGACTTAGATATTATTTAATTTGGAAAAAATGACTGTGCCATGCTTTCAAATTGGATCAAGAAAATTATAGTCCTAGCTGTAGATCCTATTGTCTCGAACCTCCTCGGGAACCAACTGGATCCTGAGGCGGGACCCACCTCCGGTAAGAAAACGTTCATTTAACTCGGATATCCGACCCTATGCGGGATAGCTCAATAAAAACATAGCATTGAACCCAGGTACACCATTTGGCATATCATTACTAAACATACCTAAGTGATTTTCAAGCACTTGAGCAGCACTACTTGAATTTTAGCTATTGCTAAAATAATACAATAATTATGATATTTTAGCATTGGTGGAAGGATATATCCCAGCGAGGAAAGTCTTACGGACACACTATGTGGGATTATACTGATATATGCTATGAATAGTGTTCGTTTTTATATGAGGTTATTCATCTGGAACTACTGATACTATCTAAAGTGGAATTAAACATTAGTAAACTAATAAAAACTCACTGGGTCAGGTCTGCCTCTGAATATGAAATATATAATACTCCTTGATTAGTCACTGAGTAGCATAAAAGACCTAGGTTTAGCCAACTTGCTGGAATGTACCTGTTAAAATGCTGTCATATTGGATTCCGTGACGATAGGTCTATTCCCATTGACTATATTACTACTAATTACAGAGTCAGGATGGTAGCCCCCCACATGACCGATATTATCTGTCGCGACCCGGTGGTAGGCATATAAACGTGGAGAATTTGCGCTGCTGAGCTATCACCAACTTCATCTTGAAAAAAAGGTTCACAAAGTGGCTTCAGGGATTAAAATAAAGCCGGAAGGATTTAAGGTGGGGGTGATATATTATATGAGCTTATTATTATTATAGTCTAAAATCCAAATGAGTTTATAAAAAGCAACAAAGAAAGTGCTTGAGGGAGATAGGAATAAGGTCTATAGGCTTATTAATAAAGGGATGGTGTCGAGATACCATAGTTCTCTTAATCTATGTTATGAAGATATTGGGTTAAAACCCATATAGAAAAAGGCCGTTATGCGCCTACCATGCCTATATTATTAATCAGTATACCTCAGATTTTGAGGCTCTTTTAGTCCTCCTGGGCATCCCTGAGTCTGGATGGACCTTTATCCCCACATATACGTGACGTACTGAGCAACCACTACCGGGTCAGCCATTATCATCGACAACCACCCGACCCTAGAAACAAAATCAATGAAAACCCGAATCTAACCCCAGGCACTCACTTTTTCGTGTTCTATGTTGCTGAGCCACCAATATGGCATCCAGGAAGCTTGAATGAGTAAGGAATCCAATTGATCATGGGGCCTCATTAATCTAGAGTTTGCAATCCACCCAATAAACATCATTCTAATGAACTATTATTTCTTGTAAATAATACTTCCAATCCATCCCCTCGACGTGAATTCGTATCAGGTTCCCTAAGCCCATATGAGCAGTAACAGATTATTGTACAGTGGTCCATTTGAAAGGCCAAATGTACCGGACGGATTCATGAGGTCTTAAGGACATCGTATGCCCCCGATTCAAGCATTGCTCTGGCATACTGCTCATGCAGCCAGACTATTGGCGTCGGCATTGGCATCTTGCTGGTTTTCCCTTCCCCTTGAAAGAAAATCGATTTGAATCTCAACTCAACCACATCTTCTTCAGGCTTGACAACGGCACTCAGTTCAATGAGCCCATCCAAAGGCCGAAGTTCAGTCTTGGTCACCTTGTCCCCCCCGCGTATCAATATTGAGCTCTGAGTTTTATCGAGGACGATGAACTCGTCGGTGATTACTGTCCCTGTGTTGTATTCCGACTCTCGAAGCTCCTTCGGGGACCAAAGTTGGTGTTTCGATGTGACCTGGTTCTTCGAAAGCCATGTGAGAAGGTTACGTTGGAATGCGAATCCTAATCCCCGCGTCAGCGTCTTACTCGATGGAAGATCTTTTCAATATTGGCGTGATATGTCCAGGCAGGGAAATGAGATGAAGGAACTACCTACCTAGTCCAGCCCATACTCCACCACAGTATCGTTCGAGTAAACGCTCATTGTGCTGAAGGAGGGTTGGATCAACCTGCGAGATCGGGATTCGCCTGATGTGAAGATCATATATGGCTGGATTGTTGTTGGGATTGTATTGCGTGTAATATTGAGATGTGAAAGTGTCAATCCCAGATGTAAGTGGCACCTTCTCTGTATGACGTATTGTATAAAAGAATGTCCCTGTAGCTAGTACAACGCTCAATGGTAGGCCCCTGAGCACCAGTGATCGAAGAAGGGGCATCTTATCAAAGAGAAATCTAAAGAATGCAAGGGTGGAAAAATATTATTTAGAGAAATGAATATGTAAAAGTTGAACAAGTTTTCTGCAGCTTGCCTCTAAACAAGAGTGAGATGGGAGAGGCGGAGCCTAGCAGCGAGTTGATAGCGGTGAGTTGATATTCACGGCCAGACAGGGGGCGGTTCAGTCTCGGAGATCCGGCTCAAAAGGGCAAAGTTCAGTAAGCCTCGAAACAATTTCCGTGGATTCTTTACAAAAGTGGTATAGTTTCCATCCCTCGGCCCGGGAAGGTGATCCCTCGATCGCCGAAGGACGTGCCGGACTCTTGTCTAAGCGGGCCCTTTCGGGTTTGTGAACAGAAATAGAAGGCCAGATGAATTAGAAGTTCAAAACAAGCCACGTATCTTACTATTTCAGGGAAAAGGCTGATCCTGAAGACTCTGATTTGACCAATTCATGTTTTCATTAGCAGAGTTGAAAATACGTAAAATAGCAGAGCATAATGAGGACACCATGACAATGGTGCCCTTTACTTTGCAGAGGACAATATTTTTACCCAGGATCAGTATTTCGCTCGTCTCAGTTTGGCTGCTACTAGATGGTATCCTAGCCGAGACTAGGGATACACAACTTTGGACTGATATCAATTTCAAAACAGCTTCTTCTTGCTGGGTTTCTCTATCAACCATTAGCCTTTAATCTGATTATTAATATATGTTGACTCTAACTATATAAGTTATGCTAGCTGCATATACTATCTGATTATTAATATATGTTGACTCTAACTATATAAGCTATGCTAGCTGCATATACTATTTCACTATTCTATTATCTCAAGTGACATTGAAATTGAAGTAGGATGAATCTTCAGTTAGACATCCATTGATGACAGCATTCCAATCCGGCAACAGTGGGATCTCTGGCATGGACAAATCGAGAGATGAAAATATACTTTGATTGGCATCAATGAATTCGCCCAATTCGGGGATGGTGGCTGTTCCATGTGCTGTTGCTTCGGTCTCTGGAATCTGGGAAGTACAATGTCCACTGCTGGACAATTGTCTCAATGACAATGCTTGTTGGCGGAGTCGATTGAGACATCTCCAAATGCTACCTCCGTGATCATCATGCATCCCTTCTGAAGAAACATTAACCCTCAATCCCTGAGGAAACATCTCCTCAACCAACGCCCAGGCACGGTCTGTCTCGGAGCCACCAGGGCTTGTACAGAGACAGCGCAGAACGTAGGCGAGAGCGTACCATTGCGTGTACATGCTGAAGAACCACTTAAATCTGGAGGCAAGACCGTCCTTCAATAGCACACGACTGCTTTCCAGTCCATCACAGGCCAAGTTGAACGACAGCTTGAGCACGTCAGGAGTCACATCTTGCTTCTGTGTGCTGATCTCCTCGCGAAGTTGCAGCACAAACTCCATTTTCTTCCTAGCAGTGGTGATATGTTGGAATGCAATGCGCGACAGATCAGTGGGTGTTCCAGATCCAAACAATTCACCATATCTAGCCGACAGATGTTTACGGTGCTCGTCCATGATCTTTCGCTTTTCCACGATATTCAGCAGCGTATCTGCGGAATGTTGCTCTTGAATGTCAAGAATTGGGTGGAGCAATCGGCACGACGCGGTTTGGATGAGGAAGAAGGACATTTCTGTCCAACCATGCGACTCCACTGGAAGGCTTTTCATATCTGGATAGATTTGATTGTCATTCACGTTCAAAGGAAGCCGGAGTCCCCGGTTTGTAACATCGACTGTGGGCTGGAAGCCCTGATCCTCCGGGGCACGCGAGTCAAGCACACACAGATGCCACCAGAGCCGAAGACGCATTTCGGTTTCAAATGGGCTCAGCTGGAGAGAGGCGCCGTCTCGATGCAGGCCAATTGATTGAGCGAGTCGGATCGCCAGTCCATTGAGGACCCATACACCCCGGCCAACTTCATGGGCCCGTAAACAGGTCTGACGTACGTTAGACGGATACACCCTCAGAGCTCACTGAGAGACTTACTGCGTAGATTGCGAGGGCCTGTAATGCCATTATTTCAGGCCGATTCATAAGCTCGGTTACCATCAGAAGGCGGTCCAAAGACATCTTGTAGCGTTTCAAAAGCGCCTGTTCCTCACAGGGCAGGTCAACGGGCTCCCTATCATCATGACACAGGGCTGTGATGGCGGCAAAATAGATGGCAAATGTCAACGCCACCGTCGAAGATGGGGCTGATCGGGGGTCGAGAATGGTTGCAACAACGGTAGACTGGACACTGGGTATATGTAGAATCTTAAGGACCGGATCGACCGATTTGACGTACACATTCCATAGCCGAAGGGCAAGTTGCGGATCAGGATAGCATTCCAACACAGAGACCATGTCAGCACCACCATCTGGCTGTGTGGGAAATGCGTCATGGTCTTTCTTCTGATGCGTTTGAGATTGAACGGTTTGTTTTTCTTCCTGAATGGTATTCACTCGACTATTGTCCAGTAATAGCTCCCATGTTGACTCCGCGTGTGGATTGTCCTGATTTTTGGCACCAGATTGGGCCTGTTGAGTCTCGAACCCAGCACCACCACCACCACCTGTTGTAGTTTGACTCTCCACCAAACGATATAATAGAACCTCCAGTCGCTCCAAGCGGTCAGAGATATCTTTTAGAGAGGGACCTTTCCGTGGTATGTCCGAGTCCCTGGTGGGATACTCGCACGGGGTACCATATCTTGCACAGTTGGTACAAGGAACTCTTCGGTCACAGCGGACCTTGCGCTGGTGACAGCTTCGGCACGACCGTTCCCCGAGCTTGTTGCTTTGGGGGGACGAATCGGAAGAACCAGGCCTCTTTGGTGCTCTAGGCATAATCACACTTTAGTACCGAACATTCGAGACTTAAACAAGCTGTATTAATTGATTCTGGCAGGTCAAAACGTACTGCGGGGAACCAGCTAAGGGTTTCGGCCGCTCGGTGCCGAGGGGTCCGGGGCTCGTAATCATAACCAGTCATAATATAGTGTGAGAATCCTAGTATTCTGAATGCAAATTGAATGTATACGAAGTAGCTGGTATTTGACACGGCATTTCGGCGCCGCTGGGCCCGAAAGAAGTACAATATATATTATTCTTCCACCCGTATTTCAGTCGCAATAATCCGTGTTCTCACTCGATTGAATACTCCTATAAGCCTTTATTGCATCGGCAGCACTTACTCATCATGTCAGATATAGAAGTGGAAGATGGCAACAAAAGGAACAGCGAGGGACAGATTTTGGATCCAAATGCCATAAATGCCATCAACTGGAGTCTCGGAATGAAAATCTATCATACTGCGATCCCTTGCTTCTTAGCCTTCTTAATGTAGGGCTTCAACCCTATACAGAAAATATACTATGCCCCTGCTAATCATTTCATCACTGAAGCACATTCTCTTCCTCCGTCACAGCTCCTGCCACCACAGCGCTCATGACCGAGTTCAACATCAGCCGTACCGCAGCCCTCCTCCCGGGAACATTGTACATGATGGGATTGGCATTCGGCCCAATGATCATGGCTCCCCTATCGGAGTTTATCGGTCGTCGTTGGCTGTATCTGGCGACCTCCTCAAGCATAGTGGCTTTTGCTGGGGGTGCTGGAGCTGCACGCAATTTCGCAACGCTTTTGATCTGCCGGTTTCTCTGTGGCTTCCTGGGCTCAGCAGGAGTGGCCATCGGTGCAGGAACCATCCTTGATGTTTGGGGAGTGGCCAAAGTAGGAGGGTTGGCAAGGCTTCTCTTCATCTGCGGCCCTTTCTTAGGACCGTCTCTAGGCCCATTGGCAGGGGCTTATGCTATGCACGAATATAATGGCGATTGGAGATGGACTCAGTGGATCATAGCTTTGATTGGGGCTCCAACCTGGATTCTGATCCTGTTCATGAAAGAGACCTCTGACGTTCAGATTCAACCGAGTCCTAAACACTCGGGTCGGTTTGGTACTGTGAGATTGGCCTTGTCGACTCTCAAGGCCGCAGTGCTCCGGTCCATGAGGATCCTGTTTACCGAGACCATTGCCTTCTCCATAACTCTATACACAGGATATGCCTATGCAGTGGTCTTCAGCTATTTTGCAAGTGCCACGTATATCTATTCCATTGACTATGATTTCAACGATCGACAAGTCGGCCTTGCCTTCATCAGTGTGGTCATTGGTTATTTTCTGGCCGCGGTCATGCACATCATAGTTGATGCCACGCTTTATGCTCGGGCTGTGCAGAAAGCACCCAATGGCCGTCCAGTCCCGGAGCACCGACTGTACTCCGGGATGGCTGGAAGCATTTTTCTGCCCATTGGGCTATTCTGGTTTGTTGGACTCTGCATACCGCTATAAGATTTAAAAGCTGATCTTTAGGTATGCATGGGCTGCTCACCCAGGTGGCCACTGGGCTGCAGTTGTGGCAAGCGGAATCCCCTTTGGACTTGGTGCTTTTGTTCTCTTTGTGAGTAGATTAAACTCCCAGGCTTTGAAGCTTACTGATTCATTAGCTGTCCTCAATAGTTTACCTTGTTGAGTCATACGGGGCTGAAGCCGCTGCATCGGGTAAGTTCCTCTCTTATTCAGTATTTAGTACAAGACTGACTCTGAAAGCTCTCGCGGCAAATGGATCTGTTCGCTACCTCCTCGGAGCGGTATTCCCATTGTTCACTATTCAGATGTACGAGAACCTGGGCATCCATTGGGCCGGGAGTGTGTTTGCCTTTCTGTCTTTGGCCCTCCTTCCCATCCCTTGGATACTCTTCAAATTCGGCCATAGGCTCCGGAAGAACAGCCGTTTCAGCAAATTTGACCAGAGGTGACAACTGAGGTCTAGAGTATGAGCTTAATACATTGGCAATCATCTTATACATACACCACTCTGCGGATGAGCTCCAACAATCAGGTTGAAGTAACTGGTTGTATTGATAGAATCCTATAGAATTGTATTTAATTTCATTGTTAGTTATCAAACCATTTTGATGCAAGACTTGGAAGAAGGATATATTATCTATAATCAGTAGATTCTATTCCTTTCTATTAGAATTTAGTTGGGTATTTATAATGTAATACGAGTGTGATAGTACTATTAGAGAAACAACGTCATATTCTTACTATAAGGTGCCAGAAACAACCCTGACCTTCATGTCCGAATCGCCACAGGGACACAGGACCAGAGCCATGCGCCAGGCTCGCGCATTTCTTGTCAACTACTAATTTAGCGTTTCTATATGCAATTAATACCAGACAATGCTATAAGGACTTTGTCAAGACCCAGTATAGCAGGGTCTTGGCATTAAGTAATATCACTCCGGCAGCTGCACGATGGTTTTATGAATACTGCTGATCGTATACTTTTCTAAGCCAAATTGGTGACCACCGCAGAGAGAAATTCCTGATCTAGCCTAGATGGGACATGCTTTTGTGCTAGATGCCCAGATTCCAAAATGCCAAGGCATTCAGGGTTCACAGAAAGGGTATTTATGCCGGCTTGCAGAAGTTTATCTTATCTGATCAGCATCCTAGCCAAGTCGAAACATCCACTTCTGGCGAAACATGTCAAATAGTCCGAGAAATGTCAAATTAATGTCTCAGAACGAACTGTACAGTCAGTGTCATATGTAATAAACTCTCTCGGCGGATGGCCCTCTGTCAAGTTCAAATAGAGCCCATTCATGCTCTTTCAACAGCTTCATTCTCATCATCTCATCTCATCTTATCATTTCTAATAGAAGTTCAAGCCTACCTCTCATTATAACCATGCGTGTCTCTGCCATTGTCCTCCTCTTCACCTCGGCCGTGATGTCCGTCATGGCCGTTCCGCTGCCGGACGCCGATGTTGCTGACCCCAACACCAACGTTGAGCAAATTGACAATGTGAGTTGTCCCCAGGGAAATGTTATATCTATTCGTAATATAAGCCCCTGCTGATAATATATAGGAGATCTGGATCACCAAGCGCTGCTGCATCCTTTGCGACGGCCCCGCCCGCTGCATCCAACCCGGTCATTACTAGATGCTGTCGAATATGAGAGCGGTCTTCAAGACATAGGTGGAGGTCAGAGAAATAAGAAAAGTTAGCTAGATCTATCTATAGATAGGAGCTAGGCCAAGCACAGGACCGTACATTCACATTTTATCTTTAGGCTCTCATAGACATGTATATTATAATGGTGAGGTGTAAGATCTCATTCTTGCTGGTCTATGACTTACTCATGATATAATATATCACTCCTCATGGCTTTAACTCAGATTCTAGTGTTTAGAATAGTAGATTAGTATTATTTTGCTATAATATAGACTAAGACTCCTATATGTTAAATAATAGATTGAATGATGTACTAACTATTTAACTATTAGATGGCCATGCTGCATGTCGGATGGATAGTATCTAGCCACCTATTTAATATCAATTGATTGTTATTGGTAGGTAGCCACCAGAATCACCACAGATGAAACAGGTATAAATAGATTCATTCATAAAGCGTTTCATGCCATGAGGAAAGTGTTTGGAATAAATGAATAAAACACTTGAAACCTTATATCAAACTTGACGTAAAGAATTAGCATAGAAGGCAATCTAGATTCTATACAGCTATTAGAAGCTATAGCAAACAATTGTTTGAAGAGACTAGGAGAGTGGATGGAAACTTACTCTAAGACATGTGGGATATATTATTTATTCAAGGCGGTAGTATACTTGCTGATCTAAAAACGCCACTACAGTAGTCAAGCCGCAGGAAAAGCTCTAAACCCTGTTGTTCCTCCCACTTGTTCACATGCTGCAAACACACATCGCGGGGCCGTCCGTCCGGGGCCCCGCATAACTATTGAATGAAGCAGTTTATGATTTACACCCTGTTTGCTTCGCTTAATTGTTTCCTACCCAGCAAAGGAAAATGGGGAAAAACCCCGGCGGCACAGGCAGATCAGTCAGGTATAGTCACACCACCTACTAAATTATGCAGGGTATCTCCAAAGGGATCCACCCGAGTTTCTTCACCAAGGGGGCAATTTCCCGCCAACTAGAAGCAATCTACGTGTAACTCACCCAATCGGTTATTTCCTACTCCAAACTGTTATGTATGATCATTGAGGGGGAATCCCCGCCCCTGAAAAGCAAGGAACACACACATGTCTTGCGTCCGAAAGCCCGATGAAGAGGATTATAAAATGGAGAGAGTCAACACTCTGAAGCCTCAAGTCGAAGCATACACCAGGTTCGACGGTCAGTGATCAACCAAAAACATGTTCTCCCGCCGACACCTTGCTCTCGGGCTTGTTGCTCTGGCCGCCCCCCTTGTCAGCGCGGGGCCCTGTGACATCTATGCCGCCGGCGACACGCCCTGTGTGGCCGCACATAGCACCACCCGGGCCTTGTATAGCGCCTACTCTGGGTCCCTATACCAAGTCGAGCGTGGCTCCGACAGCACCACCATCGAGATCGTCCCGCTGTCAGCTGGCGGGGTCGCGGATGCCGCCGCTCAAGATACCTTTTGTGCCAACACAACCTGCCTCATCACCATCATCTATGACCAGTCTGGCAATGGCAATCACCTCACTCAGGCTCCTCCGGGCGGCTGGGACGGGCCAGATGTTGATGGCTACGACAACCTTGCCAGCGCCATTGGGGCCCCGGTGACGCTGGGCGGGCAGAAGGCGTACGGCGTCTTCATCTCGCCCGGTACCGGCTACCGCATCGACGATACTACCGGTGTTGCGACTGGCAATGAGCCCGAGGGTCTCTACGCCGTCGTGGACGGAACTCACTATAACGACGCCTGCTGCTACGACTACGGCAATGCTGAGACCAGCAATACCGATACCGGCGCCGGCCACATGGAGGCCATCTACTATGGCAACTGCACCGACTGGGGTTCCGGCGCCGGTAGCGGCCCGTGGATCATGGCCGATCTGGAGGATGGCCTCTTTTCCGGGCTCAGCGCGGGCGTCAATACGGGCGACCCGTCCCTCTCCTACCGCTTCGTCACCGCCGTGGTGAAGGGTGAGGCGGACGAATGGTCCATCCGCGGCGGCAATGCAGCTTCTGGGACGCTCTCGACATTCTACAGCGGCCCGCGGCCCAGCGGCTATACAACAATGTATAAGGAGGGCTCCATCATTCTTGGTATCGGCGGCGACAACAGCAACAGCGCCCAGGGCACCTTCTATGAGGGCGTTCTGACCTCCGGGTATCCGTCTAATGCGACCGAGGACTCGGTGCAGGCGAACATTGTCGCCGCTGGATATGAAACCGCCTCACTCGTCAGCGGGCCGGCGCTCACTGTCGACTCCTCCATCTCGATGCGGGCCACCACCGCCGGCTATACCACGCGCTATATCGCCCACACCGGCGCAACCGTCAACACGCAGGTCGTGGACTCATCCAGCAGCACCGCCCTGAAGGAAGAGGCCAGCTGGACGGTCCGCACTGGGCTGGGGAATAGCGACTGCTTCTCCTTCGAGTCCGTCGACACCCCCGGCAGCTACATCCGGCACTATGACTTTGTGCTCCAGCTCGACGCCAACGATGGCACCAAGCAGTTCTTCGAAGACGCCACCTTCTGCCCGCAGGCCGGTCTCACCACGGGCACCTCCCTGCGTTCCTGGAGCTATCCTACCCGTTATTTCCGCCACTACGACGACATCCTCTACGCCGCGAGCAACGGCGGCGTCCAGACTTTTGACGCCACCGCCTCCTTCAACGCCGATGTGAGCTGGGCTATCAGCAGCGGCTTCGCTTAGTCGGGAATCTCCGTGAACATGATAGCAGGGACAGAATTAGTACTAGTATGTATTGTCGTTGATCTTCTTATAAATGGCATTTCAATATTTGTCATCCACATAGTGTGAAATGATAATCATGTTCCCTTTATAAGAACTTGTAAACACCATCTAAATGGCTGCCGATGATCTGAATTAGTTATATAATCCTAGTCTAATTCATTTTCAAAATCTTCTAGTAGGTTTAATATAATCTTATTAATATGCATATTGAATAGTGTGCATGTTCTAAACTGTCTTTTTATCAGAAGGCTTTTCCAACAGCCAAAAGTCTCGCCCTCCGTCGGGGCATGCGACGGCTCGTGTGGAAGGTGACGATCTATCTGGTGCCCTTGCTGGTCATAGTGATAGGCTACTAGATGAGTGTATATCTAGGGCTGGATTTGAATTAAGTTATAGATAAATAGGGAAGGGACTTCTACTCTTCTTATCCCTATCAGTTATTTCTGACAGAGCATAGTTCTACATCTAGCGACTTACTGGGTATTATGCAAACACTCTTTATATTCAGTATTGTCAACAATCATAAAAGTATAATACCAGCCATAAGAACTATGCTCTTCTTGGTTTATTCAGAATGAATACACTCCCCACTTTTCCCTACCATCAAGCATATAGTCTCAAGCTGATCTTCTTGAATAATCTCAAGCTATCACTCAATTGATATATAGCCAGATTTACCAGCCATTTGTTCTTGTGCCCGCACTGGCCTGGTAAAATACATATAGGTTTTTTAGATAGCATGGCTTACATGGAATGTGACAGAAGCTTCCATAGGTAATTAGTACCTAAAATCATCAACTAACTAGCTAAGATATTTGTTTAGTTATAATCTAGTTAAACCAAGATAGCAATAATGAGAAGCCCTTTACTTTAATGTAAGCAGACTCATAACAGTGTCAGTGACTGTTTCTTCAAGTGGGCGAAACTTCATTCCCAACTCATTAACGACCTTCCTTGTATCCAGCTTGTATGCGCTTGGTATTGGCTCCCCTGGAGCACCTTCAGGCGTGGAGTCTCTGAGCGCAGGGAACTTTGCCCTGATTATGTCACAGATCTGTTGATAAGTGTACGAGGAACCGGATACCAGATATCTCTGGCCTGCAGCCTCTGGTGTTTCAAAAGCCCGAAGATGGGCGTGGGCAGCTTTAAGGGTCAGCAACGTTGAAGTATAAACCCTAGCCCTAAGGGCTTGCTTACCATCCCGCACATCCACAAATGCCCAGAAAGCCATCGGAGGAACAGTCTTTTCAGACCCATTGATCAGGCGATATATATCGGCTGAGGATGTATTCAGGCCCGCAGGGGTCTCAACGGCATGAATGACTGGCCCGTACACCAACGGGGGACACAGCGTTGTGATGGAAAAGCTGGGCTGTGTTATTAAGTCAGCCATTAGTCAGGTTGGAAAAAGAAAACAAGCTTCCCACTTTTTGAGACTCGACGAAGTCCCAGGCTGCCTGTTCAGCACAGGTTTTAGATGCCAGGTATGCAGTGACAGCATTATGAGGGAAAGTACTGGTGGTTGTTATTGGGTTCCAATCCGCCTCGGTGTAAGTATAGCCGGGTCTATCACCCTTTGTTGGATCGACAACAGCTCCGAACGATGACGTGATTACAACTCGAGTGACATTAGGGCTGTGTTTTTGAATAGATGTGAGAATAGCATTTGTGCCCTGAATAGCAGGCACAAAAAGCTCATTTTCAAAGTCGGTAGCATTCATAATGAATGGAGAAGCCAGGTGGACCACCTGTGAAATAAGCATAGGCCTCACTGTCTAAGGAATACATACTAACTCCATCAACGCCTTGGACAGCCTCATCGAACGCAGTCAAGACTGTCATATCTGGTACAACCACCAGACTGAGCTTTTCTGCATACTGTGAATGTGTCTTGCGAACTCCTGCCGCGCTTTTCTCAGAGCGTACTGTGCCTCTCACATTGTAGCCCTTTTGGAGAAAAGCCCTAATCACGTGGGACGCAATGAAGCCTGAAGCACCAGTAACCAATATTATAGCCATTAAGTGAAGATTTAATATTCTGATTGCCAATAGAGCAGAGGAATAGAGTGTGAATCCCTAGTATTTATAATGCTAAAACTCATTAGATTTCGGCTCTTGCAATGTCGCCGGCAGACTCAAGCATATCAAGTGTGACATCACATTTTAGTGACATGCAATATAGAGGATGACATCTTTATGCAAGGAAAAAAGATATCCAGCATCTGACATGTCACATTATAATTCACCTAGAATCAGGTTTTGATTGAATTCTCTTAGTAATAATAATATAACTACTATAGATCACCATGTAATTCATAACTCTTCGGATTTCTGATCCGGCCCTCTGTCTTTAAGGTCTCCAGATGGAACTGAAAGCATAGGCTACACATTTTCCTTGACTTGTTATAGTAGCCAGATTCCCGGGTTGTGTGACCACGCCGAACTACTTTGCAACTTCAACGCACCCCTTACAACAAGCAGATTACTGAAGAAATGTTTAATTATGAAATGCCAGATAAATAAAACTTCCAATATATACCTTTAAACTTTTGCTATTCTATGCGCAGTTGCGCTGCGGCGTAACACCAAGATGCCTAGTCTGCCTTGTTGCGCTTCGATAACACTCTTTTGTTCCCATAATAGAGTCTTTCATTTCATGATGAGGCTACTCAATTTTGGTGGCTATCAACTAATCATATGATGGTATCCATCAGAACTAACAGTATGCAGTGTATCATTTGAAAATAGCTCCTCTCAGTCTATCTATCCATCCTAAGCAACTATTCGAATACTTTTATAATCATAAAGGGGGTGTTCCACAGGCTCTGCTCGCCCCGTGGCGTAGGGGTATCTTTGCAACCCCCACATGCAGTTTGAGCAGCGCAGGGGATGGCAATGCATCATCCCCGTCATAGGCCACCAGGGTGAGGATGCAGCTGACTAGCAACACTGGTAAGACATTGAAAGGTCAATATATGTACTAATTCCATACAGCAGTGCGTTGTAATGTGACATGGAACCGACCAAACTTCAAGTCTATACGCCTCTCCGGTACCATGACGTTTGCCGTGTTATTGATGCCTCCAAGGAGAAAGCCAATCGAAAGTACCGAAGGCCAGAATTCCAGACCAGTGGCGTATATTGTTGTAATAGTTAGACGATCATATCTTCACTTGCTGTCTGAGTTTAGGGCTTAGGGTTGTGTTTCAGGACTAGGGTTAAGAGATTTTTTGGTATTATTTAGTGAATGAAAATTTATCATAGGATGGTCATTTGTATTCCAATTATCAATGCTAACCAGATCCCAATTGGTTTTAAGGTCATATACTTTTCTAATCACTGATTCTCCTTCTCTAGATTCCTCTGGCCTCTGTAATAGCAGCACCCTCCAAGGCCAAGCCAAACAGCTTGCTGGCGGCCCCCTTGGGCTTGGGCAGCTCGGGCAGCCGATGATCTACAGCGCCTGCAGCGATATGCGCATTCCTGTCGCGCTCAACTCCGCCTTGGTTTTAGAGCTGCTGTTCGACTGCTTGTGCGAGCCTAAGACGGAAAAGGGTCCATCCATAACCCAACCGACGATTGGCCTTGGTCGACGCCTCGGTGTGGGCAGACTGCCCACGGCCTCCTCGTTCTGCTGGATCACCTCGTACATGTCGATGTACTTCTTGGGTTTTTTTCCTTCTTGTCGTTGATCGTCTGACCGCCCGTCGTGGCGAACGGTCTCAGCGCTACACTATACATAATTGATACCATTTATACACTGTATACACTGGCAAACAGCCGCTTTCTTATTGGTACTAAGAATAATATAGTAAGGAACGGCCTATCTTTGACTCTCTCCCAAATATTTTGGGTCTTGACAATTCTATAGCTTGACCACAAAGCACCAAGGATGATTTGTGTCTGTCGCTGACATGTATAAGCCTATTCAGTCCATGGTTCAGGACAACAATAGCGAACCACAGGACTTTCAATGTAAAATGGAAGATAAGCATGCCTAGTAAGTGTAGTAGATAATACCTACTATATGATTCATACTAAAAATGGTTCAAAAGGATTCAACCCTTCCTACTTACTACCCCCTCTCACATATAATTTACTCGTGCTAGTTCTATAATAATCTATCTTTCTCAGATGTGTTGACTGTAGGCTTGGCTAAATAAGCTCAATACAAGATACAGACCGCCACGGAACGAAACAGTTTCTGTCTTATGTATAGTTATCAGCTAATTGCTCTTAGACTATATACTAGGGGCTGTGGGCAAGAAATACATTACATTATTATTCATTAAAAATATATCCCCAACGAACAACCAATATGCAAAATTCGAAAGTGATTAGGTTCCTAGGTAGATACTTAGTAGAATCCGGAATCTAGAAAACGAAAAATTAGGTTCAACAACATTCCCTGTCTTATTGTGATATCAAGATTGTTCCCCTCTTTTATGATCAATAGAGGACAGTTATTGGCACCTTCAAGTACAGGATATTCTGCAGATATCATCTAGATTCATAAGTATAAGCTCTAATATTTCTCATAGCCTATAGAAACATCTTTCAACATATATATAGGTAGCAGGTATCTTGAAGCTCTATATTTTGGTATGGCCGTTGGCGTCATGATTTCGAGATGTCTGATCGGCACAGCTCGTAGAAATATCCCTGATGCGGCCTAGCGATGTCATCCCGTGGTAGTAATCGGCGCCGGCTTGGCACCTCTTATATAGTATTGGAAGCAGGACCGGGATCGGAAACGAAAATGAGACACTTAGGGTTTAGGGTTTAGGGCCCCCGAGGGTGACTTGGTCGTCGCATCATGCTTTTTATGATCCTAAGGGTTAACGGGAGTCTCTATATAGAAGGCCAAAGAGCATTCAACCTAGTGAGGGGGCGGCTCTTCGCAGTCTTCCCGTCTAGAGGTGATGTAGGAGGTATATAATTTTCTGAGGACTCATATATATTCTCCTCTTCCTCATCGCACTTCATATCTAGATATATATATGCCATGACTGCGATTGCCAATAGCTTTCCTTTTTCGCGTCTCGGAAAGGCATGAGTGTGTGGCAGAGTGTAGGTATAATGATATAATATTGTTATTAGACAGACGCGACGCGCTGGATTTACACTATCCAGGTTTCTCTAACCTAACCTACCAGGTGACAACGCTAGTACTAATTGGCTAATTACTGGCAATGACCTGAAATCATTTCTTATCCTTATGCAGATTTTTGACGGCCTGATAATACAGCTACTGCCTTTGGGGGATCCTCGATGTTGATGTTTGATCACTCATTAACTGTATATTGGACCAATTTCTAAACAGCCTGATAGTTTCATGCTATAATTCCTAATAGCGATATAATGATATCACTATTCTGAATTGGAATTCGAATTCGTTCCGAGACCTTTTAGTCCAACCGCAACTTGAACACTAGTTGATACTGTAGGGATTAGTGATCAAGTCGCGACCACTTGATTTGGGGGCTCTCATTTCGTCAATAATCCCTCATCAACATTTTGTGGATATCCACAGCAAAGGCTCATGAATCAATCTAACAAGTAACTAACTAGCTGCCGCTCACTAGCATCGGCATTTGTTGAGAAATAATATATTATTGCTATTAAGGCTCCACACTAGCTATAATGTCCTTCGCTTCATCTATCCAGTAGAAAGTCATTATACTCATGTCAAAAATACATAAGATTTAGGATTATTGTCATGATGCCTTCAGCTGTATTTATTCAGTTCTTGTATTCGAGCTTTATCCACATGATAAACTACTACATAATATAGCAGTCTCGCCTAAAGCAGCGTTCTGTTGAGAGAAATTAAGTTTGGGTAGAGGATATGCTAGAAATATGCGCGATATAGTTAAGTTGGCTGGCTTTGAATATGGGGCCGTTTAGCCGAGTGGTCGGCCCTGGGCTCCCTCGGTTGAACAGAATAATCAGATGGTGGTATAAGACAGTCTCTTCAACAGGGGACATCACAAGCATAAGAATACTATGAGACTCTTAACTTGCTTTACAGGCCCAGCATGAGGAATAATAGACTGTCACAGAGACCTCACGCCTCTGCTATGCTGCTCTTCCCATCTTATGTTGATTTTATGTGAACAAAAATCTATGCCACTACTGCATAGCCCTCTCATAATCTATAAGAATCGAGTAAATCTCGCAGGAGTCTCTAATGGAATTATAAGAAGCAAAAATCGATCCGCATGACCAGTTCAGCCCTTCCTTACCATTTACATCCCCACCTGCGAGATCATGCATAGTCAGATATCAAGTGGGTGAGTGGGAAAGCTTCAACTCGATGTGTTGGTTGCCTAACGCAAAGGATTGGCCACTAAAATGTAGTAGTGGGATCAGCTAGTGGCAAATTCTGAGAAATATTGGACATGTTCGGGGTTTCCGACAGCATCGTTTAAAACTAGTGAGTCTTGTCCAGCCTATCAAATAGGGGGGGCGGGGTATGCAGGGTCATATATGGTCCGGAGTACTCCGTGATGGAGGGCTTGGCAGGGTATACCGACCGTGCCCAGGCGTTCGGCATTTTTTCAGCACAAATCATGCGATCAGCCTAGCCCAGAATTCGCTCTACAATACTAAGACAAAGGCCAAATCAGATAAGATCATGGCGCAGAATACATCCTGGGTGGATACAAAGGATCAAGCAGATGAAAATTTCATCTTATCCAAGGCTGTCTTTTGACCAGTTTCCTAATCAGGTGATGCCTGCCACTGACTCGGAACACTCAAGAATAACTTGAAGTGTATACTACATAGAGTGATAGCATGCTGAAGGTTTATTTTTTTTCTCTGAAAAGAAGTATATGTCTTACTTAATAATAATGTTGACCACGGGATCCCCTGGTGGGTGATGGCTTGGAAGGTAATTTGATGCGACAATAGGGATAGTATAAGGCATCAGAAGCGAGACGCCTCCAATAAAGCTTAGGGATGGTGTGGGTCAGCCGCAGGATTTTATCAGATTGATAAAAAAAAAGCAAAAGTCTAGTAAGCAGGCAACTTAAATACCGCTCAAGCCTTCGTTGGTCCGCAATTTGAAAAAGAAAAAATCGTTACTGATCAAATTCTCTTCCATTGACCTCTCTCAAAATGGGTGCAGTCACCGAGCGGCTGCGTAACCGCAAGACCACCCACGTGGTGGAGGATATGCGCCCTGTTGATGCCGATCAACAGGGCCAAGCAAATGAGTCTGACGAGGCGATCCAAGAGTCTAAAGAGACTACCAAAGATGCGACGATCGGCGTTCAAAAGGCCGAGGCGGTAGCTCTTGTCTGGGGCAAGAAGGCGGTCTACATGACCTATGCATGGTAAGAAGTCTTCTATCTATCTATATATTCATTTAATATAATTTATTCTAATCTTGTAGGATCTGGGTGTGCTATTTTATGCTGTCGCTGCACGAATACATCGGCTCCAATGTCCTTTACTACGCGTATTCGAGCTTCGACCTGGCGCCGCAGGTCACAACAGCAGGAATCCTGGCCAGCATCGTAGGCGGCGTGCTGAAGCTGCCCATTGGTAAAGTGTTGAGTCTTTGGGGCCGCGCTGAAGCCTTGATGGTGTTTGTCGGTGTATACGTGCTGGGGATGATCCTGTTGGCAGCCTGCAATGGCCCCAACACGTATGCGGCCGGGTACGTGTTTTACTGGGTTGGATTCGATGCCATCTATCTCATCCTGGAGATCTTTATTGCCGATACCGCAGGCCTGCGCAACCGGGCGTTTGCCTTTGCCTTCTCCACGACCCCATACATCTGTACGGCCTTCACCGGTTCTCTGGCCGCCGAGTCGTTCATCAAGACCTCGGGATGGCGCTGGGCATACGGCGCCTTCTGCATCATTCAGCCCTTTGTCTTTGCGCCCCTGATCATTATTTTCAAGTATTATGAGGCCAAGGCTCGTCGCCAGGGTATCTTCGCCCATCAGCCCAGCGGGCGAACTGTGCCGCAGTCCATCATCCACTATCTCCATGAGTTTGACAGTATGTCCATCTTGTCCTAATATTTCTGATGATTTCATTGCTGATAATGTCTCCCCTACTCCTGCAGTCATTGGCGCCCTTTTGCTTATGGCTGCCTTTATTCTCTTCCTCCTCCCCTTCAGCATGGCCAGCTATGGACGCACTGAATACCACGACGCGACGTTCATCGCGCAGGTCGTCGTCGGCTTCTGCCTGTTCTTCGTCTTCGCTGCCTGGGAGAAGTGGCTTGCCCGCACTCATTTCATCCCGTACAGCCTCCTCTTTGACCGGACCGTGCTGGGCGCCTGCTTGCTGGCGGCCTTCCTCTACTTCAGCTTCTATCTGTGGGATAGTTACTTCTATTACTTCGTCATGGTTGTCTATAACCTCTCCGTTAAGGATACTGGATACGTGACGGCCACGTACACCATCGGTTCCTGCTTCTGGTCCCCCATTTTCGGTATCTGGATCCGCACCGTCAAGGAGTTCAAATACTCCTGTCTCTTCTTCGCCGTGCCCCTGATGCTGCTTGGTTCTGGCCTCATGATCCATTTCCGCGGTGATGGAGGCGGTGGCGAACTCGGATATGTCATTATGTGCCAGATCTTCATTGCCTTCGCAGGGGGCATGCTGGTCATTGGTGAGCAGATGGCGGGAATGTGTGCCGCTGACCGCGACCACATCCCTATTGTTCTGTGCATTATCAGTCTGTTCACTAGCATTGGCGGCGCCATCGGGTACGCTGTCTCTGCCGCCATCTACGCCAACACTTTCCCTCACGCCCTGCGCAGCGCTCTCCCTGCCAGTGCTAAGGATGACTGGGACGCCATCTATCTGGGCGGGTACACCACCCAGATGACCTATGCTCCGGGCACTGAGATCCGTGATGCCATCAACTACGCCTGGGGCTACCAGCAGAAGTATGGCGCCATTGCCTCTACCTGCGTGCTTGTTCTTACCATCCCGGCTGTTCTCATGTGGCGCCACTACCGTGTCGATCGCCTGCAAAACAAGGGTGTCACTTTGTAATGGGATAGTATCTATGCTGGATACTATTTATATCTCCTCTCCATGATGTGATATGGCTACACTTAATCTCTTGTAATCTTTAGATATGATCGGTATAATAAATTCAATATACACTCTTTAATTAATGCAATCACTGTCTCCATTATCATCTAGTAACTCTCAGCATTGTTTTCTATTCTCAACTATATATGTATAGGCCATAAGTAATAGACGCCGCGCCGGGTTGTCATCTAGCATTCTTCCCACAAGATCATGATGTTGCTGAGGAATTTCTTCCTGTATTAAAGAAGGAAATAATATCACATTAAGTAGGTCTATTACATTGATATTAATGATAATTTAGTAATAATACATAGTTGAAGCATATAGAGTGAGAGAATAAAGTATTAATACTAGTAGTTTCTTTTAATGTAGTCAATCCATTATATATACTTTTCTATAAATTATTGCTACCATCTAACACCATTAATTCTTATTAGTAATACTTTTTAGGGATATAATACAGCCATACCCTACTGCTCCATCACACCCCCCAAGGATATAGTAATTATGTGAATTTATATGTAAAATTCTATAGTTAAAGGTGTCAGCCTAGTTAGGTTTACTCCGTGGCGCCATCCTGCTTGCCTATTCTCTCGCCTATGCGCATCTTATGGAGTAGATATCATCCATCATCATCATCATTCCGCTATGCTCATCCAGAGGCATTGCCCTACAGCAATTCCTGTGTCATTCCTACATCAATTCAAGTCCTAGTACTCTATAGTTGCAAGTAGTAGAACTTGATTAATCATGACTCTTTTAGGTGCCTTGATATTAGCACGCTGTTTACAGTTATACTGAAAGTGCATAGAAAAACAGGTAGAGGGAAGTAAAATGTTATTATATACTAGCAACTAATAGGACTCTTTTCAACAAGAGATATCATTGAAAATCACTGTCACAGTATGGAAGCAATGGTTTGCTCTCCTACTCATTGTCTTCAACAGTGATGACAGTCTTCTTGAAATCCCTGGCAGGAGTCCGGCGGTTGAACAAGATGTCGATCTCACGGTAGGAGCGGCCCTTGAGTTCGGGCAGGAAGAAGTAGGCCGTGACCCAGCAGACAACGGCAGTGCTTCCCCAGACATAACCACACTTGCCTGCGAGATCCCATCCGGTGGTGTTGAGCATCTTGGTAGCGAGGTAGATCATGGGGATCTCCGCCACATAGTAGCCAGCACGCCCGACAGCGGTGCTCAGGGCACGAAGACGGACGGAAGAGGTCTCAGCAATGATGGTGTAGGAGATGGGGCCCTGGGTGCCGGCAAAGACGAATGAGATAACGACCCCAAGACAGGCCTGGGCGTAGTTGGTCGCATGGCTCTGGTGAACCGAGGCGATGATGCCAAGCAGGAAGAGCAAGGTGATGTTGAAGCCCAAGCCCCAGAGGTAGATGGTGCGACGGCCGAAATAGGAGCTAATGAACCAGGCCAACGCGTTGGCCACGAACTGAAGGCACGAGTTGATCAGGTTCAGCTTGAAAGCCATGTTGGTATTGATTCCGGCCTCTGAGCAGGGTTAGTTTGGGTCTGCCTGCTTTTTATCTTGATATCAAAACTCACGCTCGAAGAAATAAGTGGCCTGGTTGGCAATCAGGTTGCCAGCAAAGTTCTGTGACGCGTACATCAAGCAGATGATAATGGTGCGTCTCAGATCGGTCCCCTTGAGAAGGTCCAGCAGGGTTGGCGAACCACCCTGAAGAGCCTCGATCTGGACCGTCCGCTCCATCATAGCCAGTTTCTGGTGGGCTTGCTCCTCGTTGGTGTCTCCAAGGCGTTTGATGGAGCGAAGGGCCTCTTCCTTGCGTCCACGACGGATGAGCCACCAGGGAGATTCCGGGGCCAGGAAAACGAGGATCAGAAGAGGAGTCTAGTCATTAACATGAGTTTTAGGGTATGGGATGCGATATAAAGTATAGGGTCTTCAACTCACTGGGAAGATCCATTGCAGGGCAGTAGGCACACGCCAAGACCACTGGTTGTCACGGTTATTGTATCCGTAACTGGCGGCGGCGACAATGATCGAGCCAATCGACCAGCTCATCTGCAGAGTGGCTGTGCAGGCACCGCGAAGGGCGAGCGGAACAACCTCACTGGCGTACGCGGGGGAGTTGGCAATAAAGAATCCCCAGGAGATACCTTCCAATGTTTGTCCGACAGTCAAGACAGCGAGGGAGGGGGCCTAATCAGCGTAGATTTGGTTAGGTGATTGGCTCCATAACAACCATATAAACAAGGCTGACACTCACAAAGAAGGAAATAAAAATAGTGCAGTTGATCAGAGCCAGGGCCAAAATGGTCGTCCAGCGGTATCCAATCCGGCTGGTGATTGGACCGGACAGGAAAACACCAACAAACGCGCCACATTGACCAGATTGAAAGAGAGCGCTCTGCCATCTGGTGGGAATCACATGTTCCTTCTTGGCCGCGTCCCAGACACCGAACTCCCGACTGAAATACTTGAGAGCAACAAAATTGGTGTTTAAGAACATGTCAAATGATTCCATGACCTGAGAGATTAGCTGTCTTTTCTATTCTTTTGTTATTCTTTCTTGAATCTACTCACAATAGTGAAGCACATGATGAACGCCCATAGACAAGCCCAAGGGTGCTTCTTGGCCGCTTCCCACACGCCCAACTCATGTTCGAGGTTCTCGCCATCGAAAGCCTCGTGCAGAAGCTCCGCCGTCATCTTCTCCGAGTGATGGACGTCCCTCTTCTCTCCATGGTCCGACTCATCTTTGGTGTCGGTAATACTTGTCGACATTTTTGCTTTTCGATTGTCTCGCTCGTGATCTATTCAATCCGGAGGGAATAGAGAACAGGTCCACAGGAAGACGAAAAGAGAAAAGAAACGAACACCCCGACGGACGAACTTATGTCTTATATTGTTGTCTCACTGCATCTGTGCATTGACGGCTAATTTTCCCTGGCTGTCTTCCAGGGGATGCAACGTTGTGCCGCCGGGGTTTTGCCCGTTTCCCCGACCTTGGAACATGGGGTTGCCCGCAATGGGTCTTATTGGGCTAAAAGCGCCCTCCGTCATTAACGCCCACGGGCGCTGTTTTAGCCGGCTAGCCAAGTCCGGCCACAGGCGGGGGGCTGGGGGGTCGGAAAGTTAATTGTGCAGGGGTCCCGGATCCTCTGATTGGACGGCCATGAGTGATGGGCATGCTCCACCTGGAGTTTCTCCATCTTTGAGGGTACGGAGTAAGCTTCCTGCCGGGGTTGTGGGGCCCCGGGGGGTACGAAACCCTTTCAATCCTTGCTCCAGGTGAACGGGCACTCTACTTGAGCATGACTGATATAGATAACTTCCCGGGAGTACGGTAGACTGCCCGATATGGGCACCTTTACGGGAGTACGATGGTTGATCTCGGCATCTTGACCACTGGCTGAAAGTCAATACTATGCGATAAACCTGATTAATCCCGCGTGCCGAGACTGCAGGTCATTTAGAAAGTGGGCCGGGAGCCATGAACGCGATTGGGCTTATTTTCCTTATTATAATCCATCCTGGGGTGACCCTAGACATTCATTGGTGGAATCTCACAACGCAATGGTTGCGTCGGGGGTCCCGGTAGGAGACGATGAGGTTACACCTCGTTTCGGAGCGAGTAGCAAGCTGCTTGTGCAATCAATACAACCAAATTTTGCCTTTTATTCAACCTGCCATAACCACTCATTACTCTTGTAAAACACCCGAGTTGTGACTTGCCAGCATTATGTGTGTTTAAAATAAAAACAACAGATTATATGGACATCTCATGCGCTCTGGTTGGTGGAAATGCAGGCGGGGGGTGCTACCTAACTAGTGCCGCATCTCGGCCTCGGGAAGGGCCCAAAACGGCGCCGCTTGTATCGGTCCCGTCGCATTCGTCTGGCCATTGTGAGACACGTGAAAATGCAAGTACGGTGTGACTACCTGATTAATCAAATAGCTGGGGTCAGCTAGCTAACTACTCCATACCTGCATGGTTGGGTACCTAGCCAGCTGACATACCGCCAAATGAACTGGAGGGTGATAGCCTACCAAATTAAATTACTTCCCTCCCATCACTTGAATATTATCCGAACCTAACTGTCAGCTGAGTGAGCTGACATGTCACTATAGAGAAAATCTTAGATTGGTTTGCAGCTGATAGTTTGTAGTTATAATCTTTATACCACTCCTTATATTATCAGTTTGAGGTCCTTATGAGATCTCTTGATATAATTAACAGTTATTTTATATATGCTCTAAGGTGTTATGAAGCAAGAAAGAGCTTATATTAATTCAATAGCTTATCACACCTGGATCAGCCTAACAAATGTCCTAAACCTCGCCACTGTACTAGTACCATGCCACATCCAGCACCATCTTTTAGCCGAAAAGTCTTGTCCGTGCCCCGTTATGGCGCCACTGAGCTTGTTTATTTAATCTCCAGAGTCGCTTACACTAGCTCCGGCTAGCCAAATCCTTTCAAATAATAGTGTTAATCAACTACACACTTTGACTCAATAGGTAGATCTTATATCTGTTCCAATTATGTGAACTTGAAATATGATTTATATAATGGGGGTATATAATGTATAATACATAGACACGCCTCTTTGTATATTCTTGATTTAGCAGATGAATGCAAGAGTATAAGCTTGTATAGGTATTCCTTGAAAGCTATATTTAGGCCCTGGTACCATGTGCAGTGTGCCTGTAGATAAACCTGGTCTCACAGAAGCATAGGTGGTCGAATGATGAGATGGAATAGGAGTATTTGCTCTGATACCTAGGTAGTCGTGGCTCAAGAGTGTGGGGGTGGGGAATACGGGGTTGGTTCAACCATATCCGGATGTCATAAAGTACTTTATACTCTCATAAGTTATAATTATAGAAATATATAGCTATATAACTATGGAATTAATGAGGATGCATAAATCTTATCAACACAGTATCGGCTTCCAACAGACGGCACGGGGCAGTTCTAAAGCTCCATCCATCGGCTTTTCTTGTTTGTGATGATATTATCAATAATTGCGAGGTTTTCAAGAAGAGTTTATGAATACAGTGTGTGTAAGGGCATCGGATCGCCTACCAGCACACCTTCATCACATACTCCTTTTCATCTCAAGTCTCGCAGGTGTCGCAATCGTGGCACGCAAAGACTTCACCGATGACCCCGAGGAACAGGAGAGGAAGAAGGCTAGTCTTCATAATAAAGAGGGTAGAGAAGAATATAGTAGATGGCAGGTTAGAACTGAAAGTCTATGTTCATAGATAGAACCCTCAATACTCATAGATTCATACACAGTATGCGCACGGCATTAGTATACTAGAGCTAGCTCAACTGGCCATAAATAGTCTATTATAAGGGTTATATATTGAAGGATCAAGAATTAATCTATCCAATTCATTAAGTTATCTATTCAACCTATGGTAGATGATATCCATAAGACTTAAGCATCACACCATAAAATATGGCAAATATGACCTGGGCGAGCCTGGTTGATGAGAGCATAGGTCTAATGCCAGTAAAGTATTCATATTCTTCACTTTCAAGTGTCTTCTTTTCTGTAAATTCCATCGCCCATCCAATACCATTTCTCCTGAAACAGTATCTTTTGCCAATTTTCAAAAATGAATACTACTTTTATTACACAGACACGGAAGCAAATGCCGTATATACGGGATGCCATCCACTGATACTTAGTATAGTCAATATATCAACTCCTGCTAGTTGGTGGCAGTACTGCAACGCAACTACCACTTAGTAATGGTCACCCACTAGTAGTGAACAGGCAAATGGAGTTCCAACGAGTCGAACGCCCAGACCCAGTCAACGTCATCTCACGGCCTCGAATGGATAAAGACTGTCTAGGGAAATGTATGCGTACAGTTCTTCTAAGCCAAATGCCGCTGCGTGGATAGATCATCTAGAACATTTTGCAGCTGAGCTGTGCTGAGTATGTAGTTTATTTTATTATTTACCAGTGAGAACAAATCAATCAATAGCGAGCGACAGGTGATATATCCTGATTTCAATTAAATAAGATGGAGAATTATATATAATTAGATATTAAGCAGGGCATTCATATACAGTTGCCATATCAGTCGTATAAACGGTCTGAGTAACAACAACCACTTGGCCACTTGTGATGCTGGGCATTGGAGTTGTGGATGGCGAGACCGCTGGACTGGTAGTGATAGAGATGTTTGTAGAGACGGCACTTGATGGGATAGCACTTGAGGATAAGTCCGAGCTTGTGGGCAGTGCAGAGGATCCGATAGATGAAGAGCTCGGCAGGACAGATGAAATCGATGAACCGACAGACTGGGAAGAAGACGCAGTAACAGACTGTGATGAAGTAACAGCTTGGGAAGTAACCGCCTGCGATGAAGTTGTCGGCGATGGAACCGCCGTGGAATAGGAGGTCGAGCAGACGGTCGTGGCAGGCTCGAGGAACTGAAGGTCGTCAAGGCCGACATAGTATTCCGTATCATAACACTCTAGCACGAACAGCATGAGGTGGCTAGTGGCCGTGGGCGTGAAGCCGAGCGAGTACTGCGTCCATGGCAGCCCGGAAGCATCCATATCAATCACATCCTCGACTAGCAGGTTGGCGTTGGTTTGGCTGTCCTTGAACACGTACATCTGGCACAGCTGGGTGCTGCCACCATTGGGGACCCCCGCGATTGAGAAGGTGATGGTATACGTCGTGCTTGTATCGAGCCCATTCACTGTCTGGGAGAGGAAGAGCGCATCCCCGCCCCGGAGGGCTGTGTTGATTGTCTTGATGTAATACTGGCCTTCTGCGGCGGTCGAGAAGGGAGAACCTGAAGATGAGGCATCGACAATTGCGGCGTTGGAGCTGCTGTCGGTCTTTGTCCAGCCATCCCAGCTGCCGTCTTCGAAGCTGGGGTTTGTGAACAGCTGCGGTTGATTGACGGTGCACGAGACGATGGGCACAGTCGTCGCCACAGCCTGAAGGACAGAACTGGCAATAATCAATAGAAAGGAGCCTTGATACATGATGACAATAATATAAACGAGTGTGAAGAAAGATCTCAGAACACTCAGGAGAAATTTGCGATGACCCTGAAGGCTGAAGAATCTCAGTCCTTGTCGCTTAGTAGACCAGAACTTTGTTTTGACTGTACTGACAGTCTATTGGCTATGTTTCACCAGTCCCTGGGCTAGACCTAATATAGACTGTTTAGTGTACTTGATTTAGTTAGTATACACATGGCAGAAAGTTAATCTTTCTAGTGTGGTCTAGAATTGCCTTAAAGGAGATATGAATTTAATATACAATATATATGATATTAATGGATAGCATTAACTATGTACAATTATTTATAGTTTCCAGGACCTTATATTCTACTACCTAATAAGAGATAGTACTAATGGCTGTTTATGTAGACTATCAAGAGCTATCAGAAACTATATAATACTTTATATTGCTAATTAGCTTTTACATGCCATCAGGTTTATTTATATTGCCAAGTAGAGAGGCTATAGCTACATATTAGTTCATTTAATAGCTACTGAGTCTATTGGAATTTAGGTAGATTAATTTCTCCTTTATCTATATAGCTTCAGTAAGCAGGGCTTTATACTATTTATTCTATTCTACTATAGATAATATTATACAATATTCACCTCAGTGATCTATATTATATAGACTAATTAGTGATAAACTCCCTATCTATACTTAATAATACTAACCCTACTCTATTATTTATATCCCCACATAAATCCTCTGCATACTGAAGTAATTCCCCCCACGCCTTTGCCCTATGAAGCTCGAATGGATTACCGACTGTCAACAAGCGTCGGTAGAACTGGCGTAGATCCATCCTAGTCCTTGCGTCCAGCTGCGGAGTGAAGCCATACTCCCGAATAGCAATTTCGATTTGGGGTAACCTTGTTAATATTGTGTTTTCCTCCAAAGCCAGAAAATGCATTAGTCTCCATACCGACGGCCGCTGTCTGTGATTCTGCACAGGGAAAGACATGAACAGTCTGAACGACAGGTTTAATTCATCGCCCAACCCATACTTGTCGAAGAGCTGTGCTATCTTGCCGTCCCTCCAGGCACGCCAGAACTCACCAAAGGAGCAGGTGGGCGAACTGGAAACATTGCTGGAAGACGTCACTCCTAGACTGGCGTCGTAGTCCGTTAAAAACTTATTACCACCAACAAGCCGGGCGTAGAGACCTCCGAGGCTGCTCTCGTGGTGTTCGTCGGCGCATACCACAAGGCCGAAATCATACCACAGATCCAGCTCTGGCCACTGCGGGTTGGGGTGAGAGCCATCCAGAGCCAGCGCATAGAAAATAAAAGAGTACCGTTTCTCCTTTGGCTCGAGCTTGGAGGGATCTTTATCGCGGTCTTCCGGCTCAAGGTAGGATCTGGCAGCATTCAAAGCGCGCAGAATGGGGTTACTATTCTGGTCGTGGCGAGTCTGACGTGCGGATGTAGAGGTGTCAAGAAGATGCTGGTTTTGCAAGAACCAGGGAAAATAAGCACCCCTGCTGCCTTCAGGAATAGTGTGAAAAATCTCAATAATACGGCTCGCCAGCAGTCCTTCTTGTTGCCATCTATGTAGTGTCACCGGGCTGATATCGGAACGATCCACGTACAGTAGAAGACCACCATACAGGCCTAGAAGATGTGATTCTTGATTTGCAACGGGTGCAACGGGCGAACCCAAAGTCTTCCCTGGTCTGGCCGTCCTTGGGGATCTCGTCTGCTATCACGTCGGCATAGAGAATGTCGGCGGTGGTTATGGGGCGGGCAGAGCATTTGGTGAGGTGATTTAAGGACATCTGGTCTTGACAGCTCTGACTACAGAACCAGTCCCGGTTGCAATGCGCACAGTGGCGAGTGGTTTTTTGGTCACAGACGAAGCATTCCATCCGTTGCTCGACGTCTTTCTCCCTGGTGAAACGACCGTGGCTCACTTTGTTAGTAGGATTCTTGATAAAGTACCAAGCAAATCACTCACTTTGCATCTTGGCCATCATCTTCCTTGTCTTCCTTGTCATCCTTGTCGTCCTTGTCGTCCTTGTCATCCTTGACTTCTTCTTTGCCATTTCTACTTAGTATGTCCCAACGCTGTGCTTCAAGTTACTGCGAGACGAGCGACTGGGTGAACGGATTATCCAATTGTGGCTGTGTGATAGTCGCAAGCGAGGAGCCCCCCAAGGTAGACTCCTTGACAGGGGCAATTCTCTTGCCAGTCTTTCTGCCGTGGATGGCGTTTTTCATGTCAGTCTCGACCTCTTGTAGAATCTGAACAAGACGCCAAACTTCTCCCTTGAAAAGGCGCGGGATAGGGTCAGGCAGCGTCCAGAGATCGTAGACCTTGCTGTGGCACCCTCTGGTGGTGAACTGGCCATACCGCCGCACGAACCTCGAGCAGAGAAAACAGCTTCGTTTGCTGCAGCCCAGATAGCGGAAGATGGACGCGCCTGGACTGTCGTGCCGTGAGGCAGCCAAGACGAGCTGGACCTCTGCGTGGACCTGCGACACGGGCGATTTCAACTTGTCGAACCGTTGCATCAGTCTGTGTTTTGTCCATTGCTCTTTCTTCCTCTTCCCATTCCCGAAGATAGAATCCACGGTCTGGTCGTCAAGACTAAGTCCGAGAGACGAAAAAAGTCTTCTCAACTGACCAGTGACTGACTTGTTTTTTGTTTTTCACAGCTGGCAGGGCAGGCACTGGGAGGATCTGCAGGTTGTGGAAGTTGGGGAGCCGTTCTGCACCTCGGATCAACGTCTTGAAGCCCGTCTCCAGCCTGCCGAGGAACCCGAGCGTGTTTCGCGAAGATCTCGCATGGGAAGCATTGCCAGTGACACGCTCGAATTCTTCGCCTTTGTATATATGACAGATCTCATGGGCGTTCTGCACTGCTTCCTCCAGACCGTTCTGGGTCGAGACGCGGGGCACGTCGTTTATCAGGGCTTTGAAATCCTCGAGGCGAGAAACAAGACCAGAATCTGTCTCAGCATGGGCGTGTAGGACTGTCTGTTTGAACGCTTGTCTGGCCTCAACGACGTAGGCGGTGATCCGGGGCCGGTACGACTCTATCAACGAGATCCACAGATTGTGCGCGACATCGACGGCTATGGAGTCTATAGGAAGAGGTTATTGTTAGCTGGCAATTCAAACGACCAAGACAAGGGAACAAGCCTTGGGAGTTGCGTTCGGCGATATTGCGTAGGCTCAACGCGATGCTCTCCAGCAGTTGCGCGACCGGATCTGAATCCCTGAAGCGTTTGTTTCTGGCCACGAGCACCTCAGCTCTGTCGGGCCACTCGATCAGCAAACACGACGAGACATGGTGGCCTCCCTTCTCGTTGGCAACCAGCTCGGAGAGTCGGTCGAGGAAGGCGCGTTTCAGTTTCTCCTCGTCGAAGGATGAGAGCGTGTTCGCGTGGACGGAGTCGGCGCTATCCTCATCGGGAAGGTCGGCTATCTCCGTAAAGTCCGAGGCTTCTTCGACCTGCCCGTCGTTTTTGAGTCGGAGAAGTTTGGCATAGGCGTCGAATCGGGGTTTATCCCATTCTTTTAGTGAGGAATTCATTGTTAGATGAGGTGGGGGATGTTTGTAGGACACCAGTAGAAGGATAGGATATCAGCTCAACGCCTGTATCAAATACCCCATTAATGCCCCGCATCAATACCCCGCATCAAATTGCTTTTCTATTGCGGGTAGCATTTTTTCTAATAAATAAATACTAGAATATCATTCTCGACATATTAATAGAAAGACCAAGTACTAAAGGATGTGGAGGCCCAATACTGATCAGTGGGTAGATATCAATAACTGCCATTATCAATGGTCAGTAACCATTATACTGATTGCGTAGGCCTTCGCTGCAGTTATCCTTCAGAGTATCAATCAATCAAAGCAGGTATCGGGCTGTTTGAAAATCAGGCCAATGCACAGCTTATTACAGTGGCAGTCTTAGAAAGCCATCTACCTAATCCCCGGCACTTCCGACCGAATGTCCGATGATTACTAATGCTTGAATTTCTAGGTCTATTTAACAACAGCCTGGTTTCCCCCTGTTCCTGATCATTCAATAGTATCAAATATCCTAAAGTCACAATGACATCCAACCTCCTCCCTATCAAAGTCTGGGGCAAGGGCGGCCCCAACCCGCCCCGGGTGGCGATTATCCTGCGCGAACTGGGCCTGCCATATGAAATCCAGCCTCTGCCCTTGAGCGAAGTGAAAACGCCCGCGTATGTGGCCATCAACCCTAACGGCCGGCTGCCCGCCATCCACGACCCCAACACGAACCTCACGCTGTGGGAGTCCGGCGCGATCGTCGAGTATCTCGTCGAGCGGTACGACACAGCCCACAAGATCAGTTTTGCCCCGGGCTCCAACGAAGCCCAGCTCGCGCGGCAGTGGCTCTTCTTCCAGGCCACCGGGCAGGGGCCGTACTACGGCCAGGCGGTCTGGTTCAAACGCTTCCACAAGGAAAAGGTCCCCAGCGCGATCCAGCGGTACGTGGAGGAGATCAAGCGGGTGTCTGGGGTGGTGGATACGTTCCTGAGCAAGCAGGAGGTGGGCGAGGGCGGAGATGGGCCCTGGCTCGTGGGAGGGAAGTGTTCGTATGCGGATCTGGCGTGGGTGAGCTGGCAGCTGCGAGTGCCCAAGCATATCAGCGTCGAGGATGGGTATGATGTGAATGAGTTTCCATATTTAAAGGATTGGCTGGATCGGATGATGAAGCGGGAGCCAGTGAGGGGAGTCATGGAGGAGGTGCCTTAAAGCAGATAGACAGAGTATAATAAATAATATACTTATTATATTATATCAATCTTACCTAATGGTTAGAGGAATTATGAAGACAGAGGATTATGAATAAACCATGAGGAAAAGAGGACCATACTCTTATCATTAACTGCTAGCAGTCATTCTGATGAAATATATTTATAGGCAGTGTTTAAGTCTAGCAGAAGGATATCATCTATACTCTATTAGTAATGCTATACTTCTATATGCTGGCTAGCTTAACCCAGGCAGTTAAGCAGCATTAAATGATATAGCTTAATGACCATATTTATATAATAAAGAGAATAGAGCTGTAGTGGATTAGCTTTGATAGTTGGTAATAATACTATTAGTATTCTATGCTATTGACTATATTCACTAATACCACTGTCTAGGTTGACTTTGGAAATACGGAAGAGAAAAAGTGAGGTTCAGAAATGAGCCAGAGGGATTATGGATAAGAGAGTAATAAGGAACTTATCTATTCTTCTATTATCCTTTTTATATCTTTTTATATTAACAGACAGGGTTAATCATATCTCCTAGTGAATGATCTCTAGGCTAGAAGAGAATGAGATGAATTAATTGACAAGCTAGCTGCAGCCTAAATATAAAATATTAAGGATTTCTAGAGTTAATATAAACATAATCCTTATATACTACATTATCTTAAGTGAGTGAATTGATGATATCACTGATATACCATGGTTGATCCAGTGGCAGCCTGAAAATCCCAGGCTGCTTTTATCTCTTCTCCCACCTTTTCCCATACGTCTTCTGTCAGGCAACGGATGGCCTGGAGAAAGCGGAAGAGATGTGTGGATAGATGATGGTGGTCATGGTGCTATCTAGGATGCGCGCAGGCGAGAGAGAAAAGGCAAGCAGGATGGCGCTAGGCCTAACTAGGCAGACACCTCCAACATCTTCTTTCCCCTCATCGTTTATTCTTCTTCTTTCCCCTGATTTCATGCCGCTTCAGTATAACCGTGGCTCAGACGCAGAGCTCGTCTGGGCCTCATCGATCCGCAAGTTTAAGGGAGCTCCTACCTTCTTACCTCTGAAGAAAGGAACCGCAAAAAATGGCCGAGACCGACGGACGCGCGGGTCCAGCAAGGATGATGAGAGCATCGTCGAGGAGTTCATCGACGAAGCTCTTCGAGCAGGAGGCCCATTCCTGTGCCCACTCCCTGTTACCAGCAGGCCGCTTCCTGACAACATGCGTCACTACAAATTGATCATGGATGACGATGGCTTCAGAACCACGGTGGAAGGCATCCTTGCAGAGCACGAGATTGTTGCGTCGGATTACGGGGTTGTCTTGCGAAAGGCCGACAACTTCCCCGAAGACAATCCCATCGTCACTTTCATGGTCACAGCGGAGAGAAAGGTAGTAGATGACGCATGGCTTCACACCTGCAAGAAGCTGCGAGACCTCTTTGTTTCAAACAACTTCCCCGACGCCAGCGTGGAAATTGCCGACAAGAGAGCCTTCCTGCCACGCTTCATGGCTCCTCCCTTTGGAAGCGATAAGATATTCCCGGTCTGGGACGAACTGCTCTCTTTGCTCTTGACCTCCCTCGATTTGACAGACATCAAGACGATCGCGTGTTGGAGGTACGGAACATCCCCTCTCAGCGAAGACAATCCCCCGACCATTCTCTTCACTGTAGATCGGAACTCTGTTCGCAAGTGGAAGCCTCTCCGGGAGAAAACAGTCGAGATAATTGATTCATACGGGATCGATGACATTTGCATTCATGTGGAGAAGGGAAACATTATTCGATCGGTGGGCGGCAAGTCCGACGCTGGTCTTCCAGGGTCTATCTGGCAGAAACGACAAGCCCTGGTGGGTGTGAGCATCGGAAATATAATGGATTCCAAGTGCTCGGCGACCTTTGGCGGATACATTGAGCTCCTTAACGAAAATGGAGATTGGGATAGATTTGGCTTGACCTGCTACAATGCTGTTCTCGCGCCTGACGATGCAACCAGTGATAATAGCAAAGAAGGTGAGTTGTCTCATGTTCAAAATGTATGAAACAAGGTTAATACCATACAGCGCAGCTCAAATGGCACTCCAAGGGCGTTGAATGGCACGACTCCCTGGCGAAGAAAATGCTGACCCTGCAGCAGCCGAGCATCGGAGACCTCCAGGACAAGCAAAAGGCAGTTCAAGAGCAGATCGATTCCATCAAGGACGCCGATTTCATGGAGGACCGTCGCAAAGCTAGCCTGGGGGAACTCTTTCCGCCTTTTAGTGGTAGACACGCTGGCCGTGAGCGGCTTCTCACTATTCAGGAGAATATGGCGAGCCAGATCGACACCTTCGTCAGGGAAAAGAGGGCACCACTGGGCCACGTTGCCTGCGCCTCTGGCTTTCGACTGAAAGAACACGAGAACGGCCATGTGCAGCACTTGGATTGGGCCTTGTTGATGATGGAAAAGTCTCGCACGGGTAATAATCGGGTGAGATACCTCTTGGAAGGAGAAAAAGAAGACCTCTATTGATAAAAAACTAGATCAATGCTCACGGAGCGCCACGTTTCGCACTTTTAGATGACATCCTCGTTGCGCCGGTCAAACCGGAACATGGTATGCCTCTTTACAAGCTGGGAAGATCAACCGGGTGGACGACGGGGACGTACAGCGGCCTCCAGTCTGCAGTCATTGAGACAATCACCGAAAAGGACATCAAGAAGACTATCACCACATGGGAGTCTTCAGTATGCAGCACCAATAGCCAGCCGTTTTCAGATCGTGGCGATTCTGGAAGCTTTATCTTTAATCGGAACTTGGCGTTTGTTGGACTGCTGTTTGCTGGGAAAGTGAATGGAGAAGCCTACATCACGCTCGCTGCTGATCTTTTCGACGATATTAAAGCGAAGACGGGCGCAATTGACATTCGCATTCCACTTGATTAGTCGGTTTGATCTGTCACATTTGACCAAGTCGCCGATGCCGTTGATACCAATTCAGCAGAAGCCACTCCAGTCCTAGAAAGCTGACATGTAACAATGATAAGTTGTGAAAGCTATGATACCTCATTCTATCCTTAGTATAGCTTTACAGCCTTAGCAGTTAGGTATCTATTCACTTTATATCTGCTATATCATATCATCTATCCTCTTGAATTCCTCCTGTAAATGAAGCCAAACCCTCTCCTTGATCCCATCCTGTCGTAATATGTCTAGCACTGTCTGGACACGCTCATCAGGATCACAATATGCCCCCAGACTGAACACGCCATTCCCATCGCTTTCAGCACTTGCATCTGTAGTCTTGAAAGGCTTTTGAACACTGAAAGCATCACTGGTAGCCATATAGACATGGCGTTGTCCAGACTCGTCAATGGGAATATCTTCCCTAGTAATGAACAGCATCCCAATCGCATATAGAACTTTGATAAATATTCCTGTGACGCCCTGCATCATTTTCTTCCCAAATGGTGTCTCCACAAAACCAGGATAGTTATGGATGAAACTGACGGTGGGCGCCATCTCCGCAAACCGTTCCATGGTCAGTGTCATCATGGAGGAATGGTGGCCTCTTGCGTTCCAGAAAGAGAGCTTCTCACCGCGTATATCGGATGGATTGATAAATCCTTCTTTTGTGCCCATCATGACGGAAATTACGCGGCCGGAAGAAGCTTCCAAGAGGGGGAGAAGGTTGGCGATGAAGCGCATCCGAGAATAGTATGACAATGCCCTCATGAGAGGCAATTGTTCCGATGTTTCTAGTCATTTAGTGAATATCCACTATTGAAACGTTGGAAAATATAATAAATACTTGATTTAAAATCCAATATCCCCTGACTCATAAAAAGAAGATCGATCTTCTCTTCCTTTTCCCGGATGGTCTTGCACACGCCATCGACGGTATTCAAGAGACTCACATCCGCCTGGATAAAAGCGTATGATCCATCCGGATTGATCTCGTTGAATTCCGATAAGATTGCATCTGCGGCGGACTGTGACCGACCGATGAAATAGATACGTGGGCAGGATGTGTATTGTACATAATGGAGAAGAGTGGATTTGCCGATACCGCTGGTTGCCCCGACAAATATAGCCACAGGGTGTGGGAGGGTTTTCAGCAGTGCATTTGATGCTTGGACAGTAGATAGAGCGACCATTATAGAGGACCATGTAGAGTTATAAGTAGGTACTATTTTCTCTATAGTTATAGATTAATTTTAAAATATATCAATATCTGGAATTATATTCTTTCGCAGATAAACCTTATTCTATCAACTTCATTGAATTTATACACACACATATGAAGATAAGTGCCAAATACATCCACAGAGATGCTCATCTCATAAGATAATGTCCACTCTTGTCTTCATCCCTGGCGCCTGGCATAAGCCCACCTGCTACGATAAGGTGATTGCCCTCCTCCAGGAACAAGAGGATCTGAGATGCGTGGCCATCACCCTCCCCTCGACGACAGACAACCCCAACGCAACCTTTAAGGACGACCTTGACGTCGCCCAGGACGCCATACGCAAAGAGACCAGCCAGGGGCGCAATGTCATTGTTGTGGCGCATTCTTATGGAGGCATGGTGGGCAACAGCGCCATCAAAGGGTTCACCATGACGGACGAAACTAAAGGTGGAATCAAACATGAAAATGGTGATAATACGACTAGCGACGGCCAAGTAGCAGGCCATGTCATCGGTCTCATTTTGATCGCCTCCGGCTTTACTTTCACCGGCCTCGCATTCATGGACCCCTTTTTCGGCCATCCGCCGCCCTCATGGCGAGTGAACAGTGAAACAGGATATGCCGAGCTGGTGACCCCCCCGCGCGAGCTCTTCTATCATGATCTACCGGAAGAGGAGGGCGATTTCTGGGCATCCCAGCTGTCGACTCAGAGCCTGAAGGCGTTGTTCGAAGATGGCGAACACACCTATGCGGGTTGGCAGGATGTGCCGGTGTGGTATATCGGAACCTGCTTGGACCGGGGGCTACCTGTGTTGGCGCAGCGCATTCAAATGGGTATGGGAAGGCAGATGGGGGCCAGGGCCGAACATCGCGAGCTGCAGACTAGCCATTCGCCATTTCTGAGTCAGCCTCGAGAGACAGCCGACATCATCCTTGAGGCGGTCGAGGCGTTCACAGGAAAAGAGCCGAGAAAAAGTAGACAGGATGATAAGATTGTCCGGCCAGCGGCATTGCTCTGGCAGCCCTGGACCTGGCTTAAATTTGGACTGCCGCTGGGTTTGGGGCATGTCATTGGAGGGGTTATTTCATTCTTGAGGTGGTGGAAGATAATAAAGATATAGCTGATCCTTTGGTGGATGTAGCGGTATTTATATAAGATTTCCTATAGTATGACTACCACAACTTGTTTATATATGCCATAAATAGCTACAAGACTGAGCTAGTCATACCAAGGCTGTATTTAAGGTAGAGCCTTTTTCTAAAATGTTGAGTCACCTATTCATGACCAAAGCAATCATGAATACACTCTACATGAATATATCTCTGCTATCTCCCTCGTCGCCCATTGCAGGGAGTAGCTATTCCTAGCCCCCAGATGAGTGAGAATCCTGCTGAAATTACATGATAGAGTGCTCTGGTTTCTGCCACTGTAAATTCAAAATGGTATCCCTCTTATTTCCACTCGGGTAATGATTTATAATCTACTGAACTATATAGTGTGCCAAAGATGGCAGTCTTGCAGTTGGGAGGGTTATAATCAGAGATGTAGCTGTATCTAGCCAATCATAAATACCCCGTCTATGTACTACTTGAGTATGCCTATCTCGGTTAAGGCTATGTTCAAGGATTTTCAACATGTGGAACATTAAAAATGGGGTTATATAACTAGAATAACCCGATGTCTCTATATAAACCTGGATGGTTCCTCTCTCAATCCAACAAGTTGATAATACTTTCAATATGAAGATTCTTTTCTCCCTCACCCTTGTTGCAGGAGTACTCGCCATTCCCGGCCCTCAGACGGATTCTTGGAAGAATAATCGTGTCGAGACCTTATACACAGGAGTACGTATGGGAAGATCTAGAATATATATGATAAAATAACTGACGAGGCTACATAGAAATGTACCCTCAAAGATGACACCTGCCACTATACCAATCAAGCAGGGGTCCATACATCATGCCAGTGTGACTTTAAAAGAGTATGACCCTTCTCCCTTTGGATATCTCATTATACTTATTCACTGATTTATTAGTGTTCACATGATAATGCTGCCTGTACTTGGGATACTTCTGATTATAAATGTAGCTGTACCTAGTCTAGTTCAAGCAGATTGATATAAGAAGACTCACTAGCTGTCATCATCTCCAATCTGGTATATAGTCTGGTATATAGTCAAGTATTATTATACTCAATATTAGTAATACCCATATCATAGTTGACATTTACTAAGCTTAGTATCGCCCTCCGTCGTGATGGAGATAGGGTTTCTAGAGTCTAAGGCACACCTCGCGTACCTGTTGTACCTTGTCTTCTAGTATCCTAAGGGTATAGATATCATAGTAAGGGAATATTGTAGAATTTATCCAATCCAATAACAGTATATACTATGTATATACTATCTCCCCGGGTAGGCAAACAGCTCCACTGGCCTATTCTGTACCCCCAATTCACCCATCGGCGGGCCCTCAAAGGGAAACGGCGATGGCGGTATAGTTGTCACAAATGGCCCAGGAGTGACTGCCAATGCTTTTCCTCTTGTGAGCAATTTCCTCCGCTGGCCTCGTTCCCAGAATGCCCAGGCGAGAGATGCAACAGCGATTACTCCAAGGGGTACGCCCACTCCTGCTCCAATAGCGACATTACCAGACCTGCCAGACAAAGTTTTCTCTGTTGTCGGACAAGCACTCGCTGTTATAGTTGCTGAGGGAGATTTCTCTATTGTCGGACAAACACTCGCTGTTGCAGTCGCTGAGGAAGAGGTAGTGTTCGAGGTATCTGTATAATTGACCAGAGCAGCCCGACCGGCAATGATGGTCCCAGTGTCGATTTGAAACGACGAACCGTACGAACACACGGCTTCGCTGCCGTTACTCGTGATTCCACCGCAGCAGTATTCGTAGATACGGGGGGAGGCACTATTGTTGGCTGATAGTTCGATGATCGACACGCCTGCGCTGCGTTTATCGCCATTTGCATATTCTAGAAAATTAAGAAATATTAGAAAGAATAGACTATTAGAATAAGGATCTCATATAGAATCATTATTTCAATGCCGCTCACCCTCACATTCTGGCGCACAAGTATCTTGGTCCCAGCTTACATCTGTACAGCTTCCTGCGCTCAACACATATGGCGGGGAGATATTCACACAGTATAGATTTGTCATACAGATGGTCCCCTTACCACAACACCAGGTATTCTCATTATCAGTGCAGGGAACATCATTATCAGCAACAGATCCATCAGGATAATAGCATGATTGTGCTGAAACAACAGCTAGTATAGTAAGAAATATTGGTGGTAACATGATCATAGTCTATGTATAGTGGTATCATAATATATGAGAGAGGAAAGGTTGAGAGGATACTATTATAAGTAGCTAAGTATACTTGATACTTCAGCTCAGTTCAGCAGGGGCTTAGGAACAGGGATAGCTGACAATATTTCAATGGAGCTAATGCATATGATAAAGTGGTCTACAGCTATCTAACTAATGAGCGTATTTACTCGGAACTAGGAAGCAGTTCAAGCAGTTTATAGTTAGTAAAGAGTTGATTAGACTAATCAGAATCTGAACCTTTGTATATAATATTATCTCCTGTCTTAATAACACTACATCAGTAAAGTAGTATACTCTGTAGCAATTACCTACTTTATTTCTAAGATATGCTTTCTCAGCCTCGGGTCATTGCAGCTATTAGTATCACAGTATGCATTAAGCAGTATTGTATTCAATAAGATGTTGATATTACTTAGCAGGGGTTATGTTGCACAGCATATTATATTGGATGTGTGTCTTAGGTCAGTCTAACTAGGGGCGGTCAGGGCCGCCATACATATCATATGGAATACTATCCAGGCTTGTTTGGAATGTAGGGATGATGCCCAAGGCATATAGGGTGACGTCTAGTATCTGTTTGACACGAGACAATTGTTCTGACATTGTGGTACCGGATCAGGCCAGCCGCCAAGGCCCAATTATCAAGGCCATCCATAGTCGATAGCTGACTAAGCAGGACCGGAACCCTCGTCCGGGAGAGGTATGCCTCAGGCACAAGATATATGCCATGTCAACAGAGACAGAGAACAGGCCTAGTAGTGTGTGAGATGACAATGTAAATAAGGAATTCCCTCCTAATTTGCCAGGCAGTCTAGAGAGTTAAGACTCAAGAGGGTTATTTTTCTGCGACAGATTGCTTAGTTGTTTGCTCCAGAGCTAGGATCCTGGAGTAATTCACTTAACCATAACTAGTTAGTGACTAGTTATGATCCTATTTATAATGATCTCATCTTCCCCTCTTTCACCCCGCCTTCTCCTATCAACACCTGAATTATTTAAACAACAATCATGGCCGTCCCTGCTTCTGTTGCCTACACTGCCCTCGGCGAAGGTCCTGCCACTGCCGAATTCTGGCTGGACCTTCTCTGCCCCTTTTCGCAGAAGTGCACCGCTCTTCTGCACTCCTATCTTGTCCCGGCCGTTCTTCCCGGCGGCAAGTATCACGGCAAGGTAAACATTCATCATCTACGCTTATATACATGATATCCTAGGTGTATAGTGTATACATATTAATCAATTTCTAGCTTCGCATTCTTATCCGCCCCTACCCCCAGCCATGGCACCCCCAGGGTGGGTATTCGTGCCTCTCGCTCTGGTCCTTCGGCCGCGCATTCTGTGCGCCCGGGAACGCGTACGGCGGTGACGCCCGCCTCTGGTTCGAATACTACGCCGCCGTGGCTGCCAAACTGGATGACTTCAAGGACGGTCAGGCCCTGGGGGTGACGGGTCATGAATATAACAAGAAACTGGTCGATATCGGCGCCGAGGCTGTCTGGGGCAGCGTCGACAAGCTCGGCCTGAAGAACATTGACAGTCTGGAGGCTGCGCGGGCTATTTTCGCTAATGCGCTGGAGCCTGCCATCAGCGCCAAAGGCAACAATGAGTATGATTTCCTAAAGACTTCCTTGGATAATTTGAAGTTGCTAAGTGTTTTAGCAACCCCAATGGCCCCGATATGAAGTACTTTATCCGTCTGGGTCGTCAGAACAGCATCAACGCGACCGTACGTTATTCTATTTGACAGTGTAAGACCATGAAAGTTACTAACAGCATCAGCTCTCGCTTGTCTGGGATGGTCTGTACGACCGGATCCCCCAGAGCTCGTGGAAGGAGGCCGAATGGGATGAATATTTACGGTACTTTTCTTCACCTCCAGAGACTTGTGCATGACTAATTCTTTATAGGAGCAAGGGTGTTACCCCGAATTGACTATCTAGAGAAAATAGATTGTAGGATATCAGTCTAGAATACATCATTTCTCGATAAGACAATTTGTCTGCCACATTATATCCTCATCAAGAGTAACGTAGTCCAATCCTCGATTTTGTATGGAATTTAGTCTATGTTATACTATAACAGTATACAATATCATACTATTGACGGATCTAGTTGGGAGATTAGCTTGAGTAGAAATATCTCAATAGTTTGTTTCAAGTGTTAGTTGGATTTAGAGTGATAGATACTGCATTAATAAGACGCATTCAAAGCTCACTGAATTATGTAGCGATCTCTCGCATTTCAATCTAGTAATTCTTCTGTACCAGTATATTCCCAACCTTCTTTCTATTATGATACCTGAAACTATTGCATACAGGTAAATCTATCAATCTGACCACATAGAAAGCCTCTTCCCACTCTATTACTTTAACCAAACCATACTATCTTTGTCTGCCTGAGCATCTCCAGCCTGCAATTGAAACTAAGATCATGGCCACATGCAGGAAGTGGTCAAAGTTCGCATTATAATTAATCAACTAGTAGGAAATAATAGGTGAGGCAGATCTACTACTCTATATATTTAAGCATGTCTAATAGGGTTAGAACTACAGCTGCTTTCGGTAGTGATTATCGAGAGACAGTTCCTGGCTAGTTTTTAATCTGCATTTGAATCGGTATCCAGCCATGGTTATCTAGTCCTAATTAGTGCCAATCTCCGAAACGCAGAATTCTAGGTGTGATTGCTCTGCAGGATCAGAAGCCGATCCGGGCTTTTCCGACAACTCTCATCTATCAAGGGCGGATCAACCGCGTGGCTGCGGAATCGTTCCAAGCTAATATAGACTAAGCTAGAATAGGAATATTCAAAGATTGGTTAGTAAAACTATTGCCTCATATTATTCCATTCAAATTTCTAAAGATGAGTATGAGCTATGTGTATAGTAAACCCTTGCTACTAACTAAATACCAAAGTACACTATATACTATATAATTACTTTATCTTCATTTATATCAGCAGGAGCCCTATCAAGTACTGAGTATTTAGTATATGAATATGGGTGAATCTGTCTGCAACTTCCTCTATACCCCTCTTAGATATTCTTCTCTGTATAAGGACTCTATCAAATCACCGATGTATTTCTAGATGATAACTGCAATATTACATATTATTCTATAACAACCTATCTAGTACCCGCTAGTTCTCGTAGTCATAGCACAGGTAACCGTTCATCGGGTTCATGACCTCCTCGACGGTGACGTTGGGCAGCATGTCGTACGAGCTCAGCACGTAGCCGAGAGTGGTTTCACCCCAACCGTGGGCAGGCTCAGGGTTCGCGGTCTCGTTGACCACCCAGCCACCGATCTGGTACAGGCGGTTCTCGGGGTCGGTCTTCTGCCAGTTCCACCACATGCGGTCAATGTAGGCGTGGTGCAGGAAGAAAACGGGGTCACCGGGGGAGGATTTGATATCAGCCATCTGCGAGGTTAGTATGAATGATATATATGTATAATATCACTGGCAAAGTATAGAAACTTACAATTCCTCCCACAGCAGTGTGCACACCCTTGTGGTTGATCTCGGCAACGCAGAAGTACCATTGGGAATAGTTATCAAACTCGGCACAGATGTTCACCATGTTAGAGACAGCACTGGCAACAGCGAGATCGTTGTTCCAATCGCGGTCCATGCAGTACGTGGTATCCTCGTTCTCAGGTCCGATGTGCTCGGTGTAGTTGGCAAACGCGCCGTCAATAACGCAGTTGTCAGCGCCCACACCGTTGCCACCAAACGCATCAGAATCCCACATAGACGAGCCAAAGGCCTCGCCCGTGTTGGCATCATACTCCTCGTTCCACCAGGGCAACGGGCCGGTATAGTTGCATTCCTCGCGCAGGAAGGTTTCCTCCAGATGAATGAAATACCGGTGCCAGGGGAAGAATTGGCCCTATACATCGATAAGTACAGGGACATAAACCATAAAAATAGACACGGCCATATATATAGCAGCTATAATACTGGGCTCGTAGTGATGATATATTACTTACCACATCGTGAATGATGTCTCCAAAGGGAGTGTTGGTAAAGTAACGGTGCAAGGCCTGCAGGTCACTGAAGCGGTTGGTCGTCGCGCTCAGCCCAGACTGGGCAGGGAGATCCATCAGGCAGTTCACAGCCGTGAGATACTCGTCCTGCTCGGTGGAGGTCAGGTTACGCCATTCCTTGCGGATGCGCACCGTCTCGGGCGTGCAGCTGTGGTTGTAGTAGTTGAACTCGGCAGAGACGGCGCCGGCCAGAGCCAGGCCCAGAGCTAGAGCAGCCTTCATTGGGATTACTGAAAGAGAGGAGAAGCTTATAAAAGAGAGGAGATGGTTAGAAAGAGAGGAGAGGAGAGTGATGGCCTGGAGAAGGAAGCTCAACTCTGAATGAGAGAGAAGAGCTGCTTTATACTCAACATCCGTACTTTGTTGGTGGACCTTGTATCTAGACTAGACATTCATTCTGATACTTAGTCCATGGCTAGTCCCAGTCCCAGTCCCAGTCTATGGTGACTATATTCGTAGTCTGCCTAGATGTCTCCATAGTCGACCATAGTACAAAGTGGCTAGTTCCTATACTGTACTAGACTATATTAATCTATAGTATAAAATGCCACCCATGCCACTTATCCCTACTAGTCCTACTGTAGTCGAGTCCCATGCATGAGCACTAACTAGTAACTATATTTTCCTGAAGATAATCCCAATTTTTCTCTACCTCTCTTCCTTGCCAAGATGCCAAGAGCGGAGTTTTCTCAACTACCTTTTAACTATACTACTCTATCTTTAGTGAGAGTAGCAATGAAAATTAAGGACTGAGACGCGCGGCGGTACGTAAGCGAGGCCTACTCTTATCTAATGCTTGCTGCACATGCAGATCTGAGTGCCGATCGTCACTTGAAACAGATATTCTTGCACAGCCAATTCGGGTCCTCCCCGACCCGCGCCTTGGCATTAGGAATCTTCATACTTCTGATTCTTATCTTCTTATTCCTTTATTCTTTTATTCTTCATTATCATTATCTCTTTTCTATTTTTAGGGATATTCTCATCTCGGTGGACTTAATATCAGCATTGTCTACTCTATTATTATTTCATTTTTGAATATTTCGTCTTGCTTATTAGTTCTTGGGGCCAAAAGCCCCACTATTAGAGACCACTCACTGTTTAGGCTCACGGATAACTACTCCGGGAGAAATGATTTGAACCTCCAGGCTCTCCCGCTGCAGTCTCGCCCTTGCCGATTCCCGGGCGAGAAATCGCCGTTTCGCAGCGCCGAGTTCGCCTCCCGGCTTCCTCGTAACAAGCAACAGCCCCGGGCCGTTCCAGCCCGCATACAACGCCCACCTCCCACCGCACCCCGTGTCTTTCTCTCAACATCCCGGTTCCCCCCCCCCTTTTCCCCGTTATCCTTTCATACTATCTTCTTGCTAGTTGATCATCTTCTTCCGAGTATTCTAGTAAACAGTCATTCTGCTCAGTCAACTTCCCCAGTAGGTTTTGTATGTATACCTCTCTACGAAGACAGACCCGATTATCTCCATGATCTAGCTTGGTAAACTCTCCCGATGGCGAAAGGATTGCTGCAAGGCGGGCGCACCTCCCTTTAATTCAATCACATACAAGACCCACTGCGATTCAGCCGGCAACAGCCCTTTGGCTATTTCATGGGCTATTATCTAAGTAGTGTAAACTGTATGGTTGCCACTTCAGATGCGACTGTAGACTTCATATCTAGAATTTTGACAATGTAATTCTTTCCTGTCCTACAATCATTGAAGTTCACCTCTGGCAGCTTGGAACCGTTAAACGCAGACGGCATTTCCTCCGTATTCTTGAGAAGTATATTCCAGATAAACTGATACTCCGGGTGTGAGACAAAAAGCCTATCTGGCCTAGAATCGGCTGCAAGGTCTGCTTGGCTGTCAAGGGCTGATTTAGGTGCACATAATAGTCTATTAAAATACCACACTATTATGTTATAACATCTATTTATTATTATTCACATGCAGGTCTAATTTACAATAACAAGCTAGAATAAATCCTTGGATTTTAGCAATGCAGCCAGCATGTGGTTACTTATCTTTAAGCTAGATTCTGGGCCATCACAGAGCAAGCACAGTAAAGGATCTATATACTTCCCCTCTATACTATATACTGCGACTTTGAATCACTATGAAATCCCTCACATGCTAGTCAGGGTCTCTAACATGGTCTTCATCTCGACTGCTAGAGGAACAGGCCTCTTGACATTATTGGATGCAACTATGCAGGGCCCGACTGTATTAAAAGGCTCCAGTATACACATGGGCATCCTTTCTCGTGGGCAAGAGGGTCATGGGGCCAATCGGAATGGAGTCTCCGATGCGTGTTTCGCCTTCTTGCTTCTTATCAAGAAAGATCTCACTATGAACGCCCACCCTCTAGATCGCATCTGTACACCCTCCCTAGGTAGTATCGGACAAGATCTTTTCCAGCCGGGAAAAGATAAAAGCATCGTGCTGACAAGCGATAATGCGACTTATTAGCCTGATTTCTGATTCCATTTCGCCACACTGCATCCTGAAGCACCCCTGTGAGAAGGGTGAGTCTCGTATTTGCCAATAGCTCTGTATACCATGTCCGGCAAGGAGTTTGAGAAAGACAGCTAGTAGGGGTAGGTATGTTACATGGAAAGTAATTATAGATATATAATTCCTATAGATAAGCTTAGAGAGTGGAAAGCGAGATATGAGAGAATAAGCAGATATGGCTGTATTAATAGATAATAAAACAAATTAGCTATAATGAAGCTAGTAAATACACAGGACTTTTTCTGTCTTTACCTGCAAGCGGGTGGCGTGTATCGAGATGGTCGTGGTGGGGGGGTTAATTCCTTATTCTAAGAGTTGAGAATAGATGTCTAGCGACTTCAAGCATAGAGAAGTTATGTAGTGTCACAGCCCTGGTCCTGGTTGCCAGCCAGTAGGCCTCATCTTTCTTCAATTCCAAACCTCCATCCTTCTTTTCCTTCCCTGTGAGGCTGGCTGCTTAATAAAAATACCCTTAGATGGCCAACATGTGCTTCAGCTGAGCCGTTACATTAGATATATATTCTTAAGATGAATTCTATTTGAGGCACAATTTATTCTGGGGCCTCAAATTCAGCATAAAGACTCCTATAATGTAGTTTTATCTTTGCCTAATAAGTAATCTATATAGATACTACCTGGCTAGAAGAACTATAATTTATTCTACTTGTACTCCCTTGTTATTCTACTTGCGTTTAATAGGAGAATTCATATTAAGATAAGGATAGATGATAGATATCTGATAGCTAAATAATCCTTTATACTTCTATATATTAATAGTACTACAGCCTCACTATCTATTAGTCTACACAGCCACATCGTATTCACTGACTCATCTCATTCTTATATTCTTCTAATATTTATTTACTCTACCCATCCACATATCATATACAAATACTTGCATAGTACTAAATACAATTACTTTATATTAGTATGCTCTCTCTTCCCCTCGACATCCAATATTGTATCATCCCATTCGCCGACCCAATCACTCTGATCGCCCTCAGCCAGACCAACGCCCATCTGCGCCGTTTAATTAGCCCAACGCGGGTCCATTTCGTCGAGCGCCTCCTCAGTCTAGAATACGCTTCTGTGTCATGCGAATGGGAAGCCAGACGATGGGCGTGTACCTCGTGTCTGCGTCTGCTGCCGCACTGGCATTTTAACAACCATTCTCTCTTCCAGCAGCGATACCAACCGAGAGAAACCACCACCAGCTGGGGGAGACAAGGGAAGAAATCTCAGCCACACTCTGAAAACACCGATCAGCGTCATATCCGCCGATGCAATGAGTGCCGATTCCAGCGCGGGGAATTCCACGGTTTCACCCGCGGGACCATCGCCGTCCCGATCGTGATCGGCCACCAAGAAGCGTTCGGGACCGTTGTGGACCGGTATTTCCCCCGTTTTTCAAATACGCGCCCGGCATACAACGCGCCTGTATTTGCCGTGTATCGCGACGGTGCCACCGACCGACTGTGGACGCTGTACCGAGTGCGATGCCCCGGATGTTGTCGCTGGAAGGAACTGCGCGCCTTTCGCGTAGGGGGCAGTTATCCCCGCTGGGAGCCGATTGCGATGACACCCCCCGATCGACATGATGAGTACTGGAACTGGGATGAGGCGGCGATCACTCCTGCCCTGCTGAATGCGATGCGGTGTAACCACTGCTTCCTGGCGAGGCACGGCAGGCCGGCCCTCGCCTGCAAGCTGGAGACGTGGCTTTGCTACCTGATCGATCAGGAGTTGCATGAACAGGGAGCCAATCTGACGACCGGGTGGAAGACGCTGCTGGGGAACTTGCGCTTCCTCCTTGACCATCCGCTCAAGAACGAGATCAGGAATCTGTTGTCCGATATCCGCCCGGTCTGCGAGAAGCAGTGCATGCGCCTCACCCACGAGGATGTTGCGTTATTGCATCTGCGCCGGACGCAGTTCTTGCTGCTGTGGGAGCAGATCCAAGAGAATCTGTGGTTCAGACGCGATCGCTGGTTTGATGCCTGGTTGCAGCCTGGATATGAGCACACTGAGGGCATGCAGTGTAAGCAGGATGTGGATGGGGAGGAATTGGTGGATTATGTTTTAAATACTTGAATGACGGTCTTCATACAGTTACTTTGAAGAGTATCTATATATCTTCGAAATGGTCTATTTATTCTATACGTCTAATCTATAATACATTCATCATCGCTATACTTACTATGCAAACTCATTATGTGCTGCTGCAGCTGAAGCTCAAGCTGGCAGCATCTTCATGGATGGCGGTACCAGAAGCATACAGTCCCAACACACAGAGGATAAGGCCAATCAAGACAATGGTCATGTTCAGCACTGTCAAGGCAATCTTCTTCGGGCCGGCAAACCACTGCCCATAGTTCAGGTGCAGCCAGTACACGCCGCTCAGCCCGTAGCTGAACCAACTGGCAAACAGGGCGCTGATCAGGCCGTTGAGGTCGCTGAACACAGGGATCGCCTCGGCGATCACCCAGGCAACAAGCCAGCACGACAGGCCCAGCGCGATCCAGATGCCCACGCTGCGGCGGCTGCGGCTGTGGATGAGGTCCGACTTGTGGCAGGTTCGGAAGTAGATATATTTCAGTCCGATATGGCCGTTGACCACGCCAGCGCCGACGATCTGAATGGGTCAGCATATATGTACATGTATAGTATAGATCATGTATAAATACTCACAGTAGGAATGGCAATGCCGTAGGCCACCTTCTTCAACAAAGGCCCTGCCGAGCTGAGAGCGGGAGACTGGACCTCGGTACCGACAAAGTAGTACACCACAATGGCAGCAGTGGTATACAGACAAATCTCAAACACCTGCAGCATGCACAGGGACTTGGTGAAATCCTTGGGCTTCTCCATCTCGGCGATGAGGCCGAAGAAGGCGACGTGTGCGCAGTAGGCGAAGACGATGTTCGACACAGCCGAGAAGGAGGTGTACAGGCTATGGTGGGTGGTCGCCTCGATGATCCGTCCGGGGTGGCTTTCGACGCCCACGCCGATCATGGTGACCATCACGGCCGTGAAGATACTCAAAAAGGCTATAAATATTAGCAAGAATCCTCCACCTCGATTGTTTTCAAGACACGTACAAGCAAATGATATCCAGGTCATGCCCTTCATGGTCCGCGGAATAGAAAACACCATGGAGATGACCATGCCAATCACGCTGAACACGATTGAACACGTCCCATGGTCGGTGATGGTGTTCATCATCACCCGGAAGGTCAACAGATGGCTGCCCATCACGAAGATGCAGAACAGGAACTGGCCCAGGCCGAACAGCTCACGGCCGAACCGACCCATCAGGATCTCGCCAGCGTCCGCCAGATTCTGGATATGAGGGTATCGTTCGCGGAAGAGGCCGATGTTGTATCCTGTATAGGTGGCCAGCAGGCCCAATCCGATGATAAGAATGATGGCCCTAAATAAAATTAGTATAAGGTGGATGAAGGATCGTTTTTTTTTTTTCTTTTTTTTTCCACTTACGGAACAAGCCCTAATGTGGCCACAGCAGCCGGCAGGGACAAGACACCCAGAGAGACCGACTCGCAGATCATCACTAGATATTATATCAATATCAACTGTGATATAGAGATAAAAGACAGGACAGAATACTCACGCAATCCACACTGCCACCATTTTAAAGTCTTGTATTTGATCTCTGCCATCTCCTCGTTGCCAAAGGCATCGGTCACCTCGCCGCGCTTCAGCCCGTCCTCCTCCACGGTGAACCCATCCTGCTTCTCAGGCGCCTCGTAGGCAGGGAGCGTGTCGATCTTTTCAGACATGCTGGAGAGAAGGCGCAGAGACCGGGGACTGCAGAGAAAACTGGGACTGGAGAAGACTGAGAGAAAAAAAACTGGAGAGAACTGAAAAACGTGGAGAGGAAGAGCAGAGAAGGTAGAGAATTAAATAGATGTCTCCGACAACGGGGCAATCCTTTCCTGCGCCTCCTCGCTTGGCGGTAGATCTTTACGGTGGCGTGGAAACTTAATAATATTATTGCCAAATTATTGGTCATGATTCTGCTTGACCCGACATCTAGCCAATCGGAGGCCTGCGCTAATCTTTACACTTTCTTGATCTAACTTTTCACGGTTAGAGCCTTATCCGGTGTGCTGATCTAGGTATGGAGTTTCCACGTGAGCATTTCGAATCATATTCCTATGACATACAGAGACTGCAGAGTCTTATCTTTCTAGATTAACAATATATGAAGTAACATTAATTGGATGACAAGTAGTCGTGGCTGTAAAGGCGGCGCAAACCTTGATGTTTCTGATGCCTCTCCAAAGCCCTGGAGCTAAACTAAATTAAGCGATGCGGAACATAATCCTGTGCCTTGCATGTCACGCCACCACTTTCCTGTTCCTATCTTGTAATCCATCCACGAGTATACTTCTTGCGGGCTATTTAGGAGAACACTTATTATCATTTTTACCTTGTCAGCATCGGTTTCCCGGCCAAGGTATTCGAATCCCTCGGGTTAAGACCAGCATCTCATGATTCTCCGGCATTCTATGGCTGAGATACCCCCTCTCAACAACCATGTAGCTTCTCAAATTTTCATCCTTATATCATGCTAGCTTCTTCTGCCCAACAGTCTTCTCGGAGATACATAATGACTACCTCTTTGCTCTCTCCTGAGGAGCCTCTTAGACACAGTCCTCCAGAGTGATTCTGGACAGATGTTGAGCATTGAAGAGATCCTTGATTGTAGAAGCCCACTATTATATATATATTGTGCACGGTAGGTCCTCCTTGGGTAACATCTAGCCCTTATAGCATCGCTGCTAACCACCTGGATAGTGAAAAGCGCCAAAGAGCGAAACTATATCATCAAAAATATGATACCAGGGGAGTTTGACTATCAGTTAGATCTAAAAAGAATATTAGCGTCTTGTCCTAATGGTTGAAAGGTAGTCGAAACTATCCTGGCTCTCAATTGGTTTATTAATCCATTTCTTATGGGAGACTTGCTTCGTTTGAACCAGAAAATGGTAAATTGGGAAATTAGCATACTCTGGAGTGCTTTATATGGACTGGCTGATATTTATGATAAAGAGTTCTTCATATTGACATTAATAATCTTAATATTCAAAATTAAGCTGTTTATAATCACTAATTCTTTATAATATAGCAGCCTCATGGCGCTATATTCACCTAGGATATATATCTTATTTTACTAATAGAGTCTTACTAAGTTCCTGGAGTATATAAGAGAAGATATTATAAGGAATTAATCACTATTGCCAGCCACTTTACCTCTAACCTTTGAAGAGTTAGAATTATATAGAACTAGATTTCACGGACTTGGTTGACAAGATGCCGAACTTGAATCCCGCGAGGAGAGTCACTGCAAAGAGGCGCTTGAGCACCGCCGGTTCAGTCAAGCAAAAGTCCAAACTTGAAACCGTCTATCGGTGTATTAAAGTTCCATTAAGTCCTTGCTATGTCGCTGAAAAGACGAGATTTTCAGTGTCTAAGCATAATAATCCTTGAGTTTTGTAAAAAGTATGCCTGGCAATGGTACCGTTTAATAAAGTTTTTCGAGAAATCTCAAGGAAACTTGGCGTGTTTCAGGTTAGGGTTTCAGGCACAACCAGAAGGATAAACTTTTTGGGCCGTTTTTACAACCAACTGAAGAAGAAGAATATGTAATATTATGAATGAAATATTTAATGATGGCTTACCCACTGCTGCACCTCTACCGTCCGCTGGATACCCTGGTACAACTCACTCTCCTTGATTAAGACCGTCTGGTCGCCCTCTCTCTCCAGCCCGATCTCGGCCTCGACAACGGTCGTATTCTCGCCGTAATGGCCCATCGGGTACCCCGAGCTGGCGTATTTCTTAGACGTGCTGAAGCCGTTGTGGCAGAAATGGTTCAGCAGATGGTTGAATGTGGGGAGACAGGTGCAGATCAGACCGACGCCTCCTTCTGCATTACTATAAAAGGAGTTAGCAGTGTACAAATAGCGCAAGACGAAGAAAAGGAGAATGAAATACCCCGATAAAATGACTTTGGTAAAGATGATGGTCTGGTCTGGGGAGCTTCCATCCTGCAGGACGAGAACCAGCCGGTACAGACTGAAGGCGGTTGCCAGGCCGCCAGCCCCGAGAATGCCCATGACTCGCAGCTTTCTATTGCGGCTCATCTGCAGCGACCAGGTTAAAGGCAGGGGCAGGAGGAGGATGATGAGATCGCTGACGACGCTGATCACCGAGTCGGCAATCAGGGCGGCCTGCTGGTCGAGGCAGTGGCCGCCGGTGCCTAGCCAGTAGGTCGGGATGGGCAGACACATGCGGATCTTGATGATCAGGGCGGCGATATAGTAGCTGCATAGCACGGCCAGGAAGATATAGATGAATAACACTTTCGATCGGTAGGGACTGAAGATGCGCGTCAGGATGGAGAGGAGGGCCACCTTGACGAAGAACGCCATCGGGCAGTAGAAGAGCGTGGCGGCATAGCAGAACTATAAGTATGTACACATACCAGTATGAGCAGTCGATTTCAGTACAGTATACATGGCTGATATACTCACCTTTCGGAACAAAACCAAATTCGCTTCCGACACCTCCGAGTAAGGGTATCCCCCTCCATACTCGCCCACTAGTTCATTATCAGCATGGAAATATCAGGGAGGGGTTGACATTGACTGACCGTATAGACTAACGGCGCAGTATCCCATGAATAACGCCTGTAAGGAAATGAGTAAGTATACATCAGGAATACGGACCACCAAGGTATCATCGATCTCACCCATCCAATTAAACATGTGTAGTCCTCTGCAGCCAACCCCTGCTGCAACCGGATACGGACCCAGAGCCGCAGGGCCACGAAGAGCGTGATGATGGGGAAACACAGACATTGTGTAATAAGGTTGATTGTGTGGAGGACAGCCATGGATGGATGCTTTGTGACAGCTGTAGAAACTGGGACAAGAGTTGAAGAAATGAGGTCAGGCATGCATGATTTTAAAGGTCTAATGAAAGCCTCCAGATCAACACCTTGAACAGGATCAACAAGCACAAGGTCAACTACTGTTTACCTCAAAGTTCACTACTCCTGCCACTATTCCTACTGAATCTCAAGCCTCCCAGACCAATTGACTTTACGATCTGCAAACCGGCGCGGCACGGGGAGGCCCGCACGGCATATGCGAGCCAATCACCGCCCGTTCCGGCGGCACTCGGCACGGGCTACCTTCTTGTTTAGGCAGGTGGTGCCTTCCCACTACTCCAGTCAGTGACATTCTATCGGCCTGACTAGTAGCGACACCCCACTGGATATAAGTATAGTCTGCTTCAAAGGGTCGCTTTGACCTAGTAGAGAAATCGCTTGAGCTACTAGTTGTTGACCCCCCACTGGAAGTATAATACGAGTTGCATTGACCCTCCATGGTGGAATATGTACTACTCCTCTTTCCCAATGTCACTAGCAGCATCACCGACAGCCTGAAAATTACTAACCTATTGATATCACCCACACAACTTACCTAAACCATGTCCCTCTTCCACCCCCTGCCCATCGCCAATGGCCGCATCCTCCTTCGCCATCGGATCGTCCATGCCCCCCTGACGCGTAACCGGGGCGTGCCCGTGCACCCCGACGCCCCTGGCTCCCCGAACCGGATCTGGTATCCCGGCGATCTCATGGTGGAGTACTATTCCCAGCGAGCTACTGAGGGGGGACTCATCATTTCCGAAGGCATTCCTCCTTCTCTAGAGGTACTTCTATATATATATATATATATATATTTATATATATATCTTTATATAACTTTATATATATATATACCTTTATAAACTTTTATAAAAGTTATAAGCTAATGCTAATGCCAGAGCAATGGAATGCCCGGCGTGCCAGGGTTATTCACCCCCCAACAGATAAAAGGGTGGAAACGAGTGGTGGAAGCAGTGCATGCCCGCGGGGGAATCATCTACTGCCAGCTGTGGCATGCCGGCCGAGCGACCATCCCGCAAATGACAGGCTCCCCCGCCGTGTGTCCCTCAGCGACCCCATGGGACAACCCGACCGAGTGTTACTCGCATATCCCCGTGGGGGAGACACAGCCCGTCCGATACGCAGATTATCCGCCCGTCGCGCTGACGAAAAAGGACATCCAGCGTGTGATACAGGAGTACGTCGATGCGGCCGTGACGGCGATGGAGATCGTGGGCTTTGACGGGGTTGAGGTGCATGCCGGCAATGGATACCTGCCCGAACAGTTCCTCAGCTCAAACATCAACACCCGCACCGACGAATACGGCGGTTCCCCGGAGCGACGGGCTCGTTTCGTGCTCGAACTCATGGGCGCCCTGGCGCGGCGCATCGGAGAGGATAATCTTGCGATTCGGCTGAGTCCGTTCGGTCTCTTCAACCAAGCGAGAAGCCTGCAGCGGATGCAAACCTGGACGTACCTGTGTACGCAGCTGAATAATGCCCATCGGCTGTCCTACGTCAGCTTCATTGAGCCGGTAATCTTACACTAAGTTTTTATATATATATACTGATGCTAATCATGAATAGAGATACGAGCAAATCTTCACCTCCGAGGAAAAAGACAACTATCTAGCGGCCTCAGGCCTACGAGATATTACTCTTGCCCCCTTCCGCGCCATTTGGGGAGATACGCCCTTCTTCTCCGCCGGCGGATGGGACGCTGCCAATTCCGCGGGGGTTATTGAGTCTGGTCGGTACGACGCCCTGCTGTATGGCCGGTACTTTACCAGCAATCCTGACCTAGTGGAGAGGTTGAGGCGGGGGAGTCCTCTGGCGCCGTATGATCGTACGCGTTTCTATGGGCCATTCGAAGATAATGCAGTCGGATATACAGACTATAGTTTCCTTGAATGAACATAGGGTTATCCAAGTCCCTAATCAATATCTAGATCGCTCTATCCCAGCCACTAGCCCCCACACCCCCAACCACTATTTCTTCCTCTCTCCGCATCGTCTCTTGCATCGAGAGAGAGAAGGCATGTCCATTACGTATCAACTATAATGTCGCAGGGGACAAGGGTCTGACATGACCAATCAGGATAATTCGCTTATGTCACGCCAAGTTGGACGCTAGTGAGGACCGCATTTGGTATAGTATATCATAGGGCGCTATGCCTATATAGGACTAACGCCATCGCGTTGTCTTTCTCTTCGCTTCGTGTCACCCTAGGAGTATATGGTAGATAGTTGTATTTATCATCATTCCGCTGGGCCAAGCCGCTTGCCATGTCTTGATTAGTGGGATATAATGTAATCGCCCAGTTTCAACTTTTTACCAAATATAGTATGAGCATGTGATTGGTTGGCTCGTCTATAAATGGGTCCACGCCTTCTAGAGAATAGCAGGAATAAAATAGTATACACTAGGTGATAAGCTTAAGAATAGCCATAGAGTACCATGTGTAGTCACTTGGCAGCCTAACCCTGCTTGGTAACTGAGTTGAAATAAGGTGAGTGAAATTTAGAGTGACTAGCACTATTATATAGTGGTTAACTTCTATAGTGACTCTCCTAAACAGTCCATATCTATGCTAAATCCAATCCTAATCCACAATTATAATATTTAGTAAATGATATAAAATTATGTTGAATATATTTTATTCAAGGCATAGTTTAGTCTATAGTTAATGATTAGTGATCCACGGACCAGTTTACGTTCCGTGGTCATTCTCGTATAGAATCCTTCCGACGGATCGATCAAGGTCCGATCACACGAGTAGGATAAATAGTACTGAGTGGTCTATAGCCAATCTGTTGAAAATCTGGATCTTCTCATTTTACCCTACAATCTCTCTTTCACTTCCCACTGTCTATGATTCTATAATTTTCTACTGTATTCATCATGGCTAAAGAGAATGAACCCAAATACCTCTCTGGGCTCCCTCTGTTCGCCTGTCTCGCCTCCGTCACACTCGTTGCCTTTTTGATGCTCCTCGACACATCCATTGTTGCGACAGTGAGTCTACAATACCTGATATATATGAAATGGCCCAACTGACGTCTTACAGGCAATCCCCCGCATTACCACCGACTTCCACTCCCTCGATGATGTGGGCTGGTACGGTACCGGCTATTTACTCAGCAAGTACGTGATATTTGAATATAGAATCACTACATCTATTCTAACTCTATAGCTGCGCTTTGCAACCCCTCACTGGAAAGATCTACACCTACTTCAGCAATAAGGTAGCTTACTCTGCCCTCTATCCACCTCTACCTATGAACGCCCTCTGACTAAATAGTGGACGTTTATTACCTTCTTTACCGTGTTTGAGCTTGGCTCTGCCCTTTGCGGCGCCGCCCAGTCCTCGAATATGCTCATCATCGGGCGCGCCGTGGCTGGACTGGGTGCCTCAGGCCTGTTCAACGGCGCCTTTACCATCCTCCACGCCAGCGTTCCATCACACAAACAGCCCGGTATGATTGATTTGATCTATCAAGACAAATATATATACTGACAGCCCTAGCCCTGCTCGGTGTCCTTCTTGCTTTCTCCCAGCTTGGGATGCTCTGTGGCCCCTTGGTCGGGGGGGCGTTAACCCAGCATGTGTCCTGGCGGTGGTGTAAGCAGACATCCATATTATACTATCTACATTGCCACCAGGCAGGCAGACTATAGCATCTTATATTGCATACTAATTCTGTACACTCTCTAGGCTTCTATATCAACCTCCCCTGTGCGGCCGTGGCAGTTCCTCTGCTCTTGTTCATTGAGATCCCCGACCACGATCACACCAAGGCCAACAACGACAGCGTGTGGAAGCTGCTGCAGCGCCTTGATCTGCAGGGCTTTGTCCTCTTCTCGGGCTTCTCCATCCAGCTGCTCATGGCTCTCAACTGGGGCGGCTCCACGTACGCCTGGTCCAGCTCCGTGATCATCGGCCTCTTCTGCGGCTCAGGCGTCACCCTGCTCATCTTTGTGGTATGGGAATACTATCGCGGTAGTGAGGCCATGATCCCTCTCTCGCTCATCTCCCGCCGCATCATCTGGGCCAGCTGTCTCAACTACGGCTTCTTCTCCGGCTGCGCCTTCACCTCTACCTACTACATGCCTATCTACTTCCAGGCCATCCGTGACGCCACCCCGACCATGTCTGGCGTCGACGTCCTGCCCAGCATCATCAGCAACATGCTTATCGGCGTGCTCTGTGGTGTCCTCATCGGCCGCGTGGGCTACTACCTCCCCTTTGGTGTGCTTAGCGGTATCCTAACCACTGTCGGCTCTGCCCTGCTCACCACTTTAACCCCGTCCTCAACCACAGGTATCTGGGTCGGCTATCAGATCATCCAGGGTGCTGGGCGTGGGTTTGGGTTCCAGATTCCCATCACTGCTGTGCAGAACAACACCCCCAAGGAACAGGTCAGCGTCGCGACGGCCATCGTCACCTTCTTCATGAACTTCGGGGGTGCCGTCTTCCTCAGTCTCGAGGAGACCCTGTTCACCACCGAACTGCGCAAGCTGCTCGCTCAGTATGCGCCTACAGCTGACATGGAGGCGGTGGTCGCTGCTGGGGCATCGGCTTTCCGTGAAGTCGTCCCTGATGATCTCCTTCCAGCTGTTTTGATCGCCTATTGCAAGGCTATCACCCGCTGCCTTATCTTGTCCACTGCGCTTGGCGGAGCGGCTCTCCTCTTTGCTTTTGGAATGGGATGGGTCAATATCAAACAGAAGAAGAAGGAAGCCAAGGAAGAAGAGGAGCTGGAAAGGAAAAATGAGGAGGAAAATGAAACCGAGATGGGGGCATAATCTCGACTTCTACTGCTATTGGCCTTTATATGTATTATACTAGACTTATAATTTATGATACCAGTAATAGAATATAGTATAACAATAGTTCATTTTATTTCCTATCATGGATTCATTAAAGAGCTGGAAGAATCATATAGAAGTATATATTTTGTATGAACATCATTAGAAAGCAAACCAACTTATGATAGCATCACACCCCAGAAGTTGTTAGAGTGGTAGATCAGAATTAGGTCAGTCATTCAAGGGTGAAACAACTTGCTACTCTTACTAGGGACAGCAACTCTCAACCTGAGCTTCAGGCTTCTCAGCATAAACCGTTCCCTCCATTTCAATATCATCAACCTCTTTTATAAGCTTGATATATCCTTCTCCAATTCATGTAGCGACAATGGCAGGGACAGATGCGAGTCTTTCTGCAAGAAGACTGTAGAACCGGGTCGATCACAGCGATTTTAAGAGCAACTTAAGGCCTTTGGAACACTGGTACTGCCATTGGTAGCCTGTGTCACAGTTATTAGCTATATCGAATAATATAGCACCATGAAGCGGTTGAGTGCAAGTAGAGGCCCCAGTATTTTTAGCTACCTCACTAATATCTGACAAGAGAATATATAGACCATTAGTACTAAAGAAGATCTCAATATTATAATGTTTACCTTTATTATTCTCATTTTATCAATATTAAAGCCAAACAACGCACCAGAAAAATCCGATCTTGGCCAATCAAGACCGAGTCAAGGGGCGCTTCAGCGCTACTACCCAACACCAACTTCATCTTGAACCTCATCCTTTCTCTCCTCTACTTCCCTCCATCTTGATCGCTCCATAACCGCGGTTTATCTATTTACTGAAGATGGCTATTTCTAGCACTGCGCTAGAGATGATCTCCTCAGCAAGTCTCTCTCCAACTGAACACCTCCTTCTCAATCATTTTGTGGAGAGAGCCGTCGACCCAGACTTAGCCGCCCAGTATTTGGTTTCAAGGGTCTCCCGTGAGACGGGCGCTGGGGTAAAGGTAGAGGCCTGTCTGCGCTCATTCAAGCAAGATTTGCGAAATCTTGCATCAAAAGGTAGAACCCAGTCTAGACTGAGCGCTCATCATACCCTGTTACTAAACTATCAGTGACTACATTCGATCCGATTCCAGAACATCTGGATACTCTCGTCCGCCGTCGAGATGGACCATCCTGCTGCATGACCACGAAGTTGAAAGAGGGCGGTTCTTTTGGAGCTGTAGAATCTGCATACATAATTCCCCCGTCTATGATCAAGAATCTTACAGATGAGGTAAGATTTGAACTTTTTAACCTTGATAAATTACTGATCAACAGGATTCCTCAATACTGGAAGCATTTCTATCACCACAGGGTGTCCGGCAACTGAAATTGCTGGTTGAAAGTGGCGACCCTCTCCGGAATTTGTGGTGTCTATCCCCAAGCATCCACAAAGCCTTTCGTCAAGGCCATGTAGAGATACGCACAAAAGCTTCCCGGATGGCTGGGTTGGGGTACTCACCTGAAGAGTGTTCACTTGAGAAGCATAAAGATCAGGTATATAGACAGATTCACTGTAGAAGAGTGGGAGTTGCACTAACAGCCAAGTATATTCTTGAACAACTTTATCCTGAAAAAGCATCTGGTCTGTTCTATGCCGATGGAACAAAGGTTGGAAGGACAGTAGGCATGTTCAAGATGTCTACCGAGGATCCTACCCTGAGTCTACCCAGCAGCTTTCTCATTGAAGTCCATTACCGATTCGCCAATGCACTACATCTCTTTTCCATCGAGGAGAAAATTGCCCTTGGTTGGCCGAAACAGAGAAGTATATTCTGCCTTTCATATCTATTCTATTGATTATAGAAGCTAAGAATCCAGGCTTCCCTAATCTCTCCGGGATGTTCTACTATCTCTCGCGCTTGATCCCCCTCTCTCTACGCATGCGATTATACCTCTTCCTCTGGCCCATTGGAAACAGAATCTGGGGGAGCCCCGGTCCAACCTGGGGCCCATCATGGATCCAACGACTGCCGTTCAATCTGATGATCAAGGAGTGCATCCGAGCCCCTCAAAGCGAGCCCAACGCCCTGAGACTGGTGAAGAGATATACCACCATTCCAGCCCCCCGGATTGTCGATGTGGGCGAGCACAAGGGCAAAACGTACCTGGTGATGACGCTTCTACCAGGCCAACCACTGAGTGAAGTGGCCCATCTGATGTCGTACGCCGAACGCGACCAATTTGCCGACGACCTGGCAGACTGCGTGGCGCAGATGCGAACAATCCCCAACCAGACGGGGTATCGCTTTGCCAACACTCTCGGCGGGCCGGTGGTTGATCACCGCATCCCAGACGGACAGGGGGGCCCGTTCAACAGCGAGGCGGATTTCAATAACCATCTCACCAGCCATTTGGGATGCACGCCGGACGAGATCCTCGACGGGCTGAGTATGCGCCAGGATCACCGGTCGTTCTTTACCCATGCTGACTTCTTTGGGCTGAACTTGCTTGTCGACCGTGGCCGGCTGAGCGGGATTGTGGATTGGGAGTGTGCCGGGTATATGCCGGAGTACTGGGAGTACATCAAGGCGAAGCGAGCTGCTCATTGCAGCCCGGTTCTGGAGGCCATCTTTGCCCGGACTTTTGGCTCTGAGTATACCAAGGAGTGGGAGATTGAGCGCAAACTGTGGCGGTTGACTCCGTTTGGTGTATAAGTGAGAGTATATAGGAGACTGGCAGGTGAGGTTAGGGTTGGGTTAGGGTTAGGGTTAGGGTTTAAACTCCACTACTCTATAGAAGTATGTAGTCAAGAAGAGACTAGGGAGGGTTAGGTATTTTCTCCTGCGGATATAATACACTATAATCTCAGTATATTAGATTAGAACATCTCCATGGTGAGCTCGTCAAACGAAAAATCCCAAAAAGAAGGCAGATAGCCCAGCTCTGCCTCCCAGTTGGGCTGCTTGGCCGTCATCTTGGCCGCCAACACACTGAAGACATCCATCTCGAGCTGCGTGTCGAGCGGGACCTCGTCCTTGACCCGCCCGAACGCGGTCATGATGTGGTCAAAGGCGCGCGGCACGTCCAGCTGCTCACGAAAGAGGTTGCGGTCCCAGCCCGGCCAGTCGATCGCATTCAGCCGAAACCCCACGACGAGACAGCGATTCATCTGCCCCAACGCGGAAAAGGGCATTCCGTACAGCTCGGCGGGCTGCAGCGTCAGGAACACGTCTGCCCAGCGATGGGCGGCCTGCATCAGCTCCAACAGAATGGCGACGCGCGGGCCCGTCGTGCCCGGCGAGAAGATCTCGCGCAGGCCTATCTCGTGCACAGTCACCTCCGTATCGTGCAGCTGAAGCAGAAGAGGCTTGTTCTGCAACAGCTGGGGCGGGATATTGTCACGGAAGACTTGCAGCTGGTGTTTGAGCGAGCGGAGATGCAGCATCGCAGAGGACAGATCACTTGTGTGCTTCACGCCGGACCAGGCTGTGTGTGCGGTCTCGGCAAGGAGACGTAGTCTCACCAGTTGGCAGAGAAGGAGGTCGTCTTCATTTCCTTCCAGCACGGCCAGACATTCATCGAAATATGCAGTCCACCGGAGACTTTGATTCCTACTATTGAAATATGAGATGGCGGAATATAATATTCGATCAGGATTGAACGCACCCACTCAACAGATAACACGACAGCAAGGCCCGTCTCTCTTCAACGGTCTCTGCCCTTGTCATCCGCGACGGCCGAGGGATCCCCTTGATATCATACGAGAGGATCAGACCTGGATCACTGGGTGGAGGTTCATGGAGGCCGAGTTCATAGATGCTGGCTACTGCCTGTTGCATCAGATTCGTCAGAAGAGCGTCGTTGTGGTTGCGATGGCGGTCCCTAGAAATGAGTATAAAATAGGAATAAAACAATGAAAGACTGATCCTCTTACCAAACGGCAAACACTGTCACGGCGTTGAAAAAGTCCAGACTGCAGGTCCCCTTGACGTATGCCTCGCGCGCAATCACCTCGCGCATCTGCAGGGACAAACTCCTCTGGCGAGCAACGCAGGGGGTCGCCACGGCCGAGATGGCGGCCCATAACAGCGGTCGTTCTTGCTGGAGCTGGGCAGCAGTTGTATTTTCCAGTCTCACAAGGGGGAAAAAGAAGAGAAACAGTCGGTTGAAAAGGGCGAGTGTCTGGTCTGCAGACTCCGCCGGTTGTCCAGGCTGTCCAGTTGGCTGCGATGATGTCGAAGCTGGCGTTTGCAGGGCTTGTGGTAATGTGTGTAGCGTCTGTGTCTGTAACAAGGAAGCAAGACTGTCCAGCTTGGCTTCCAGCGCCTGCACTTTGCCAGCCGCCACGCTCGATCCTGGCCGGCGTTTGCGCATCGGAGCGGAGGGAATGCATTCTTTATTCAGACGGAGGCATCTGATCCGTGTTCAGTAAGCTGGAACTCGCAGACTCATCAGACGGACTGACCGCTCGCACTTCTCCGTTCCATTGACATTCGGCGAACATTTGGCCTTGGCCCGCACGCAATTCGTGCACGCCCTGTTTGTTTTGGACATTTTAGGGGTCTGGGAGGAGAGGAGAAACGGAGACGGAGCGGAGGGAAGATAGGGAAGACGGAATGGTTATCACGGAGACGGGGCAATGAGGGTCCGATCAGCTGACCGTATTAGTAATAAGAAGACAAGAATAGAATAGAAGTAGTACTTGAAAATAATTAATTGATGAATTAGGGTTAGGGTTAGGGTTAGGGGTTTACGAAGATGGAAGATGGAAGATAGAATAGAAGTACTTGAGAAAATAATTAATTGATAAATCAGGGTTAGGGTTACGCTAGGGTTACGCTAGGGTTAGGGTTAAGAAGATATAGACTCAAGACAAAGAATATAGTTAAGATACTATACTGTTATACTAGGCCTCCAGTCCCGGAACTTCCTGGTAGGCACCCGCGCAGCGAACAAAAGATCCATCTCTTCAAAGGAGCGTCCCTTGCTCTCTGGCAGTCGAAAGAAGGCATAAATCAACGAGAGCAAGGCAGTGACAGACCAGAAAAACGCCGTGTATCCGCCCCAGTTCCACGCCGTGGGATTCATCATGTACGGCTCCATGATATTGGCTACAATCTGCAGCATGTAATACGACGTCCGTGCAAGAACCACCGTCTTGGACCGCAGCCGCGTCGACGATACCTCGGCTGGGATGGTCCATCCCACGGGGCCGACAGAGAGGGAGAAGCACAACAGCCACAGCAGACACAGCGCCGACTGCACCCATTTCACCCCCGCGTCTCCATTGTCCCCCGCCGTCAGCGCCCCGACCAGCAGCAGACAGCCCGCCATGGCGCCCATCCCGCACATGTACAGTCTGCGCCGGCCCACCCGCCGCATCACGAACCACGACAGGGTCGAGCCCGCCAGCGCCAGACCCGTCCCGCCCAGGTTCAGCTTGTACGCGCTGGCCGACGAGATGCCCGCCTGTTTGAAGAAATAAGTCGCCGAGTACGCCAGCTGTGCCCCGCAGGTGATCTGTCCGAGAAATGTCACGCACGCGATCTCTGTGCGCCGGCGGTCGATGCCCCGGAAACAGTCGAGGTACGAGACCCCCTGCGCGATGCTCTGCTCGAGACTGTTTGTGTGGATCATCAGGGCAACGGCGTGCTTCACATGCTGCCCGTCGTCTTGCTCACGGTACGTCTTCGCCATCAGTCGCCGCACGCTGTCTTCCGCCTCGGGGTATCGGCCCCGGCGGACAAACCACCAGGGGGATTCGGGCATAAAGAAGGCGACAACAAGCAGGAACGGCAGCCAGATCCATTGTATCGCGAACGGGATGCGCCACGCCCAGTTGTTGCCCTCCCGGTGGAGGAAGGACTGCAGCACGCCGGCGCCGATCAGCTGCCCTGTCGCGAAACAGAAGTTGGTGTACGCCGTCAGATACACGCGGAGAGCCAGAGGACACAGTTCCGAGGCGTACGCGGAGCCGATGGTTGCGAAGATGCCCCAGGGGATGCTATAGCATGATCAGCATAGTTACCCAACCCTAACCCTAGCCCTAGGTTAGGAAGTATAAGAATAAGCATGTTGCTAACCCTAACCCTAGGGTTAGGGTTACGAGGTAGGTTGGAGTGCTCACCCACACATGATCTGTCCAACAGCCTGGAGCTGCACAGACATACCAAAGAAAGATATAGACACAAACGCGCCCATCATGACCAGCCCAATAAAGAAGGCAACCCGGTACCCAAACCGCTGGATAATGAATCCGTTGGCCAGGGCGCCCACTATCGACCCGGCGCTGGGCCCGCTGCCCATCGCGCTCTGCCATTTCGCAGGGATCTGGTATTCCGAGCCAGCTCTATTGTCCGGCTGGCCGAATTCCCGCGCGTACGACGGATACGCGTACAGACTGCCGATGAGGATCGTGCCGTATCCCTCCATGATGATCGACATGGAGACTGCCAGCGACCAGACCACCGCCCAGGGGTATGCCGCCAGGGCGGTGCGCACGCCTAGCCTGTGCTCGTCCTTGGCGGCCGTGATGGCGGCCTCATTCTCGCGTTCTTTTTCTATCATTTTGACATGGATGATGAAAATAAGTTAGAGTATGGGATGTTGTGGGAACCAAGGGATGAGGAAGGGGTATATATATTTGAGGTGTTTAGGGCCCACTTCATGTAGTACAATGCTTAGGTACAATATGCAGTATTGAGTGGAATTTAAGTGTCTGATATGGCAAGTAAAGGCAGTAATTATGGGTACCACCATGTCAGCCTTTAATGCAATTAAAATAAGATGTAGTATCAGATTTGTCTAAATACCATGTAGATGGAAAGGTATGGGATGATCATCACAGAACGCTGTTAGGAGCCACCACTGCTCGCTCAATGGCTTGCAGAACATCGGCATATCAGATCCTGACCATCCTCAATCCCACAGCTAAGACGAATAAGATCATCGTAAACACCCGCTTTCTCGCGCTCCTCCTTGGGGATACCAGCGTGAGTCATGCCCGCGGGCACTTCACACAGGGATTCAATCCCACCCAATGATTCCGCCAGAGTGAAGATCTTTGTGTGTTTGCAGAATGCATATGCTGCTTCACGCCCACCCATCAAGCGGAAACTCAACATGCCTCCACCCATGCCGTTTCGATGCTGCTGGATGGCGATGTGCCGCTGGGGGTGGGACTCAATACCCGGGTATCGCACAGCAATCACATTGGCAGAGGCCTCTAGAGCAAGCGCCAGGGCAGTAGCATTCTTCGTGGCGGCCTCTGATCGGAGATGAAGCGTTTTCAGGCCACGGTGAGCCAGCCAGCAGTCAAAGGCAGATGGAACTGCCCCAATTGCGTTCTGGAGGAACGTCAGGCGTTCTCGCCACTCCTCGGAATTGAAAGCAGCGACGCCCATAATCACATCCTATTCAGATCAAAGGCTTGATCATACTTCTAGTGAATTGGGGAAGTCATGATACGCACCGAGTGTCCATTAATATACTTTGTAACGGAGTGAACAACAATATCAGCACCATGTAACCGTGGGTTCTGGATATAAGGGCTGCAGAACGTGTTGTCTACAACCAGTGAGACTCCGTGGGAGTGAGCAATGGAAGCGGCTCTTTGAAGATCTACTAAACCGAGAGTAGGGTTGGATGGTGTTCCCACCCAGACCAGCCGAGTCTTGCCAGGCCGGATCGTCGTCTCCAAGTCATATAAAGAGCTAATTAGATATAGAGGACCATAAAGGGGTGAATGAGACTCAACGCCGTGCGTATTGGCCACCTTGGTGAAGTCGCGATGGGTTCCGCCGTACACATCCGATATCGATATGACGTGAGAGCCCATGGGAAGAGACTGCAAGAAGATCCCGATGCAAAAGCAAGGGCATATTTCGCATTCTCCAATGCGGCGACCGCAGCTTCGAAATTTTCCCTTTTGTGTCAATCAGTCATATACTAGTCAATCACAGGATAATTATAGACTGACCTATTCGGATTGGCACTCCGAGTATACTCATAAGCCCCCACAGGCTCCCCGACGCCACTCTGCGCGAAAGTGGTAGAAAGGGAGATCTAATGGGACTCAGCCATCCTGAGAAACATAGATATGATACGCGAATGGAAACAGTGCCGAATTCAATCGGCGATTAGTTATTAGTCATCCAATCTACAACCGTTGAGTGTCATTAATCTTGGTGGGTTCATTTTACATTCACTCCGCAGTGTGTGGTACTTATATCAATGTACAGAGTCTATTAAAATTAAAGGTAAGAGATAGCAATACAGCGGCATTAAAGGGAGGAGTATCAATATCTAGTGATAGCTTGATACTATTATACTCTGGTGATAACTTTATTATTACCTAAGGCAGATAAGGGCCCACTACACTAGATAAGTCAGTACTAGATTATAAGACAAAGTTATTGAAGTAAGGAGTAGCCTTGCTAATCCCCTGGACTGCATACGGAGTATGGAGTGCCCTGGAGGCCGCGATGGGTCGCGGCTAATCTTGACCTTTTTCCCTGGGAGGCTAGCGTCCCAGGCCTAGTCTCAGTGCTGATCTAGATATCAAGCTTTGAATAATATTTATTATTATATATATACTATTATGACTAGTAGTTACATAAAGATATTAATATCTTATGTTGTATATTTTAGTATAAATATAGAAGTGATTCAATGGCATCTATACTGACACTGGTAATTATCTGATATATAATCTAGGCGTTAATGCATCACCTTATACTACAAATCTAACTAGTATCTAAAATTAAGGAATTAACAAATCAACATAGAATCATGTGCCTTTACCAGGTGCACTGTTGTGCCTTGCTACTGATGCCTGGATTACAGAGAGAGGTACTCTTTGAGTAATTTGAGATAGTCCAATATATTAATAAGTTTTATATTTATTAAGCTCTAGAGTCGACAAAGCTAGTTTAAAACAAAGGAAATCTATTTATGCGTAGTACCTCCCCCCTCATATGAGATGAGAAAGTCTGTTGTTTGCACGACCCCGTCAGTCTCGCCGGGGATGATATCGTCCTGGCTCTCGTTGCTCGTGCTGGTGAGACGAGAAGCCCTGCCGAAGAAATGGGTGCGCACCTGCTTCTTGCCGCGTTCGAAGCGATTGAAGTCGTTGCGGCCAGAGCTCGTCTGTTTGCGATTCAGCTCGTAGCTCTCGTCTCCCTGGTTGTTCTTTTTGTTGTTGTTGTTGTTGTTGCTGCTTCCGCCAAAGTAGACCTTGAACAGCGAGCGCAGGGCCGGCACAGACGTGCAGATCAGGCCCATGTTTACTTCCAGACAGGTGCACAGCTCAGCTGCAGACCAGTACCTAATAGAGTAAATATAGAGTAGATGAAGTTTAGGGGTAGGGTTTGATGACTTACCATGGAAAGTCGGGACGGAGAAGGGAGATGGCGTTGGTGACCTGGCGGGCGACTGTGGTGGCGATGGTAAGGAGACCGACGGCGAAGACAATCATCAGGCCGACTATGAGAATAGACACATTAGTGGAACTCGAGATAAGTTGAGTCGACAGTACGCACTCTTCCTCCTCTTGTTCATCTGGAGGTTGCGCAGAATCGGGATGGGAATGATGGCCAGCATGATATCGGTGAAGATGTGAAAGGCAGCGTTGAAATAGTTGAAGTCGAGGATATCGATGCATCCCTCGGGGAAGGAGGGTGACCACATGATGGAGATGGGCGTGCAGATATCGATGGTGACCTATTGATTGATTAATGATTGATGAATGATTGACTGAATATGAAGAGGGGAAACTCTCATACAATTGTAACTGCGATACCATGGCAGAAGACAATGGCCCCAAAAACCCAGAGAAAGCGGATATGCATTGGATCCGAGGCGAGACGCATGTATAGAGCCACCATGCTTGTTTTGGCGAGTCTTAATTCATTTATTGTTAGTTACAAGGCAGATAGGAGAGATCTTCATCAGAGGACATGCTCACCCCAGGGCGAGATAGTATAGAATCTGCGATACCCACGCCCACTAATCTATTAGAACAGGTTGAAAAGGTAAGATCATAGAATCATATCATACCTTCCTGCCGTACAGCAGCTGGTGCTCCGTCAACTCGGTCATGTGCCGGCCAATCCCGAGGTTAAACATGTACGGCACGGTGACGATGATGCCGATGGAGCAGAGCTAGGAGTGATTAGAGGCTTCCATGATCTGTATCCGTTTATAGCTTGCCTTACCGAAGCCACGATGATGAGATAGTCGTCGACTCCCAACTTGCGGACGAGGAACTGCCGGACATAAAGCCTGGTATGTCAGTATAAGGGAAGATGGGGTGGAGGATTGGAAGTCAATGGTGAAAATACCTCAGACAGACGACCACCATGGCCACCGAGAAAATGACATAGCAGCCTATCTGGAGGCTCTGGTGGGAGCCTGGTGCGATGGAAATCATGGTCAAACCCTGGCGTGACTCTGAACAGAGTTTGTGATGGAAAACCGTCAACAGTAGCACCGCAGAGAGAAGCAGCAGACTAGTCGACCGAGGACTGACTGGAGGATCGTTATATACTCTCCTCCCCCATCTGCTCAAGAGAAAATCTCGACCAGATCGACATACAACATAACGGCTATTATCCTTGAATACCGAGAATGGAGTCAGCTACCAGCCGACTAGTAAAATATCGGCATGGTCAATAACTAGGTAATTTTCTCCAGGTACTTCTGCGGTTCGACACTGTTAGAAGAGAAGGGAACCGCCTCGCCGGTAATGGAGTCGTTACGTACGCAGAGCTGGCCACAGGCCCGCCCTGCCATTGTTTTAAAGGATGAAGGAACACGCAGTACAGGATTGGCAAAGGAAGATCATCCAGCCAGTACTCCGTATGTAGAGTAGGTACTCTCCGACGCACCAATAGGAGGGTCGCTCGGGGGGGGGCATGAACCGTCAAATCCCGGCTGTTGACAAGGCTAATCTCCTTCAGCCTTAGTGGATGGAGTCACTAGTCTGTTTAGGGTAATGATCAACAGGCTATCCTATTCATCGTCTGACACGCTAAACACGCTAAACACACGGGACGGGACGTTATTCCGTTTGTTTGGACAGGTGGAGGTTTATCAGTCATCCAGATCAAGGGACAATACAGGGATAAAATACAGGGATATGATAGTTTAGTGAGAAGATACTACATAAGTATAAGTATAGAGGACATGGAATGAGAAGATACTCTTCTTGTACTCCTCTCATCCTCTAGACAATCTTATGTAGGGCTACGGCAGCCCCATTTTTGTGCCAGCCATGTGGGTCCTGCGTAGAAGGAATAGGGATAGTACGGAGGAAGAGGAGGGAGAGTTCTACTAGTAGGGAGAGTCGAGTCTAGGCTGGTCATGATATAGGAGGGGTTTCTCCGAGGATAAAACCCCGCGTCTGTTAATTCTTACTCTTCTTTACTCTATTACTCTATTACTCTATTACTCTATTCGATTAACATACAATGGACCCCTCAAGTGTCGCCGCGCAGAATGCAGCGATCAGAGCCCAGCTGGCACATGTCACCGCGCTGGTCGAGGAATACTGTGCCATCAGCACGGAGCAGGCCCGGCTGAAAGAACTGAGCATCGAGCAGCACGGCCGGCAGAGCGGTTCCCATACCGCCGTGGTGCGTGAGGCCCATAAATTGCTCAACACCATCAAGGGGCCGCTCGACACGGTGTTTTGTCATTTTGAGAATGTAAGTGACTGCAGCCTGGTTCATTCTTGATTTCTGCTATTGTGTTGATGCAATTATCAGGGCGCTCATACTGGAGCCGTGCGCGCTCTCTTCGACATGGGCATGTTCCAAGCCCTCCCGGCCGAGGGCAGCAAAACTGCCGAGCAGTTGTCAAAGGAGCTCAATGCTGAGAAAGAGCTGATCAGTGAGTAATTGGTTTATTCCGGGGTTCGATTCAATCTCACCATCTAGTCCGTCTCATGCGCATGACCACCGTCTGGGGTCCGTTTAAAGAGGTGGGAGTGGAGGAATACGCGCACACGCCGGACTCATTGATCTATCTTGTTCCAGAGGTCAATGGGATTTTTACTTGCTTGTAAGTATACCTTGGCAAGTTGTACTACAGTACTGTAGTATATACAGTGTACTGTAGTATACTATAGTATACTGTAGTATATACAGTATACTAGATACAGATCTAACTATGCAGGGTGGACGAATACAAAGGCGCCGAACTGCGATTCAACGAATTCTTCAAGCTGAACGGCTGGGTCAATCCGATCCAGGAACGCAACAATCCGTATACCTTCCACCACCGCACCCAAGGCAAGAACATGTGGGAACACATGGTGCAGTTCCCTGACCGGTTCCGGGCCTTCAACTACGCGATGCAGGCGCAGTCCAGCGCCGCCTCGTGGGCAGTCGGCCTGTATCCCTTCCGCGAGACGCTCGCCCAGCTGGGCACCACGGACGAGACGCCGCTGGTCATCGATATTGGCGGTGGCAAGGGCCATACCCTGGCGCAGATCCAGGGGTTGGTCGGACCGGGCATCAAGGGTCGTTTCATCCTACAGGAACGGCCGCAGTGTCTTGCTGATATCACGGAGGAATTGCCGGGGATTGAGCGACAGGAATACGACTTTTTTACTCCGCAGAAGGAAAAGGGTAAGTTGAGGATATGTCAGGATAGGGTCAATGCTAAAGGTACTCAGGCGCCATGATTTATTACCTGCGCCGGATTTTCCACGACTGGCCGCACGACGTGTGCGTGCAGATCCTTCGCAACATCGCAGCCGGCATCACCGACAAGACCAAGCAGCGGGTGGTCATCGCGGACGATATCCTGCCCGAGCAGGGGGCCGACGCCGAGGGGGCCTGGATGGATCTGATTATGATGACGCTGACGGGCACGGAGCGCACGGAGAAGCAGTGGCGAGAACTGCTCGACGAGGCGGGCTGGAAGCTCACCCGCACGTTTGTCGGGCCTGGCACAAACTATGCTGCTGTCGAGGCTGTTCTGAAATAGTAAATAGTTATGGCAGATATAGCAAAGCGACTTAGATAATAGCGAAGCGTACTATTTTGTTCGGCGACCATCTGGTGGTGGTACGATGTACGCGTAGTGCAATCGCCGAATTCGCCGAATGGATCGCCGACCGGCTTGTATATATCCTTATAACTCCAATTCAATTCAATTCAATTCAATAATCCACCATGAGTGCTCTCCGTGCCTGTATGAGGCGTCTCGCCCGTCCTTCAAGGATGTCTCTACCAAGCATTCGCTCCTTGTCAACATCAACATCGCCACCAACATCAACATCGCCATTTACTCCCACAATCCACCCGATCTTCGAGTCATCAACAGGAACATGGCAGTACATCGTGGCGTGTCCATCGACACACCGCGCAGCAATCATCGACCCGGTACTGGACTACGACCGCGCCACGCAGACGGTATCCCCGACGACGGCGCTCGCGCTGCTCGAGCAGGTCTCGCGCGCCGGATACACCGTGGAGATGATCCTCGAGTCGCACGTCCACGCCGACCACCTCACGGCGGCGTTCTTCCTGCAGAACCGGCTGGCTCGGGCGCAGGGCGGGTTGCGCCCGCCGATCGGGATCGGGAAACGCGTCGAGCAGGTGCAGCGCCAGTTCGGCCGGCGATACAGCATCGGCGATGACGAGTACGTGGGCGTGTTTGACCGACTATTTGACGACAACGAGATATTTGCCATTGGCGATCTGCGGGGGGAAGTCATGCACCTCCCCGGCCATACGCCGGACCATTTAGGATATAAATTTGGAGGTATTTATTCACTTATAATATTGAAAGAATAATCTAATGATTAGATGATGTCTTCTGTGGCGATTCTCTGTTCCACCCCGACATCGGCACTGCCCGGTGCGACTTCCCCGGCGGCAGCTCCGAAGCCCTGTTCCGCTCCGGTCGGCGACTGCTCGCACTGCCCGGTCACGTGCGCATCTGGACGGGCCACGACTATCCGCCCGCGGACGGCGCGCGGCCCGCGGTGCCCTGGACGAGCGTCGCCGAACACCGCGCCCAGAACAAGCATCTCATGGACGGCATCTCGCAGCAGGACTTTGTCGCCCTGCGCAGCGCCCGTGATGCCTCCATGGCGGCGCCCAAGCTGCTGCATCCCTCGCTGCAGATCAACATCCGGGCGGGGCGGATGCCGAGCCCGACGGACAAGGGCGACCGACTCTTGCATCTGCCCATGAAGGGTGGTGACTTGGTGTAGTGTATAGTTAGCGTGTATTGTATAGTGATTAGCGATTTATATTAGGTTATCTAGCATTCTTTATCATACTATAATAGTATTTATGTATATATGTATAGTTGTATAGGTAGAGTTCAGTTATTAGATTAGGTTATCTAGCATTCTTTATACTATAATAGTATATATATATGTATATGTATAGGTAATGGTTAAGCCCACTTCCCTAACAAGGCCATGATGCCCGCCCCCAGCAGCAGCGAGACAATCATAAAGGTCAAGCGCTTCGAGTCCTGCGTCCGGTGCGGATCAAAGATAAAGTCGCGCGCCAGCAGTTCGACCAGCCCCGTGTAGACCAGAATCCCCGCCGAGATGGAGTCGAGCACGCCCGAGACGACGTTGGCCGTGAAGGAGTTGGGGTTGTAAGTCGTGCGCACCCCGAGCCCGATGGCGATGGAGATGGGCGTCGTCAGCCCGTACAGCGTGCACAGCAGCCAGGGCAGGATGCTGGTGCGCTTGAAGGGGATGGCCGACATCCGGGCGCCGATCCCCAGCCCTTCAAACGACTGGTGGAAGACCAGCACCGGGTACAGCGTCGCGAATTCCGATCCCGCGACGCCCAGGTTCAAGCCGATGATCACCGAGTGGAAGATGACGCCGAACTCGAGGATCAGAAACGCCGCAAACTGCTGCTGGAACGAGCGCTGCAGCGCCGCCTCGTCCTCGCTCTCGCCGCTCTCGACGGCCTCAATATCTTTCACGACGTCTTTTTTGGCGTCTGTGTTGACCGGCTGAGACTCATCGCCGGCGTCGCGGTGGGTGATGATCGGCTCGGGATCCTCGCGACACACGCCGTACTTGCGCTCGACGTATCGCTCGGCCGCAAAGTCCAGCAGGAAGATGGCCGTCACCGAGGCGAGGATGATGGCCGGCGGCCACGAATACTCGGCCCACGAGCCCGTCATGCCCACGCATGTGTTGGGGCCGATCTCGCCGTACGCCGGGTCCAGCAGGTGCACAAACGCCGTGGCGATGATGACGCCCGCGCCAAAGTACCGCGCAAACAGGTACACGTACAGCGGGATGCGCAGCCGGGGGGCCCGGCGCGCCATGACGGGGAAGAAGGTCGCCGCCGACGAGACCAGCCCGATCACGAAGATGGACGAGATGCGCGCCCCGAGATGGCCGTTGTAGTCGTTGCCGTCGCGGTTCAGGTAGCAGACCACCTCGGCGGCGCTGGCCGTGTCCAGATTGACGTTGGTGGGATCGAACATTTCAACGACTTTCTTCAATAGAAAAGAATAGAGACAGAGATAGTAAAGAAGAAATACAAGGAAAGATCGGCAGGCTTTATAGTGGAGGCCCTCAAGGTGCTGGGGACCCGGGGAGCAGCCCCAAGGTACTCACTAGAATTGTGATATTTCTTAGTCATTGACTTGATCTATTGTCTGATCAATGTATAATTGCAGTAGTCTAGATTTCAAACATGTAACATAAAAAATAAACATTAAACAGCAATATAATATAGATAGATACAATAAATATAATAAGAGGAATCCGGAACTGACTTCCGCTGACATCATGGGTCATCACTACTACATGGTGATATCAATGTCAATGTTCAATACAACATGAAGAATGTATTGACTTTTGATATTCATTGAATAATGACTAAAGACTACGAGCCCCAGCATGACCGCTTCAACCTGCCTGGCTACGGCCTCCCCCTCGACTATTCCCCCGTCGAGATGAACATTTACGGCGTGCGCCTGCGCAGTTTGTTTCCCAACTGTCTGGATGACCGAGACTTGGAGAAGGGATACGCTGAGTATATATCATCCTTCACTGGACTGTCTGTGGTCTCTTCTAATAGCCCAGTCAACCCCTGTTGACCCTCCGGGAAATCGACATGATGAAAGTCATGGAAGAGATCACCGATGAGCCGGACTGGTTGACCGGCGTCGACGACGAGGACACCCTGCAGCGCTGGACACGCGATGCCCTCGCCCGCCCAGACGTCGACATCTCGCCCGCCATGGCCCGCTGGATCGTCGACGAGCTGCGCTTCAAGGCCAGGCTGTACCCGATCACCAACGCCGTGAGCCTGTACAACGGCTGTGTCGTCAAGACCGACACCGCCGTCCCGGATGCCCTGCGCGTCCAGCTCAGCGCCCAGTTCTACCTGCTGGGCCAGACCCCCGTGGGTCACGGCGAGCTGGTCCCCAGCACGGGCGAGATCGAGCGCGACATCATCGCCTTGACCTACTACCCGCTCGTGTATGGGCAGAGCCGCGCCCTCAAGAACACCGTCATCGGCCTGGACGATGCGATCGACGCCATCGGGCAGGGCGAGGTCATTCCCCGGCCCGCGGAGACGGGCATCGTCAAGGAGAACATGACCTGGCGCGTCGCCTCGGACGCCGGCATCACCGTCAAGCCGTACAGCACCATGTTCCAGATGCTGCCGACGGATGTGGTCAAGGATGTCGATGGGGAGAGCGGGTGCGATGGAGATGGCGAGGACAGTGGCCGCAGACCTGGCGGCCGCTGGCGTATTGCCAGCTACATCAACAACCTGCATCCGATTCGTCATCGCGAATGCTACACCCTCATTGAAGAGCTGCTCAACCTCGCCATCCCCATGTTCAACACCGCCATGACCCCCCTGAAGGACATGCTGCACTCGCGCGCTCGCATCGAGTATCACGTCGCCGAGTACTACCCGCTGGCTCCCGAGGTCGCCGCCCAACGGCCTCAGATCCTCCCCGGCGAGAGCGATTATGAGTTCGAGCAGCGTCTGCAGGACTGGCGCGCAGCAACCCATGTCGCCGTGCAGCCCGACGTCGACTCGTTCCGGCCCTGGGCCGTGCCTGTCTCAATGCTCGGCCATCTGCCGCACGACATGCCCGACCCGGTCCGCATCCAGATCGACGTCGATCTGGACCGCGAATACGCCGCCCGGGGACTGCAGATCATCGTGCGCATGCTGGAGGTCAACGTCAAGCCCGAGAACCCGGTGTGGGAGATCGACTGGCACGCCGAGGGCCAGATGAACGAACACATCTGCGCCACGGCCTTCTACATCGTCGACCACGACAACCTGCATGACTCGTATCTCGCCTTCCGCCAGCGGTCGGATATCTCGACGCTCCGCGAGGTGACGCGCGATCCCAACGATACCGTCTGGTTGAAGCAGGTGTTCGGTCTCGAACACGGCCACCCCGCCGTCCAGCGCTCTGGCGCCGTCAAGGTCGTCCCGGGCAGGCTGATCGTGTTCCCCAACACCATGCAACACGACACTCGACCCTTCCGCCTGGTGGACCCCTCCAGGGAGGGCCACTCGCGTGTGATGATGATCTTCCTCGTCGATCCGAATATCCGCATCATCTCTACCGCCAACGTGCCGCCGCAGCGCATGGACTGGACCAAGGAGGCCGAGGTGCTGGCCCGCGCAGATGCCTCCCTCGACCAGTTCCCGCTCGCCACCCAGGACCGCATCATGAATCGCCACGATGGGTTCCCCTTCACCAAGCAGGATGCCGAGGAGTATCGCGCCAGGATGTGGAAGGAGCGCCGGGACTTTTCCCTCTACCATCACGTCGCTTTTTCTTCCAGTGTGGTGGATTTGTAATTGCTTTTTATTAATCTGTTCCATGTTAAAGTAATCAAAATATCTAAATGCACGTCAAAGTTACATTGGGGCCCACAGACATCCCTCCATTCTCCAGCAGGGCAAACGTATACTCACCGCGCTCCACCGTCCATCGATCCCATCGGTCCACGATCGCCAGGTACCGAGACACCTCGACCTCAAGGGTCGCCGTGTATGACACCCCGGCGTCGAGGTACACTCGCGAGAAGGCTACCAGTTGTCTCACCGGCCGTGTGATGGATGAGACCCGACCAAGCAGATATATCTGTGCCACGTAGCTGCCCGCCACCTCGCCGGTGTTCGTGATGTCCACCCTGAACGTCACTGTCGACTCCGGTGTGAACTGCGATTGCGTCGCGCGGAACTTGCCCGTCTCGAACGTTGTATACGAGAGTCCGTAGCCAAACGGGTACTCCGATTGTCAGAAAGTAATACCGCGATGAAAGAAAAAGGGCAGATCATCTTACCACCGGCTGGAAAGAAAGATCCGTATAGTCCCTCTCCGCAGTCTGCTTATAACTTGGCCCTGTTAGACATGGTTCTCCCTGAAAACATCCATCTCAGACCTACTTGTAAAACACTGGTAAAGTGCCCACACTGGATGGAACGCTCAACGGCACTCGTCCACCAGGGTTGATGACCCCAAACAGGGCATCCGAGATAGCCTGACCGCCAGATTGGCCGGGGAAAAACTATTTGTTAGAGGAATACACCATCTTATTGAATCTACGATACCTACTGTGTTCAACACAGCTGCTGCTTTGCTGTAATATTCTGGGATCGCAAAGGGACGACCACCCTGCAAAACCATCACCACTGGTTTATCGAGAGCGAAAATTGCATCTGCGAGTGCAGCTGTTGGAGTTAGAGAGACCTTCCTTTTGATTTAGATGGCTTACCTTGATCTGGAGACAGGCCTAGATTGGCACGATCACCTCCCTCGCCATCACTGTTCCAGGCGGCCCCTACAGCCAAGACGACAACATCTGAAGACCGAGCGAGCTCAACAGCCTGTTTCGAGTCAACCATGGGATCTTTGTCTTTTCTCGGGGGTTTTCTGTACTTGCCTGTTTCATTGGGTTGTGACGATCGACGAGATTCCAGAAAAGCAGAACCTGCGAGTTGAGCGAGCCCATGTTCTCCACCAGGCCTGTGTATTTCCAGGCCTGATACTCTAATCGGAGGGTATGTTGGGCCCCCCGACGGAATGTGAAGGGTCCAGACCCTGGGGGCGGGCTGGTTCCGTTCGTCTCGGAGTATGATCGGCCAGGGATGTTGGACAAGACATTGTCTGCCCGGACCTCCACGAGCAGCACGCCGTCGACATACAGCCGGGCGCAGTTGTTGCGGTTGACGGCGACCCCCAGCCAGCCTTCGACCTCGGTGTCGACGGGGACAGACAATGTGCCCTCCCACACGACACTGAAGTTATTGGATGGCAGATCTCGCGGCGGGTAGATGCCCCAGTTCCGGCTCGGCGTCTCCAGGGTCTCAAAGCGGGCGTCTTGAAAGTGCGAGTCCGCGTAGTAGGTGGCCCAAAGCCCGCCCGACTGGCCTTGAGCCGTCAACAGGTAGGGAGGGATGGTGTACTGGGCGTTGTACATCCATGAGTTGGCCCCCCAGCTGGTGATCAGCTCTGTGGCAGGAGAGTGTTTCTCTAGATGGTCCATAATTCCCTGGCGGAGCGTGCTGGCATGGAGTGTCTGGGCGCTGCCCCATTGATCCGAGTAGTCCCCGTGGTTGAACGTGTCACTGAAGGGGCCCACGAGAGCAATCCGCTGTAGTCCCTGCCGGCCAGGATCTAGGGGGAGCAATTTGTTGCGGTTTTCAAGCAGGACAATTGTCTTGTGGGCAGCCTCCAGGGTGAGTGGCTGGTGGGCAGTGGTGATGGACTCCGGATGAACCTCCGCCGTGATATACCGGTTGTGAAACAAGCCCAGATCATATTTGACGCCAAGGATGCGTCGAACGTGCGAGCGAAGGGTTTCAATGGAGACCGTACTGTTGGCGACGAGGTCGACAAAGGTTTCGACATACTGGTCCAAAGGGAAGTCATAGAACTGCACCATGCCCCCGGCATTCTGCCACTGGGCGATCGTATCAGCAACAGAACTAGTGACACGGTGCCGATTGAAGAGCTGCAGAAGGCCTGATAATTTAGCTTTGAAATAATAGATCGACGGTTGATTGAAATCAAGTCCTACCAGCATCGTCGGCCGTAATATATCCTATTGGCCATGTTAGAGGATGATCGGAAATGTAAGTACATGCCATGCGAAGCGGACTCACCGTCAAATCCCCATTCATCCAAAGCCTTGTATAGCAAAGGATTGACAGAGCATGGCACCTCGTCGAGGTCATTGTAGGCCCTGCGGCCGTCAATAGAAGACACGAGCCAGTTCGAAGGAACTGCCTACATCATCACCCCCTTGACGCCTCCAAGATCAATCGCTGCCTTGAATGGCACCAGCATTTCATGAAGCACTGATCGATGACCATATCCGAAGAACGGGGCACCGTTATGGCCTCCCTGAGGGCTCCCGTGGGCCGCAAAGTGCTTGGTACATTAGCATAAACCCGTTGATATCAAGAGAGACGTGAAGAGAGTAAGAATAAAAGAAGAAATACCTTCATTACAGGAACAACGGCATCTGGATCCGACCATGAGCTGTTCTTAGACAAACCCGATGCATAAGCGACCCCCATATGGGAAGTCAAGACTACGTCTTCCCCCCAAGCCTCCTGCACACGTCCCCAGCGAGGATCTTTGCCCAGGTCCAGGACTGGCGAGAAGCAAGCACGCACGCCAATGGAGCTGGCCTCGACACCGATAGCTCGCCCAACGCGATGGACGAGTCCCGTGTCGAAGGAGGCGGCCAGCCCGATGGCCTGAGGAAACATGGATAAGGTAAAAGAGCCAACGCCATGTAGACACTCGCCTGTTTGAAGGATCGGGATGTTGACTCGGGCCTTGAGCGCGTTCAGACGTTGGAGTTCATTGTATTGCGATGTGTTGGTCGGGTACCAATCATGGATCATTCCAATGGCGGCCGAGGGTGCAGGTTGCATCATACGGTCTGGATAAAGTTCCCAAGAATTCATCAAATCAGCATCGAGCCACAGATAGGCCAACAGTATGCAATATTGATATCGTATCAGTACCAGGACGCGATCTTACCGTAGCTTCCATGGTCCCCGTTGGGTCCGATAATGTTATCGGCAAACATGAGGTGCATCTGCAGGACTTGACGCCATTAGCAGCCAGGTAATACTACATCAACCCCAGTCTATGGAAGAGAAACCGATAAGGATAACATACCGAGCTCTGGCACAGTCAACTCCATGACCAGCTCATCTAGGAACGTGTCGCGCCCATCGTTCAGGGGATTCTTCAACGGCCGTTGCCGAAGACCGGCCTGGTTGAAGAGCTGCGTGTATCCCACATGGGCGAGAGCTATCGATGACACGCAGAACAAGGCTTTCTTCATCTTGTTCAAGAATTTAGCTGCTTTCCATGCGCCCAGAGACTTGGCTGTGCTGTATGGCCTGGATCCTTGTAGCCACCCGCGCCTTTCGTAGAGACTTATAGTAGCTCCCACTCGACTGCAACAGTAACTGACTCGCCGATGCAACACTAGAAAGTGGCACTTGATCGGCAGTGAGCGTGAATAACCGGCCAGCCAGGAGAATGCGGGGGTTTGATAGCGGCGTTACAGTAGCAACTTGCAGGATGCTGGTTGTCGACACTAAGCGATCCTGGTGTGCGGAGAATCCCAGTATAAGTTGGCCAATGGGCCCACCAGCCAACAGAAGGGGAAAGGAAAAGGATAAAAGAAAGAAAAAGGGAAGAAACGATGACAAGAGAAGTTTGAAAGCGAGGGGAGCACAGTCCATACTCACATCTAGTCTTCTACGTCGTCAGGTCACCGAGTATCGCTGTCGTCGTCAACAACCAAATACTGATTCCATTATAATCAACCACGGCCATGGGGTCCGAGATTGCCATGAAAGATCTGACCAGGTCAGAGGAGCAGGAGCAAATGCAAGAGGTTGTGATGGAGAAGCGACAAGCTGTCGATGTGTTGGACCGGGCGGCCCTGTATCAGCAGGCGCTCAAAGAAGACAACGTCTCACCATGGTCCAAGGGGATGTTGATCATGTATCTGATGTTGTTTGTTGCTATGATGAGTGCGTTCAAGGATATAATTTTAAAAAAGAAAGGGGGGAATCGCATACTGAGCTGTCCACTGACTTGGGTGTTGCGCGTGCAGATGACACGGCCGAGGGCTTCGACTCATCGTTGATGAGCTCCATCAACGCAATGACACCGTACCACACCTTCTTCCATGTCGGCCGGCAGACAGGGAGCACCGGGATTGTGTTTGCCATCTATTCGCTCGGCATCGCCTTGGGTGCCCCCAGCTCCGGCGCGATCATCGACCGCTGGGGCCGTCGCATTGGGATGTTCATCGGCGCCATCATCATCATTATCGGCACCATTCTCGAGAGCGCAGGACCTGACATTGGCTCCTTCATGGTCGGTCGATTCGTCATCGGCTGGGGGTTGTCGATCTCCAACATCTCGGCCATCACTTATCTGGTCGAGATCATCTACCCGCCGTGGCGTGGAATTTTTGGAGGTCTCTACAACGTTTTGGGCTACTACATTGGATCTATCAGTAAATCAACCAAGATGAAGAGAGAACGGTGCGAGCATTGCGGTGAAGCAGAATACTGACTATTCTCTCATTCTAGTTGCCTCGTGGGTCGTGTATGGCACAGCATACATCGACAACAACTGGAGCTGGAGGCTACCAACCGTTCTGCAGCTTGTACCGTCGCTGTTTGTCCTAGCCGGCGCGCTATTCATTCCAGAGAGCCCACGATGGCTCATGGAACGGGACCGCACCGAGGAAGGGATTCAGATCTTGATCAACCATCACGGCGGCGGCAATCCGAATTCGGCAGTCGTGCGGCTCGAGGTAGACGAGATCCAGCAGTCGATCATCAGCGAAGCATCGCTCAAGGACTCGAGATGGTGGGATCTGCGCCCACTGTTCAGCACTCGCGGTGGTCGCTTCCGCGTCTGGATCATCTTCGTCTTCGGCTTCTTCAACCAGTTCACCGGCGGCGGCGTCATCTCGTACTACCAGACCACCATCTACTATGACGTGGGTATCACCAGTACCCACACGGAGCTGCTCATCAGCGCCATCTCCGGGCCACTGACCATGTGTGCCGGATTCGTCGGCAGTATGCTTATGGAGAAGATGGGCCGCCGCAAGATCATGCTGTGGGCCGTCTTCTTCCAGATGTTCTGGTACCTGCCCACCAACGTAATGGCGTACTATGCCGCCGGCGACCATCTGCACAAGCCATGGATGGGCTATCTGTTTGTAGTTTTTGTTCAGTTGTATTCGTGGGCCTCGTCATTTGGCTGTAAGTTTCTCGTATCCTCTCACCCTGAGAACCGAATGCCAATGGTACTAACCACTGTGATAAAGGGACCACCCTGCAGCAGGTGTATCCTGCCGAGATCCTAGGTAACGATATGCGAGCCAAGGGCATGTCACTGCACATGTTCCTCAACTACGCTGGCTCCTTTGTCGCGACTTATACCACCCCGATCGCTCTGGAAAACCTCGGCTGGAAGGCATACACCGTTTACCGTATGTCGACCGTTTTCCCTTCTCCCTCGTCTCTCTCCTAACCAAACTAACTAACCGGGCTACTCCTTCAGTCTGCATCATGTTCGTCGAGTTCTGGCTCCTGTACTTCTGCATGGTGGAAACCAAGGGCAAGACCCTCGAGGAAATCGAGGAGATCTTCAACGATCCCAACCCTGTCAAGAAGTCCCTGGAGACACGACCGGTGATCACAGAGGACGAGGTGGTGGGTGTGTGACACCGTGGGGAGTCGCAACCAAGGAAGCGACAAAGCGACATAGTAGCGAGTACCTAGTAGCTATCAGTCTGCAATTCATTAGTTCTCTTTCCTGAAACTCTCCAGACTCACCTAGTTGACGAGTTGATCCTCGGGTTGACTGGTTTGCGTGATAGACGGCAAGAGTGTTGGGGAGAAAGAAGAGAGACAGCCAGAGTGTTGGGGAGGAGAAGAAGTGAAGCCATCACGTGGAAGATTCACGTGAGGTTCGGCTGAAAAGGGTAATACCTCGCGACATCGACCATTATTACCGACTACGGACATCATTGCCTGAGGCCGCCATCTGTCTGCGCCTCTGTTGCCTTGAGAGAGTCGATTAGGGCAACTCTATGTTTCTATAGCAAAATATTGGGGTTTCAATCAAGATATAGAGCTATATATATACGAAGAACCACCGACATTCAAGGAACTGGGCAATTAATCTACCCTTATGCTGGAGAGTCACTTCTAAGGACCGGTTGTATAAATTTGCGTACTAGAGCAGATGAATGGACGAAGAATAGGACTACTTGTTCAACATAAAGCAGCCGAGACTTGTTTCTATAATTCTTGGCTATATCACTTAGACGAATTGACAACATTTATTGATAAGAATACCCGAGATTGACGTTTAGAGGTGAAACTATATGTCCCGACTGGTATCGCAGAACCGACTCCAGGTGCGGATCTTGCGTCCATAGATGCGAAAGAGTATAGGCGAGGGCAAGAGCACTGCTGACACGCCGGCGAGGACGGTCGCCGTCCATTCGAGACCTAGCGAGTTGTACATGGGCCGCGCCCACAGGGGGAAGCTGGCGGACACGAGACTGCGCACGACAACGTGGATAGAGATGGCCGAGTTGGCGCGCGGGATGTAGACGTCGACGATGTACACAATGCCGCAGATGAAGATCAGCTGCAGAGCTAGCCCGACGAAGAAGCAGGCAATCACCTGCGCCGCCCAGTGCGTCTCCGTCGACCAGCCAAACCAGAGCAGCGCCGGCGGCAGGATGCACGCCGCCCCGATCATGGGGGGAAGCCGGTCTTCAGGCGGGACGGTGCCCTTACTCTGCACCCGGCGGGTGTACCAGGTCATCGTGAACAGGGAGAAGACCCCCCAGGCGGCCACAATGCCCAGCAGCACACTGAGGAAGGGCAGGTACGCGATCGTACCGGACCAGCCGCGTCGCTTAAAGGCAACCGGCATAATCTGGTACGAGAGGTAGAGCGTGCCGTATACCAGAGTGAGGTAGAAGGTCATGATCACGAGAATGGGCTCCTGCGCGAACATGCGCACGGGTATGGAAAGGTATTTCTGCACCAGCACGCGTAGGTCCAGCTGTTGCTCCTCGTATCGGCAGTAAAACGCCTTGTCTTGCGTCTGCTGTCGTAGGCGTTGAGCACGCAGTACTAGGATACGCGAGCGTGAGGTCTCGCGGATGGAGAATAGGGCAAGAAAGCCAATGACGCCGCAACCGATCAACGTGGTCCACGCCGTCCAGCGCCAGCCGTAGCGCTCGATAATCCATACTCCCGCGATGGGTCCAACGACGCTTCCGAGGTTCATCATCGACGCCGAGAAACCGATGGCCACCGCCCGGCTGATGGGTCCGTACAGCTCAGCCAGCATACCCGAGCCGACGGCCAACACCCCGCTGCCCACGACGCCGGCGCAGAAGCGACAAACCAAGAGAGTCTGCACATTGCCAGCTACCGCGCAGGGGATCTGAAAGAGCGCACAGCCCACCAGCCCAACCGCGAGAGGGATCGCATGGCCGACGAGCTCGGAAAGGGGCGCAAACAAGAGCGGACCGACGGCGAACCCGGCCACAAATAGGGCGATGCCCAAGGTCATCACCTCACTGCCGACGTGGAATTCCGTGGCCGTGATCTGCTCCGCGGGACCAAAGACGCTCGACGAGAAGGACACGGCGAAGATCATCGAACAGCCGACAACGGTGAAGGCCATTTTGACCGGCAGGGTCCAATTGCGTGGATCCCCCGGATCATGGTCGCCCTCCCAGTCGACTAGATATGAGTCCCCATGGCTCGTTTGGGTGACAGGTAAGCCCTTTTCATTGTCGGCGACGACACCCGCAGATGCAGTGACAACAGCGCTCATGATGGTGGCTGTATTTGGGGACACAGCATCTTTCGGTGCTTTTCTTTTGTTCAACTTCTCTTTGGATTTCGCTTGGTTGAAAAGAATTAATTAACTCCAGGGCCCTCGGCCTTTCAGACATCTCGGAGAGTAGTCCGACAGATGGACAGTTGTCTTGCCGATGACTCCCCACTCACTCGCCAATAGGCATGAATAATGATAAGAGGACATGGTTTGCCAGGCAGTAGGTACCCAACCATCAATTAATGGGACTCGCGGTGATAGCCGAGATGGATTCGTTTCAGTTATTGTTGAGAGGAGTCTGGTTTTTACTCCGTTCCCATGTTCAAAATGTACTGAGTAAAGAGAGGATGCCCTCAATATGTATATAGTTCCAAAATACAACAATTCTACTCTATTATAATTACTACTGATCCGCAGTGGATGTGGCAGGCCCGTGCTCCGAGACCTGTCCCTTGTCCAGGACGACGTAGTAAGTGGCGTCCTTGACAGCCTCGAGCCGGTGAGCGATGGTGATCACCGTGGACTGCTGCAGCTCCTCGCGGACGATCTGCTGGATCTCAAGCGAGGTTTCATGATCGATGGATGCGGTAGCCTCGTCCAGAATCACGATCGCGCTGCGTCGCAGCACCGCCCGTGTCAGTCCAATCAGTTGACGTTGACCCTGACTCAGGTTGCGCCCTCCAGCCTCCACAGGCGTATCAAGCGTCCATCCGTGACGGTGGCAGACTCGATGAAGGACTGCTTGACACTCTTCATCAGAATACTCAGCCGTTGGGTCGAGATTGTGTCGGATGCTGCCCGGGAAAAGGACGGGCTCCTGAGCGACAAAAGTAACGCGGGTACGGAGGACCTGCGTGCGGACTTCAGAGATATCAAGCCCGTCGATAAGGATACGGCCGCCCGAGGGCCGAAGGACGCTGAGAAGGGAGACGGCCAAGGTGGACTTCCCGCTCCCCGTGCGACCCATGACAGCTGTCGTCGAGCCGCCTGGAATACGGAGAGAGACGTTGCGCAGGGAAGGGTCCAGGTGAGGTGCGTACCGCATCGTCACATCCTCAAAGACGATATCGCTGCCGAATCTCGGCCAGGCCGCCGGGGGGTCGATAGTGCCGGAGGGCTCCTGATCAATGTGCAGGAGCTCATCCACGCGCTCCACGGAAACGAAGTCCATCTGCAGCTGACCGTACTGCTTGCAAATGGAATGGGTGGCGGTGACAAAATTATTGCCTGCAATCAACACAAAGGCCACCAAGCCAGGTGACAGGTCCGTGTACAGGGCCAGAACGGTAAGGCAAAAGATGGAAAGCGCCGACAGGGTCTCGGACCGGTAAGAGAGCCAGCTCTGTAGCGACCAGTAAAAATGATCCATACCCTGGAAACGATCGACGACAGCGATGACGCGGTCCTGGAACCGCTCCTGGGCGCGGAAGGCGCGAACGGTACCGAGGCCGTGCAATAATTCGCCAAAGTTCGACAGGAGCGGGCTCAAAGAGACCATCTCCAGTCTTCGCAGGCTCTGAGAGGTGGGAAGGAAGAGTCGGAAGACGTAGATAAAGGCACCGCTAAACAGCAGCGTGCAGAGAAGAAAGGAGGGTGTCACCGAGGCGATGACAACGATGGCCGAGATCCAGGTGATGAGCTGGAAAGCCAGACGCTGAAACTGCTCGCTAATGTTACCGTCCACGACGCTGATATCCGAAGTCAGTCGGTTCATCAGTCGTCCGACGGGCGTTACGTCGAAGAAACGGAAGCTGGCTTGGCTGACGTGCAGCATGACCTGGCGGAAGAGGGTGCGCCCCGCACAGTAGACAATGACCAACATGAAGAGCGATGCAACGAGCAGCATGACGGATTGAAAGGTGGTGATAGCCAGGAAGATCCACAACCACGGGCGAACGTTCTCGTCCGGTGAGGGCAGCTGGCGGAAGGGGTTGGGAATACTGGTCCAGGGTGCATCCATCATGGTGAAGACAGAGATGGTCCAGGAGGGGCCGGATCCTAGTTGCTGTTGTTGTTGCTGCTGCTGACGGCTAAAAGGAGAGGCATCGAGTAAGGCTGCAAGGGAAACAACAGGACCGTATGCCTCACCCCATTCCTTCAGAAACCAGGATTGCGCGACAGCGGCAGTGCGATAGATGGCAAGAACGATGACAAGAATTATCCACCATTTATACTGACCGGCCCGGATATAAGTCCAGTAGACACGAGCCTTGACGCCGAATTCCGCGCGGTGTTCCTCCTCGATAAACTTGTCGGGCACGGCGGTGGCTTCGTCAACCAGTGCCGCGTCTGCCTGGTCTTCCTGAGCGAGGTCGCTATCATCACTGCTGTTATCATCATCATCATCATCATCATCCTCCTCAAGGGTGGTTTGAGCGGCTCTTTCAAGCACGCGAACATGGCCATTTTCGATTTCGATCATCTGATCAGCCAGGGATCGCACCAACGCGACGCGATGGGTGACGAGTACGACGGTACGTCCGCGCATCAACGGACCGGTGAAGCACTTGCGAATCAGCGATTCGGCCGTGTTGTGGTCGAGGGCGGAAATTGGGTCATCAAGATAGAGGACACGAGCCATACTGTACATGGCTCTTGCTAGAGCGACGCGTGCTTTCTGCCCACCAGAAAGGCCGATGCCGTTCTCCCCCACAAAGGAGAGGTCACCATGGGTGAAGGTTGACAGATCGGGAAGCAAAGCACAGGCGTCAAGGACTTGTTTGTAGCGGGCTTCATCATAGGGAGCGGAGAAGAGGATGTTATCGCGGATGCTCATACTCTGTAACCAGGGAATCTGTGCACAGTATCCGACCATCTCATTAGGAACGTGAGCGACTCCATTCAACCGGTCAAGCTCGCCGAGCAAGGCTTGCAGGAAAGCGGTCTTGCCCGCACCCACTTTCCCAAAGACGACGGTCAAGCCCGGGGAAATCTTGAGGCTAACATCGGTCAAGATAGGCGAGGTACGTCCGGGCCAGGCCCAGGAGCAAGATTCCAGCTCCAATTGTGGCGGCGCGGCGGTGGGAGGAGCACCGTCAAGTTTTTCCTTGTCCGGCTCGCCCATGAAGTCTTCGATACGACCCATGGCGACGGAGGCATTGATCAAGACCAAAATCAAATCTGGAATCTCGCGGAGACGGGTTTCGAGCATGGTAAAGAGCTGCAGGGCAGGAAAGATAAGGTCGATCCGCAGCGGATGGCCGGCGAGCACCGTGTAGGCGTAAAGGGCGATGACGGGGAACAGGCCGCTGGCGAAGGCGTTGACAAACCGCACCAGAATACCCCACATTGTAGTCACGATGCGAAGGTGCAATTCGTGCTGGCGCGCCGCCATGACCTGGCGCAGCCAGTGGTCTTGCCAACCATACCACCGCAGGTGACGGATGGCCTCGACGAACTGCGAAGAAATCTGCAGGCGGGCGTCGGTGGCGGTACGGAGGACACGTACCCAATGAGTCAAGATCCGAGTCAAAACGACGTTGAGCACCTGAGCAACCAGGATGGCAACGACGCCCAGGAGACATGAGGGACCGAACAGCTGCCAGACAAAAGCGGTGACAATGATCAGCCCAATAGGCTTGTCGATGAGGGCGTCTATCTCCCAGAATCGCTGTGCGACCTCGTAGACGTCAGCACGTAGCAGGTTGAATATCTTGCCCATCGAAGCGGCCTCATTCGGGGATGGTTTGGATTGTTTGGGTTGTTGTGATTTGCGTCCCCAGGGAATCCAGCTGCAGAAGCAATTTCTCTGTTTGGCAGGCGGGAAGTCGTCCAGCTCGTCCAGTTCGTCCGATAATGGAGGCGCATGGGTGACATCTTGAGCTTTGTCGTCGGTTGTCTCTGAACCGATAATGTTCTTGCGGGCGAGAGCTTTCTCGTAGACCATCATGATCAACTCGCCACGACTGCGCTCGTAGCAGCGCCGACCGTACCAGAGGTTGAAAACCTGTGTCTGGGCAATGACAAGGCGCAGAACGAGGGTCAACACGGCGTATGTCATAGCGACGCGCCTAGGGGAAAGCGGATCCTGCATTGCCAGGAGGAGCTGTTGCAGCAAGACGGGTGTCGAAAAGTCACACAGCATCTGGACGATGGCGACCACGGAGATGATCACAATGTCGATAGCGTTGGCCTGCAGTAGACGGACGAGAACCGACCCCTTGAGTTGTCGGAACTGACGGTGCAGGCGACTATGCTGAAAGTCGAATCCCAGCGTCCATACATCCTCTTCGTTGAGTTGTCGGGATTTCCCAGTCGAGATGAGTGGCGCCATCCACGAAACGGTTAGGAACTGCCAAAGTCTCAAATTATCCTCCGGACTTCGGAGCTCACTCGAGGGCTGTTTGCCCACGGGACTGATACCATCCGTAGGGAGCAGCGAAGACCGAAAAGGCATCAACGCGATTAGCAGACAGGCCACAGCGGCCGCCGCAATGGTGACATAGTGAGTGGTTATCAGCAACTTGGGGAACGCCCCCTGATTCACCACGCTCGCCAGCTCAACAACGAGTGCAGCAACGAAGAAAGTGAGCAATGATGACGGGCATGACCGTGGCTGTTGGACTGCAATGCATACCACTGCAACGATCTGCAAAAAAATGTTAGCTATATGAAGTACGGAGTATGAAATGCACCGTAATCTCTGTCGCTGGAAATGAAATGCTCACCCATGACGCAAAAAGCAAAATCGCTGCAGAATCACGGCCCACCCCCACCACCTGGGAAAGTTTCGCTGCCGCCCCGACATTAGAAACAATAAATAACAGCAGGACCCAGAGATGTCCGGACTGTCTCGCAGACTCTGGCGGGGGCAGCTCCGAGGCCCCTAGCGCATGATGACGATGCTGCTCCTCCGAAACGAACGGACGCGTCCATTGTGGACGCCAGGCGGCCACACACGGGGCCAGCAGCAGTCGCAACGCCAAAAAAGCAATTGTGAGGGCCGGGACGGCCGCAGCAAGGGGGATGGCGCAGGGGAACAGGCGTGCATTGGCCGAATCCTATCCGCTGGACGTCAGTTCTATGCAGCCGCGGCGATCGCTCTCCTCCCACTTACCCAGACTGCAGGACACGAGCTCATCCCGCCGTGACGCTCTATCGCGATGAACACGCCCTGCAATGACCGCGGGAGCAGAAGGAGCGAGGGGGACACGACGAGGGGCGAGAAACGTTGGGGAATTGAAGTTGAGGTTGTAGACAACAACGAAACGATTTGGGGAAGGAACGCCAACCTCCCCCGCACGTGAGGCTTACATAAGGCAGGTTGCACTCACGGGTCGCATCCAGTCACGGAGTCGCATTTCTACGTGTCACTGCTGCAATTCATCCTTTCTGTCTGTCTGTCTGCCTATCTATCTGCCGCTTCATTTATCCAGCTTCAGCTGTATTTATCCAGCGACCGTCAGCTTTATCTTATCGTGTTCCAGGTTTATCAACGAGTCAGTAGTATCTGTTATCTTCCCCCCTGCCAGTCCGTGCGGTCGGCATCCACAAGCTTCAAAGTGACAGGATCTTCTGAAATCCCTCAGAAGCCGAATTGTTGGCTGACAGTACAGAAAAATGGATAGACTCATGCCTCCACGCACCGCAATTTCAAGTCATAATTGCACGCTGGTTCTCCGTTCCTCCGTCCCCCAGAGTTCCCCTTGATGCTCCCGTCCGAAAGGCTCCGTTCAGTCCCGTTGGAGACGCTGATTCGAGCTCAATCGGCACTGGTGGAGAAGGACCGACAACTCAGACCTTTGACCGAAAGAATGCGCAATAAACTATCACCGAATGGTATCCACGACTCGGTGGGCCGTCCGTGGTTATCCTCGGGTCCATAATTTGAGCGGTGGTGATGATTTCTAAGATAGAGATCGAATAGGAGTCGTACACGCTGATCATTTCGGGCCACGACAGGGGAAGAAATTCCGTGCAGGAACATGATGCAATCGTACAGATCGACCGGATAGAGGGAGGGGTGGTGTTATAAAATGCCCGAGTTGTGTCGAGGGTGATTCTCTGGTGTATGGGACATTCCCACTTCAATTGTCAGTGAAAGACTTGGGTACCAGGCATTGTCTATCAACATGAGTTCTCCTCCAGCTCTGCTGCCCCATGTCTTTGAACACCGGGTACGCGCAAACCCAGCCGGCATCTGGGCCAAGTATCCCGTCGCAACAGACAACTATGAGGCCGGGTTCCGGTCTGTGACGAACCAACAGGTGCTGAATGCGATCAACCGCATGGCCGCCCTGTTTGACCGCCAGCTGGGAGCCTCGCAGCGCTTCCAGACGCTGGCGTACCTAGGTCCAAACGATCTGCGGTACTTTATCGTGGTCATGGCCGCCATCAAAGTCGGCTACAAGATCTTTCTTCCTAACCCGCAGAACAGCATGGCCGCCCATGTGTCCCTGCTGGCCAAGCTGCGCTGTCGGGTCCTGGTGACTGCGTATGAGGACCTGTCGTCCTTCCAGATTATCTTTGACCACTACCCATTGCACCGCGTCCGGATCCCGGCACTCGACGAGCTCATCGACGACGCGGAGACAGTCGACTATCCGTACAGGAAGACACCTGAAACCGCCCAGGATGATCCTATTCTAGTTCTCCATACACCAGCTTCCAGTGGTATGTTCTTTCACTGTAAGCTGCAGCTATACGCAGTATTAATTGATATAGGACCCCCCAAACCACTCGTCTATACGCACCGCTCCATTCTGCAGTCCGTAGCAGCTATTCCCTCCCCAGACGGAGCTCAATCAACCAGTCTCCTCCTGATGCTACCTTCATTCAACGTAAACCCACCCTTTCATCCAGTATTTCAGTAACAAAGACACAAGCTGACTATGCAGATCGCCGGACTGGCCATGTCCCTCATGATCGCCGCGTGGGACGCATGCGTAACCGTGTACCCGCTCCCCAGCGCAACCCCGACAACAACCAACTTTGTCGACGCCCTCGACGACGTCCAGCGAGACTGGGCCTCGCTGCCGCCCGTTGTGGCCACAGAACTAGGCGATGATCGTGAACTCTTGCACGCTATCGCGCACGAGCTCGAGCATTTGTACTATGTAGGCGGGTCGGTGCCCTTGTCGGCGGGTGATGCCGTCTCCTCGGCTATCCGGCTCTACCAGATTGAAAAGCCGGTCGACCAGACGGTTATCCCGCAGATTCGTCTGCAGATGGCGGACGAAGTGGTTATGTAGTGATGGAATAGTCTTTAGTGGGTGCTGGCATCCACTGACTTGATGATTTTACTTGAGTTTATTCTATGTCATTCTACAACACCTCAAATCAATTCTACATGGAACTATTACTATGGAATACAGACAATACCATTAGTAGGAATCCTTTACAGTCCAAACTCCGCCAGATCCATCGCCCACTCGTTAAGCATCGCCTCCCAGTTCGGCGAATGCAGAAACGCATCATTCTGCCCACTCAACCCATTGACAGCATCACTCGCCGCCGTATAGTCCACCGGCCGCTGCGCTCGAACAGCCTGACTGAAGCGATCTCGCGCCCGCCAGATCCCATCCACCATCGCGTTCGAACTCAGCCGCGCAGTGACTTGCTGTCCTGGCCGGGCCGGGCCGTCCTCGTCGGTATTTCTCTCCTTGTTAAGCAGGAAATCTATCACGGCACAGATACGCCCGAGATGATCGCGGGGCGTCTGCGATTGGGATTTGAGCAGCGCCCAGGTCTGTCCGATGAGACGGCGGGCAGCGTCGCGATCAAACATGTTTTCCATCTCGGTACCCTGCTGAGATACTAATTTCAGTAAAACGAATATACTATCCAGAATCTCCTTTTCCTGGAAGATAGACCAGTAAGGCACATGATCCTGCGATTCGCTCGCGAGCTGTAAGACGCTCATCGCAGCCGTGTATGCAGAAGATAAGAACAGAGCCCGAGAGCCGTCATCGCTGCTATCGACAAGAGCGAAACAATACACGCGCAGTCTCGTGGCGAGGAGGGATTGCCTCCACGCCCGCGACCAGTGCGCTCCCTCGCTGGCCTCCCAAGCACGCAAATCGGCGTCTAACATGCGCATCAGGGTCCCCGGACGGGACAACAGCCCGTTGCTACTCGCCAGATCATCTCCTAGCATGCTACACGCCCGGTGTGTCTCGTGGGCGATGCGCAGATAAAAGTGTAGCACGGGGGGTAGCCAGACGGGCGGGGATGCCAGCATCGTCCGCACGCAGTGGTTTGGTTGTAAGAGGGGAGGGAGGCCATGAAGGACTCCAACACTAGATTATTAACAGGGAAATTTTTCATTTCTTTGCAAAGTGAGTTGAAGAATACCTTTGAGAAACAATGAAACACCCCAGCCACACTGTGGTCCGTCGTCGGGTCTCCATCTCGTCTCCCTCGGGCTGGTAAATGAAATCACCCGCGTGCAAGGGCCGGTGTAACCCCCGACGCAGGGCGTATGTCACCGCCATCCCCGCGTAGGTCCAGGAATCGTCCTGGTCCCTCGCATCAAAGGGCGGAGGCCAGTAACAGAGCAAGAGTAAAGCTATGATAACTGGTAGGGACTGTTCTCGTGGTGATGGCATGAGTGCTGCGCGCTGGCGGACTGCCGCTGTTAGTGAGGCGTACAGCGGTCGACGACCGGGACATGTCCTGCTGGCAATCATCATGACGGTCCAGAAGAGAAGCGACGACGGTGGCTGGCTGATTAAAAGGTCTCTTCCATCTCCAAGAATGGGGAAATGGGGATGGTAATGATGAAAGAATCTATTATCGGGATTCAACACTTGTCATGGGAATGTAGTGGGTTCACTACATACTCTGCGACGAGGTCAGCCACAGTATCGCGATCGAGAATAATACCGTCCAAAGCAACAGAGTCTGGCCATGAGGAATCAATCGCCCATGGATTCTCGTTGATCTCTGGCGACGCTGACGGAGCTGACGGAGCTGACGGAGCTGACGGCGCTGTCTCTTCAACGGGCGTGGCATCCAGGCGCTCCTTCATCGAGCGAAACTCGCGCTCAACGGTGGATATATACCTGACAGGCATTAACACGTATCAATTCATTTATGATCAGCCAGAACACATACTCCCTGCGTGCTATTCGCTTGAAGCCCGGGTCGACCGAACAGGCCAGCTCTTTCCGGGCGCATCTCGAGCAAGCGGCAGGAAACCTCTGAGGGGCATCACATCGCAACTAATCAAGAACAGCTCAGGATTTATCAAGAATCACTAATCAACGGAATACTACCTTCATCTGCCGGCAATGGATGCAGGCGGCGATCTTTCTGCGTGGCATGGCGACGGTGTCGATGGACAAAACAAGAGTCGGTCAACTGGAGACTTTGGTTAGTCAACATCCCAAAAGGTCAGTTAGGGCTTAGGGTTTCCTTCTACCTTCCTCCATCCTCCTACGAAGACAACACAATCTAGACAGTTTTCTTTCTAAAATATCTCCGTTCTACTCTCGCCTACGTTCACCTACTCTAATTCTCCGACTATAGCAAAGTCACCTCGAATAACGATACCTCCAAAGCAGACAAAACATCCACCACTAGCGCATCTCCCTGGATCTTCCATTTGGCGTCTCCCCAGAACGATTGTCCGATGGAGTGAACTTGGACTGGCAGCCGGAGAACGACATCTGCCACGCTGTTATACTCCAGGTTGACCACGCTGATCAGCATTTCCTTCCCTCTCGTCCACGTTGCCGCATCAATCTTCCCAGCGTCCACCGGAAGATTCGTCAATGGCGATCCCAGGACATACTGAACCACATCATCTGCCGTCAACACTCTCGCCAGTTGATCTGTCACGGCTAAGATCTCGTCAGAGGTAGGAAAATCCCACATGACGATCCCCTTGGCACCGTGGTTGACACTCAAGAGATTCATGACCGCCTCCTCGGCCGCAGTGGGATACCGGGTCCAGAAAGTCTCGTTGCCAAACGCCTGCGGAGCTCCCCAGTGGGGTTTCTTCCACTGCAGGAAGTGATCGAACTCGTGGAAACTATCAAGTCGGTTGGAGATATCTGCAAACTCGCCCTGACAATCGTCGCATCCGCAACAGCCGTACGTCGCGTTGCACGGGGTGTCGTACACGGTCGACCAGCTCGTGTTGGTTGCAATGGGATACACATCCGACATGACGATATCAGCGCCAGCCGCGTAATCCGCATAATAGAAATTGGCGCAGTTCAAAACCAGCGAGACGGGATGGTACAGATCGAGACTCTTGATGGTCTCGTAGGAGAGTTTCGTCGAGTTGATCGGATCAGACTGTCCGTCTGGCTCGTCGGCTGAATACCAGCTCAGGATACTCGGATGATCTCGCAGCCGCTCCACCTGCTCGATCATCATGGTGGAGTTTGTATCTGTCCATCGCACGTCGTACTGAAGCCACAGCCCTAGTTCATCTGCTCGTTGGAGGTACCGGTCGAAGTCGTCCCAGGGGAACGGAGTATCCCCTAGCGTCCCAGTAGGCACGATATGGATCACATTGTATCCCATGGCTGCGAATTCGTTCAACGTCGACACATTACTATCCCAGTATAGACTCCACTGCACGTAATACGTGTAGGGGAAGAGAGTTGTCCACTCGGTACGATTGTCGCGGACGGAAGACAATCCCCCGTACAGTCTGTCGAGTCGAACAGCGCTTCCCTCTGGGGCAGGGAGACGAAGCAGCTCTGTAGAAGTGTTATAGATGTATCCGTCGATAGAAGCTGTCAGTGTGAGATTGTATGGCGTCATGCGTGGTGGGAAGGCGTCGAGGGAAATATCATATTCGTTATCTGTCGATCCGAGGGGAACTTCTCCTTGAAGGAACTCTCCAGACTCTCCAGAGACGGTGAATGATAGATTCTGCGATGTCCCATTTCCAACAGGCAACGCAGATCCAATTCGTTCCGACACCGACGCATCAATCAGGAGACTCCCTGTCTTGTCGCTGTCGAGATACAGACTCATCCGCGGTTGAACACGGAGGTCCAACAGGGGAGTAGTCGATACAGGCGGATATTCAAACCATCCGCCAGGATTGAATGAAGCGTTGCTATTATATAAGTATCTTATAAACCAACTATAACTGTAGAAAATATACCTGGACCGATATGCTTTGCCGCACCAGATATCCACACCAGGGGGGTTGTTAAAGGCAAGCACCGAAGTGAAGAAGAGAAACAGCCACATTGAGAATGATTTGATACAATTTGCAAATAATGTTTGGCTGAGCATAGTATAGTTTCAGTCCCTAATATATAGATAAGACGTTACATTGATCGGCCAGTTGGTCGTTTTGTTATTGCGTCCCTAGTATCCCTGCATTACGTATAAGGTTACATACAGCATGCAGAGTAGCATATCGTATGACGAGATAGAGGATATCGAAATGAACATTAAACAAGGTATACCATATGAATTGTTATTTGATTTTCAACAGAGTAATAGCTTATCGACATCTCTGGTTCCCCCAAGGTGCAACGTCACGATCGCCCTCCGCCTTGATCACTGACAAACACCTCCATCTTCTTCAAAGAGTTTTGGTCCCTTGGAGTCCATGATCGGCGCTACCGTATCTGTCGTTACATTGTTTATTTTTATCTCAGGAACGAATTGTCGATAGAAGCAGCAATTCTTCTGCTCCGGTGGCTTTCTGGAGAGACTCAGTGATCAGGGCATAGATTCTCCTATTCTAGAAGCATTAGATTCATACCACAGTAGCATGATATATAGATAAGAACCTATTAGAGGCTCATAATAGTTGCAATGCCACTACCATACTTTCTCCGAGACATTTGAACTCCTGTAGAATCCCCATCCCTATTACCAAGAACTTTCCGGCTCCCGTCTCGAAGCAAGTATCTCCAGTGAAGCATCGCCCATAACGATTATGATGCTGCACAATCGACTAGATAGCAAAGGAAATCTTAATTCTTTGTAGCGAGGTGTAGCCTGTTCCTAGAGTAATCATTCAATTAGCTATCTCCTGAAGACTGGGGCTCGTGGCAACGAAGATGTACCTCTAGAAGGTCCGTAGGAATTGAAGTATTGAGGTGTAAGAGGCATTCAGACTGGAAACATGGAGACTGAGAAGTAATAAGACATGAAGAGACTCCTCATCTCAATAGAAGGCTGCAATCACAGAGACTTGGTTGAAAGAGGGCGGTGAAGTCCAAGGCAGACATTGGAAGACAGCCTCGCTTACCCGTTTGGGAATCTGCCGCTCACCTGACCTTTTCTTTCCCACAAAACTTCGACTTCCTTTTTCCCTTCTGGAAAGATGGGCATTTATCCTCCACGTCTATCCTTTCCCCAGCCTTGCGTTTCATTGATCATAAGACATTCTCAAATAAAAAGTCCCGATATCAACGACAAGCCGAGATGTAGCCTGACAATCACCCCGTTGGCGTCATTTGTTTGCGGTGTCTGGTCTGCCACGTCGGCGACAGCAAGCGCCCCAATGTGATTTGCAAGAATGTGGCCTCGACCCGTGAAAGATCCTGGAAGTTGATAAGCAAGTCAAACGGAGTGGGGAGTTTTCAATGATACAAAATCCTACGCGACAACGAGACTTTCAGAAAGGGCAACTTCGCCGAAGACTAATGGACATTTTCACTGTTCTTGATGACTTTCGCCCCTGCGATGAGACTGACAGAACTGACCAGCTGGAGGCCTCTTTTCCCAGTCCGTTCAGCTTCCATGCTGAATCCTATGAAGGGTCACTCCGTCAACTTCTCCGCCTTGTTCCGTATCCAGATCAAGATGGGCCGTACGGCTGGGTCCGACTCATTGGCGGGCCATATCATAGATCTTTCAATTTAGAACCATATGATGAAATGGGCGCCTTCGACTATGAAAGGATGATCGAGTATGTTCAGCAACTTGCTAGAATTGCATCAGGTAATGGTAATGTTGATCGGTTTGACTGGCTGTTCCATCAAGAGTGGTATACTTTTCTCAAAGGCCAGGCAATCGTGTATTTATGGTCGCCACATACTTTTCCTTTCGATCAATATCCTCACCGGTACGAGGATGACATTAGCGATGAGGAAGATTCAAATGATGGGGATGCCAACATGCCTGGTGCATGGCCAGAGGATGAGGTTGAGATATTGATTCAAGTATGATACTGCACTAGAATAACATTATGATGGTCTAGTCTTCGCCAAAGCATAAGGATAGTAAGTGTGTATGGACTATAGTTATACTATCTCATTACTGACTCGGCAAGGGAAACTGGTCACAGCCAACATACAACTCTTCCATAGGCATCAAGCCCGAGACGGAACCATTACGGCCAAAGACAAGAGCATGTCCCTCAGGTTCATATGCCGGCCAACCCATCTGCGGGAGGGCGTTGACCGGATCCTTGAGGAAAGCAAGATAGAGATCTTGCCAACGACGCGATACCTGATGCTGGAGCTCTGTTGCCGAGCCACCGTACCACGGATACGTACCGAAGAGGAGCGGCAGCTCAGAGGCATGGTATGCTTTTTCCCATGGACGGGGGGACGTGTTGGGGAAATACGCCATGTTGTACCATCTAAAGGTGAGAGAAGAAGTATTATACCGGAGGCTTCATCGTCAGTATAGCGAATTGATACGAAGTGTGTTCCACTGACTCACCCATTGTAGTAGTTTGCAGGACATTGGTCTGTTTCAAGAGTGTGATAATGGATATACGACTGATTGTATCCCTCTGGACCGACCCAGGGTAACAACGAAGCCTCTTCGTTGGCATTCGTGCCGAGGATGGCGGGCTAATACATCAGTCTCATCCAATGCTTTTCATATTCTTGACGCTTACCAGTTTAGAATAATTCCCTGCCAAAGCACGCTCGGTGAAGTTCTCAAACTTGGTGACGTTATCGACAATCGTGGTGAACTTCAAGGCCGGATCATCTGCTCCCAGAGTATAATTCTCATACAGATCGATCAAAGCCTCCGCAGTGACATTGTGTCGCATACAGGCCAGTTCGTCAGCAGGAGACAAGCCACCGCAGCCCAGAGAATCGGCCATGAAGGTGAAATTGCTGTGTGAGACATCCACGCTGGCACCTGTGGCAAAGACACTCCCGGAATGCATGATCAGTCCTTGAACAATAGGATCGTCTGGCCACGCGAAATTGAAGTAGTCGACGCTCGCAGCACCGGAAGACTGGCCCCAGAGCGTCATACGGGTGGGATCACCACCAAAGGAGGCGATATTATCGCGAAGCCATTCCACGGCAAGACGCTGGTCGAGGAGGCCCAAGTTCAGGTTCTCGCCTGTTTCTGCTAAACCTGCTGCATTGGGGAAACCGAAGATGTTATTCCGGTAGCTACCGGTGTATCAGCAAGCATTCCATTGAAATTTTGAGAAATGCTATGCTCCAGAAAAAAGGCTTACTTGACTGCAACGACGATATGTTCCTGAGTCCGTTCCACCCAGGGCGCACCATCGAACCCATTCGTAATGAGCCCTCCTTCATAAAACCCACCACCGAACAACCAGATAAGGACCGGCAGGGCATCGTCTTCCCTGTTTGCATTCAAGGGCGCATACACATCCAGCGTGAGACAGTCCTCCGACCAGGGACCGTAGGGCTGCAACCAGGGAGAATCGATGGTATACACTGACGGATCGGTGGTGACGGTCAGCGGGTACTGCGGACAGTTCGGGGACTGTCGCGTCGCATCGTAGACGGCTGTTCTATTGACTGTCGCAGGTTGAGGAGGAGCAAACCGCAGATCTCCCAGAGGAGGCTGAGCAAAGGGAATGCCCAGGAATTGGGCCACGGAGGGGGTTGACCCGTTGACCAGGCCGTAGAGGGAGCCGATGGTGGTATCGACTGTCAGTCCTAGCATTTCGATCGGTCCCCGATAGTGTGAGATTTACCTTGAACCATGCTCAGCTTGACTATACTACTCGATGCTTTATATCCAAACTTCCTCCGGGCTATTGTCGGTTCTAATGGTGGAGTCTAGTCCAGATTGGGGTGGATGGGGTAGTGGACCCTGCGATCAGAGTTCAACAAGAATTGTATTGTATATCATGGCAAGTAGAGTCTCTCATGCAGAATACTAATATTCAAGTGTCTAATGCAGTAAACTGAGATTCAAGTACATTTCAAGACATATTTCTGTTCATGCTCTACGGAGTCCTGCTTTCTTAGGGTTAGGGCTAGGGTTGGGGGTTGTCCGAGAATTCCAGCTCATTTGGTTAGTGTGGGGGTGCCAAGGCAGACAACATATCATCTCATTATAGAGTATAATATTATTCATAAGGAATGACAAGAAATTAAGTATTATATTCAACTTCTGGTAATGGGTGTATCACTCTCTTTAATTCTATAGTAGAAAGATAAAATAATTAAACTAAAGGAAGAGGATATGAAAATACTAACCTTTAGAGCTGAACATTTATATCCATCAAATAGGGTATAGACTACTATTTTTCATGTATTGTTCCTTTATAGATAGCCTGCCTATATTTCTACTATCATAGTAGACTAGGGCTTTAGGAATACAATATATTCATCTACCCCCACTTAATGACAGTGCTAAAGATCATAGTATACACTACACAATATACAGACAAGGAATGACAGTAGTATATATACCGATAATATCAAAAACAGAGAAGAAACGATTACAGCAGGATCATGCCGGTGCCGGAGAGAACGGCAGTGAAGATAAAGACAGCCAACTGGCCGAAACCGAGGTTGACGCTCTGGCTAGCCAGACGGGGCAGACCGGCCGAGGAGCTGGTGGAGGAAGACGAGGAGGACGAGCCGGTGCCCGAGGCGGCGGCGGCGGTGACGGTGCCGGTACCCGCGGTGCCGACTGCGCTGAGCAGGGAGGCGCAGGTGCCGGTGGCAGAGGTGCTGGCGGTGGTGGTGGCAGAGCCGGAAAAGTCACAGGCGGAGGCGCCGTTGCCGGCAGCCTTCTGCTCGACGTAGTACTCGTTGAGGACGAAGTTGAGCTGCTGCTCCGACGTGCACATGGAGTAGGCACCGTAGACGCCCGAGGTGGTGTTGGTGTCGATACCGGCGCACACGCCGTAGCCGCAGACGGTGTCGAACAGGTCGGCGTACTTGGCGGACTTGACGGAGGATTTCACCACGCACGACAGGCTGGCGACCATGCACTCGCACAGGGCGGCGTCCGGGGTCGGGGGCAGGGCGCTGGCGGCCTCCCAGTCAGCACCGACGGTCGGGCAGGAGGCGGCGCTGTTGGTCGGGGTGTAGCTAGCGGAGTTGGTGCCGGTGGGGGTGGCGGTGACGATCTCCTTGGAGAAGGAGGCGTAGTCGGTCAGGGTGCTGACGGCGCCGTCGGAGATGGTGACCAGGCCGTAGTCGTTGTCATCCTGGAAGTACTCGTAGACGATGCCGCCGGACATCCAGTCGTTCATCTCGTCGCCGTACATGACGGGGACGTTGGTGAAGGTGCGCGGCTGGACGGTGTTGCAGCCGTACTCGGAGAAGAAGTAGGGGACGGAGTAGTTCTTGAAGAAGGCGGTGATTTCATCGTAGCCGGACTCGGTGTAGCTGGAGTCGCCGCACCACTCGTAGACGTTGTCGCCGAAGAAGTCGATGCGGTCGGCCGAGTCGCCACAGTTGAAGTACTCGGCGAGCGAGTCGCGGATCTCCGAGACGTCGGCGGCCGAGTAGCCGACACCCAGGCTGCTGCGGTAGCCCTGGGAGGAGATGTAGGCCTTGGTGTCGCGCACGGCGGCCTTGACGAAGGCACTGGCGCCGGTGGTGTTGACGCTGTTGGAGTTCTCGTTGCCGGCGAAGAAACCGATGGTGTTGGTGTAGTTGGCCAGCGAGTCGACCACGCTGTTGTAGTAGCTGTACAGGGTCGTCGTCCACTCCGGGTCGGAGCTGTCGATCGAGTAGTCGGCCGACGACAGATCCGCCAGCACGTAGATGCCGGCCTCGGCGAACAGGTTCATGCACGTCGAGTGGTCGGCGTCCGGGTCCACGTCGTACACACGCACGACGTTGGTGTTGAGGGCCGTCAGGTAGGGCAGATCGCGCTTGCAGATGGTCTCGTTGGCCAGGGGGTCGACAAAGTCCACTTCGCCGGCGGAGGTGGTGGTACCGACGCCATCGTAGTTGGCTATTCATTCATTAGACGGAACAGATCTCAGAGTAGTTGTCCGGAACTCACGTTGGTAGGCAACACCACGGATATAGCTATTCAGTTAGCCAAGGTACGGCACGCTTCTCCCCTGAATTCATGACTTACAATTGAGTGCCGTTGTTAGAGTAGAAGAATTTGGAACCCTAGACAGTCAGATCTCTTTCTCTTTCTCTTCTCTTCTCTTTCGGTATCTACCTTGATGACGATCTCAGGGGCGGTGGTGGCCGCCGCGATGCCCGCGAGAACCGGCAGGAGGGCAAAGGACTTCATTGTGGAACGAACGTATGTGAGCGAGTGGATATCAACAAGTGAAGAAAAGAAATAAAAAACAAATATAAACGAGGCGAAGGAACAGGAATCGCCAAGAAGGAGGAGAATATATAGAACGAGTGAACGAAGGACAGGAGGAAAGGATTATTGGGAGAGAAGAAGAGGAGGAGAAGAGGAAATCTTTCTCAGGGGGAAGTGGCTTAACTATAGGAGAGAGCGTCAGACGCTGAGTCAGCAGGGCCCGATTGGACCCTTCAGGGTCAAAGGGTCAGGCCCATAAAGGGTTCTAGGGTTCTATTCTCATGTATTCCTTTTTATTATAATGATAATATTATTATTATTATGACTATTATCATTCTTTATTATATGATCATTACTACATACTATATATTCATTCTGTCTATTATCATACTGAGTGCAACTCTCTAAACCATCCTCAATCCCAGCATCCCCTACAAGGTTGAGTCCTCTCTAAGGATCATCGGCTTGCGCGGCTTCAATTTCAGGGATGGTCCCAGCGGTGGATCCGATTCGCCCACGAGGGGGGGCTCCATATGGGTATTGAACCAATTAGAAGCCAGTCCCTGGTCCCTGCCAGGGTGTGCCCAGTGGAGGCGACTCCAGGCGGGCCAATCAGGGGTCGAATTCTGCAACTGTGGCGTGGCAAAAGCTTGTTGGAGCCAAGGCCAGTCACACGACAGATATAAATAGATTACTACAGTCAAGTACTTACCGTAGGTGTATACTATGTACTACATAACTATATACTAAGGTAGGATGTATTATAGGTAGAGTAAATAGTTATGTAGTAGTAGTAGTAGTTTTTGGTGAGTATATATAGTATATAACTAAGACATGCAGTTGTCAAGACTAAGTATAGAGGTACCTAAGTTGAGACAAGTACTCTAGGCATCATCATTACTGGGATATTTACTATACAAAGTACAATATACCGCCACTGCATACTACATATGTAGTACACTGAACCCGCTGATTATTGCCCAAGATTATTAGCAATAGTAATCTACCAGAACAAGTCTCTAGATTAACAGTGGAGTCGGTGGGCTCAGGGATGATCATATCCATAGAATATATTAAAGGTCTTCTATTACTCCATACTCATCCCTAGTAATACTGAAATTATAGTCTCATTAGTCTCCCTAGGTAGATTAATAAATCATTGGCCTACTAGCAGACTACGAGTATGTGTTTAAATACCCTACTAGGTAGACTAAGGATAAGTACTCTCTCTGTAGACTACTCTGTACTCTGTACCGATTGATCGTCGGAACGACAGTGTTTCAAACATTGATCCTGTCGATCTTGAATTCCGTCCCAAGCGGTCAAGATAGCATTACTAGTATTAATAACAGTACAGAGTACCAGAGTACTAGTTAACTACCTAGGTAGTATGTCCTAAAGCAGTACAGATACATATACTGTAAAGTACTTATGTTCATAGCATACTTGAATTCTATAGAATCAACCTATATACCATAATATATCTCCTTCACTAATTTATAATATTTATAAGTATTGTCTGCACTCAAATTATATCACAGGCTTATCTTCATCAATATCTCCAGAACCAGGATTACTCCCAGTGTTTTTGTACGCGCGTCGAGTACATCCTGACGTCATGGATGAAATGCTAACTCACTAGCCTGTTCAGGAAGCACCCGTTTCTGCCTCATCCAGCAGGCATCAATATTGCACGTGATATCCCTCCTCCTCCTCCTCCTCCTCCTTCTCTTCTCTCTTCTTCTCCTCTCTACGATTCACTTCTCTCCTCTCTCTTCCCTACGATTCTCTCAACTTCAGGTACACACAACTACGGGAACAGATCACAAGGTGAGTAGAGCCGAAATCAATATCCATGCTGATTCAATAGCCGTCTCAGTCTACCGCTCCTCGATGTGATCCAACACAGTCTTCCCTCCAGAAGCAGCGGCAGATTCCTGCTTCTTCTCAAAGCCCATCTGCTTCATCGCGTTGACGCCTGCCAGAGCGTCAGGTCCGTCGAAGATCTCGGCCACCTCCTCGAGCCCGCGGCCGTTGGTTTCCGGGAAGAAGAAGAAGATGAGCGTGACGTTGATGGCGATGACGATGCACCACACGATATAGTACTTCCACGCGATGTTGTCGAGGGCGACCGGGTTGGCAAAGCTGTTGTAGATGCTCGCCAGATTGCCCGTCAGCTGGTACATCATCGACGCCTTGGACCGCAGCGAGAACGGCACCACCTCCATGATGTACGTGGGCGCCACGGGCCCGCACATCTGGTAGAAGGCCGTGTAGATGAAGATCATGACCAGTACGGCGGCGGCAAATCCTTCGTCACGAAAGTCCTTCTGCTGGTTGATCGCCGAGCAGATGGTCCAGATCACATACGAGACCAGCATGCCTACCATCCCGTACAGGAACATGCCGCGCCGCCCGACCCGGTCGACCAGCATCGCGAAGCAGCTCGCCGCCAGCAGACTCCATACGGACAGGCACGCGTTGATGATCAGCTGCGTCTTGGAGTCCGTGACGCCGATCGTGTCCAGCACGTCCGCCAGGTAGTACGAGGTCAGCGAGTTGCCCGACCACTGCAGCATCGCAGGGATATACATGGCCAGGAAGAGTCGATGCCGGTTCCCGCGTGTCGCCACCCACTCCGTCCACCGCGACTGGTTCTGCATCTTCTCCATCTCCAGCGTCGCCGTGATCTCCGCCATCTCGAAGCGCACCAGGCGGGCGTCGCGGTCCCCATCGCCGTGGTACTCCGCTAGGATGGCCAGCGCCTCCTCGCTGCGACCCTGGTAGATGAGCCACCGTGGTGACTCTGGGCAGAACACCGCCAGAACGGCCTGCACAAGCGAGAAGATACACTGCAGCAGACTGGGGATGCGCCAGCTCCACGACGAGTACGTCATCTTGAACGTGCCGTACGTCGCCCACGCCGCGATCAACGACCCCAGCGGCCACGAAACGAGGTAGAAGGAGGTCAAAATTCCGCGTTGAGAAGGGTACGCCAGCTCCGAGAGCAGCGGTGGTGCTGCCGTCGAGACAATCCCCAGTCCGATGCCCACCAGGAAGCGCGACCCGACAAACATCCCATAGTTGACCGCCGCCGTCTGCAGGATCGACCCTAGGATGATGACCAGTGAGCCGCCCATAATAGGCCACCGACGCCCGTACCGCTCGCACAGCTGCGACGACACCGCCACGGAGATCAACACGCCCCCCGTCGGACCGAACGTCATGGCGCCCAGTCGTGTGCCCGTCGGGTCGCCAAAGAACCGCTGCCACTGCGGCAGCGACTGCATCCCGTTCAGCATGCTGCCGTCGTATCCGGATGCCGTCTGCGTCAGCAGCGCACACAGCAGCAAAGTGTTGAGCTTCACCAGGCTCCAGTCGCGCCACCATATCTTCTCCCGCCGGGGGGTGACGTCGTTGAGAGTTAGACCGTTGAAAGAGTCCATTTTGGAGAATAGTGTCTTACCATGATCAAAAAGACCTCCAGCTTGGCCTCTACCCTCTATATATCTTTTTGTTACTGTCTGGCCGGGGGCGGAGCATTCCCGGACAGACCTCGTCCGAGAAATGGCACTGCGGGGTCCCCACAGATCGACATGTTGCATTCCTCCGTGTTGATTAGAGTCTATGTGAGGACTTGAAATCTACACCGCAATGAGTTTACCGAGGGCTGGCTTATGGATTCGTTCATACTAGGGTCTGATAGGAAAGACTATTCTATGACAATGTGATCGCCTTCCCTCTTGCCGAAGTACGGCCCATCCATCCATCGATCTCGCAAGGATTTCCCCTCGCAAGGGCGTGTCATGGCAAAGACGCCGGTGACAAGGGTTACGGAGGTGTATGGCTGAAGATCGTACAGATCGTGTGTCGCAACCGGGATGATCGTTCTCTGGGCCATGAGATTTGTGTTTGAATCTGGAATCAAGGCATCGTGGTTTGCCGCGCTGTCGATGGCTGCTTCGGCGACTATAGGCTGCGCTCGAATCCCACTCGCCCCAGCGGACGAGAGTATCAAGGCCTCCGACGAGGAGGTGAAGATACCCTCTGTTTGCCCGACTACGGCGGTCATCAGAGCCTCTCCTGGCAGGTTCTTCAGCTTTAACGTGCCGTGATTATTACGGCCCCGAGGGACGCGCGAAATGGCGAATCCGCCTTCTACGGCATGTAGACTCCTCTCGCCATCATCCTCAACGCAGATACTGTGGACACGAACATGCCAATCGGGCCAGCGTCTCGTCGGCGGAACCAGCGTCGTCGTCACCCTCACGCATCGGTCTCCCCACGGGTGCCAGTCCACAACTGCGGCCGGGACGGTCTCGCTCACGGCCTGCATACTGCTGCAGATGATCCGGGCAGTGGAATAGCGCACCTCGGAGCACTTCCATTTGACGGCCCATGTCTCTGCGCCGTCTCTGCTGAGAGCTAGGGTACTGTCGGGCGCGATCTGCTGGATCAACGGGCCCGTCGGCACGCTAAAGGCAAACGCAGACGAGTATGCGAACTTGCAATATTTCGCCTGCGACGCTTTCATCGGCCACCCGACGAACTGGCCGGGTGAGAGCATGAAGTGATGCGCGCCGCCGGGGTGGTTGCAGAGGATCTGACGCGGACTGGCCACCACTTCTACCGACTGGAATGAGGCATCATCTTTGCCGGACCCCTCGCAGCTAAGCAATGGATACCCGGCTTCCTGGCTTGTCCAGAACACATCCTCCTCTGTCAGAAGTATCACAATCAGCGTCTTCAATGCCCAGTATACCGACTGCGGCGAGTTGTAGTCTTCACTCATGTACATGTTGCTATAATGTTAGCTGTAAGGTCCTTCTTTTTCTTTTGGATTCTTCATCACCTACGGGTACGCATAGCCGATATTCAGGGTTCCGTCCGGATAGAAGATACTGTCAGAATGCGACGCCCACCAGCGCAGATGGCGCAGCAGAAACCCCTTGATCTCCCCGGGCGTCGATAGGGGAGCAGGCATGTCATCGATCTGGGCGACAGCCAGAGCGGCGAAGAAGGCACCGCAAGCAAATCGGTACGTTAACGAGCGGCCAAAGGGGATGGCAGCGCCTGCATCGAGTCAGCTGATAGATTCATTGGTTCCTCTCTTAATTCATTCCTTTTCTTACCTTCTTGGTCAAAATACCGCCAGAAGGTCCTTCCAAAGTCGCGCGCCCGGCTTCGATACTCCATTGCGCGGATTGGATCAAGATCCCCAGCAAAATGCACGTAAAGCAGCTGGCTGAACTGGATGGCGAAACTGCCAGAGTAGTAGTCGACCTGACGACCGACACCGACAAAGTCACAACGACGACGACGCACCTTGTCGCGTTCTTCGGCCTCTTGCATCTCGACGCTCAGCCAGGGCCCATCCGCCGACCACCCTTGGCCGAGATAGAAGGAATCCAGCACGGCAAGGTCGGCGTCCAGCTCGCCCTGCACCTCCGCGAGCGGGACGCATGCCACCCGCACCAAGGCCAGGTTCGCAAACACCCGAAACCACCGCCAGTTGTTGAGCGGCATCTCCTGACCGTGCATGCTGCGCAGCCAGGCCGTGATGTTCGCTTGAGTGCGGGCGTCTTGCGCATGGAAGAACGCGCCCGGAGCCACCAGCAGGGCAAGCGAGACCACCTCCGCCTCCACCATCCGTTGGTCCGGTCGGTCAATGCATCCCCAGTACTCGGGATGTTCTGGGTCTGTGCCAGCGCAAATCCCTTCAATCCACGGCTGCGTCAGATTGCGAATATCCTCGTTTGTATCATTGTCGTCGTCGTTGATGGTGGCAAGTAAGGTGGCCACCGCCCATAACGGACGGGCAAACCCCTCGAGCATGGCTGCATGGTCGTCGAAATGCGCGCCTGTCGCCACGGTTGGTAGACGGATAAACGCGCGGGCAGGCGAAAAGTGCGCGTGCAGCGGCCGCAGCAGCGCAGTGGCCGCCGCGATCAGGTCCTTGCGCTCGCGGAAAGGGTTGTCGGAGAATCCTGGCAGGGGTGGCATGATGGGGTGTATCTCGAACCGAGCAAATCTAGGTCTTCCTCATGGAAACAGAGAAAGCAAGAAGACGTTGAAACTTGTTCCCGGTGGCACGTTTTCTCTCGATCTTCACCGGGCTATACAACTAGTATTCTTCCCCGGCCGACTTCCCCGGACTCCACACTGCGGGGTAAAACGCTTCTGACAGCGGCCGGGGTCCGGGGAATGTATTTAGACCGCTTTGCCTTCCCCACCCGAGGCCCCGAGCCCGAGCCCCGAGAGAGAGAGAGAGAGAGAGACAGAGAGAGAGCTGCTGTCTGCTCTTCTGCACCCCATGGAAGAGCTCGAGGACCGGCCGGCCTGTGGAGCCTGTCGCAAACGCAAGCTGCGCTGCTCGCGCGACCTGCCTCTGTGCAGCAACTGTCGCCGGGTGGGTACGGTGTGCACGTACGATGCCATTCGTGACAAGCCGGGGCTCAAGACCGGGGCTGTCGAAGCCTTGAGGCGGAGGATTGGTGAGTTTGGATCTGACCTTTTGCTTTCCTCATGTTTCTCCACTTTCGGATACGGAGGGTTTATATGATGTCTAGAGGCCTTGGAAGACGCAGTCTTCGCGAATGTATCAGAACGTGTAGACCCCCAACCAATCACCAGTCAGCCTCGCCAAGAGACGGCGCAAGAGCTGCTGGCGTTGCTGATCACGCAGCTGCAGAGCTCCCGACGCAAACGGCCTTACACTGCTGTTGATGATGATGATGATGACGAGGAGGAGGATGGGGGTGATGATTACCCAAACGAAGTACCTCGCAAGACACCCAAACGCATGCGTATACAAGTGGACGAGCTTGACAAGCATGCCATTGGCACATCTCTGCCCCCCGCGCGAGTCCTTCAGGCTGTCATCGACCAATACTTCGAGCTAATCCAGCCGTGGATCCCGATCTTCCATGAAGGACGCTTCCGCCGGCGGATGAACGTCCCCGAGGAGCGGGCCCGGCTGGAGATCGTCCTGCACGCCATGGTGGTCGCCGCGCTGAAACATGTGGACTGCAGCATGCTGGGCTTGGGAGTGCTCGAGATCGCCAATATCTGCGACCGGTCGCGCAAGATCGTCATCCTTACGGGGATGGATAATCTGGATGTCCAGAACCTGCAGGCTCTCATCATGGTCTGCTTCGCCGATGTACGCAATATGTACCCACACTTGCTCTTGGTCCATTGACTGTCTTTTCTTTCTCTTATCCGCTGAGACTTTTATGTTTTCCAGATCGGTACAGGCCAGCTGTCTCGAGCGTGGCCCATTGTCGGCTCCTTGACTCGCACAGTCGAGTATCTGCAGCTGACGGTCGAGTCGGAGCACCACAGCAAGGGACCTCTGCTGCAGCCACGGCCGTCACTGCCTCCTGCCCAAGATTGGCTGGAGGAGGAGGAGCGACGACGGGTGTTCTGGGTGATCTTCAATCTAGACAGGTTAGTTTCTAATCCCTCAATCTCTCAATCTATCCATCTCTCAATCTTTCTATCTCCTAGATTCTGTTCCGTTACCACAGGGTAAGGCTCATGCCATAGAAGAAAGATGGAGAATAAATACTCACAAAAGCAGTTGGAATACCAGCTTGACTTCGAATGATGTTCACCGTCGCCTCCCCGCCGATGGTGGGCTGTGGCACCACGGCGAGGTCGTCGTGACGCCCTTCTTTGGCATCTGGGACAAGTCCGCCGGCAAGATCGGCAATCTGATCGCCTTCCTGCCCGTAGACTACGACTCGACCGCCGATCGGTCGCGAGACCTGCCGCGCCCTGACCCAGTCGACATGTCGACTGTCGGGGCGTTTGCGTATCGCGTCGAGGCCACCGAGTCGCTGAGCCGCGTGACGACGTTCTTCCTCCGGCAGGCGATCAACCATCATGACCGCCAGGAGATGAGCAGCTGGCTGATGCGGTTCAAAGAGCTGGACGTGCGTTTGGTTAGGTTAGTCTCTTCTTCTCTAAAAGTCTATCTTTTATTGCTCACCATGGTAGTTGGAAACTCTTCCTCCCTCAGCGGTGGAAAGACTCCAACATATCACGCCAGCCGACAGTCGTGACGATGGATCCGAACCTAACCCTCGCCCACATCACGCACAACACATCGATGATCCTTTTGCATCAGCGGATCGCATACCCGCCGCTCGAGTGGTTGGAGATCGTCAAGCTGCCGACCCTGTCCAGCGCGGAGACGTGCGAGGCCGCCGCCGCCGAGACGGCCAACATCACGCAAAAGTACCTGGACAACGCGGCCCAGAGCATCGTTGACCATCAGTTTGCCTTTTGCGTCTTTGTCAGTGCCCGCGTGCTGCTCGTCCACTGGCGGTACTATCGGACGTCTCTCTCGCCGGACTTTTGGACCCTCATGAAGGCTCTCGACACCATGTCTGCGCGCTGGGGGGGTGCAGGCGCTCTCCCAGCAGCAGGGGTAGCAGGAGCAGCAGGATGCATGGTGGACAGTGAAACTCCCAGCGCTCGTCAGGATCTGGCACAAAAGTACCTTGCCCAGCTGTGGGCCATGTACCGTCGGTGCGAGAGTGACGAAAACCTCAAGCTCGACGTGCTGGGCTACTCGAATGAAATCGAATGGGCGGCCGAATCGGCCTCGCCCTCCCGTCATGTTTTGGATGCGCTGGGTGATAAGTATCTGCTGGGCACTGCAGTTACTTCTACAACGACGGGTTCGACAGCTACTGCTGCTCCTGCCGTCGATCATCCTGTGGGCGAGACACCGTTCATGATGCATGCACATCCACCAGAGATGAGCTACACGGGGAGTAGTCCTGACCAACTCACCACTCTGACTTCCAGCTTATTCGGACAGCAGTTCTCGGGCATGGACCGGATCATCAGTTTGGAGAATGCAGATTTCGCCAATGTATTACCGATGGCGTAGCCAAAACAATGTATATTCCTATAATCAAAAGAAATCTAGGCAAATCCCATTCGGAGAAGTTTATTCCCAAACTCCACGAGATAATAATCCGCATAGACGAGTCCATGGTCACTGTAGCGATCATGGTCCCCGGCGTTATGGTTGGCCGTTGCATGTTGCAGGATGGCGTCGAAGCGGCGTCCAACGTCTGAAACAGAGATGTCTTCCTCGGGAGAGGAAACCCTGCCGATGAATTTCGCCTTGTTGGCGAGACAATGCGTGAGAGTCTCGCTCACTATACGCATGGCCGCCACCCGGAACCGATCTGCGAGTTTGGTATTCCCCTCCGCCAGGAGAGCCTGCGAGAGCACGAGCATCCCGTTGGCGGCGATGACGCCCGCCGACGAGTCACGAAGAGGGCTGTCTAAATCCTCGATCGGGGCGTCGAAATCCCACAGCGGGACGTACCGGCCATGACGCTCAACGCAGCTAGGTGCCGCCTCCAGCTGTTGCAGGAAGTATTCGGCTAGTCCGCACGCCGTAGACAGGAACTCCTGCTCGTGCGTCCACGTGTACGTCTGTGCGAAACCTAGTATGGCCCATGCCTGGCCGCGCGCCCAGGTTGAGTCATGGCTGTATCCCTGTGCGGTGCGGCGCTCCTTGACCGACCCAGTGCGGGGATCAAAGTTCACCACATGGCAGGTTGAAAAGAGCGGCCCATTGTAGCGGCTGTTGGTAGGGACAGTAGTGTGGGGAGATTCCCTGCGCAAAATGGAAGAGATGATGGTGTGGGCGTGTGCCGTGGCGATATCGGACAGGGTGCGGTCCGCGGTGTGGTGGGCGGCATAATAGAGGAGATCGAGGTTACACATGCTGTCGACGATGACGAGGAAGTCGTCTGTGAGACTGGTGATCTCGACATTGACCTGACGCAAGGCGTCCCAGCTGCGAATCGCACGGACTCGTGGGTCGTACCGAGTCGCCAAGCTGTGCGCTGCAGTCAGCACAAGCTGCAGGCTGTGCTCGTTGCCTGTCAGCTCCCAGCTGGTACACAGAGCGGGCTGGATGATGAACCCCAAGTCATGGGTATCTGTCCTGGTCGCCATCGCATGAAGAGGCTGCGTCCAAGAGTCGCAGAGCGCGAGCAGTTTCTGTCGTAGGGCCGTTGGATTCAGCCTGTTGTCGTCCGGGTTCCGACTGTAATACGGGAAAACGCGCGGGTACTTGACTGCCCGCTCGACAAGCAGGTACAGCAAGCCCGGAAAGAAGCCGCAGGTCCAGAATTCAGCATCGCGAAGGAAGTATTGGCCTGTGGCCGAGGGTCCGTCGGGGACAAACTCAGGATACGCGGTGGGAGGCGACTGCAGATTAACATCATGAACAGACGAAGGATCGAACACATACATTATCCTCCAGAGCCTCTATAGCAGTCCGCACCAACTTAGCCAGCACATTCTCATCGAAGAGGTCCCGTAGCATCTGCTGGTACGTCGCCGTCGCCATCGTCTTTCCAACCACGTCGTCCTCCTCCACCGTCGTCACGCTGGACACGCCGTTATCCGAGTCCGACAGAACGAGCGAGACATCCTCGCACTCACCCCCTGCTTTCAAATTAGATCCCGTCATGGTGATTCAGTGATTGGAAGTCTACTTTCTTGAGCCACGGGCGCGACTTTATTCTCTCCGTCTCGGAGGCCTAAGGACGATCCCGAGGACAATCCCCCGAGGCCGAGTCAATCAGAAGTGAGATAGAAGTGAGAAGTGAGACCGAAGAGATAGAGTGAGATAGAAGTGAGAAGTGAGATAGAAGAGAGAAGAGAGATAGACGTGAGATAGAATTGAGATAGAAGAGAGAGTAAGAGTAAGAGTAAGAGTAGAAGAGAAGAGAGAGAAGGCTCACGTGGACGCATCACATGACACTAATATACAAAACGCACAAGAAAACAAAATCATCCAACAAAATCATCAACTCCCTCTCGTAAAACTCGTCTCTACACTGCCTACTTCCTTATAGCCACCAGGAACAGTCTGGGAAAGGTAAGCATGATCTTCCCATCACCCAGCGGGAGATACGCCTCCCTCAGCCTGCCCAGATACGCGTGCAGAAAGGCCTTCTGCTCCTCTTCATCCAAGGGGTCCAAGAAGGGTCGCAGCCCCGTACTCTTCACCCACTCGACGACTGCCTGATGATCGGCCAGGATATGCTGATAACTCGTCTGCCAGATATCGAGCCGTTCACAGAGCGGATGGAGCGCTTCATACAGCTCTCGCGGGGAGGGCACGGGGTCTCGAACGGGATTCGCAGCCTCCAACTTCTGCCTCCACGGTCCTGCCATTGCCGTTTCACGCATCGCCACATGCGACGGTTCGTCCATGTTATCGGGGACTTGCATTGCAAACACACCCCCTGTGGACTGGGAGGTGATCAGGGATTGCAGGATGGGGATGCGTTGGCTGGCGGGAAGCCACTGGAACACGGCATTGGAGAAGAACAGATCAACCGTGGAGGAAGGATCACCAGTGTCTGAAGAAGAAGAAGAAGAAGAAGGGCGATAACTTTCTAGATCGGCTACTTGGAATGGAACGCCTGGGAGGGTTTTCCGCGCCTTGTCAATCATCGCAGGCGAGCTGTCCATCCCCTCAATGGCCGCACGGGGATACCGCTCCACCAGGACGGCCGTCGAGTTGCCTGGCCCGCAGCCTAGATCGACGATGCGCTTCGGACTGGCCAGGGGGACGCGAGCCAGCAGGTCGTGCGAGGGTCGGGTGCGTTCTGCTTCGAAGCGGAGGTACAGCGAGGCGTTCCAGTCTGCCATTATTGCTGTCATTTTTCTTGTGGTGGTGAGATTTCGAACGGTTCTGAGCATTTTATCCCTTTCTCCAACTCTCTCTAGAAAACGGCGAACATTGGTATATAAGTATACTCTAGTCATGACTTTATTTAATTGACGTCTTAGTCAGATGGCGAAATGCGGTCCGAGTTTCGGAGCGATGTCGCTAATAACTCTAGATGATAACTATATCTATCTTCTATCTAGCTGCACAAACAGAGAGCCTCGAGCAGAGCACCACCAACTTTGCCCCCGCGAATACCCTCGTAAATCATCGAGATCCACGAGCCGACGGTCTTCCTGTCGCGGCCGGCAAGGGTGTCACCCCCCTCTGAAGGCGTCGGATGCTCGACAAGCCCACGGTGAAAGGGGACCCCGATTTCGTTCCGCACAACATGGTAGAGAGCCTTGGACCCGACGCCCAGGAGAGTCGCGGTGTGCGGTTCTGCCACGAAGGAAGCCCATGTCTCCTTGTAGACGGCGTGCATGAGTTCCCTGGCCCCGGTCATCCACGCACTGATATCTTGAGTGGAGAGCAAGCTGCCTTCTTCCTCGGCTCCCTTGTCTTCTTGGGGTGTGACTCCCGCTAGGAAAACAGGAAGGCATGCATTGAGGGTCGTGGTAATACGTTCATCAAGAACCAGGCGCGATGTAGTAGGCCAGACGAGGGCAATCTTTCCGCACAGAGCCGTGTTGAGCTTTTCCACCTGCTTGTCGGACAAGACGGTCGAGAAGAGCAAGCCAGTCACCTCTTTCAGCCGGTGAGCGATGGCATCCAGGAAAGACAGGTGGAGCGCGCGAAGATCCAACGCCTGGCAGCAGACGTACAGATTGCACGCACACATCATGGCCACCAACTCGGCAGCTTGCAGGGTGTACCTGCCCGAGACAAACGCCATGGAGTTGACGGCCTGGTTGTGCATCTCGGCGGCCTGGACGTGGCTGCTGACGGGGGACGCCAGGTACGCCAGCTCGGCCATGTACGAGGCCATGCTGATGTCGACGCCCTTCATGGTGAAGGAGGTGTTGGGATCATCCGCGACCAGGTTGGTGGGCAAGCCGTTGTTGAAGTTGGGGTCGATCAGCTCGCCGGTCTGCGCAAAGATCAGCCGGCCAAACATCTGCAGCGCGAGCCGCGTCTTCTCCATGGCCGAGGTGATGGCCACCGCCTGGAAGTTGCCACCGCTGTAGATCCGTTCGGACTGCGGGTCGACCAGCGGGTTGTCGCTGGAGGAGTTCAGCTCCGTGGTGACCTGCGCCTGGGCCAGGAGCAGGTCTTCCAGCTGGGGCCCGATCCACTGCGGGACGGTGCGCCAGGCGTAGCGGTCCTGGATGAGCCCGGCGCGCTGGTTGCCGTCCAGGGCAAGCCGCGATCCCTGGAGCAGCGATCGCATGTTCTGCGCACATTCCAGCTGGCCGTCGTGCGGTCTGACGGCAGCGATGAACGGGTGAAAGCTCTCGGTGGTTCCGCCGAGCGCCTCGACCCCCATCGCCGACAGCCCCTGCACCAGGACTGCCAGCTGGTGGGACTCGTACAGCGCCAGACTCGCCAGCGCAGCAGCAAATGCCGTCCCGTTCACGAGTGCCAGCCCTTCCTTGGGCTTCATGATCTGTGGCTGGAGTCCCGCCGCCGCGAGCGCCTCCCTGGCGGACATGGTGATGGTGGTTTTGTTGTCTTCAGCGTCTGCCACCTGCACGTACACGTCGGGATTCCCCTCGACAGCGCCCGCAATGTAAGACAGCGGCATGAGATCGCCCGACGCGGAAATCGACCCGCGCAACGGTACGACGGGCGTGATTCGGTGCTCGAGCAGGGCCAGCAACGATGTGAGCGTCTCCAGTGTCAAAGCCGAGTGACCACGGGCGTTGGTGTTGCACCGCACAACCAGTGCAGCACGCACCCACGCAGCAGGCATGCTGTGCGAAGCAAGGGGGGAATCACTATTGCTTTTGTCATTAACCTTATCGCGAGTGACCAAAATCCCAGCCTGTGTCAGCTGCAGGAGACTGGCTTGCAGGGCTGTCGTCCGGTCGGTACGAGTGTCTGCGCTCCCACCGAATCCCGTATTCACGCCTATTGGATCGAAGATGAAGGATCAGCGTTGATCTTGAAAAAGGCAAATCCACCCGGAAGAACGAAATTCTAGCAAACCGTAGACAAATTTTCCCTTGGCGAGATGGTCGTTCAACACGCTGACGCTCTTCTCGATCCGGTCGAGCACGACGGGATCATCGGTGAGGCGAGGGAGGCAGCCATGACTAGAAGAAGAAGAAGAAGAAGAAGAAGCCGTCAGTAAACAGATTCTTTGGAATCAAAGCTATGAAGAAATCTATTCTCACTGGGCTATGGCAACCACGGCGGGGATGTCGAGGCCAGAGCCGTTGATGACGACCGCTTCACCCGACTGGTGAGCAAGGAGACCCTGCCACAGCTGGGCAGTTGCTGCTAGATGAAGGGTTTCTGCTGCCATTTTGACTGACTGGAAGAGCGAAAAGACGAAGCTGGAAAAAGTCTGGTGGGAAGAGCAGAAGAGCAAGAAGAGTGTTTGTTGAAGAGCAGAGGGAGAGAGGGTGGGAGGAGAGTAGAAATACCTCACTTCAACCACCAGAAAGAAAGAGATGGAGAAATTCTAATCTTCACTGACCTCATCATACCTTCTATCACATTCTTTTCTTCTTTTTTTTTTATCCTTATTGATTTTGGGAGATGTAGTCTCTATTGGTGGCTGGTGAAGAAAATCTCTCCCTCACTCCTCACTTCTGCAGAGTGACACACCATCATCTTTAGGCATTTTACTGGATGGAGATAAAGAATAAGGGTGCCAGCCATCATTTAGCAACTGACAGGGATGGTGACACCAAGGAAGAGCTGAAGAATGGTTGAGTAGAATGTTTTTGTTTTGCTATGAGTCAAAAGAGTCTACAGGAGGGGGGGGGAAAAAGCAAAAAGAGGAAGAAAAAAATAGACATGGAAAATAATATTAACATAAAGACAGTGGCTACTCAGAAAAATACTCCATAGACAAAAATCAATCAGGTAAATAGTTTTTGAATCAACAAAAATAGAAAAAAAAAAAAAAAAAACCAGTGATCACTTCTTCCTCCTCCACACCCGGACGCGGAAGAGATAGTACAGCAGGACTGTGCCCGCCACATTGAAGACACAGTAGCACCAGAAGAGCCCGTAGTTACGCCAGCGCTGCGAGTAGTAGATGTTGCGCTCCGCCAGGTACTCGTCGGCGGACGACATGGAGCAGTACTCGCAGTTGGACGTCGCATTTGGGCGGGACAGGGTGCCGACCCCGGTCGCCTCGAGGTACTGTTCCAGGTATTGGTAGCAGGTCTCGCCAGACGGCGGGTTGAAGACGCTCATCTCGCTCGGGGAACATTGCACAGAGCGGCCGTGGAGCGCGGTGGCTGCAATGCCCCCGATGTAGTAGGTAAAGGGTGACACGCGGTACATGAAGATCCAGAATCCAGGCAGTGCACTGGGCGGCTGCAGCACGCCGTTGAAGATGAAGGACAGACCGAACATCAGGATGGTCAGCATGCCGGCCAGCGGGGGGACGGGGATTGCGGCGATCACCAGCTGCGCCATGGTCGAGGCGAAGATGTAGAATTGAACGATGAACAGCAAGACCAAGCCCTGGGTCTGCGAGCTGCCGTCGACCCCAAACACCGAGAAGAAGAAACAGGCCCAGGCGCAGATGCCCAACAGGACCTGCCAGGGGATCTCGACCAGCACCTGCGACAGGATGAACACCTTCCACGAGTACACGCGCGAAGGCCGTTCGCGGACTTCGTACAGCGAGCGTTGCAGCACGAACTTGGGCATGATCTGGTTGACCAGACTGGAGAAGATGGTGCACATGAGAAAAATGCTGAACAGCGCGTTCTGGAACCCTTGCTCCGAGTCGTTGGCCTTCCAGAATGAGAACCCGATGAAGAGACCAGCGAAGATACCCAGCAGAAACTTGGCGAGGATGTACTCAGGCTGACGGTAGTACTGCTGAAAGGCCCGTGCCGCCACATACCGGAACTGTGCATACAGCGGCAGCGCGAATTCACGGTCGTAGTCTTCACGTACGATGTCGTCATCGCCGGGGGTGGTAGTAGTAGTAGTAGTAGTAGTAGAGGAGGTGGTTGACAGCGCGAGCAACCGGTCTAGTTCCTCCAGCACCTCCTTGCGTTCCACGCTTTGGTTCCAGGTGTCCACCCAGTTGACACCGGGGGCACCGTTACCCGAGACCATCTCGAGAATGTACTCGGCGGGATTCTCCAGTTCCTCGCAGGCGCGGGCGCCACTGCGCACAAAGTAGTCGAGCAGCGTCTGCGATTCGGCCCCAATGTCGCCAAAGTAGACCGTTCGCCCTCCCTGCGCGAGGAAGAGCAGGCGATCAAAGGACTGAAAGAGCAGGGCACTGGGCTGGTGGATGGTGGCCAACACCGCCTGCCCGTGGTCCGCCAGCTTCCGAAGGAGGGCGCAGATGGTCCAGGAGCTTTGCGAATCCAGACCGCTGGTGGGTTCATCCAGAAAGATCAGTAGGGTAGGCTTCGCGGCAAGCTCCACCCCGATGCTCAACAGTTTCCGCTGCTCGACATTCAGGCCCTCTCCCAGGGAGCCGACGACAGCCTCGGCAAAGTCTTCCATGCCGAGCATATGGATGACCTCCTCCACGTATTGGTGTTTGTCTGTGATGGAGACGGACCGCGGCTGTCGTAACACCGCACTGAAGCGAAGCGCCTCGCGGACGGTGGTGGTTTCCAGGTGCAGGTCTTGCTGTTGGACGTAACCCGTTCGGCGGGGGAAACTGGACTCTAATGCCTTGCCGTTGACCAGGATGTCACCCTGGACCACCCCGAGGGAGACTCGCTGGGCGAGGACGTCGAGCAGGGTGGTCTTGCCCGCTCCCGAGACCCCCATCAACGCGGTGAGCGTGCCCGGTTTCACCCAGCCATTGACGTTGTCGAGCAATCGACGGGTACCCTCTTTGACGGGGATCTCATACTGCAGGCCCTTCCACATCAGGGTATCCTGGTGGGGGGGCAGATTTCTCATCTGTGCCTCGAGGAGAGCCTCTGGGCTGCGGGCGGCAGCATCCGCCGACGGCGGCCGTTCCACGTCCTTGGTATCCTGAAGATGGCGGGGCGCGTGACCGGGGCGAAACACCAGGGCCTCCGCTTTGGACTCGCCGCCGGTGTTCATCTCGGACGCAAAGAGGTAGAGGCATGTGAAGAAGAGCATAAAGGCCAGCAGGATGCCAAAGTTGCGCCAGATATGCGCGTAGGTGTATCCATAGTTCTGCTCGATAAAACGGTCCCCGGACACGGTCATCTGGCCGGCCACGGCACCGACGGCCGAGCAGATGAATGAATCACCCTTGGCGTAGGGAGGGATGACGGCGGAGCAGGTGAACTCACGGCCGTGAAACTCATTGCTGACGAGAGATTCAAAACTGTAGTAGACGGGGTTGAGCCAGCGGATCCAGGAGAGCCACGGGTGCATGTAGGTCTGAGGCAAAGCGAAGCCGGCGTAGACGACAAAGGAGAGGATGGTGAGGCCGGCGAGACCCATCGCCTGGCCCATGGTCTTGGTGAGGGCGCCGAGGCTGCGGAAGATGCCTGACATGGTGAGGATGGTGGTGATGAGGAAGAGGTAGAAGATGAAGAACTGGGAGGGCTCGCGGCGGAGGTTGGCCATGAAGTAGAGGATGATGCTGAAGATGGAGCAGCGGGCGAGTTTGATGGGGAGATCGGACAGGATGCTGGCGAGGGCCTCGGTGAAGGGGTGGACGAATGCATAGCGGACCTGTTTTTGCACGATGGGCCGTTGGCTGTAGAGCATCATGATCTCGTTGACGGTGATGAGGGCATTCATGAGGACGGCCATGTAGAGGACGGCGCCCTTTTCGAAGAAGGCGCTGGTGTCGTCCGGCGAGTTGTAGAAGATGGATCCGATGATGAGGGAGAGAACGACCTGGACGATGACCGTCGACATGGCGGTGGGGAGATCGTTGCGGAGTCTCTGGAAGGCTCGGCGCAGGCACAAGCGGACCTGCATGGGCGCGGAGAGCAGATAGGGGCTGGTCGGTCGCGTGTGCCGGGCCTGCTGGTCGACATGGCTTGCCTGGAACCTCTGGGCGCCCTCGCCCCCGATCGGATGGGCTTCCTGATATTGGGCGATCTGCCGGTGGAGATCCTTGCACTCGGGGCTCTGCTTCCAGTATTCGGCAAACTCGGCCGGGGTGCGGGGGACTTTGCCCTCCATTCCGGGCCGGGGCTGTCGCTCTGCCGGGTTGGTGATGGCGGTCAGGAAGTCCGGGGCGACCTGACGGGGCTCCCGCTTCCAGCCCATCGCCTGGAAGTAGTCGACGGCGCGGTCGACGGGGCCGTAGTAGATCTGACGGCCCTCGTAGAGCAGGATGACCTTGTTGAAGCGATCGTACATGGACTGGGAGGCCTGGTAGGCGGCGACGGCATGACAGGACCGGGACAGGTCGGCGGAGACGCGCAGCGCCTTGACGAACTGCAAGGCCGAGGCGGCGTCGAGACCGCGGGTGCTGTTGTCCCAGGCGCCGATGCGGACGCGGGAGAGGAACATCTCGGCGATGCTGACCCGCTTGCGCTCGCCTCCACTGACCCCGCGGACGAAGTTGTCCCCGACCTTGGTGTGGAAGGTATGTGTGAGGCCGAAGACGGCCATGACGACCTTGACGATGAGGTCGACGTATTCCGGGCGAGAGAGACCCTCGATGCGCTGGCCCGGTACGCGAGCGGCGGCGGCAAAGGAGAGGGTCTGGCCGACGGTCAGATGGGGGAAATGTTCATCGATCTCTTGGTTGTAGGCCACCTCGCCACGGTACTGCTTGATCATGTGGTCGTAACCGATGCCCTGGTAGTGAATCTGACTCTGCGGCTCGAGAGTGAGGCCGCCGAGGTGGCCACACAGGGTCTTGAGGAAGGTCGAGCAGCCACTGCCGGGGCGCCCGAGCACGAGCAACAGCTCGCCACTCTGCAGCAAGCCGTCAAAGCCATTCAGAATGCGTCGCCGCCGGGTGGCAGACGCCTGGCGGGTTCCCAACAGTGTCCTGGCAGCGCGGCGGAAGGGCAGCGTCAAGGTCGAGACGACGGTCTCCTGGTAGCGTAGGTCGGCGCCGGAGCCCGAGACGCAGAGGTTGGAGAAGGCGACGCCCTGGCCCTGCATGGTGATGCCTGCCTCCTGCGCCGACATGAGGGTCATCTGGGCCCATCGGTAGTGGTCGAAATCCGGACTGTTGGGATCCAGCAGGGGGTCTTCCTTGTCCTCCTCCCCCACGGTTCCCGGCGGTCTATTGGGATGGGAGGCGGCAGAGACGGATAAGGTGCGTGTTCGCAGGTCAGAGGCGATTCTGGTGATGGTCTGAAGCGACTGGTAGTCCAAGACCTGGGAGTCTACCGGGTCCTCTTCCTCGGAGATCTCCATGGTGGAACAATTCTGTGGGGTGTATCAATTAGCAGTAAGTGTTGTCAACCGAGAAGAGTACAGAGAAGGAGTCAGAGGAGTCATCAGAGGGGTCAGAAAAGGAGTGAGAGAAGGAGTGAGAGAAGAAGTGACGGGAGAAAGAGTGAGGATATTTGAGTCAGAGGGGGAGGAAGTTGCCCAGGATTTCTTCTCGTCAAAAGTTATGCTGAGGAGGTCGGGACTCGCTCCTTCCTGCAACACGAATCGACTGCCCGATGGGGAATGGGAGGACGGCCTGAGGCAGACGCTCCGACGATCCGCTTGGCCCCAGAGGGCCTAGCGTCGGTGAGTCTTGCTCCGACCCCCGATCCACCGGCCAATCGGAGCCTGGGGACTCTGGTCTTTGAGTTTCCGGTGCACGGGCAGATGAGAGGGCGAGCCCCGATTGGGGTTTGTGCACAGCATTAGCCGGATGTGGTAAGCCAGGCGAATTATGCGGTAGTGGTAGGTAAGTATAGGCAATACTACCTAGTAGATACCAAGGTACAGTACAAGTATATAGCTATAGAGATATACCTCAGTTACTAACAAGTTGTTCAATCCATACTGAATACTAAAATCAGCCACTACTACATACTCTATTGTTTACTCCATATGGAAAAGTCAGCAAGATCTGGTCTAGTCCTTTTGGGGCTGATTATGCGAGTCTATTGTTATACTCTAGTTAGGCAGATTATGCTATAGACTGACAGATACTAGTAACTACCAGGTGGTATGGAGTAGTATACTATAGGCTCCTCCCTGTAGTAGAATAGTTCAATAAAATGACCAGAGAGACAGCAGGCAATTGGTTCCAGAGTGATATTATATATATATATATATAGCCATGTACTATCTTGTACTTATTTATCTATCCGTTTATATATATTGTACTCATATATCTTTATGATTCTATTTTCTTGATTTATATATTTTTTCAGGTAGATTCATTATTTATATGAAGAGTAAACAACTACTAATGAAATAACAATGCTATTCTGCTCAATCCATCTCAGAACACATCCTTTGCTTTATCTAACATCAATTTCTTATATCTCTATTTTTCCTAGAAAACTACCTAGTATCAACAGGCACTATATATATTAGCTATATATGTATTAGGTAGATATATATAGGTAGATATATATAGGTAGATATATATACTCATTCCTGATGCTGACGCCTGAATAGGCTTAGGCAGGCTTAGAGTCGATTCACAGCAACTCGCTGGAGCTTCCCAACAACAAACACCTCTTCCTGTCAACCCTCATCTCCTCACTCTCAACCCAGTTCATCGAATTCCATCTTACATCTTGTGTTGCATTCCCTTCAACTGGTGTTCACCACGATGATCCTGTCGACACGCTGGCGAAACGCTCGAGAAACTAGACCAACGCCAGCAACGCCAGCCGACTCGATGGATCTGCTACGGAGCTCCATCGCCGTTGACAGATATGACTAGTACTGTAGGTAGAAATCTTCATCCTTCCTGTTATCCACAATACTGATCGATCGAGATCGGAGAGCCATGATCTCGACCGTGGCCGCCGGTCGGAATCCTGCATCCTGGCTCCCCTTCAGACCCATCGATTGCGCGTTGAAAAAGAACCCGGAAGGTAACTATGGTCGACATTTTCGACAGCCAAGCCAGGCTTACAAGAAAACAGGGCGACGCGTCTCGGCGGAAACTGCTTGCTCTGGCCGCTGTGGAGTAAGACGCCTACAGGCTAGAAGCCCCTCCGGAGGAAGAAAGGATACCGAAGAGCAAAGGGGGGATAGCGAGAGAATACCAAAAGAATACTCAAGGAACACCGGAAGAATACTCCATTTATCGGATGAGATCTGATATCCGGGGCAGCTCAAACAGCGGTCGCAGCGATTGAGTTTCTGCACGGAATAATGCTCCCTTCATTACCACTGGCTCGAGCTTCAAACCCACCACCCCTTGGTGGCAACTGGCTGGAAATGCCAACTCCTTCGCTAAGCGAGAGAGCAAGCGAGAGATCGGAAGCCACCGATCTTGCTGTGGATGCCGGATGTGTTGCCTGGTAACTACTCCGGCCGGATGGACTCCTCCCACTTCTCGACCCACCGGCTTTCTCTTCGCCGGAATCTCCTGGGCAATCCGAGGATAACCCGAGGAGGAGAAGTTATTATTAATCATTGGTTCCAGTCACATGTGAAGCGCCCTGTCCTTGTAAGTAGGCCGTGTTGCATGTCTATATCGTACTACGGAGTACACGCATGCCACCTAATGCCTCTTTTCAGACGAACGGAATAGATCGTGGAAGTGCTGGTTCATCTGCTGAGAACTCTAGTCTAGAGTTGAAGATGGAAAGGCGAGGACCTCCTGTGCTTCTGTCAAGCACGCATCGCTTACAAGAAAGGGGACTTCCAGGGGTTTCTTTCTCCCCACAGTCAACACTATAGATGAATCTTCACGGGCTATCATTACTATATGGGCGATAGCTCAATAGCTGACACCTCGCTAAGGATGCGATCGTCCTAGGGTCTGAAGACATAACAAGTCACTGCTGACTCCCTATTCTGGCACGCATCGCATACCGAGTGGAGACGACCAACCCTGATTAGAGTGATCTGCAACTCTACCAAATTAACTACCAGCTACTCCGTATACCAAGGCGTTTGGACGAAACTTGGCGGATGCTTGACTGCTCGGTGGCTCCTGTTGTCACCACGAACAAGCCTCGGCGTACTGATGATGGATTCATGGACAGTTTCTTTATTCAGGTGCCATCTCTGGTTTCCAGCACAAGTGCCAGTCTTCTGGGTTGCCTGAGAGCATGTTCTGCAGTTGTGATGTTGATACCCGCCGTCGTTTCACATTGCTCGGAATGATGCCTTTTCGATCATCTGCAACTCCACTCGGTCGAACCGTCGCAAATCCACAGTGTCCTGCAGAAGGGAGAAATACGTCTATCAAATTTTAACCTCAATGTCGAGTAAATTAACATGCCGTGGGCTGTCACAGATTAAGCCCTGGGTCAACCCCTGGCTATCAGCGGTATCAGCTATAAAGACCCGAGGAGAGTGAGCTTGACCATCGCCATTTCCCAATCATCGCCATCAAATTTTGTTCTGTTGATCGGAACTGTCACTCTCTTTTCATCCAATCCACTCTTTCCAACCTTTTCTACCGTTAACTTGATATCTGTTGACCAGATATGCCTTCCGTGCAATCCACGCTGATCGGGCTCACCCTGGGCGCCGCGCTGGCGGCTGCGGCACCTGCTCCGTCGCGCGTGTCGGAGCTGGTCAAGAAGAGCAGCTGCACGTTCACCGAAGCGGCGCAGGTGTCTGAGAGCAAGAGCTCGTGCTCGACGATCGTGATCGACAGCATCACGGTGCCCGCAGGCGAGACCCTCGACCTGACGGACCTGACCGAGGGCACGACGGTGACGTTCAAGGGCACGACGACCTGGGAGTACGAGGAGTGGGACGGCCCGCTGCTGGAGATCTCCGGCACGAAGATCACGGTGAACCAGGAGTCGGACGCGGTGCTGGACGGCAACGGGGCGGCGTGGTGGGACGGCGAGGGCAGCAACGGGGGCAAGACGAAGCCCAAGTTTTTCTACGCGCACTCGCTGGACGACTCGGTCATCTCCGGTCTGTACATCAAGAACACGCCCGTGCAGTGCTTCTCGATCGAGAGCGACAACCTGCTCATCGAGGACGTGACCATCGACGACTCGGACGGCGACACCGACGATCTCGGCCACAACACCGACGGCTTCGACATCGGCGAGTCGACCTACATCACCATCACGGGCGCCACGGTCTACAACCAGGACGACTGCGTGGCCATCAACTCGGGCGAGAACATCTACTTCTCCGGCGGGACCTGCTCCGGCGGCCACGGCCTGTCGATCGGCTCCGTCGGCGGCCGCAGCGACAACACCGTCAAGAACGTCACCTTCATCGACTCCACCGTCACCGACTCGGAGAACGGCGTGCGGATCAAGACCGTCTACGACGCCACCGGCACCGTCGAGGACATCACCTACTCCAACATCAAACTCAGTGGCATCTCAGACTACGGCCTCGTCATCGAGCAGGACTACGAGAACGGTGACCCTACGGGCACCCCCTCCAACGGCGTCACCATCTCCGGCGTCACCCTGACCGAGATCACAGGCTCGGTCGACGACGACGCCGTCGAGATCTATATCCTCTGCGGCGATGGCAGCTGCTCCGACTGGACCGTTTCCGATGTCGACATCACCGGTGGCAAGACCAGCGATGCCTGCGAGAACGTCCCTTCGACCATTTCTTGTACTTAATTCTTCTACATAGCCATACCTATAGCTATAGAGAAACATTGGAAATACTCAATGAACCATGGTACTACCACTTGAGAACGGCCTTGCCCATGTTCTTGCCGTAGAATATCCCCACCAACCCCTCCGCCGCATTCTCGATACCATCCGTCTCGTGCATGAGGACCTTGAACCGGCCGTCCTTGATCATGGGGGCAACGCGCTCCTGGTGTTCCTTTGCATACAGAGGCCCCATGTTGTCGTCCCCGACGATAAACCCCCGGATGGTAAGCCGTTTCCCCACCACCTGGCCCAAGTTACGGATCGGATACGACGGTTCGGTGATGTTATACTGCGAGACCATGCCCGAGAAGATCAGTCGGCCGAACTGGTTCATCCGGTCGAGGGCGGCTTCGAGGTGTGCCCCGCCCACGTTCTCAAAGTAGATGTCTAGCCCCTGGGGAGCGAGCCGGGCCAGCGCCGCCGCGGGAGTCTCCTTCTTGTAGTTGAATCCTGCGTCAAACCCTAGCTCATTCAAGATATACTCTAGTTTCTCGTCCGAGCCGACACTGCCAATCACACGCAGACCCTCGAGTTTAGCCAGCTGGCCGACGAACTGGCCCACGGCGCCGCTCGCCGCCGACACGAAGATCGTCTCCCCCCGTTTCGGCTTGCCGATGTCGTACAGGGACGAGTATGCCGTGAGGCCGGGCATGCCCAGGGCGCCGAGGAAGAGCCGCACGTCCCCGACGCCGAACGGGTCGTCGAGGAGCTTTACTTTCTGCAGTTGGTCCTCGCGTAGGGCCAGGAAGCGCTGCAGGGGGAGCCGCTCCATGACGATGTCGCCGGGCTGGAAGCGGGCGTTGTCCGACTTGAGCACGCGCGCGATGCTGCCGCTGACGACGGGCGCGTCCAGCTCGAACGCGTCGCTGTACGAGGCGACGCGCGGGTCGCGCATCTTCTGGCGCAGGTACGGGTCGAAGCTCGAATACATCAGTTGCACGGTGATGCCCTTGGGCGGCGGCGGCGCGGCGGCGTCAAACGGCCGCTCCTCGATCGTCAGGTCCTTGCCCGGCACGGGATACCCGTGGGGGACGGATTTGTAGATGAGGGCCTTGTTGTCGGTCATGGTGAATCGATGTTTGGTAGTAGTCAGATTCGACGACGAAAATGCAGTCCTTCTTTCTTAATACTATAACTGCAGCATCATTACCCCACCATTGCTGACAAATGATGGGACAATAGCGTGGGGGAGCATTACCCCATTATGATGCTATTCATGTAGTCAGTGACATGATCCGTGTCAACTATTGGTAATCAGGTTCCTGGCATGAACGGGCCACGGACGGAGGCAAGGGTGGCAGACGGCGGAGGGTCAGGAAAGACACTGAAGTAGAGGCCGGTGGCCACTGCAAGGAAGTAAGTAAACAACAAGAACCGCTCACCTGCGCCCCCACGATGGTCCCGGAGGACGTGACGGCGTCTACACCGGCAAACCATGTGAAGACGGTGGCAGCAGTGGTGGGCAGACTGGCCGCGAAACTGCTCGGTAGCCGTTAGGCAGGGAGATTGCGCGGCGCCCCTGACCGCTGGCCGCTGCGATTCGATCTATCGCATAGGACGAAGGGTGTGCGGACGCGGACCCCGACACTGAGGCGGGTTGCGAAGGAGACAGCCGCCTCGCGCTGCACGACAGGCAAAACAAAGAGGTCGTTCGCTTGCGTGAGCCGGAAGTTGCGTCTGCTGGGATGCGGGGAGAGACGCCTTGCATTTGCATCCACGCGATATGTCGGGGCGTAATATTAATAACCAGCGCCGCCAACGTGACCTGCCATGTTCCAGCCACGGGCGTCGGCAAGCTGCAACACGGTCTTATACGAAGGATGGAGGGTCGGCGTCTCGAGAGGCAGATGGGCGAGCCACTTGCGCGACATCCTGCGCAGCGGCGCGACCGCCCCAAAGTGGTCAACACGACGACGGAGACGGTCTCGCGACTGTTTCTTCGTACGATAATCACCAGATGCCGCAGAGACTCTGGGGCTGGTCTCGTCTACTGCCTCAGGCAGACAGAAAATGGCATCGGCCAGCATCGGTCCACTTCGCAGTGCTGCGCGTGCGACGTCGCTGGAAATTCCGACTCATCTCCTTTTTTTTTTTTTTTTCTTCTTCTTCCCTTCCCTCCCCCTTCTTCGTATCGGACGCTTTTGGGTTATTTATTTATTTATTACTGTTGTCGGATGAGGCAGTCGCGGCAGCCGTGACGTGGCCGACCGACGCCCAGTCCCTGCAGGCTCGCCCGAATCAGAATGTTGACGGGCGTCTATCTGACTCGTCTCGTGTCATAGTGCTCCTGTCAAATCACTAGCCTGCCAGGGATGGATGGATGTGCATATTCCTTATTCAGAACTCGAAGAGGCGGAGTCCGCCGTATCCCTGTCCCCGTCTTGTAATGCCGTACGCCGTACTTCGGCCGGATCTTCGCGATAGGTCTCCGCTTGGGAATATTCCCCTGTGATCGCCCGGTGTCAGCTAGCCTCTTCCCCAGCCGAGACGGACTGGAAGAGCGATCCTACGGCATTGTCTCACTTCCAGGTTTCCCCCTTCCTCTGTATGGTCGGATCCGACGAGCTACTCCGTACCGAAGCTACACCTGAGCAGCCCCGGTACTTGGCAGGAATCGGTGTTTCAGGTGATCCAGGTTATTGTTCCATTCATCCGCAGCTAGGGTGGATTATGAGCAGTCACGTCAGTCCTGGTTCTGAGCAATGCTACATACGTAAGGGGGGGGGGAAAGGGGGCTATTGGAAGACAAAGGGAAGGGTAAAAAAAAACGGACAAACGGACAAACCCGAAAGCAAGAGACCACAAAGCCAGGGAAAAAACAAAAAGAGACGAACCTGACGGGGAAATTCCGAGCAGCAACACGAATAGCCTCGCTTTCTTTCGCCTCGCCCAACGGATTGTGTGCAGATTCTCCTGCGCCCACGTGGAATTCGACTCCACCAGGGGCCATGGATAGTCGAATGGATCCCAGCAAATCGACCAGGATCGAGATGGGCCGATCTGGGGGCTCTGGTCGATTTGCCACGGTGGGACCGGTGGTATTGGCTTGGAAGACCCTTGGAACGAGCTGAATTTTGGTCGATGAGGAGGAGGAGGAGGAGGAGGAAGAAAAGGAAGTTTGGGCGAGTTTTTGGCGGACGTTCCAGAAGGAAAAGGCACGTGGTTGTGGCACGTCTTTCTCTCCTCCTCCTCGCCTCCTCACTTCACCTCAATTCCTCCTCAATTCCTCCTCAATTCAACCTCAATTCCTCCCTTGTATCCCTCTCATCTTAGCGTCCATCTATGCCGTCTACGCCCTCGTCCATGTCCTCGTCGAGTTCCGTGCACTCCTCCTCGTCGACGAGGATGCAGTCATCGTCATCCCAGGCAACGTCTCACCTGCTGCGAGTTACAGACACCGACCGGCCGTTTACTAGAGTGAGTGAAGCGTGGAGAAACTGGGAGATTGAGACGAAGGGCGATGCTGACTGAGTAGGACTTCAAGGATCTCTTCTCGACCCTCATGGTCAGTCTCAAGCTGGAGACCAACCGCTCCTTTTTCGCCAAGTACGAGTACTCCTTCACCAGCGAGCAGGCCCTCAGCAACCTGAGCTCGCTCAAGTTTCTCCAGTCGTCACGCATCCCAGACCCGAATGATCCCTCGCGGATCGTCATCACAACCACCGCCACCACCTTCTCCATGTCGCGGGATGTCGCCCTCTCCATCTGCCAGCACTTTGTCCAGGCCCGTTTCATCGACCCGGTAGGCGGGCGAAATAGTAACGGGGGGGCTACCTTTGTGGCCAAGGGCGGCCTGTACCAGATGACCACCAAGGGAATTGCGGTCCTTCAGCGCTTCTGCGCCCGGAACGGTATCACCGCCCGTCATGTCCTGGACATCATCGAGTCCCCCCGGAATAGCATGCGATTGCTCATTCTTGAGCGGAACCTGGCTACGGATCGACTGCTGACCGACTCGGCCACCGTCGAGGTCATCTTTCGTCGCTTCGCCGGCCAGGATGGGCCCAACATCATCCCCGGCCTGTCCTTAGCCTCCTCCTCCTCCTCCTTGGCTGCGGCGCGCAAGATCCCCCGCCAGCCAGGGTATCCCAACGGAGTGCTGGGTGTGCGGCTGGCCAAGGACCAGCGTATCAACGGCAAGACCTTTACCTATGTGTTTTCCGGCCGCACCGCCGCCGACTGGCTGATGGACTGCTGCACCACCATCGACGAGCGTGAGCCGTATGCCATCGGCGCCCTCTTCGTGCTCCACCGCCTCGTCGTCCTCGCCCGAGACGATCCGGACTACCGCCCCTCGCGCGGCAACGGTGACGCCCCCTTCATCCCGACCGACACCGCCCTCTACGCCATCACCCCGGAGGGCCAGGCCGTCTGCGGCTGGAAGTACCTCTCGCCCACGGGCGAGGTCACCCCGCCCAACAGTGGCTCCTTTGACACCCCGCGCGAGGGCGCCGATTCCAACAAGGCCCGCCTGCGCTACATCCTCAACGACCCCTCGCTCCGCCTGCTGTTCCGCGAGTTTCTCATCGCCTCCTTTTGTGAGGAGAACCTGTCCTTCTACCTCGAGCTGTCCGAGTTCATGGACGACTACGCCGCTCTCAAAGCCACCAAGCAGTTGGCCGACCCATCCATGATTCGCAGAACCTTTGCCACAGCATACGGTATGTCTTTTTTCCTTCCCTTCACTTTTCATTTATCGCTAATAAGTCAGGAATGTACAACACTTTCCTCGCCTCCGGCTCGCCCTGCGAGCTGAACATCGAGCACAGTCTCCGCCGCAATCTAGCCATCAAAATCACCCTGGCGATGCGCGAACAGAGCCCAGACGAACAGTGTCTGGACGAGGTGCTCGCCCTGTTCAAAGCAGTCCAGACGTATATTTTTCACCTCATGGCTAGTGTGAGTTGTTCTTCATTCCATTTCTTTTCCACCATTGTTTGCCATGCTAATCCGTGCGAATTGTAGGACTCGGTACCGAAATTCTTCATCGTCCCTCGATATACGGGTATCCTGCAACAACACGATTTCGAGTCCGTGCGGTGACTCTCATACACCATCTATGTCTAATTCTTTGTCCTCGATTTAGCTTGTCTCTTTTTTTCCTGTCTGGTCTTGATTTTTGTTTACGAGCGATGAGCATATGCATCACGGTACATAGATCCGAGACTGTACATTACATCTTTCTGTACATACATTAATACTGGGAACGAATATATTATCTTAATCCTCTTATTGATCTTATTTTCAGAGTATCCCCAAAATTGGCTTGTCTCAGCCTTCACTCTAATCTGATGGACGTATCGAAATCAACGTTTAATACCGTCAGGAGCAACTTCCTAGCCTGGACTAGTCTGCCATAGTTAACCCGTTAGTGGCCCACTGTCTACAACTACTAAGTTGACTAGTTATGTAGTTAAAAGTATAGTTACTCCGTATGTACTCCGTAGTAGTTAGTGATAGTGCTAAATAGTACTGGATGAATCGATCATGATAGCGAGGCCCTCCACGATCGCGTCTGGTGATCTCCAATCGGACCAATTGTGGTTCAGCATGCCTGCAGTTAATATATAATACTTTATTAGCGTGAATCGAACGATAGTGCGTACTCCGTAGAGATACAGAGTACACTAGTGAGTAGGAGTAGCTTCTTACTCACCCCACGTCTCATCGTAGTCTTCGATCCCCTCGCGGATGTAATAGCTGCCTGCGAGGGTCCAGACGGTCCAGCCAGCGTGTATCTGCGGGATCCAGTCGCGCAGACACGTGGCGTAGACGCCTTCCCACGTGGTGCTGTCCTGCAGGAAACCAAACTCGGTGAGCACGACGGGCATCACGTTGGCGATGGCCGACGAGTCCGTCGTGTCGAGGGCGTCGAAGCCGTCGCTCCACAGCTCGCTCGCCAGCGTCGCGCAGCTCGTCGCAGAGGTGTCGTAGTTGTGTATCTCCAGCACCAGCTTGTCTGCAAACGCGAAACTGCTCAGGTTGAAGACCGTCCCGGCGCTGTCCAGCGCCGCGCCCGTCGGGATCGGCGCCAGCGTCGTGTCGTAGTCCAGTCCGGCCAGGAAGATGAGCGTGTCTGCGTTCGCGGCGTGGACCAGCCGTGCGGCGTCCGTCATCTGCTCATACCATGTCTGCCAGGTATAGGGATACTCGGCGTTGGCGACTTCGGGCTGCCGAGGCTCGTTGCGGAGCCCGATGCTCGCGTAGTTTGGCCATGTTTTTGCCTGCCCAACACGATTAGAACGTTTAGATAGATAACGGTAGCCAAGAAATTAACAGACTAAGAGAAAACAAGGAATGAAAAGAAGACGGTACATGTTCCACCATGTATTCCAGGCCCCGCTTCCATTTCGGGACGTCAAAATACGTGTCCCCCCACCATGCATTGCCGTCGGTTTCCGAGCAGCACCACTCGGCCTTGGAGACGTGGTTGTCTAGATGGATGTAGATGTCCTGGGCGGCACACTCGGCCGCCAGCATGTCAAACACCTGCAGTCGGGTCGTGCTCTCCGTGATCTGCGGGTTCATAGCCTGGATGTCATCCCACACCTTCGATCCGTTGACGCTGCCCAAAGCGATATCCAGCGACTCCTTCACCGTCACGTCCCCGCCGTTGTCGAGGATATCGTCGACCATCTCCGTGGCAAACGTCAGCCGGATCGCGTTCATCCCCAGACTCTTGATCTTCGACACCGTCGACGAGATAGACGCGTATTGTAAGCCCTCGGGGATCATGGCCCGCAAGTCCCCGGACCAGTTCGTCCCGGCGTACGTGACGTTGGCACCCGTGGAATCGACAATCCATCGGCCAGACACGCTTAGCGGCGTGTTCAGACTGGCAGATGTAGGGAGAACATGCCAAATGACAGAGAAAAGAAGTACCGCGGAGGCTCGCATCTTGACGCTTGAGGATATTCTCAATGTCTGGGACTCTCTACTTTCATCCCACCGTCCGATGCACACATTTAAATAGGCGACAGTTGACCGACTGTAAACAAAAAAGACTATTCCATGTGATGCAGTAAGGATCCCCGCAATATTGCCCAGCTTTTCTTCACGGAGATGAGGGGTACACAATCGCCAGGGGTACTGTGGGACAATCAGGATAATTCATCCATCCGGCTTCCCCGGGCATGACGAATGCTTGCAGGGAATCCCCGGAAGGAAGTCTTTCGATTGCGGGGTAGCTAGCCAAAATTCCAACGTTCAATTCATGGTGATGGACGATAGACCCAAACTATGTATGTGCCTATGGACTACCAAAATGGCTCCAGGCGGAACCGGAATCGCCGCTCCTCGCACTTGACACGGTATTGTTCCAGGGTGGTTGGACCGCAGGCCCCCGTGCCTACTCCAGAGCTCTCGATGTCCAGACGCACCCTCACGACCGAGTCGGCCACCAGCTCGTTGGCATGTTTGGCCTTTTCCACAGCCTCGGCGCTGTACCGCGTCGCAACCCACTGGAACACCTCCTCGCCGTCCTCCTCCTCCTCCTCCTCCTCCTCCTCCTTATTATCCGTCGCCTCGCGCGTGATCTTCAATCCCCCGCCGCGGGTATCGCGCAGCCGCAGCCAACGGGTCTCCATCCGGTTGCCGCCCTCCTGCGGAACTTCATACGGGGTGTGCAGCTCAGCGGTGGTGGCCTCGTAGATCCCCACCTTCTGCGCGCGCTTTTTGTCGGCGTACGCCTCGCCAGGGCCTAGGCCGAACCAAGCGGCGTGATCAAGCTCATCAACTAGACGGAGATCAAGCCCCATTCGCGGCATTGAAGCTGGCATCGAACCCTGAGGCTTCACATGGACCGCGACAGCAAGAGAACCGTCCCCGGAGATGGTGTACGTCGTTGTCGCGATGAAACCCCACGCTAGAATGGGTGGAGACAGGTATGTCTCCGTTGTGATTTGCACGCTGCCTGCACGGGGCTGTGACAGAGTTATCTTGCGCAGCTGGGATGTCATCACATCCAGGCCGTAGCGCCGCCACTGGCCCAAGTCCCAGGGCACGTCGTTATCCGTAGGTGGGCGCCAGAAGCCAATACCAAGGGCAGCTGGGGTGTTCAAGGACCCCGCGTCGAGCAGAGACCGACCCTGTGATTCCCAGGCATACAGACTGCCCGTCTCCCGTGAAAAGGTGAAAGTAAACCCTGGACCTGTGATGGTGTGGGTGGTGGCGGTGGATGCCACGTTCAGGTTGTACTGCAGTGCAGGGGCCTTGGACACAAGGGACGTGCTCAACCGGTGCTGGAACCAGGCAATTTCATGGTTGCTGTCCGCCCAGGCAGTAGCGGATGTGTCTTGGAAGCTGACCGTGAGCCAGGTCTCACCCTCGGTGGGAATTCCTGAAACTGCTGGCAGCTTCATGGTGCCGCGCTGACCGGCAAGAATCTGCGGGATCTCGAGAGTTCCACTGGTGATTATCTTGGTCCTAGCAGGGGGAATTAGTATGAGGGTATGCGTTGATGGGTATGGTGTTAAACTTACTCATCACCAATGGCCTCAACCTTGTAGATGGCGCGAAGACCTTCCAAGCTAGTGAAATTGTAGTGATTCTCTACGACAATGGCGTTGTCCTCGCCCACCCATGCACGGAGCGGCGCATACGCCTTTTTGAGCTCAATCAGACCTGGAGTCGGGGTGTGGTCACTATAGAGCAGGCCATCGAGGACGAAATTGCCGTCGTTGGGATGGTCGTTGAAGTCACCGCCGTAGCCATACCATCCCTTGGCCTCATCCCACAACCCATGGTTAGCCCACTCCCAGATCCAGCCTCCTTGCAGGCGCCGGTGAGTGCGGAAGGCCTCCATGTACTCTTCCAAACCACCTGGAGCATTGCCCATCGCGTGTCCAAATTCACACAGGACAATAGGTTTGGTAAAGTCATCACCTTCAGCGGTAGCAAGACCAACCAAGCGGTTGACCGAGGGGTACATGTAGGAATACATATCAGCCGTGACGGCATCCACGTCACCTTCATAGTGGACCGGACGACTGGGGTCAAACTCCTTGACATAGTTGTACATGGCGGCATGGTTCTGGCCGTAGAAGGACTCGTTACCCAGCGACCAGATGATGATGCAGGTGTGGTTTTTATCGCGCTGGACCATCTGCACCATGCGGTCCAGATAAGCGTCCTTCCACTCCGGGTTGTTGGTCGTGAACTGGGCGGCCTTGTTGAAGGTCAGCTTCTTGCGCTCCTCGTAGTCCATGGACTCCGGGATGTCCAAGGGACGAGCGATGGCATCGTAGAAACCATGGCATTCAAGATCGGCCTCATCCATCACCCAGAGCCCCAATTCATCACATAGCTCATAGAGGCGCGGATGCGAGGGGTAGTGCGAGCAACGCAAAGCGTTAATGTTGTGCCGCTTCATGATGAGAAGATCTTCACGGAGGAAGGATAGCGGAACGGCACGTCCAAACAACGGATGGTGGTCATGGCGGTTGACACCGCGGAAGAAGAGGGGCACGCCGTTGACGGTGATGTTGCCCTTTTTGATTTCCACCTGCCGGAAGCCAAAGCGGTGCTTGATGGTCTGCAGAACCCGATTGTCGACGGAGAGGGATATGGTGAGATTGTACAGATTCGGAGTCTCAGCCGTCCATTTTCTAGGGTTAGAGACCGGGAGGGTGACCTCAGCATTCCCCTGCTTCGCGACGGTGACGGAAAACCTCTCTGAGTGCAGGGTCTTATTGTCGTGGAATGGGTCCACCAGCGTCACCTCAACAGTCGCGGGCGCGGTAGTGGTCAAGTCCAATGACAAACGCACAGCCGCGTCGGTATAGGTGGAATCCAGCTCGGTCCGCACAAAGAAGTCCTCGATACGAGCCTGTACTGGAAAAGCGACAAGAGTCACATCGCGGTAGATGCCTAAGAAACTGGTCAGAGACGAATGAATATGAGATATGAATGCTCTGAGAGAAGCTTACCAGACAACCACCACTGATCTTGGTCCTCGATATAGGAACCATCAGACCACTGGTATACTCGAACAAACACCTCGTTGTCGGCATCGCGGCGGACAACGGCCGACACGTCAAACTCGGCGGCGTTACGGCTGCCCTGGGAATAGCCGACCTCGATGCCATTCACCCAGACATGATAGGCGCTGTCCACGCCATCGAAACGCAGCCGCAACTGGGTGTCAGTATCCCAGGCTGCCGGGACCCGGAACAAGCGCCGGTACGACCCCGTGGGGTTCTCAGATGGCACCCAGGGGGGGCAGACCGGGAATGGATAGATGACATTGGTGTAATGCGGATGGCCATAACCCTGGAGCTGCCAATGGCCCGGAACGGTGATGGGAGCCCAGGAAGGAGAGCAAGACGAGCCCTTTTGGTCCAAATCCCGGCGGGGTAACGGCTCATTCCCGGTCGGTGCTGGCGCACTCACCGGGGTCGGCGCGTAATTGAACTCCCAGCGACCATTCAACGACAAGATCGTCTCTGGCAGAAAGTAGGCACGGGCTTTGAGTCTATTCCGCTGCAAGACGTGTTGGTTCTGGTAATCCGGGACCGAGAGAAGGGCCATGACGGCGGTTGTGATGGCAGTGGAATGGGGGCGGGGGGGGGGGGGGGGGGGGGGAAGAGAGAGAAAACAAACAGCAGAGGAGTCGTCTATCGCTCACTAAACCCGAAATTCAGGCAGCAAGAGACCGACCGACAGGTACTTAGCACAAGCAATTCGATCTTGGACATTTGCCGGAGGGGGAACGCCTAAATAGGGTGGTATTCGTGGAATAACCACCAGGGGGAGAAACTCCCTCGTCACTGGGCATCGCCAATGGAGGACCCACGAGCTGCCGGGGCGGGGAAGCAGGATGGAGTGACCATCTCTGCAGACAGGCAGGATGGACACCCTCAGAGCGATGAAGCTCCAATGGCAGGAGAGAGAGAGAGAGGAGAGATGAGGGGGAGAAGGAAGAGGCAGACGAGAAAGAGGGGAAAGACGAGGTTGTCGCGGGAGTCGGGAGGATCACGGGTGTCACATGATGTTCGGTAAATAAGGACGCATTGAACTGTAGAGGACGTATTTGGTAGGGATTATGGTATATCCATTAGTATAGAGGTGTGCTGCTTCTGATTCACTTGTTCTAATCAATTACCAGGCCAATACCTCTACTAAATATCCCGAGGAACTTGAATTCTACTGCGTACAATCTGTGTTTGTGTATAGATACGGTATTCCTACTACCTCCTGGTACTACTGTACTGTAATACGGTTACCGTATTAATATCACGTGTCTTTCCAACCACCTTCCCTTCCTTCCTTCCTCGAATCCAACACAATCAACGTCTCACAATAACGTCTTCACAAGGATCTTCGTCACGGTAAGACACCCCCCCGTGTGGCGTGAACGCGCTCTTGGCTCTGCTTCTGACCATCCTGGCCTGACAGGTTTTCTCCCCGCGGAATAAATAGATCCAGCCATGCCATTTGATCGGGGTTGTCGGGTCCGCAACGCCTGGGCCTCATCCTGACCAGGGCTGGGAGGCTTCCCCAGATTGTCGCCGACTCCACCATGTTATAACCCGCAGGGCAGCCTGCCCAGGGTCCTGATGGAAGGGATCAACTTGAGCTATACGTCTCTGTGTTGGAATTTTTTTTTTTTTTCTATCGTACTGTGTGTCTTCGCTTTCATGGCCACTCTCAAACCCCAAGCCCAGTTGGAGGAGACGGGCCCGGAGAAGGATGCACAGCAGAACGTGGGCGATGCTGTTCAGGTCGCGGAGAATGCCACTACCTTCAAGTACAAGCCCTGGACGTGGAACATGCTGCGGCTGTACGGCTGCCTGGCGATCGCCTACCTGTGCGGCTGTCTCAATGGCTACGACGGCTCGCTCATGTCGAGTCTGAACGCGATGACGAGCTATCTGGACTTCTTCCACATGAAGACGGCAGGCTCTGGCACGGGGTTGACCTATGCCATCTACAATATCGGTTCTATCCCCGCTGTGGTGCTGTCGGGGCCCTGTAATGACTATCTCGGCCGCCGTATGGGCATGTTCGTCGGTGCTGCGCTCATCATCATCGGCACCTGCATCCAGGCGCCCGCCGTTAACCACGCCATGTTCATGGGCGGGCGGTTTATTCTTGGCTTTGGCGTCAGCTTCTGTTGTGTCAGTGCGCCCTGCTACGTCAGCGAGATGGCCCATCCCGCCTGGCGGGGCACCCTGACCGGCCTGTACAACTGCACCTGGTATATCGGCTCCATCCTGGCCAGCTGGGTCGCGTACGGCTGCGCTGAGATGAACGGGAACCCCGCCGCCTTCCGGGTTCCCATCTGGTGTCAGCTCATCACCTCCGTCATCGTCGCCGTCGGCGTCTGGTGGCTGCCCGAGTCGCCGCGCTGGCTCATGGCCAATGACCGCACCGAGGAGGCGGTGCGCGTCTTGGCCACCTACCACGGCGAGGGTGACCCGGAGCACCCCATGGTTCAACTCGAGCTCAAGGAGATGCAGCGCCAGATCGTGACCGACGCCTCGGACAAGAAGTGGTGGGAGTACCGTGAGCTGATCAACACCCACTCCGCCCGCCGCCGCCTCATCTGCGTGATCGGCATGGCCTGCTTTGGCCAGCTGTCCGGCAACTCCGTCACCTCCTACTACATGACCGACATGCTGCAGGAGGCGGGCATCACCAACGAGCACACAAAACTGCTGCTCAACGCCATCAACCCGGTCATCTGCCTGTTCGCCGCCTGCGCGGGCGCCCGCCTGACCGACAAGATCGGCCGCCGCCCGCTCATGATCTACTCCCTCATGTTCTGCTCCGTCGCCTTCGCCATCATCATGGCCTCCTCCAAGCTGGCCCATGACGACCCCCACAACACCAACGCCGCCAACTGCTCCATCGCCTTCATGTACATCTTCAGCGCCGTCTTCTCCTTCGGCTGGACCCCGCTGCAGAGCATGTACATCGCCGAGACCCTCACCACCACCACCCGCGCCAAGGGCACCGCCGTCGGCAACTTCATGTCCAGCGTCAGCAGCGTCATCATCCAGTACAGCTCCGGCCCGGCCTTTGCCCACATCTCCTACTATTTCTATCTGGTCTTTGTCTTCTGGGACCTCATCGAACTCGTCGTCATCTACTTCTTCTTCCCAGAGACCAAAGAGCGCACCCTCGAGGAACTTGCCGAGGTCTTCGAGGCCCCCAACCCGGTCAAGAAGAGTCTCGAGCCTCGCAACATGATCTCCATCCTCAACACGCTCGACGTCGACGGCGGTGTCAAGGGGGTTTAATCGGTCTTTTATCACCTAGGCTATAGCATCTATATATGAATACCCATCGCAGAAACTACCATACGCAGTTCCAATATCTGGATATCTTTATTCCAATCGTAATTCCAATTGTAAATCCAATCGTAAATGAGTCTCTCTGTCTGTCTGGGTGTCTCTCTCAACACGTGATGGTCATCTGATTCTCTTCCACCTTCCCAACAGAATTAAAAAAAACCTCACCCTCAATTCGATCCCTTCCATCACAACATATTCTTCGCAGAGCAGGCCGAGAAAGAAAGAGAATGCTTTCACAACTAAAGTCTTAGCTCGGGACACGTCCCACCAAACATCTGCCCAGATTCTTTCCCCCGGTTTCCCCGATTTCCCCGCAGTCTGCACTCCTATCCTATCCTGCTTCCCCGGAGTCACTGAGCAATTGGATCGGCTTGATACGCAGGGTATTGACTGTTTCTTTTTTTCCAGTTTCCGGCGTTGATCATGGCTGAGACGCCCGACTATCGGAAACGAAAGAGAACCTCGCATGCGGTACGTGTGGTTGGCCTGTGGGTGAATGTCGCTAATGCATACAGTGTGACGCCTGTCGACACCGCAAAGTAAGGTTAGAAGATCAATTCGATAGAAATGGAATAGATGGAAGATTTACCAGGTCTATGCTGATTTGTCAGATGCGATGGCCGACAGCCCTGCACGACGTGCTGCAACACGGGCGAGGACTGCTCGTATGGCACTGAGGCGATTCCGTGAGTTCTGGAAGAGATGATTGAAGGACTCTTCTGATTGAATGATAGAAAAAGCAAGAGTGATCTCATTCTCGACGTTGCGTTGCGGTCGGAGACGCTTCTGCGTGAACTGTCGGCCCAGCTGGTAGGTCCCCCTATTACTGGACTCCATAGAGGAATGTTCTTTTTCTAATTGACTTCTTTTGACAGCACACGGTCATCCGTTCGAATACAAATGCCTCGTCGCCTGGGGCGATCATCTCCCCCCGTACGATCGACTCGGCCCAGAACGCGGACAGTCACATCTCGAACGCGACGCTGTCGGCCTTCCATGCCTCGACCACGGAGTCGATTCTGGCGTGGCCGCATTTCGACGACTTTGTGGCCTTGCGCCAGGCGCACAGCTTCTCCGTCTTCCACCTCGAGTCGACCCGCGCGCCGCCTGGCCGCCCTTCCTCCGCGGTGCCCATGCACCCCTTCGCGACCAAGTACGAGGTAGACCGACTCGTGCACAGCTTCGAGCAGACCGTCAACTTCTGGTACCCTACCATGTCCTCGGCCATGACGCGGGATCTCGCCTCCCGTGTTCTGGTAGGCTCGCTCGACGAATCCATGACCTCCTGCCTTGCCCTGCTCGTGATGGCCCTGGGCTGTGCTAGCGAGCTGGTCTGCTCGTACGCCGGCCACGAGGCACCCGCCGCCGACGAATTGGAGAGCCGTCGTCAGCGCCGTCTCATGGGCGAGCTGTACTTTGACTGTGCCTTTCGCAAGATCTACCTCGCGCAGGCTGAATGTACGGCGGAAGCCGTGCAATGCCTGTTCTTTACTGCGTTGGTATTGTATCCCTATATACGGTTTCACCTCCTAAATCATCTCTTAGACTCTTCTTTGCCTTTCAACAACGTCCGCTCCAGGCGTGGTCGTTCATCAGCTCCACGGCGGCCAAATGCCGTCTGCTGCTCTCGTATCCTGACTCGGAGGGCCTCCCGGACCAGCAGGAGTGTTTACGGCGGATCTTCTGGTCGTGCTATATCTTAGAGAGGTACTCTTTTAGTTTTCCGACTTTCTCATTGACGTCCCCTCTCTAATGAGGTCCTACAGTGACTACCTGGCCGAGCTGTCCGCCCTGCCGCAAACAGGAATCGCAGATATCGAATCGTCCGTCCCCCTGCCCGGGGAGTACCACACACACGCCTCGCAGGCAGACGAGGAACAGTCATCACTGTATTTCCTAGCGTGTATCTCGATGCGCCGCCTGCTGAACCGCGTGCACAACCTGCTCTACGCGCGGGACACGGGCGTGGGCTTCGATAATCAACAATTCCCTTCCGTGGTGGCCGAGCTGGGCCACCAACTCGAGGAATGGAAGGAGTTGCTCCCTCCCCCATTCCAGTTCGCCGTCGACCTCAGCCCGGCGCGGTCCATCCCGGGAGCCTTTCTCCGACAACGCTACCTCACCTGCAAGAGCGTCATCTACCGACCGTACCTGACCTGGGCGCTGTCCAACACCGCCAGCGCGCCTGCCGTGAACCATTTCCCCGCCGTTGTCTACGAGGGCTGCCAGAGCTGTCTGGACGCCTGCTGGCTACATGCGCAGAACCTGGGCAGCTTCCCACATACCATCATGATCGACACGTGGATCTGCTCCTTATCGTATCTCTCCCTGTCTTCTTTCTTTTGCTCTTTGCAGCTCATCACTTATACTTTACACTGTAGGATGGCCTCCGTCATGCTGATCACGCTTGCTGCATCACGTCTTACTGCCCTCCGCGGCTGCATGTCGCCCAAAGTCGCCGAGATGGGACCGCATCTGACCCAGCTGCTCACTCAATGGATGCATATCCCCGGCCATGGGGTGTCGCCCAGCGTCCTGCAGAGTGTCAAATTGATTGGGGATGTCAGCGTTTCGCTCAAGATGATCTTGCGGTAGTAGCACTGGATGTTTCTGCATAATACGGGGCTTCGTATCCCATAACAACAGTAGATTGTCATCACAGAGTGGTCAGCTCTAAAACCATGTGGATGTAGATACCTTGCCTTCCAGTTATACAAGAGTACTTTGCAACTGGATACTGAACTGTCTCATGTCTAACTACACCTCCACAACCGCCTGTAGGTGTTTGATTCACTCTACTCTAGACTACCATGAATCCACATCTATCAAACATGCTAAACAGTGTTAATCTAGTAATCCTGATATGTTTGCGTCTGCTGTTTGACCAATTGGGAGGTCTCCCAATATCTCTCACTCTGTCTTCTCTCACTTCTTCTCTCCATCTCGCTTAGCATCACACATTCACCTGTTCATCTTGTTCATTCACCTGTTCATTCTGTTTATTCTTCTCATCATCGACTCTTCTTCATCTTCATCTTCATCACCACTACACACTACACACTACACAGGTATCATAGAACATCATGCTTCCTCAAATGGCCCCTCTGAACCAGGGGACATCAGCCTACCACCACATCCATGCAATCTACACACGCGATCCGACACAAGGGACGCTGCTCGGGGCGACCGGCCACCGGGCAGAGGAAGTGAAGGCCTCATGGCGCGGGTTCCTCGACTACGCGATCCTCCACGACCGACGAAACGAGTACTTCATCCAGACGGGCGGGGTGCGCATCCATGTCTTCGAGATCTACCTGAACAATGTACTGCGCGAGGCAGCGGCCGACTCGGCAAGCGTGATCTCCGACCTGCTTGTGCCCGAACGACCCGCGAGGGGATTCCAAGGCACGCGGATGCGCGTGTACGAGGTGAAACTGGCCACGGAGCACCAGGTGCGCGGGGTTCTCATGGACAGGATCGAGGGATGCGCAGAGGAAAAGGCCCTGTGCGACTGGGCGGGGAGGTTTCTGGTATCTCACGCCAGACTGGAAGCCACGGCGGTGCCGTACTCGGAGCAGGACGACGAGGCGGCCGTGCTGGCGGTGCGAATCACGCATCTGTTCGCGCGTACGCTGATGTACACGATGAAGGAGATGGACACCAAGGGCAACACGCCTGATCGGTGGGAACAGGGCGGGTTCGACGCGTTTGCGCGGCAGGTCTTCTTCTTCACCTCGCGCGGCCTGCGCGTCGAGTTCGTCCTGCCTGCGTTTCCGTGCAAGTCGAGCAATCTCAATCGCGTCTCTGGGTATGCGCCTGACAAAGCCGAGGAGATCGCCTTGCGCACCCTGTGGTGGTTCACCATGGACGTCGAGGAGTATTATCCGCCGGGGGCGAGAATCACCATTGTGTCGGACGGTATTGCCGTTGCTGACTGCCGTAAGCTCTCTCTCATTCTGTCTTGTTCTTCACTCTTGCAGGTCTCTTTCTAAACTGTCTAGTTGGCATGCACGACGAGTTCGCAGACCAGTACTTTGCCCACCTGAACGTGCTGAAAGAAGAATACTTTCCATCCGATCCACGGATCGAGCTGATCTCTCTGCACCAACTGCTCGAGGATAAGAACGGCAACGCGGCTCCGAACAACCTGCCAATCGACCTACCAAGCTACACCGAGACGACGACCACCGAGGCCGCCGTGAACGTGCGCAAGCTGGTCATCGCCACCGCAGGGATCGACGACAGCGCGATGCGCAAGGCGATGGAGGGCGCCGCGCAGGTGAAACGCAACAAGGAAGCCGCCGTGGCAGCGATGCGCAAGCTCCAGAGGCAACGACAGCTCGACGGGGGAACAAGCAGAAGAAGCACCAAGAAGATGGACGAGACAGCATGGAAGCTACACCAGACCATCAGGCAGGACCAGACGGCCGACGAGGCCTTTGCAGCCATGTACACAGACTACGTGCGGTTCCACATGGAGGATCTCGCCGACAACCCCTTACGCAAGCTGCACCCTGCGCACCGGCAGCGCCTGGCGTCGAGTATCGGGTGGGAAATGATTCTGCGGCACCAGGCGATTTCGAACCTGCTGACGGTCTTGTTTCCGCACGCGGTGCGGTTCAGCGTGCACGCCCTGCCGAACAACGGCCCTGCGTTTGCGGTCGACATCATGTCCCGGTACAGATACCAGGTCAGCGCGGTGCGGGCGGTGCGCGACTTTGCCCCCGTGGACCGGAAGGGGGTTCTTCAGATCCCCGCGCCGTGGAACGGATGTATTGCTAAGATCCACGGGGCGGCGAAACACATGCTGACGACGTCGGGGGCAGTGCGCGACAGTATCGCCGAGGGTGCGTTTCTATGGGAATGGACTCACGACGGCGGGCCCGCGGGCACGAAATGGTTCCGCCTGCAATTCACCCGCACCGAGGCAGAACATGCTTGGGCGAAGAAGTATGGCGCCGAGCAGTGGAAGGCCCTGGTGACCGGGGTGGGCTTTGGCGAGTTGAGGCGGTTTCGTCGCGAACCGCTTATTGTCGAGGAACATGAAGAGCCGGCGCCCGTGGTGCTTCTCTCGAGGAAGAAGAAGCTCAAGCTCAGGCTGGCCAGGAAGGGCAGGAAGGTCAAGCAGATCCTGGGCATGTCGTGGAAGGGGTTCTGTCGCTTTACCAAGGGGATGTGGAACAATGCTGTTGCTGGGTCGGAGGTTGTTTTGGATTTGAATGATCTTTTGACTGACTGAAAGATACTTGTACCATGATATGACTATGATGACTATTGATACTCTTGTACTATGACTATGACTGACTACCGCACACAATATCCTCCGTCAATAAGAAGATCGGCTCCGGTCATGTACGAACTGGCATCGCTAATCAGATAGACATAGGCCCCCTTGAGTTCCTTGGCGTCGCCATTGCGCCCCATCGGGATCATCGACTTCCACAAGTCCTGCGTCTCCTGGGCCACAAAGTCCGACAGGCCCGTATCGATGTAGCCCGGGGAGATGGAGTTGACGCGGGCGAAATCGCGCCACTCGTTCGCCAGCGAGCGTGCCATATGGATACACCCTGCCTTGGCGACGTTGTACGAAGTCTGCTCCTGCGGGAAGTTGGCGATGTGACCCGACATGCTGGAGGTGATGACGAAGCTGCCCTTGCCGCGCTGGCGGAAATGCTCGCCCACGGCTTTGGCACAGTGGAACGTTCCGTTCAGATCGGTCTGGATGACTTCTTCCCAGGCCTCGACGGATCCCTCGAGGATGCCACTGTCGGCCGTTCGGCCGGCGTTGGCGATGAAGCCGTCGATCTGCCCAAAGTCGGCAATCACGTCGTGCACCAGCTTCTGCACGTCCGCCCAGTCCGACACGTTGCATTTGTACGCCTTGGCCTTGACGCCGTACGTCGCGGCCAGCTCGGCGGCGTTCTTCTCGCCTCCGGCCGGACGCGACGAGTACGTGATGGCCACGTTGGCACCCATCTCGGCGCATCCACGGGCAGCTTCGATGCCCATGCCGCGAGGACCAGACGCGCCCGTCACCACGACGACCTTGCCTTTTAGGCTGAACAGGTCGGTGAGAGACGAGGCGGTGGGGATAGAGATAGGCATTGTTGACTGAAATATACAGAGGTAGAGTCGAAAGAGAATATACAGACGGAATAAGGATAGAGAGAGAGAGAGAGAGAGAGAGAGAGATAGAGAGAGAGAGATAGAGAGGGGTCGAGAGGGGTAAGGGAGGAAGAGAGATTTAATAGGCAGGTACTCGAGACACGGGCGATGATGTCATGACATGATTCTTTGGTCGTGGTGCGTGGAGTTTCTTACTAGGATAGAATCATCCAATTAATTGATTCATCCATGGGAATAGAGGGTCCATGGATAATAGAATTGGCTGATAGAGGTATTATATTAAGTGACTTTATTATAGATTTCTCATCAATTAATCCTTTACTATAAATTATAAAATATCAAAATCACTGTACTATGAATTATAAAGTATTAACTATATTTACTAATTCATGTCATACGATACTGACCCATTCCAAGTCCAAGTATTCCAAGGTACTGTTTCTCCACGCTACAATTTCACTAATCCGGTTAGTCTCGGGTCGATCATGGAACAACCAAGTATTTATGTTGATATTGGTTGATAGAGAAGTTGGTGCCATATTACTCAGTGGGAAAATTATAACAAATGAAGTTTCTATACGGAGTATATGGAGTACCTAGGAGTACCTAGGAGTACGTATATATATATAAGGTGATAGTATTCCCATTGAGCCAGATCCAGGGTGTCGTTGTCGTTTGAGGGATCCGAGTGGGAGATGCTGGCTCCTTCCCTGAAAGGAACACCACGTGACCAGCTTGACACATGACTTGTGAGCTAACTGAATCTAGAATCATGCGAGAATGAGGGGATTCAAGGTTGACGCCCGCTTCTTCCTGACGATGGCTTGGTCGACAGTCATCGATCAATCGGACAGATCAGCTGGAAGAATACTACTTATCAAAGAGGCTGACCTTAGAGACTATTGGAGTCACGGAGTCTGTACGGAGTAGTACCTCTGGCTATTGCCTCTGAAGGCACAGTGTACGAATCTCCTATCTGTCTGGCGATCCTTGACAAGGTCTGACCTTTCCATTGCAAATCATAGCACCTTTTAAGGCTCCGAACCTCGCTCAGACCCTGGGTTCGTCCAACCCTGGTTCAGGAGCCGCGTCTGCGAAAGGCAACTGCCGGCAGACAGACCAAAACTAATGCAGAGCCCTCGCAGAAACCTCCCCTGACCAAGAAAATTTTCCAATCGTTCGGGAAGCAGCAATTCGACATGACATCAGGCCCCATCTCGATTCCACGATCACGCTCCTAAATCGGGATTCTGGCCCGACCGGCCTTTGTGATGGGTCACGGCGGCCCCTCAGATTTGCAATCCGAGCCGCAGCTAGACCTCCAAATGACAGCTATCTCGTGAGATCCCGGCGTCGATCAACTTGACCCATCACTGCGGGGTGTGCTGGTTTTGACTTTGAAGAATTGACAGCTGAGAAGGCAGCGATGGCAATGGATGTGTCTAATGGGAGTTCGCAACTTCTTTAAAAGGGTCTTGCTATGGCCTCGGGCATTTTCTTCGCCCTTTTTTCCCATTTTCAAGATTAGCTGAGTTGCTATTTTCAAGACACGTCATGGCAGGGGTCGCTGAACACACACCAGGCTCGACCAGGTCAACTAGCAACAGATCGGTCAGCCATTATTCGGGGAACGGCACTTCGTATTCGGGCTCGGTGCGGTCAGATGCCACTGGAAAACAGACCGTCAACTTGGAGCAGTGGAAGGAGGAGCTGGTCGACAAGTTCAGAGTACAGGATACACTTTCTTCTGATGGCGCATCGAGGTAGGAGACGGCCCGTCATCGCGGGAACACCGTGCAATACTAATCAACTGACCAGTGTCTCCAGTGGAATCCTCGAGTTCCCGCCCCCTCCCGGATCGCTTGCGCGTGGTCTGAGCAGTAACGATCTCGCCTTGGCCGGTGCCAAATCGTCCATCAAAGCGCTGCGACGGCAACTGACGATGGACGATCTGCCGCTACTCCAGGAGGTCAATCCGTTCGAGGGAAGCCAACAATTCGACCCGATCAATACCGAGGAAGCCTCCTCGTACGACCTTGTTGCACCCTACGCCGGAAACAATGCCCCGTTGCACCGCCTAGAAGAGCAAGCAGAGATCATGTTCTCGACCGAACACATGACGACCATCCTCTCCAACCCGGGGTATTTGTATCGCTTCCGGGAATTCCTCGCCGAGCAACGACCAAGGTCCGTCATGGTCCTCGAACATTACCTGAATGCGCGCAAAGCACTCAAGGCCATTCAGTACGCCAACGCTCTCGCACGCGATCTGGCCGGCATGCCAGAAATTCAGACTTCCGACCAGTCCATTCCACCGACGACCAACGAGATGTTGGAAGACCGCGCGGCAAAAGCTCTGGCCGCACTCACGGCCGAAGAGCTGCCGGCATTCATCACTTCGACCTGCATCACCATCACCAGTAAGGTTGTCGAAGAGCGTATCCGAGGAACCCTCCCCGCCAAGTTTCAGGCAACGTCGGATGCACTGGCAGAGGTGTTTTGCTTAACCGACCCGTCGCGACCAGACAATCCGATCATCTTTGCTTCAGAGGGTATGGTAAATCCTTTCCCTGCATTCATCCTCATCGTTCTCGCTTTGCATACTTATTTCATGGAGAATTCCACCGAACCACTCAGTACGGTATGGATTACGTGCTCGGTCGAAACTGCCGGTTCCTGCAGGGCCCCAAAACCAACCGCAACAGTACAAGGCGCATCCGGGAGGGAATCGAAGCGGGACGACATCACTCTGAACTGTTCCTCAACTAGTATGTGGCAGACGTGAACAAATGAAGGCCCAAAACCAATATTCCCATGCTGACCTTTTCCCTCTCCCCAAGCCGGCGCGATGGCTCCCCCTTCATGAACCTGTTACAATGTGCGCCCCTGTGCGACAGCACTGGCAAGATCAGATACTTTATCGGTGCCCAGATCGATGTGAGCGGTCTCGCCATGGACGGCGCGAACATGGAGTCCCTGCAGACCCTCGCCGCGCGGAAACGCCGTCTCAAGGAACCCGGAACGCCCGAGGAACCGCAGGACCGAAAAAGCGAGTTCATCGAGCTAAGCGAGCTGATGAGCCCGCAAGAGTTGACCACATCCCGCACCCATGGTGGCAAGCTGTTCAAGCCTGCTTCCAGTCTGCACAGCGACCGGTGCAGCTCGCGCAACACCAACAGCAATGTCCATTGGGCCGACGAATGCGAAGACGGCGAGGCCCCAGACCCGCTACCCTTGAAACCATCACCAGCTATTTCCTTGGCCGGTGTTTATGAAAATGTAAACCCCCCCCCCCCCCCCCCTTTCTCACTTCCCTAAACCCTAATGATATGGTTTTGGCAAATCTAATACGAACAGTACCTCCTTGTTCGACCCTACCCCTCGTTGAGGATCCTATTCACCTCTCCCTCGCTCCGCATCCCGGGAATCCTGCAGTCCTCGTTCTTCTCACGCATAGGCGGCTCCGCCTCGGTACGCGACGACCTCCTCCGCGCGATGATCGCCGGCCGGAGCGTGACGGCACGGGTGCGCTGGCTGAACCGGTACGATGACCACGGGCGCGGTAGGTGGGTGCATTGCACGCCCTTACTGGCGAATAATGGTGGGGTGGGGGTGTGGATGGTCATTCTGGTCGATGATGAGGAGCAAACCGTTCGATGGAGGGGGAACTGGCCGTCTTGATCCGCAGATTCTAGAGTATTATTAAATCCTGGAAATAGTTATAATCAAGTAATATATATATATATATATATATATATCTATGTACTTGTATATTATCTACGGACTACGTTGTCCTCTTAATAACCCCTCTTCTTCTTCCTCTTGGTCACGCCGAGCATCGCCCTCGAGTTTCTCGGCCATAGCGATGCCATCTCGGCGCCCTTTGTCCATATTCACGAAAGCAATGAGCGGGATAGGGAGTAAGATAAGAACAGCGATGAAGAAGAAGCCCGAGCGGACCGATCCCGTGGCATCAATCAGGCCGCCGACGATGGCCGGGCCCACGACCGAGCTGCCCTTGTCGGTCACGGCGTAAAGGGCGTAGAAGGCTGCCTCGTTGCCCGGCGGGATGAGCTGGCCGAAGAAGGAGCGGCAGTAGGAGTTGAGCCCGCCGGAGACGAAGCCATGGATGAAGCCTAACGGGTAGATCTCCCACGGCTGCTGAAGGCCAATCACCCCCCACCGCTTGAAGAGGGGAACGTAGCCCATCATGCCGTATATGGGGATGAGTTCGAACAGGGCAATGCACGCCATGATGGTATGGTTGGACTGCAGGTTGAATCGGCGGGAGATGATGGGCCACAGGAAAGCGCCCGCCATGCCGGATACCATGGCCGTGATGGAGAGCATGGCCACGGCCTCGGTGCTCATCTTCAGCTCTGTGCGCGCGAACAAGATGGCCGTCCCGGACACGGTGGCAATCGCGTCCGAGAGCAGGAACCACGCGACCAGGAAGATCACCATCTCGCGCAGTTTCGCCGCTATCTTGACCGTCCGCCAGAGGGACTTCCATGCAAACCCAATCATGCGGAGGGAGGCGCGCCACTGACTCAGTCGGTTGTCATCCCGATTGCCGCCCGCGGTGGATGAGTCCAGGGGAGGGCCCGGACGGCTACGCAGCCAGCGGCGAGTCACCATAGTACCACCGAACCACCAGACACCCACGAGAAAGAGAACGAAACGTAAGGGCAAGGTTGCCGATGTCTTGGAGAGGGAGGTCTTCGAGAGGCAGAACAGTAGCAGAATACTCAGACACTGCACAAACATGGCTGCGCTGTAGCCCAGCCCGACTCCTTTTGACGAGATTTGCGTCGATAGCTGCATCTCAGGGGACACCGGGCCCTTCTTTTTCTTTGGGTCGGCATCTGGCTCGTCCTCGACATCGTTCACGGCTTCATGCTCCTCTGCTTCCTCGTCGTCGTCGTGCCGGTACATTTGTCGCGATGCTCGCTGTAGTTTGGCATGGTGAATGGAAGGGTCGTGGGCCACCAGGAGCGGTAGGAAAGAGTTGAGCACGACAAACGACGAGCCCAAACAGGTCACCCCAATGATCGCCAATATCGATCCGAGAAGGAATACCGGGGGCGCAACGAAGATAAACATCATACAAGTTGTCGATCCGAGGAAGCCAAAGATCAACAACATAGTTTTTCGGTTTGTTCCTACATATGTCAGGTCACTTGCATCAATCCCCGAAACGCGATTAGGAGAAACATACCATAATCTGCCAGCGCACTGAACGAGATAAGAGTCAATGCCTGCACCAGCACGGCCAGCGAAAACGTATACATCGCGAAACTCGCGGTGTTGATTTGCATCCCGAACAGGTCCACAACACATTGTCCATTCTCATCACCGCCCCGAGTCATCGCATGAGTCCCATTCCCACCCGCCGAGACGCTTGTCGGCACACACGGCAAGTGACTGTTGAGAAATGTTCCTCGTTCGCGGGCGAGTTGTTCGAGGGTGATGGGGAGGAAGGAACCTATACGTTTGTTTAGCCACAACCGATTCAAGACGGCGTACTCTGGATCAAATAGGAAAACCCACCCACTCCACATACGGCAAACACCTCTGCCGCAATGCCATACGCATACCAGCCTAGGATCTCGACTCGCCGCGTCGGGGTGGTGTCCTCGGCGGCATACCGCGGCGGTCGCAGCCGATCCTCTTCGGGCGGGGGAGGCGACGACGGTCGCTCTGAGGAGAAGAAAGGCATGACGCAAAGAAGGAAATCAAGCCGGAATAAGAGTCACCGCAGTCAAGAGAGCAGCCAGCGAGTAGTTACCTCGCAGACGGGCGACAACAAACGTCGGACGGGGGTGTTTTGTCGGTCAAGGAAACGGAAGTCGGCGGAATCGAGACGCAGTTATTCTGGAGCTGTCAGTCCCACTCGGGGCTGGCCGCACGTCATCGGTGATCGCCCGCCAGTTCCAGCAGATATGAGCTGGGCAAACAAGGGCGTGAAGAAGAGCTTCTAGGATGAAGGGCGTGAGTTGAAGGCAGGCAGCTGGAATATTAATAGAACTGAAGATGAGGACGACTCCCTGGAGGTTACGTAACCTCTCCTGTGACCTCATCCCTTGCGCTGACTGGATTATGATCTGCGGTTTCTATTGGTTGGAGCTATCTACGGTCATGTGATTGTGTAGACACCTCAGGCAGACGTTCCATATTAGGCAAGAGGGCATGTTGCTTCTTATCAAGTATCTATTTGCATTCACTGTGTATATTCACTGTCTAAAAGTACCCCATACATACCTTCTGGACCATAGAATGGCTTATTGTATGCTTCTGTCAATGATTGGTTTCTTCTGCAGTCGCTTCCAAGCAGCTATTGAACGTTTTAAGAAAGACCGATGAAATATAGGAAATAAATATAGACAATCAAGATATACAGTATTGATTTAGAGTCAAAGTAATGTGTCTATATATCATCATTCTCCTCCAACCAGCCGATCAAAGGATTGTTCTCAAAGCAGTCCATCACAGCCGAGAGCAACGCGATGCGTACATCCCACAGCGCCTTGCCCGTGGCAAGATGAATATGCTTTGTTTCCGGCATGATGGTGCAGGTTCCGTCCGCCGCGAGAGTGACGATCTCGAAATTCTCGATCTGGCCGATTTCCGGTCCGAAATCAAGCCCGTACACGCTCAGATGGCGAGAGCTGCTGCCGATGGCCTCGCCGAAACGCAGACCCATCCTGCTCCAATCGGGCTGATCATTCAGAAAGGCCCGGCTTGAGATTTTGAAAAGCTTCGGCGCATCTAGACAGTCTGGGAACGTGATTCCTGCCCCTGACGCTGCTGCACCTGCACCTGGGAGTAATCCAATGGCTGGAGATTCACCCGCACCCCGTTGACGGAATTCCCGAGGTGGTGATCCGGTGGGAAGGCGAGGCTTCTGCGGAAGTTGTACGCCATGAGTAGACGGCGCGACGGAAATGAGATGTCAATTACGGCTTCTCTGCGAGCCCCTTCGATGCAGACGCCTAGCACGCCGTTCAGAACATCCATTGTTGACAGGAACGTGGGGACTGTAGTATCGTCATCGGTCCTTTCACAGTAGATCTGAGTCAAGAGAGGCAGAAACAACGTACAGGCCTCACGGGGACGATGAAGTCTTTCCGGGGAGAAGAAAAATGGACGCAGACGGAAATCTGATCGGAAGATCTTCAATTTATCTTTGTTCTTAGTCCTCCTTTCTCCCCTTCTGCGCCAACCAAACGTGCCCTGTCACCGCGGAATGGTCGATATCCTGGCGTGGCCCCTCGCCAGCAGTGGTGATTGCATCTCGCAGGATTGCCTCTTGCTCGGCGTTTATGTTGAGAGAAAACAATTGCTCCCCCGTCATCGCCGCGCGACAACACTCGGCCAGCAGCTTGTGGATGTCATCTGCGTCCGCGCCGTCGAAGACGTTACGGCTGTATATCATGCTCAAGACGACCCCGTCCGCGAGAACAGTCGCCTGGAAGCGTAGGACAGGCCTTGCTTCGGACGGCAGCAGCATGCGTGGGAGGAGAAGAAACCTCTCATCGAACGTAGCGATGGATAAGTTGGTTGTCTCCTCGTTTCTGTTCCTGTCTCTGGTTTTGCTTCTGTCTTGAACGAAAGCAGGAGGCAAGGTCAGGTCGGGCAACTGCTTGACGGCCACCATGGGGATCGCAGCAAAGGCATTTCCCGGCTGGATGCGCAGCTGGCCTTTTCTTTTATACCTCGGATCCCTCCAGGGGACGACCTTGCCGGTTAGAAAGGGCAGACGCAGGAACAACAGGTCAATGCCGGCCTGGAGACGCGTCAAACACTGTTGGGGGTCGGGAGAGCGAAAGCAGAAAAAGTAGGGGACGTAAATGGCGACGAGGGAGTGGTCGAGGGAGCTGAAGGGGAGGGACAAGTCCATGATATAGTATATAAAGATGGTAGTCTAGATATTGTAATGAAGAATTGGTGATATAGAGATGGTGTTTAAGCTAATTTATTCTCCTGTTCCTGTTGATGACGTGGAATTGGATCCTTTCCTGCATGGCCATCTTTTTAACCCATTCAGACTCGCCGATCAGTCGATCTATAATTTTTGGACATTGAAATATTATACTAGCATTAATAATAAATGGATACCCAGGTAGTTTTGGGGTTTGTTATATAGTGACAATATCAAGTTACTGGTTACTGCTGGTTGTAGGACTATGTCGGCCAACTGGCGACTTATTGTATACAACCAGAGCTTCCAGAACAAATCATCCCAACATCAGCCAGGTCGTCTTTATTTAATTCTGAGAAGATATTCCATCTTCTTGCCTCTTTATGAGTATATTCTATTAAAATCTCCCCTCTATCTCTGCTTGTTGCCGCCACCTATTCCTCTCCTCCCACCAGCGCTATCCTGTGCAATCTTCATCGAGCGATGTGAACCCATGTCTTCCCAAAATGAACACCCGGTTCCGGCGTCGACAAGCGAGGACGTCTGCTTCCCCCACTCCTCTCCTTTCTTCTTTCTTCTCTCCTCCACCAGCTGAGGTCGCTCGCCCTCGCTCGTCCTCGTTCGTCTTCATTCTCATTCTTCGTTTCTGTGTTTCCAACGTCAAAATGTCGACCATGTCGACTCCCGCCGAAAACTGGGCGAAACTGATTCGGTACAACTTCGGTCGCATGATGGGTAACGTGCGCGCCCACGAAAAGAGAAAAATCACGAACAGTCTGGCGTTCATGCACCTTGCTGAACCCAACATGCTCCTGGAAGCCTTCGGCTACGGCCCCTCTGGCTCTCCTCTCATGAAACAGCACACCTGCCTGGCCCCCGACGGCAAAGGGCGATTCCCCGAGCTGCATTGGACGCGTCCCCTGGCTGGCCAGGTGAAGGAATACGTTCTCGTCTGCGAGGATCTCGACACGGCCTTGCCCGGCGGCAAACCTCGCAACCACTGTCTGCTGTACAACATCCCAGGTTCTACCATCACCGCCAGCCATCTCGATCTACGCACTTTCTCAGATGATAACGACACAAACCCTTCCACGTCTGCTGGATGGAAATACGTCGCCCACGGCAAGCACGTCGTCTACGTTCCTCCCAAGCCGCTGCCGGGCCACGGAGCTCACCGCTACGTCTACACCGTCATTGCGCTCGACGACCATCTCGTGTTTCCTCAGAATAAGAAAGTCACAAAGGAGAAGATCATGGATGCCATGACGGGCAAGGTTATCGGTTGGGGTCAGTGGGTGGGCCAATTCGAACGGCCTTACGAGCGTGGTTCTCTCTGGTGATTACTGCAGATCAACCGTGATTGTGATTCAATTAAATTGCTTCACTATTCTTCATTGTTCAGTTATGTTTTACTTGCTTCTCTTGCTTTACACTGATGTCGACGTCGAATCTGGTATTCTCGTCTTTCGTCTATTGTTTCTTTCATGTCTCTCTGTCTCTGTATTCTGCTAGCCAGCCAATACAAAGAGAATCAAGAATATCCCACCCCCTCCATCATAAGCACACACCGTCGAATCAGTCCTTCCACCTCCCCTCCTCGCGTATCAATCTTTCTCACTCTCTCCAGCATCTCAGCCAGCAGGAGTAAGTTCCTGCCCACCACGATGCGAACGAGGAGGAGCATCTCCCCGCCCTCGATCTCCAGCTGGCCTAGCCGTGCTTTACTCTGCAGCACAAGGGTAGGGAGTGAATCCACAAAGATCATATCGTCAAAGGTGCCATTCATATCGATTCGATTCATACTCATCTCCATTCTGTTCGTCAGGTTGATGTTGTGGACGTTGACGTTGACACTGACGTTAATGTTGTACGTAGTGCACACCCCCTCGAGTAATGGGAGACATGCCTCCACAATGGCACAAAGCGTATGCACAGCCGACTGGGTCGACGCAGCTGTCATTGATTTCGCCTTTTTCTCTGTACACTCCGCACAGCTGAAGACACTCGCGCCGTGAAGGTGGACGCGGTTCAGCAGGTTGAGGACGGCCGCCAGATCAAGGACTGTCAGTCGGCCGAGGTCGGAGAGCAGATTGATCGACTCGAGGGGGCAATGGCATGTCATCTTTCTTTTTTTCTCCTATTTCTTCTCTGTCGATAGCCTAGGCATGCAGCTTTATGTATACTGGTCATCCTTATATACATACTACTCTAGGCATATAGTTTAGCCAGTTCTGTACTACATTGGAAAAAAGATAGAGCATGTGATAAACCGCTGAAATTTGAAACAATTACTCTAGCCGTACCATCAGCAGCTGCAGGCGCCGGTCCGTCTCGAGAATCATCAAGAGCCTCCCTCGTGAGGAGCCGGTCCAGACCTGCTGCGCACAGGCTCGGATACGCCGCACCGTCGTCAACAGCCCAGCCAGCCGGGCATGCAGGATCTGCCGGACAAAATAGATCTTTTCCTCGGTCGAGACACGAAACCCGCCGATGGAAAGGGGACAGCTGTCCACAATACTGTGTTTGAACTCCCTACCGCCCCCGCTGTGAAGAAAGGGGAAAGAAGAAGGCGAAGGAGAAGAGGAAGAAGGCGGAGAGGATGACAATGCCGATGCCGACGACAGGGTCTGCGTTTCGATTGCCGTCACTAGACTGTCGATCTCCACGATGATGATCATCAGCAGGTTGGCGCGGACCCTTGCACACGCGCACCGCAGCACTTTCTGCCCCAGCTGCTGCAGCGCCTTTTGACAGGTGAGGATGGCGTCAATCGTACAAGGTCCATTTGCCGGCGTGCATGTATTGTTGATCCGCAGCAGCTCGCGCACGCTCGTTTCATAACAGTGGCATGTGGCAGTTGTCGTAGAGCTCGTAGAGTCTGTAGCGTGCGTGTTTGCAAATGAAGTCGTCGCGTGTTGCAGCCACATCTCCGTGAGGATCTCGTTGCTCGTCTCGTGGAGGTCGTCGACGAGAAAGCTATGCGGGTCTCCCACGGGTGTCAACATGTCCAAGGAGTAACTGGTGCTGCCCAAGTCCCAGTCCATCATCACAGAGGGGAGAGCCGTGGCGGGAGCAGCAGCAGCAGCAGTGGTACCCTCCAACGAAAACGATCTCGTGTGTTCGTTCAACATCTCCGGCGTCGCAGGAAACCCAGGGAAGGGAACAGGGTCTTTGAGGCCAGTGGAAATCGCTGCAATCGCTGCCTCGAACCTCGAGCTCGGTTCCACGTCCAGAGGGGAGAGGTCCGGCAGCCAGCTGTCGGTCAAGTCGAGCGGATCTGCTCGTCAGCATCAAATAAATCAGGTCGATCTACTCGCCAATCTCATGGACGAAAAGTACCTGTATTCACGACCGGCGTGTTCAAGTCCCCGATCAAGGCCCCATTCATCGCTCTCTCGTCTCTCCTTCCCTCTCCCTCGCTTGCCGGACTCGCAAACCCCCTCCCCTTCCGACGGGGCGGTGTCCCTTTTCCAACCTCTTGTTGTTTCCCCTGATGCTGCTGCTGCTGCTGCGTCGGCTGTTTGTCTTCTGCTGTAGCCTCTTTCCGCTTCGCAGGCCGGCCCAACCGTCGAGACACGCTGTAGATACATTCGATCTTGTTTTTCTGGCACCTTCGACACGACGGCTTCTCGTGGCTGCAGCGAATCTTCGCCTGCTGGCACGCGTTGCAGGTGGACCGTACCTTGACACTCTTGGGCAGAGTCTCGGGGGAAGGCATTCTTTCTCTTGTTGGTGTTCTTCTTTTTGCTGGACTGGTCAGTATAGAAGAATAGAAGACGGTTCTGGGAATCCGGTTGAACCACCATATCATACCTGCTCTCTTGTCTACCTAGCTATTGTAACACCATCCCTCCTTCTCAACTGCTTCATTGTGCGACTTGAATTCCTTGTCACGGCGTGGCCACCAGGTGGCAGACAGGGTTCAGCAGTCTTTTGTCGAGTTGCACGAGTATGTGGTCTTGCAAATCGCCGTATGGTAAAATTGTATTCAGGAGTAGTCATAGCTAAGTTATATGGAATACCTACAGCTTTCTAACGAGACTGCCATGCTTTATGTACCATGTGATCAAGTACGATTCCAACTGCTAGCAATATCTCTCAACTGTTTCAATTTCCTAGTCGATACTTGTCTACCTGTACTCGAGTGGCTGACGCTGATACAGATTCTCTTCTTCGAATAGCTTTACTCCGGTAGACTCTAACTGCGAAATCAAGGTATATTCAGACATCTCTAGCCCCATTTCACCCAAGCATGTCCAAGATGTAATGTGAGCAGGGCATAAGTGCAAGTTCCATCTACATGATAACCTGCTGTCCAATATGGCCCCTAGCCAAAGTCAGCTCAGTCCCCAAGATCCTAGTCAGAAAGATACATACCCATTCACCCCTGTACACCTCACATCCCTCATCGAAGTTGTAGTGACACTTTGCGTTGCTGTCGTGGTCGTCGTCAACTCGTCACTGCCAACAACGATATAATTCCCCGCAACAGGCGGAGGGAGACCGGCCACCCGACTGAACAGCTGGATGTCGAACCCAGCCCGGGCCTCCACCGTTTTCGGAAAAATATGGTCGAAGCAGTCTGGGAAGACATAGTGATCTGGCTGTTGAAAGGCGAGAAACACATAGCGATGTGACGCGCCTGCAGGGGGTTGGGGGCCTATATAAGCCGCTGATTTAGAAGAAGAAACAGCAGCGATCTCGTGCTTGGGTGATAGGTGCGAATTCGAGCAGTTGGTAGTCATGTCAGGCTGATACCAGTGCAAAATTACCGTGGCGTTGGACTCGAGAACGACGTCGATGTCGATGCAGAAGATAATGAAACGGTGTGGACAGGGCAGGCCGGCGGTGCTGATCTGGGGGGGCAACACGGTATCTGTCGGTCAGTATTTCAGCGTTGGGAGTAAGCGGGGATCAATTCAATGTCAAACCATTCCTGCTCATCTTCTCCCCCTGAGAGATCCAGTGGCCATCGTAGCTGAGACGAAGCTCTTGGGTGTGTGGTGGGAGGAGGGGAAGAATGTTGCTGCTGCTTGCGAGGCAGGGAAAAAACAGCCACCAAAACAAGAAGGCCATTGTTCAATGCCTAATATCTTTTGTTTCTATCGTCTATCCTTGGTACAGTTTATCTCTTGTACTATTCATCAGTTAGGTCTTGTATCCCTTCTCTTTTATACTTTATTGAACCCTTGATCCCCTGTCAAGTGTAACAACTCGGTAATTAACCATGGATGTCGGATCAGCCTATTCTTTCAGATCCCTGCTTCAGAGATGTCTGAGACAATCCTTCGGATGTATTCTGTGAAGGTATTCTCTGGGAACTCTTCAGACATCCTTCACCCCTGTCGCCTCCAGCCCACCCCGCAGAGATAAACGGCTATCAACAGTGGACTGGCCATGGCCAGCATCCCGGCCACAAGACAGTACGTCCTCATATCCCCCCATCTGTGAATCATGGGTGCTATAGCGGCCGTGGCGCCAGCTCCCAAAAAGCAGCGGACGAGGTTATTCGTCGCCATTGCCGTTGCGGGTGTCTCATAATGCAGATCCACGATCAGCACGTTCAGGACGTTATACGCCGCCGTGATGCAACAGGAGATTACAAAGACAATCCCCAGAGCCAGGAAGAGAGGCGGTGACCTCTCCATGAGGACCCCGTACCCTGCCACAGCCACCGCAGCAAGCAGCGTCATAGGCAATCCGATCTGCAGCCTGGCACGCTCGATCGCGAACCCAGCGATGAGATCGGCGTCCTGCTTCCGGTCTTGGGATACTACTGGCAGCCCGGCTTGGAGACGGAGACGCCGATAGTTCCAGTCGATCAGAGACCCATTCAGCAGGGTGGAGGTCAACGACCCGACGCCCAGCGGGATGAAGCTGAACCCAATCTGCATGTCGGTCAAATCGTAGAGGGCCTTGAATCGGGAGGGGATCCCTGCCGTGACGGCGTAGTAGCTGGCGAAGATGATTCCGTTGGCGATGAGGATCAACCCCGTCGGCAAGTGGAAGAGGAGACGGAGTGTGGTAAGCGGGTTGGGGATCTGGATTTTGTGCGGTTCACTATTGCTGTTGCTGGTATGCTCTTCTTCCCATTCTCCATGTAGCCTCCTATCTCTTATACAATCTAACAAGGTCCGGTTCCACCACGGCGCCAGCCTCGATCCATCCCCCACGATAGCCCGGCACGTCTCCGGGAAAAACAGGAGTAGGGGCACGAAAAAAAGAAACGCCGCGATAGCAAGGAACCAAAACACAGCCTGCCACCCGAGATACTGGCTCAGAAGACCCCCAAGAATAGGTCCCAGCGACGGCGCGAGGATGTTACCCAACGATGCGAGCCCCATGTACGTCCCCCGTTCGGCGGAGGTGATGATGTCCGCTGCAACCGCTGAAGCGAGTGCAACCGTTCCGCTGCTGCCGCAGCTCTGCACAGCCCGCAGAGCCAACAGAGCGGGATAGCTGCGTTGCAGTGCTAGAGCAAGATTCCCGCAGATATAGATGGAGAAGCAGAGCACGTAGGCTGGTCGTCGGCCGGCTTGGTCGGCTAGGGAGCCCATGAAGGTCGGGGCCAGACCTTGGCAGATCTTCGCTCAGTCAGTCTTTTCTTTCTCCATTCTTAGCTTCGAGATCATCTCACCATATATGAAGTAATTGTCAGGTTGATTTGTGCCGTCGAAACATGTAGGTCTTTGGCGATGGAGTTTAGAGACGGATAGTAGATGTTGGCAGAGAATGGAGAGAAGCTAGATGCCAGCGCTGCGGTGAGGATGATCCAGCGCTTCTGGCAATTGCTGAATACAGAGTACTTGGGTAGAAGGGGAGTAGATGCAGTAGCTTGAGGCTCGATCATCTTGTAGCATAAAGTGAAATATGGAATGGCACGTTCATTCAGAAACCTTGATGTTGATGGACTACAGATAGATAGTATGTGTTCACCCCATCCTAAATCAGTCGGGACATTTGTAGATCGGTTAGGTGACACCTTGAGCCCTCCTGGTGATGACTACATCTTCGCGACTTTTCCAATTGGATCTGCACTGCCTGTGTAAATATGCGAGGGCCGAAACAACTTGCCGCGAGACACTGCACAGTCAGAGAAGTCACCGAGAGGAATATTAAAGTGTGATGGTCAAAACAAGGAAGCAATAAGAAGAAAAAAAGCTTACAGGTGTATTCCCTCCAATGGGCCATGACGCCCATGATGCGCTGCGCCATCATCGCCGCAGGAATCATTTCGGCATCGACGCCCACCCCGGCAAAAACAAACTGCCCGTAAAAGTCTGCGTTGGGATACAAAGCTCTGCTGTGGAACCAGTCGTCGGTTGAGGCCAGCCGCTCAATCTCCTGGGAAACCTCCAGCATCTGCTTCGAGGACGTGTCCAGCTCTAGATCTTCTAGGATGGACTTGATGAATCGTAGCCGCGGATCTACCCCCTTATAAGACCGGTGGCCGTAGCCGAAGAGTTTCCTTTTCCCAGACTTGACCTGCGCGATGAAAGGGCCTATATCCTCCGGACAGCTGATTTCCCGCAGGGCACGTTGCGCGGTCTCCGTCGCCCCGAAATGGAGCGGTCCGTACGCGGCGGCGAGAGCAGAAATCACACACGAGAGCGGATCCGTCAGCGAGGAGGCCGTCACCAGCGCAGAAAACACCGAGAGGGCCATTCCATGCTCGGCGTTCAGCAGCGCGAAACGCCGGAAGCACGAGAGTTTGAGGGGATCCGGGCGCTTGCTAGACGGTGAGATTAGAGAAGCCATCGTGAAAAGATTCTCAAGGTATGTGTTTTGCAGCGACGCAGGGGCAAACGGGGCGGATCTTCGATGGCATGAGACCAGGCCGAACACGACAGCATACGCGGCTACCGTGGAAAGGACGACCTGGTCTGCCTTTTGGGTATCTGTCTGATATATATCCGGACGAGTGGCGGATGGAATGGACTCGGGTACACTCGCCAGGTACGCAGCCAGACCGGTTATCATGAGTGGTAAGGGCGATGTTGTTTTCCTAGTAAATCAGAAAAACAGAGCGTCAGAAAATTGCAACGTATGGAATCCGAAGATACTCACGGTAGAGTAGAAATAGCCTTCTGGACGCAGTCAGGCACGGCCAACATCTGCTGGGCCAGTTTGTAACTCAACGCCCGCCGCTGCGACGCGTTGGGGAGCGTGCCCCAGACGAGGAGATACAGCATGTCTTCAAAATCACATTCCCATAGCTGCTCCAAGCTATATCCGCGGAAGAGAAGCATGTTTCTCTCATGGTCCCTTCATTTCCAGCACGAGCTTGTTAGTTAAACGGGGAGCATTGTGGGGGGGAGGAATTCGTACGAGAAACTGATGGCGCTCTCCAACACGGTGGTGTTTTGCAGTCCTGGGTCGTGGATTCGAAGTCCACCAGCAACACTGTCCGCGCGGTCTGTGCCAGCACTGGGAGCTTTGATTACCTTGAAATCGGTGGCGAGAATTGCGTTTTTGCGAATGGGGATTTCATACTGCAGCAGGGTGCGGGAGTCTTTGACGAAGAGAGTTCCTGAGGACATGATCTTTACGGCAGAGAAGCAGCAAACTGTTTCCTAATGACGGCATACAAGGGGTTCAATATAGAAAGGGCAATAATCTTTATTATATATATCCGTAAAAAGGGAGAGAAAAGTGCCGAGTTACATATTATTCTCTCATCCGAGACTCGTTTCCGTATAACCATTATTCGTTTAAAACATGTGTTTTTCACTCATGGAGCCCCGAAGATATTTTCTGCTCACTCCGGCATGTGCTTGAAAGGATGCGCGAGGCTCTCCTGGCAGAAGGGAAGCTTGCTGACCGTCCAGATCTCGGTATCCTATAAAGACAATGTCAGAACAGTCTTCCTGTATACCAGCGTGAAAGGGGGAAGAACCCACCGGCTTCAAGGTCTTCTTGATCTCCGTGTCCAGAGTTCCGGCCTTCAGGGCGATAATTTCCGGTGCAGCATCCGGGTCGTGAGCAATGGGCGAGCCACACACGGAGCAGAAGACCCGGTGAACGGCCTTGCCCGAGCTGCCTGTACCCGCCCAGCTCTTGGTGGGACCGTTGATAGTCAGTTTATCCTTGGGCACAACCGCAACGAGAGCTATCGAGCTGGTTGTTAGTAACAATGTTCCCTTAAAACCAAATGAGTAGTTTCACAGGGAGAACGCACAGTAGGTGGAGCCACTCTGGCGCTGGCAATCGTCGCAGTGGTCATAGCCCACCAGCAACGGCTTTTCGACGTCAGCCGAATAGGTGACAGCCTTGCAAAGACAATGTCCGGTCAGAGGCATGTTGTGTTTGGTGGGGGGGGGGCAATAATATCGGTGTTTGAGAAGTTGGCGCTCAAGGTGCTCACTACAATTGAGGACCCTAGGAGAAAGGAGACGGGTATTTAAGCATTTCCAGAGCCACAGTCATCATGATAAAGCACTTTATTTTGCTCGGTGATGCTCCGCTATCCAGTATCCATTATCCAGTATTTGTCACTGCGGGGAGGGGCGATCGATGAGGGGTCTGACAGGTCGCCGAGGGAGAGCCTGTTGCGTCACTATTTGCGCTCCATTAATCTGAAGGAACGTGCGCTACTGCAGGGCTTACGATTTGTAATTGCTCTGCATAATCGCCAGTGGGTACTGCTTATGGAGGGCATTTGGAATCATTCTGATGAGATTGATCTGGTTCCCTGCAGCTTGCAGCTAGCTGGACACCTGAAATAAGATCTAGGAATTAGCTGATGCAGAGCAGAGCTGATTAGTACCTATACTTGCAGATGCCAGGAATATTCGATAGTAGCAAATTGGATTTGCTAATTGTGTTGTGATGAGAGAGCTGTCCTGTCTACCTAGGTGGGGGAAAACACAACGCTATTTTCAAGCTCTCGGCCTGGTCTTTCAGGCATCCGTACCTATATCACCACCACCTCTACCACGCTTACGACCTCACCACCTCACCGATTTCTCTTATAAAATCCCTCGTCTTGCATTTTCCGCCTTATCTGCTGCACTCTGATAAAAGTCAGTATGTAAGGTTGAGGGATCTCCATGGGATGGGACGCCTCACCTGCATCTGCGCCGCCAGCCCTCCCCTCGGATTCTGACCCCCATACACCTTCGACTCTGCGCTCTGGGCATCTCTCGCATCGTCCTTGGTCACAAAGGCGGATGCTGTAGACGGCTCTGGCGGAAGCCCTAGGAACTCATTCCGATTCGCGATCGACCGCACTTGAGCAGATACCGATCCCGCACCTGGAGGTTTATTGAAGGCACGCCCCTGGTTTCAAAAAAAAAAAGTCAGGAGTTTGATGGGGAGTAGATACTCCCCAGACAGAAGCGAAAGGCTAGCCAGTTCCATACCTCTGTTGCTTGGATCTCTCTCGCGTCCTCCTGCGTGATATGGCTCTGCGGCTTGCGCGTCAACTCGTCGAACTTGGTGTCAAAGTTCATCTGCCTCATCGCCAGACTCTGTGCCGTTGCTAAAGAAAACAAACTCAAAAAATTAAAAGGTTATCTATCCATTCTGATGTCTGGCTCTTGCTTGCGGCTTTTCTACAAACCTGCTGGTCCGCCCCTTATTGGCCCGGAGCCTGTGAGCTCGCTTTCTGCCTGTGCGATGACAGAGACATCCTCTGCCGTGATGCGCTGCCCTGCCTCTGCGGCTCGTTTGAGCTCTGATACAGACGGGAGATCGAAGCTCATCGTGGTTGCTTTTCTTTATATTCATGGACCAGGTTTCTCGTAGATTCAGAAGGAACGGTGGTATATATTTATAGCTATATGTCATGAAGGCGGGTGATGTCAGGATGAAAACATCCAGATCAAAATCTAGCCAGAACGTGGCAACAATGGCAATTAAAACTTCGATTTCCAGACAGATTCGGACGCTATGAAAACTGGTCGTGCATTGAAAATTCCGCCTCAAATTGTAAATTTCTTCATTGTACCGTATTTTTGCTATATCCAGCACAATTCGGCGTTTCTCATTGTCGTTGCAGACCATGTCCTTGTCGAGGATGCGTAGATACACAGATATCACGTACTGGTCATATCACATGAAAACTGAGGGTAAATATGAAGCTCTCCCTTCACCTGTACATCCCCAGCGTGTATCGTTGACAGAGCGCCAAGAACGATAGAAGCTCGCAGACGAGATTGCGCCCTTGGTTGCTGGCATATCGTGTGACATTTGCGACTACCTCGGCTTCAGCTTCTGAGGAGTGTCTCGGATGGATGCATGCCTGATATGAGGCAAACGTGCAGATGGTCCCTTGTTCACCTATCTCTTAGGACAATGGTGTAGCCAAGTTCCAGTCTTAACCGTGTAATTGCAACCATGTCCGGAAGTACAATGAGCTTGGCTGCTCGTAAAGGTGACAGCCACGAGAGGGGTGTCAGGCATTCTGTGTGACACTGGATATTTCGGGGGCTGCCGAGGTCAAACGATCACAGTATAGCACCGTCGAACGCGTGAAGAGGTATGAGGTCTGTTGTTGGCAACAACATGCTGTCATAGGTAATAAGCGTTGCTGGAAAGTCAGTATCAAAGTGATAGCCCTCGCCAAGGTTTGAGCATAGTCCAGGGAATACTGACCGACGACCTCTGGCATCAGCGGGGGGTGGATATAAGCATGAAGCGGTGAGAGACAAGGTACCTATCTAATATTCAACGGTAGCGACATCAGATCAAGCAGGATGTAGTAAAAAACAGCATCAAAATCGCGTCCCAGAAATGCGCTGCCACCGACTCTTATATCCTGATCCGATTCACAGTCTCCTGGGTCACTCCGGTGGCGAGATGCTTATAATAAGACAGGAAATTCCTCCTCTCAATAGCGACAAAGCCGGTTCCGGTCAAATATCCAGTCCCAAAACCTCCAGAATTCACCGGCCTGTCCTTGTCACTTTTCGCAGACGCCGGTGGAAAGCCGGTTCCGGGGACATTCTCTCACCAGTTCAGGACCAGATGAGCTCCGGTACAGGAAAATGCACCGAAGTGGGCTGATGCCATGGCCTTTTAGATAAAGAAGGAAGGAAGCCTTCGCCGGGTGAAGACGAAGGGTGAAGACGAAGAAGACGAAGAGGTGTAGTTGAAGAGCCATGGCTTGTTGAACAACATAGCCTGACTCTACGTAGGTACTCACTTTCTGATCTGTAGCTCAGGTCCAGATCTGAAGGCCGGACTGATGGTGAGGGTGTCATCCGCTCGCTGCTGGACATTTTGAGTCCATATCGTACGTCTTTTTGGCATCAAAACTCGTCGAGAAAAAAGCCGACAAAACAGAGAGATTCACGCTTCAAATAGGATATATTAAGACAAAGAATATATTCCTTCTATGGCCATATTAGTAGAATAATAATGATCCCTCACAGCAGGCCTGAAAAACCTCAGGCATCCCTAACACCAGTTGTAATCGAGACAGTCCAATTTGTATAAATATTTTCCCACACACAAAGCCGCGTCTTTGTTGCCTCCTAAAAAATCTTTCCTCTTACCATCTCCTAGGTGCTGTTCTTTCCTTATAACCTTTATTTCTCCCTCTAACCTGGTGGTTCAGAAGCCAGTTGTTGATCAGGTAAGGTTGTCCACACGTCAGACGTTCAAAATCTGACGGAGATTAGGGCGTCGCTATCTCCGCGAAAGCCTGTCGCGCGCCGAGGGGTGTCGCGCCGGTCGAAACGGCCATTTTGACTGAGAGAAAACTCGAGCTTTTGTGATTTTTTGCCTGTGACGGCAGAGCAGAAGCTCGCTAGTCCACATGGAGGAATCTCCGCAGCCGTAAGTTGGCTGTCACGTCACAGTGCGCTGCTTCCTCAGCTTCCTCACTGACATGCGTCCAAATGGCTCGTAGAAAACGGGTCAAGACGGCCTGCACGGGCTGCCGCCAGCAGAAGGTACGTGGCTCTCATTTTTGTTCCATACCGTAACCGCCACAAGGTGGACTGACCCTGTTTTTGGTTTGAGCAGGCTAGATGCGACTCCCACGAGCGGCCTGGAAGATGCTCGCGCTGCGAGAAGCTGGATGTGGACTGTGTCATCTCAGAGCCATTCAAGAGAGAGCATAAACGCCAGTAGGTGATATCTATCTAGTTTATTGTTCAGAGCTCTATCGTAGAAGTGGTGATTGCTAAGTAGCTTTCACACAGGCGCTTGAAAGAACTTGAACAGGAGACCGACGAGCTCAAGCGGAAACTGCAGTTGCAGCCTGCCACTGCTCAGCCGGCCCCGATTTCAATGCCGACTGCTGCCGCAGCCGAAGAGAAACCGAATTTACGTTCCCCGCCCGAGTCACACCTGTCGTCGGATTCGCCATATGTCTCGACGGACTTGCCGCGTGTCGGAATACAGACCCCCCTGGCAAGTATCGAAGGGGGGGCTTCTGATGAGCCGGCTGGACGCCTTGCCGACTTGACTGTCTCCAGATCTCTGAACGGGATCACCCTGACAGCGACAGAAATCGATGAGATCTTCGATCAGTAGGTTCTTCTCTTGTTTTTGCTTTTTACCCTTTGGAAGAATGGGCTGTGACTTACATTCTGGCGAGATATTTTCAAAACTACGCGTGCTTCTTGCCTCTCCTGGACCCCGAGACCACCCCAAATGCGTACTATACACAATGCCCCCTGCTCTTCTGGGCCATCATTGGGGTCGCATGCAGAACTTATCCCCAGAATCCAACCTTGATGAGTGCTCTTGCTCCCAAGGTCATCGAGCTGGGACTGGTTGCTGGATTGTCTTCTGCCTCGCCTCTGCACATCATCCCCGCCCTCGTCTTAATTGTGACCTGGCCGTTCCCAAAGAACAACGCCAAGCCAGAACCCAACTTTCTTCTTAGTGGGATGTTGTTGCATATCGCTATGGCAAATGGCATGCATATTCCTATGGCCAGTCATGAATTTTCAAAAAATAAGATTCAACAGTACTCCGCGGCCGACATCGCTCGTCGGGCAGAGCTATGGGCTCACTGCCTCATTGTCTACCAGCGGTGAGTCCATTTTATTTTTTTTCCAATCTTTTCGGTTTGCCTCTAATCAATCTATAGAACTTGCTTGATCAAGGGCCAGCCTCCTCGTAGCTCTCTTCATCTAGGACAGGAAACCGGTTACACCAATGTTCTGCTTCAGCAGCTCCCTCCAGCTCTGGCCTTCAGACTTAGATGCTATGAAACCGTCAGCCGCTGCTGTATTGCAGTGACAGAAAATGGATTGCGTTCAATGACCATTGAGCAGGAGCGGTCTTTGGATGTCATTCTGCGCGGTTTCGAGGCAGAAATCGTCGACCTTGAAGCCGAAGCTCCAAACCGTAAGTTGTCAATGTCCTGACTGGTCTCCTTCCCCGTTTTCGAATACCTAGCTTACTTACATATCCTATCAGGCAATGATAAGATCATTGCTCTCTCGTGCCGTATGTTCATTTTGGTTTTTCACTTTTTCAAAAACAACACCTTGCGCTCGAGCGAGTGTCTGATTCGCGTCGCGTCGATGGCTTGCGCTGTCATTGAACACGTTGATGAGCTGGGCAAAGACTTCGGCTTAATGGTCGCTACTCCCTGCCACATGTTTTATGGAGTCATGTTTGCATCGATTTCGCTTATTCGCATCTTCAAGTCATCTGGCGTCAATGATATCGATGTTGAGCGTGCCAGAATCTGCTACTTTGCCAGCATCAACATTGTTAGGAAGATGGTCGTCGAAAACAACGACACGCCGAGCAAGGCAGTCTCCATCCTCCAGCAGCTCTGGAACAGCAGCAAGGCCTTCCGCAAATCGGACGGTAGTGAATTCGTGAACCTGCGCCTCCGCAGCCGCATGGCCTTGAGCCCTATCGTCGATGCTACCTGGTGGTGGCGTGATGAATTCGAATCAACCTACCGCACTATGCTCCCAGCCGAAAGCACTAATACAGAAGGTACTCTCTCCTTTTCTCCTACCTATTGTATCTGACACTTTACTCACATCTACTTCGCATGATTAGTTCCAGCCATTGGCGATGCTATCGGCGGCGACCTCTCTACTCGTTCTGCAGAGAGACAGGAGCCATTCTTTATTGATGAAGAACTTCTTTCCGAGCTTGAATGGGCACTTTCAGGCGACCAGCTCTTGCTTTCGGCCTCGCAGACATTTGATCCTCTTGCCTGGCCATCTGCCGGAAACCAATTCTAAATTGACATGATACCCGGGACTGGTCGAGTGGCGTTTAGACGGAGCGTATGTTGTCATCGATAGGATTTGGCGGTGTTTTAGGCCCTTTTTCGGCTCTTCTTGTTCACCCGGTGCAGGAACTTCCAAGGATATGTAGCATATCATGTTTTCATTCAGGGGCACTGTATTTTCCACCATGGTTCTAGGGTTGGTTGATGACTAGGAATACAAATGACTCCTCGGTAATAGAAAATCGTGCGAAAGATAGGAATACTATTCTACTCATTCTATCTTTTTCCATCCATCACTAGCACGAAATCATAGTGAAGAAATTATATCTATCAGAGTCTGAACCGAAATATCGAAGGGCTTCGATCAGGAATGAATTTTGCCTAATGGACTGACTGCATACCTAAGTAGTTCCACTTAATGATCTATTGAGACTACAGGATTATATATATGGATTGGCCTATCTTGAACTTGTGTCATGGGAGTGAAGGCCATATCATCAAGATTTATTTCCTCAAAGTATCCTTGATATTTTATAGTAAATTTAGCCATACAGAGATACTCTTTGTATCCTATATAATATTAGATCTTGCCGGAAATCAGAAGATTCCCATTTGCTCTTATATAGTCACTAACTGCCTCGGGTAGAGGGCATTCACTCCGAGGATTAACCTCAAATGTCCAAAAACCGAGTAGCAACGCGACAAGTGAGAGTGAAACCGAAGGATAATCAAGTTCGCAGATAGGGGAGAGGTTTGTCTCTCCTGATAACCAGGCGAGTTTGAACGTTCTGATACTCTCACTTCTGATGTCCGCTTTCTCTCTCGCCTTGCTAGATTAGGAAGGTTCCCATCCCACAACAACTTTTCGTCTTCCCTCCTCTTGGTCCCTTTGACAATTCATCCACCTCCCCTGAATTCCATCCTCGCTTATCCTTGGCATCTCTCAGCAAGCTGTCAAGATGTCGGAGAAGCTGACTGAGCCTGAGATTGCCGTGACCAGCGGTGCTTTGATGGGCGAAGAAGCTGCTCCAGACTCTGCTATCACTCACCTCAAGCACCTGAAGGAGCAGCACCACTGGGACCCAAACCTGCCTGACGACGTGATCGATGAAATCGACGACGCTCTTCACCATACTGCTGGCAACGATGTGGTCGCCACTGCCAATGACCTGATGAGCGACTCTCCCTACCCTGAAGTCCGCGCTGCCGTCCCTAACTACGATGAGGGCGGTCATACAAACACTATTCGCGCTTGGGTCATCGGCCTCGTCTTTGCCACCCTCGGGTCTGGTCTGAATATGTTGTTCTCTTTACGCCAGCCCTGGATCTCCCTTCCCTCTTTCGTTGCTCAGGTTGCCGCCTACCCCGTGGGCGTTTTCTGGGCTGCGGTGATGCCCAATAGAGAATTCCAACTGTTTGGGGTCAAATGGAATCTCAACCCCGGTCCTTTCAGCAAGAAAGAACACACTCTGATTGTCATCATGGCCAACGCTACATTCGCTGGTGGCGCCGCATACGCAACAGACGTTTTAGTGGCACAGCGTGCCTTCTACAAACAGAATTTCGGCTGGGCATTCGAGCTCCTCATGTGCATTTCGTCTCAGATGCTGGGCTTCGGTCTTGCTGGATTCTTCCACCATTTTCTGGTGACTCCTGCTGCGATGATTTGGCCTTCGACACTTATCAACTGCGCCATGTTCAGTGCCCTCCATGACCGAACTAAACCTGACCCTACCAAGGTAGCCGGCTGGACCATTGGCAAGTACCGCGTGTTTCTCTTTTGCATGATTGGGTCGTTTGTATGGTACTGGTTTCCAGGCTATATTGCACCTTTCTTAAGTGTCTTCGCCTTCGTTACCTGGATCAAGCCCCAGAATGTCATTATCAACCAGCTGTTTGGTGGCACGACTGGAATGTCCTTAATCCCGATCACTTTCGACTGGACTCGCATCTCCGGCTTCTATGTCTCCCCGCTCATGACTCCCTGGTTCGGCATCGCTAACACGATGATTGGGATGTTTTTATTCTTCTGGATCGTCGCCCCTGCTATCCACTTTTCTGGTGGCTGGTACGCCAAGTTCCTTCCCTTCAGCGACCCAAACAGTTACGACAACAGGGGCATGGAATACAACGTAACACGCATTCTCAATGCCGATTTTGAGTTCGATGAGCACAAATACAAGAGTTATTCCCCCCTTTTCCTATCTACGACTTTTGCTTTGTGCTACGGACTCTCGTTCGCTTCCGTCATCGCGGTCCTTGTCCACGTCGTCCTCTTCCATGGAAAAGAAGTCTGGGCCCGCTTCCGTAAATTCGGAAACGAGGAAGAAGATGTCCATGGTCATCTCATGTCGCGGTTCAACCCCGTTCCCATGTGGTGGTATACGGCCGTCACCTTGGTCATGACCGGCATGAGCCTCGGTGTCGTCCTCGGCTGGCCGACACACCTGTCCTGGTGGGCTTTTTTCCTGTCCCTCATTATTTCCATTGTTTGGTTCATCCCCATCGGGATTGTCGCTGCGTCTAGCAATGTTCAAATAGGACTCAATGTCATCACTGAATTCCTCGTTGGCTACTTGCAACCTGGTAAACCCATGGCCATGATGCTTTTCAAAACCTATGGATACATTACGATGAACCAAGGTCTTTCCTTCTGTTCGGATATGAAAATCGGTATAACCCCCCCCTACCTCATTCGACATGATCGATCTTTGCTTAACCTGCCCTACAGGCCACTACATGAAACTCCCCCCTCGTGTGACCTTTGCCGCCCAAATGGTCTCCTGCCTCTGGTCGTCCATCGTCCAGATATGCGTGATGAACTGGGCTCTTGGATCCATCCCCCATATTTGCGAAAAAAACCAGCCTAGTTCTTTTAGTTGTCCCAACGGCCGTGTCTTTTTCAACTCCTCGATCATCTGGGGTGTGATTGGTCCTAGCCGCATGTTCTCTGGCATCTACAGTCCGCTGTTATACTTTTACATCATCGGTCTCGTTCTTCCTGTCCTTATCTATATTGGGGCACGGATGTTTCCCAGAAGCCCAATCCGCTACCTCAACGCACCCATCATCTTTGGCGGTACCGGCAGCATCCCACCGGCCACACCGCTTAACTACCTTAGCTGGGGCATCGTCGGCTTCGTATTCAACAAGTTCATCCGAGACCGCTGGCGTGGCTGGTGGATGCAATACAACTATGTCCTGTCGGCCAGCTTGGATGTTGGTCTGATGCTGTGCAATATCTTCATGTTCCTGGCTCTTACCTTGCCTGGCATCAACTTTCCTTCCTGGTGGGGAACCAGAATCGCTGCCAACACCATGGATGCTATGGGTACTGCTATCCAGCAGCCCTTGGCGAATGGCCAGACGTTCGGGCCTTCTGAATGGTGAGCAGAAGCACAATCTGACAGCCGGCCTGTACTAGATGATAGCTTTTCTTTGCAGTTACTTTCACATTTGATGATAGATCTTTTATCTGTTTCATCTGTCTATCTTTTCCCCCTCCATTTGAAGAAGAAGAATCGGACAGTGAGGGGCAAACATGTTTTATCAGACCATTTCCTTCGGGAAATCATTATGGCAATAAATCAGCTGTATTTCCAGTATCTATCCATGAAGAGTCTTGATAAACAAAGTCCTTCCATCCAAATACTTGACAGTATATTGAATCATTCGTTTATAAAATACTAAGGCTGGAGGTAAACTTATACATGAGTCACTCCTATTCAGCTCTATACGCATTTCAGGGCTTATTTACAGTATTACTTCAGCGGATTTAGCGCAATGACTCCTGGAGGAGGTGAAAAAATCACTCTGGGCGACTCTTTCCCCTAAGGTAACGTGATCAGAGGGCGAAGAAAGGAACGGCGTCGAGGCAACTTCATCCGCCTCCCACCTCGACACATACGTTGAGGCTCCAACATTCATCTACTAACAAGGTTATACGAGTATGGCGTCCCTGAGGAGACATTATCGTGAGAAAATATCACCGGATCACATTACAAGGAGGTAAAAACCGGGTTGTGTTGGATATTTGTATCGGAGACATCAGATGCTAACACCCCGACAGAGAGATGCAGGTACCGAGCACATTACCACCGCGGCTCAGGGCGTCGTTGCCTGGTTATCATAAACGAATCAGCGCCGGTTGCTTCAGGAGGCGAAACAGTGATGCTTTGATTGCACTGCCACACGCCTCTTGACCTGGGCGTTCAATACGATGAGACACCGCTCAGGCACATTTATTAGCAGGAGGATTGCTGACGGGTACAACTAAGGTGGACAGAAAAAGAAATACAAATACCAACCTTCAGCTGGAGGTACAGATGAAGATCATCAATCCTACCATTGGCTCAGCGCCACGTACTATCAGACGGTGCAGCCTGGGATGACCCTTGAGCCCGAGCCCAGAGTGGGGTTTCTTATCAGAGAGATATCATCTCTCGTCCAGCAAACGATCGACATTCCCTTTGAATAAACAACCCACTCCACAAGCTTAAATCGACCGGTACCATAGAATCGCGCTATTACCTCACAAGATCTAATATTCAACTGTAAGGATCCGTCCTCCTCCCGCTAGTTATGAGCGAGGGGTCACTTAGCTCGCTGTGCGGGCCATTCCTCTCTGAGCTGAACAAGCGCACATCCTTGAACCATCAAGACCATGAATTCTACGCCAACGGCACCACAAAAGAGGTCTTCCAACTCGATAAAGATAAACTGCGAGAGTTACTTGGCATGATACTACATATACCTTCGAATGATACCACATTACTACCCAGCATCGTTGAAACGACGCTAACAAACCTATGCAACATTCTCGCAACTCTGATATCAATTAAAGATCCAACAGAAGTGTTGGAGCGATTTCGTGACCTTCTCCCTGAACTCAGCACCCTTGATCCGAAGGATCGAATTAGTGATGTCGATCTCCCAATAACTTTGGAGACTGCGAAGCGTATCTTCAGCTTTACCGAGGCAGCGGCTGAGTTTGATCGGATACAGCGGAAGTTTTGCCCTGTGACTCTCAAGAAGTGGAAGCAAGTAACATATACAGGGGAGAGGAAAAGGTGCAGGCTTCCATACCTTGAAGAGAAGCAGATTGGTATGGGCTCCTTTGGCCGAGTATGGAAAGTCAAAATTGAACGGCATCAGGTGGAGTCAAACGACGGGAATGCAAATTCCCAGGCTGTCTACTATGCCCGGAAAGATTTTGAATTGATCGAGCAAGGGTTCCGGGAGGACGAAGTCCAGCGCAGGATTCGCAATCAGGTAAAGCGGCACGAGAACGTGGTGATTGCCCTGGCTAGTCTACAGTATGACAATACATACAGCTTGTTTTTCCATCTTGCATCGTGCAATCTTTGGGAATATCTCAATGAGAGCACCGTTCATGCGGATGCCCCTTCGACCTTGGCAGAACGGCGTTCTTTTTTTCTCCGAGGTGCGACGCTGGCAGGCGCATTGGCGTTTCTTCACAGTGAATTCAGAAGCACAACATTGGAAAGGCTCTCTTGCTACCATCTCGACTTGAAGCCACACAATATCCTTGTCTATGGGATCAACACCCCAGATGAAAAATGGAAGATCACCGACTTTGGGCTTTCTCGGGTCAGAGGCAGAGATATTGAGAATAACGAAGAGGTCGATCTTGCCCTTCCGCTCTTACGCCGAACACGAAAGGCCCGGCCTGCTCAAGATCCCTCCACGGTTGCCCACCATAGAGAGGGAACCTACCTTGCACCGGAATGTGCTTCATCCACCGGAAGAGTAAGCTCCGCAAGCGACATCTGGTCATTTGGCTGCATATTTAGTCTCGTTATGTCGTTTATGGACTCTGGACCGCACGGTGTGAAAGAGTTCAAACAGCTCCGTGGTAAGCAAGAAGTCGGTGACTTTTTCTATCTCATCCGGCGGGGGAAGCCTCAACTTTCACCATTTGTGGCGGACTGGTTTGAAATACTCAACACCAGGGCACGCATGAGAGGGATTCCTGGAGAAATCGAGGTTATTTCTGAGACTCTAGACTTTTTGAGAGAGGAGGTTTTGCATCCAGTGCGTGATAGCAGGGTGAATGCATTGAAGGTCGAAGACAGACTTGTAACCATCAGCCGTCTGTTCCACCACCGTCCGCCTGACACTCCGCGTCGACAATCCTTCAGGAAACGCTTCAAGCAATGGCTTGCTTCGCATCCAACAAAGGCGCCTGAGCTTCATACACTCCCTGTAGGTCGCGATGTGCTAGGAAGTATGTTCTCGCCAACGGGCAAGTTCCTACTATACTACTCACGCCACCAGATGCTAGTCTTTGTGGTAGATCAGATCAGAACTGCGAGACAAAACCATGAACGTTGTCCAGACCCCTTCGTCTTTCCAGAGATTCGGGGGCCGTGGGATTGCTTCGCTATTAGTTCCAAATATCTCGGTGCCAGTCCGAAGCCAGGGAACGCCCATCACTTCGAGGTACTATATCATAACTACCATGAATTTTCAATCCACGCTTTTGTGCATAAAATTGATTCGAGTCATAGTGCTATATATACAACCTACCTTTCCTATCTTCGGCAGACAATCGCTACGATATGGATGGGAAAAGAATCTACTATCCAAATGCCGGGTCTATCAAAAAGATAGCTATGACTTGCGACGGCAACCTTATGGCATTTGTCGTAACGCGCTCTTCCTTTGGGAGAAAATTCGACGCTGCAGTCTACCTTTTCTACACCCAGGATCTTCTTGGCGTTGGACCCGATGAGTAAGTTTTGTCTGTTCCAAGTATACTTTCCTATCCTTTGTTTAAAAGTTAACCTTGAGCCAAGGCATTCATCCCAGTCTTCAATTCGATCGGGCTCAAATGCCTCGAGTACTGCCTCGGAAGCTACCTTTGGTGGAAATAATTTCGGCTTGCAAAATGCAAATATAGGCTCAATCGAGCATATTCGATCCTTGGCCTTCTCCGGAGATGGCAGATACTTGATCTTGGTGGTTCAATCGCAGCATGGCGAATTTCTTGTCAGAGCCTGGGAAACGTATACTGGCACAACTTGCCCAGCTCTTCAGATCCCATACCCAGTATGTTGGCCCTCTCACCCGAACATAACTAATTGCCGTTGTATGATAAGTATATATGTCTAACCAAACTTACAGGGCCTATCTAATTCCGATCGTGCAACTTTCACTGGGAGCTGTGTATACAATACTGGACCAAACCTGGTTCTGTTGTTACAGTGTAAAGAACTGATCTCCCTCAACCTATGGGATCGAAATGCCCCGAGACAGAAGCTGAGCGAGGAAATGATCGCTGTGTTCATGCAAGACGACGATCGTGCTCTGATCTTTCTGGGAAACAACGGCACTGACCGCATTTTGAGGGTGTTTATGCTGCCGCATTTCGAAGACGACCACATAACCCATCCAACCGAGGTAGCAAAGACCAGGCTTTCGGCATATAAACCTTCAACGGACAGCGCCGTTCTAACTGATCGAAATGCACACGATCAGAGGGAATTGCTGATTGCCACGATCGATGGCTCTTTTGTGACTGTTTCTCTTCCAAGCACAGGACATGCTATTATGTGAGCATTGAATAGAAAGGGCCTGCGGTGCGACACAATCTAGCCGTGAGAAAACGAGTCAATGAATACAAAAAGGAGCAAAAACCTCGAGATTTTGGAATGGCCCGCATCGAAACCCCGAGGGTAAATGGCCTCGGCGATCAAACACTAAGGGCTGCCTTGTCATCCTGTCCAAATCCACCGTACAACTTCCTCCTTCTTATCCACCAATACAGCACTGCTGCCGCTGTAAGCACTGTAAGCAGAACGGAGCACACCACGAATATCCAGAATTGATGTGATACTACAAGGTTGTTATGTGAATCCTCGTTGAAAAACGGATTCATGCCGAGGACCGTCTGTTAGGAGCTCTCGTTAGCTTCCCAGCATAACTATTCACCAGCTCTCCACGGGGAAGAGATACTCACTGCCATGAATGTTGGAGGGAGGTAGATCAGGGTCGCAATTGTGATGACTCGCACAGCAGTGGAATCGTCGACAGCAGACTTGGTCAAGCTCAACATGTATTCGCTCTGCGCCTGCACAGTCCGTGCATTGATCAATGAAAGTGTGTCGATGACCAGCTGCGCAGTTCTCGCAGCCCACCCTTGCAGATAGGCCGCATTTCGACGATAGGCATCCAGATGGGTCAAGTAGTTATCCAACAACTGATCCAAGGCCTGTTTTTCCGGGGGTTCCAGGATTCTTGCTCCGAGTAAAGCATTGTTCGCTTTGCGTACCGTTTCAAACAGCTTCCCTAGTGAATGAAAGATGGTCTGAAACGACTGGCAACGATTCTCCACGAACCGGACTGACTTCAGCGTCTGGTGGTCAATCTGCAACGAGTCTTGGACGTGTACAGTCATTGTCGAGGTTGACTATAGTAATATCTCGTTACTCCCCTGGCTCCCTCATTATTTTCAGCTCATACATACCGATCTCAAAACTTTGTGCTCATAGTACGCCAGACACTCCCTCCATTGCGGGAAGACCGTCGACAGTAGGACATTGTGAAGGAGAAGAGGGTGAGCCTGGAGCTTGAGGCACTCCTGCTGCGAGGTCACGATCTGCTCCAGCCGCGTCTGGAACAGGGATTTCTTGGTTGGATGGAGAAAAACCCAGGTGGATTGCTTCGTTCTCAGATCATATCTTTGGAACACGCCAGTCTGGCGCAAAGACCAAGGGTCCTTTTCCTCGTCGTTAGGCTTGAAGAAAACGTATTTGCAAATATATGCAATTTCTGGAACAAACAAGCCACAGTCAGTCTGGATACTCTTTTTTCTACCTACATATTCTGTGCTTCTGGATTTACCGATGCTGTCTGCATTGCACTTGAACAGTGGTGCACTGCTGAAAGACTCCTCAAGAGAGACGGATTTCTCGAAGAAGCACAGGGCGATTTCGAGAAACTCGGCTGAAATGAAAGCAAATTTCATGACCTCCTCCAGCATCTCTTTTGTGATATTCAGAGGCCTCCATGAGTTTGCTTGGTCGATTGATCTTGAGGTTCAATCAACAAAAACACCTTAGCTTTGTAGATCTAGCAATTCTTACATAACTCTCGTCTTGAAACTTCTCCTCTTATTTGCCTCACTAATACTGGCGTACGATTGCAGCTCTGCTACCGTCTTGAATTCGGTGGTGGTTGCTGTGGCCAAATCAGTCTTTCTTTTGCTGTCCACCAGGTTCACTTCCTCCGTCACTCACCCTGCTGAGCGGAATCGACATCAACACAATTCACCTTAAACGACGCTCCAGTACCCTTACAGCATCTCCTCGACTCGATCCTGGTCCAGTAGTCCTCTGGATACGGCGCAAGGGAGAACGGGTCGGATAAGACGGACATTCTTTGCGCTACGTCGGACAGGCCGTCTCTAGGCGGGGTCTGGATATTATTCAACTCCATGAAGTGACAAGATGGAAGGGGTGAAAAAAGGGTAATATTCTCGAATAATTCAATCTATTTCTTGAAGTGGATATTTGTGATAATAAATACCATCTCGAAGGCGATGACAGAAAATTCTCCATTCGAATCCGCCTACGACGAGGATCGCTGTAGCCACTGCCTTCGAACCGCCCCCTTAGCCTTGCAACAAGGCGAAAAAGAAAAAAAACAAGGGAATTAAGGCCCCCTTACACGGGAGGTGGAAGCACCATTGGTTGGCTACAGACGGTCAGCGCTTCTAGCCATTCGCGTTGAGGCGTGCACACTGCACAGTCCCTTGAGATCAGATTTCCACGTCCGCAGCATCCCTAGAAGAGGAGGGGGGCGAAACGAGTCAGCCTGAAGCACAGCCTCCTCCTGCTCAGTTCGGGGTATTCAGAGAACGCCTACTCTAGTTCATCCTGGCATTCGGTTCGATCACAAAAGGTTAACGAGGGGTTCACTATAAAACGATTGGTCGAAAAGAAGAAGGGGCGGCGCAGTTACCTGTGTTACTTCCCGTGGAGCATCGAAAGACCAAGTATCGTCGTCAATCTGTGAACGTTTCAGGCCGTGCCATAGGAGAAGAAACATTGTCTTTATGGTCGCTGTGTAACGGGAAGGACTTCCTTACTCTGATATGGAAATTCAGGCCGGGGTGGTAGGGGAACAGTCGCTCCAAGAGCGCCTGGAGACGGCTCCGGTTGACATATCGCGCAGCCACGTACTGTCGTCTCGGGCTTGAGATGTCGCTGGTCGCTTGGGATGAAGAGGTGAACGTGCGGGAGATGGAGTACATGGTTCACTACCCTGTATTATGGGGATACTCAAGATAAACAACGATAGCGTGGTCAGGTCGTCTATCGCGATACGGGGAACCGTCTCTGGGTCAGAGAAGAAGAGTTACTACCCAGGCTGATCCTGCTCTAAAACCGCAGCGCCTGGTGATGGTTATACACGGGGAGAGGCTCTGCAATCATGCGAGCCCCGCAACTGGTACTTCTTTAAGTTCTCTTGGAACTGAGATATGCGATGTGATGGCGAGGGGGGGCAGCTAATGGCTGCCTTCCTGCACGTTCCGTACGGTGATACGTCCACCAGCACCGACGGTCTTGGGACAAGGCACGATTTATGCCCGAAATTGCCCGCGCCAGTCTGTCTAGCCCCTCATTCCCCGGCTCCTGTCCGTCTCAGCCTCATGCCCTCTCTCTTATCAGTGCCTAGAATAGCTAGCTAGCGCCTTTACAGGGTTAAGTATTGATTTGGACCATGAGGCTGTCAGCTTGAGTCACGAGCGCTGGGCGCTGCGATTTCTGTACGAGGCGCACCCCCGGCGGCTTCCTGATGTTGTCACAACTCTCCTAGACGTCGCACCTGTCGTCGTCGTCTTTGAATTGCTGTTTATTGATGATTCATCCCCAAAGAACTGTGGCTGTGAAAACATGGCCCCCTCGGAAGATCACCATGAAATGGAGATGCGCGACATGTTCCGTCATGTCGATTGGCTTCCCATGCAATCTCTATATGCGCGAGAAGAGCAGGATGTGCTGCAGGTACCTCAGGCACCGGCAATGGAACGAGCGAGCTCATCGCAGACCACCAGCTCGCCGAGAGAACCTGAGAGTGTCTTTATCGCCAACACACCTTCAAACGTCCAAGTGATAGACTTGAGAAATGTTGAGGAGAAAGACCGCACTGTTAAGTAAGAGAAGCCTGTGATATTTAGCCTGAACTTGCTCTACTTTACAACAAGATAGTTAGTACTAATCGCTACATCAATCATCGTCTTTTAGTCGACGCTTACGCTCGATCCATGTTTTTGTAAGTTGCTTCTTTTTGTTAAAACCTTGGGAAATTATGGCCTCTCTAATAATACCTGTCCAAAATCTATAGATGATCACTATCAGCGGTGTCCTTGGTGCCGGACTCTATGTGAACAGCGGTTCCATTCTCCGGATTGGCGGACCGTCCGCAGTCCTTATATCCTTCACGGTCCTCGGCTTGTTGGCTTGGTCGGTGATGCAGTGTCTGGGGGAGATGCTCGCCCTGTGGCCTATCTCTGGCGCGCTAATCGAGTTCGTTGGGACGTTTGTCGACGAAGATCTAGGTACCACCGTTGGAGCTGCATATTGGTGAGAAATATCTTTTGCTCGCGGCCATCGGTCTTGTCATGCCATCTTATATTTTGCCTTTGTGTATGAGTGCTAATTTTCGGATCTCCAGGTTCGCTTACTCGATCAACTTCGCTGCTCTCATCATTGCGGCTGCCGAAGAAATGAACTACTGGAACCCTGGAAAGGCTATCGAAGGAACAATCATGTTCTTTCTCATCCCTACCTTCTTAGTCCTCTTCAACAGCTTCGGGGTACATGTATGTATATGGCCGTACTACCATCTTGTGATGTCTGTCTTCTGATAATTGGTTCTAGCTGTATGGTCTTACTGAAGTGGTCGGTGGATCCCTGAAGCTGCTCGGCGTTTTGGTCGTCATTGTCTCCATGATCTTGATCAATGTTGGAGGTTTGCTGCCTTATCTATGATCATTCATCCCTGGCTAACACGGACAGTCGGATCCGGGAAGAATCTCGGTACAACATGTAAGTGATGCTTGCTGGCCACTTTCAGCCTTGTCGAGGCTAATAGTTCACTTCCCAGACTACAAACATGGTCCTATGTTTCCACATGAACGTGAAATTGCTGATAACTGGGTGACTGCGCTATTGTAAGCGAATTCTAGCCTGACGTGCCTTGTAAGGTCTGACCGGAATAAGCATTTCTTTTTCCATCGCAGCCTTTGCCTACGTCGGTGTGGAAATCACGGCCGCCACTGCCATGGAAGCGCGGATCGACCACCAGAATCAAGACGATGAACATACTGGTAGCCTTCAACAGGACCGCAAGGCCACACCCGCCGATCTAGTGTCGGTGCGTTTCTCATCTACCTGGATCAGCTTTATTGCCTGGCTCCTCTATTTTGTCTCTGGTTTTCTTTTGACCTTGAATATCCAATGGAACGATATCCGCCTTCCCCGGATAAGTTGGGCTTCAACGAAGGGCACGGCAACGGCACAGAGCACAGGCCCGTCAAACCCAGACTCTGGATTTGTCGTCAGTGCATACCTATCCAAGGTCCCAGGTCTTGCAAACATGTTTACTATTGTTTTGATGATCACCGCTCTGACAGCCGCGAATACAAATCTGTATGTTGCTTCACGGACTCTTTTCGGACTGACTCGCAAGATTGATGGCGCCCGGTGGAAGTGGCTTGGGTTTTTTGGACGTACCAACAGATACCAGGTGCCTGTGAGGGCGATGTTCATCTCTTGCTTCTTCATCTGGGTGCCCTTCCTCTATCTTTCCGAAAGTACCACTATAACCACTGTAAGGCCTTCCTTTTAAACCTTTTTCAATATCCTCCGCGCATTCTTATCTGACCTGCACCAGCTTCTGGAAATCCTATCACAGATTGGGTCTGTCAGCTGCCTCATCGTCTGGTCATGTGAATGCTGGGCCTATATCCGTTTTTATAACTGGTAGCTATGACCATTGAACCCTTGACGTATCATTAAGCGTGTTATCTAATCAAATTTATAGCATGTATCGACATCGGGATGAACTCAGGGAAAAACCACAATACCAACACGTGTGTCGGTTTCGCCGCGATGGTCCGGTCGACACTTATCCCTGGCGTTCGCATGGTCAGCCTCTCACCATGTACGCCGCCCTGTTTGGGTGTTTATTCATCCTTGTTGTGTGCAACGGCGCCGTTCTCTGGAATGGGTTCCACTACAAGGCCTTTCTAGCAGAGTACTTTGCCGTAAGTAAAAGATTCAACCTAGTTTGATGGAGGAAGAATAAAACGACTAACATGGCAAAATAGCCCCTGGCATTTCTAGCACTCTGGCTCTTTCTAAAGATCTATCGATCCGGCGGCTGGCGCTACGTCAACTGGAGGCTCGAAGATCTCTCCAATATCAACGTCGTGCAGGACAAGATCGACCGGCTAGACGACATCCGGCACCGTGCCACAGCCAGAGATACCTATCAGGAGCAGCCGGGCTGGGGAAACCTATGGGGGCTTTTTTAATCCACAAGCTATGGGTTTTGCCCGGTTCCTTTATGCCTGTATAATGAGATTTGTAGTGATATGTGTTTATGGTTTTGATGCTATTCGTTGGACCTGTAGAATAATCATGTTTGATAGAAATTTGATATATAGGTTTTAGATTCCATGGCTATAATAGCCTTAGCAGTAGCAGTAGAAAATAGTGGTGCACCAAGTTCTGCTTGGTTCTATAGTATAATATTATTTAACAAAAAGCAAGGGTGATTGAGATGATGGTCCTCCTCTCCAAACGCCGCTTAACTTAGATCTTGACCCGATCCTGCGGATCCTGAATGAGATTGATATAAGGAAAAACCCTTCGTGAACTATTTATTGTGTATGAGGAAGTTGCGGAACGAGTCCCAATGATCCGAATCAGAGTAGCTTTCGCAGAGAAAGCATGGTTAGCTAGCTAAGCCTTCAATAAACAGGGGTAGGGTAGACATACATATAGACCATGCTACTCCTCAGACTCGACGCAAGGGTATCCGGGTACCATCGAAAGATGTACATGACCATCGCCCAGCTCAGACTTGCAAAGGCCGGCCATGCATTGTTCGTGATCTGGGTGCGGGTTTCAGGGGTGATGAGGGAGGAAAACGGGTGCATGTCCGGCTGGATGGCGAGTTTTGCCAATGCAAGCATCACACGGGCAAAGACATAGATGACAATCTGGAGATGATAAGCGATCGGGTCGAGAGAGCTCCCTCCTTCTGCGTTCGCCCCCCTAATCCCGTCCGGACTCACCTGCTGGCTGACGCTTCCGTTATTTCGACCAAAAACCACATACCCTCCCATGAGACCGGCAAAAAAGCTATCATACCGCCCTTCCTTGCGTGTCCCAGTTGGATTGAGATTCCTCAGCAAGATCATCGAGCCTTTATATACCATCGCGAAGGTGGCCAAGTTCCGAGCGTGTTGTCGCGTAGCCTGTAGGACAAGTTTCACCTTTTCGCGAAACCTGACCCCAGAAAAAGAAGAGAAAAGCATTGTCAGCGTTGACTGGAGGGTTGCTAGGAGCGTGGAGAGTATATGGTACAACGGGACGGCGTCTTACGTTCCGGAACGGAAGAGAAAGATCATCCTAAATCCAATCTGTCAGAGGAAAAGAACCTTACTCCCAAGCCAGAAGTAGCTTTGTGGGCTTATAATCGGTTTGAAAGAGGGAATAACATACACCAAAGCGTGCGGAAACCGCACCTTCGACCCATACACCACGCCATTGCGGGCACCTTTAACCAGGGATAGTAGGGGCGCGAGATCGGGGTTCAGGATGAGAGCATCCAGTCGAGACTGTACATTGAGATCTCCAGTTAGCAAAAAATCATCTCCCATGGCCTTTGACAGGCATGCAGAGGGGAAACGGGATCTTTTCACCATGAGCGCATCCATGGCGGGTGGTTACCCGCGGGGACCAAAACGACTCCCCCCTCGATGTCAATGTCTCCAGAGATGCAGAGGGGAACAGAAACCAGGAAAGAGCAGAAGGCACCGCCTGTACTGAGACTGTGTCATGAACCGGACACGGATATGAGCATACTAGACCAAGGGGAAAACTTCAACATGAGGGCAAGAAGAAGGACCTCAGTTCTTCGGCCGCAAAGTACACGTGCCGAGGCATGTGAACGTTTGAGCCGAACCGACGTCACAGAGGTCACGTGGGACATGGTAAATATTTAATAATGTAATATTGAGTAGATCGTAAATACAATCCGGTGCTATTAGATCTATTGGAAAAAGAAATATTTTATGGATCATCATAGCTAGTTACAACTATTCTATAGACAGACCGGACAAGTCCGTACATATATCATTTTCAATACCACGAGAGTAGCAGTAGCCGACAGCAAATAATGAAGTTGCTTGCCATCTGGGCAAGGGAAAACAGACCCTGAAACCAACCCGGAACGCCTGGTGCGGAAGACTCGTCGGCTCAAATGTAGAAAAAAGAGATCAAAGGAGTAGTGCTTTTTTCTTCTTTTGTTTTAGGGCCCCGGACGGCCTCAATGCTTCCGGGGACGTTTCCGTCCTTCATCTTCTGAGATCTCGTCCACTTCCATCATATCAAGATCGTGATCTTCGTCGTCGTTGTCGTCGTCGGACTCCACGCCGGCGCGACGCTTCAATCCCTTCATCTTGCGCGTCTGGAGGCCGCCCAGATCCTGCTTGCCCAGGTGCACACGGCCGATCTTATCACCGATCGAGTCCATACCGATGTTCTTCTTCGTCTTCATGTCTTCGTTGGGCCGCTTGGCTTGCTTCATAGCCTCCTTCAGGGCGTCGCGCGGCGCCTCCTGCACCCGACCGACCTTGAAGTCGAACTTGGGACCTATCTCATCCAGCTCAACACGAGGCAGCTTGTGGCCGCTACGCTTGGTCTTGATCTTGTACCAGCGCAGGTGAATCACAGATGACAGGCCCTCGGTGGGTTCCTCCGCGCTCACCATCAGGATATACTGCAGGCCTTCCACGTCGATCTTATCCGACTCCTCGCCCTTGAACATGTCGACAAACATGCTCTTCAGCATCACGTGTGCGTTCGATGTCGGGTCCTCCCACGGGCTGCCGGCAAACAGCAGTAAAGGCCGCAGGCCCAGGCCGATGTGCATGGTCAGGTTGTTCATGGCCGGAATGGCGGTCTCGTCCACCCCGGGGAGCAACATCAGCTCGCACATGTCCAGGATCTTGGAGTCAAAAATGCGCGCGAGGGTCAAGCAGTTCGGGCGCTTCTTGCTGCTGCTACCAAAGGCAACAATCCCACACTCGTTCTTGTTGGCGAGAAACTCCATGCTCTCCGTGTTCTCGAAGGGGTGGATGTTCTCATTCTTCTTGTGGAACAGGATCGAGTTCGGTTTCGTCAGGGAATGGAACGTCTTCAGGACCGTGTGCAGGGCTACCGGGCATTTCGACCCGTGCATCAGCAGCATGCGCTTGGGGGGCTCGATGAGCTGCGGCTCCCGCGCCTTCAGGATGCGCGCAGTGCGCGGGTTCTTCGCCTTCCTGATGGACGAAATATCAGTATCTGTCATATCCACAGCTACGTAACAGCAGAATCACTCACACTTCTCTGAGCATCATGGCGGAGAGCTGACCGTAGATACTTGAGGGGTGGTCAAACAATCTTCTTCAATTTCAGGCGGAGAGAAAAAAGTTTTGGTCAGAGAAAAATCTTGGCGCTGCCTTCTTATCGATAAGATTAGAACCTCGTTCAGCTATTTTATCATTTACTGTTAGACAGATTGAATTACATTATTTTACGATCTGCTTGATTTCCCGGGTGAAACGTGTATATGCTTTGTCTTCATCCTTCTTTCGAAGTCTTATGCCGTTGTAGTGCTGCTGAAGCAGTCTCATCGTGCGTACGACACCAACCCAACCCGAGCATCAGGCTTTGCAATCGAACAGTTTTCATAATTCTTCTGCGTAGCTAACAATAGAGATTAATTACTTCGTACTGTGTGGTGCATGTCTCCGCCAGTAAAACTTGATAATAGCATATGAGGTCGCTCGATACTACCTGTTGCCTTGGAAGCAGGAACCCCCCCCCCCCCCTTCAACCTGCACGAAGCTTTGACGCAATGCGATATATCTGTGTATATTCTATCATTCACTAGGCTCGTGTTCAGCGGTCTTTCTGGGATGCGGAGGTTTTGATTTCACTAAATGAATGGCAAGTATCAGTACGAGTCTACCACAGTGTGTATAGAAACAATCCGAGTGCAGTAGTCAATACAAGAACCTACCGTCTTCACTCTTCACCTTCTCGGGCGCAGCTGCATCCCTGCTTGCGGTATCGAGAATATGTCGTTTGATCTCTTCTTCCACTTGCGGAGGGGGCTCAGTGAGAGGCGCGGTGGTCTCACCAACTGTCCATGGGGGTCAGGGTTCTAGTTATTTGCTGGGCATAAGATAGCAGAATGGGGTATCAGAGCATACTAGGATTCTGGGACGCAGAAGTCTGAGACATTCTTATGGAATTCAATATCAAAAATGCTCCGTTCAAGGGTAAATCTGATGGAAAGAAAAGTTGGATGATTCCCAGGGACCAGTGGGATGATGTCATCTCAAATATATTACGTTCCTGCAGTCTAATATAAGATCTCTTGTACTCATTCATATGGAAGAAGGCCTTGTCCTTCCCCCCCCCGGTACGCCTGTCTTTCCACTATTCCGCTGTTTATATAATGATCACCGTAGCCGGGTTTTATTGGTAGTATTTTTGCATCTTGCCCGATGATCGTCTTGCTGTTTATCCAGGTCCGTTCCTACAAAAAAGCAGTGGGCATGTCTCGAACAAAATGAATCCAGATCTGATCTACAGTTGGTGTGAAGAGGAAACAAGCTTAATGTATCATAGAATATAATCTACTTGCTGAGAGCTGGGGTTAATATAATTTTAGATCCAGTCAGTCAGGTCTAATAAAGATCTAATCAGGATCCTTATGAATATATATCTATGTAAGTGGAGTGGCAGGCACCTTTCAACTTCAGGTATGTGATGTGTATAGAATACTACCTATACCTATCTATATAGACCAGTCAACACAGAGATTATGAATACCAATGACTCGCAATGCATTCGTCTCTTGAAGATATCGAAGAAGAAAAAAAACCACACTAGCACCGACACAAGACCTTTCGCTCCCTAATGTGGACACGCGCATCACCCAACCAGTAAACAGAGCAGAGAACAAATTGGAAAATGGAAAATGGAAATTGGAAAATAAAAAAAGGGAAAGAGAACATCCATAAACACCAAATGCGACAGGTCACCAGGGGAGGCAGAGCGTCGAAGCGGATGGGGAGAACATGATCGGGGGCTGTACAATGACGCAGATTGAAGGGGAGAAAGATTGGAGGGTTCACTTCATTCTGAAACATTGTCAGAGATGAATGTGGGTTTTATTCGTAGAGAAGGATGGGAGTAAGGTAGGGTCATCTCCTAACCGATTAGGGGTGTCATCTGTCGTAGTCATCGTCATCTCTATTGCGTGTCTGTAAACATGTCGCGAAAAACAACCTGGTTAGTCCCCGACAAGTGTGGGAAAATATCAAGCCGCTGGTCTTTTCTTCCGTGCACATCGTCTCACTGGTGTTGACAAGCAGTTTCGAGTTCGAGCAAACCGGTGGCAAACGGAATGTCGTGGGGACGGGTTCAAGCACAACAAACAGTGGGACAAAAGGCCGGTGTGAGGAAATCGGAAATGAAGCCAGGCACGTCTCTCTGAAATTCAGGACTGGGAGGCGTTGTTGCGCGCAGCTTGCGCCTCATTAGCGCGAACCGGAGCAAAATAAGGATGAGCCATCGCCTCTTGGGCAGTGAGACGTTCCTAGACAGAATGATTAGCGACCTGACGGCGGGCCCAGGGAAAAGATGATACATACCGCATGATCATAGCGAAGCAGCTTGTCAAGGAAATCGATGGCCTCATCGCTGACAAATCGCTGGTTCTCGGCGTTCACAAATGAGTGCCAAGTTTTCTTGGGGAAGCGTGAGAGAATCTCGTCATACTGCGGATCCAGCTCAATGTCGTACTTGTCGAGATACTCAAAGAGCTCTTCAGTTCCCAAGACCTTGGCAATCTTGACCAATTGATCAGAATTACTGTTTCCATGGAAGAACGGCTCCTTTCTGAATATCATGGACGCGAACATGGCTCCAAGGGACCACATATCGAGCGAATAGTCATACTCCTGGAAATCAACAAGAAGCTCGGGTCCCTTGAAGTATCTCGATGCGACGCGGACATTGTACTCGGTGCCCTTGTGGTAGAATTCGGCAAGACCCCAGTCGATCAAACGGAGCTGGATTAAAAGTCAGTGGACCATCCGTACAGAAAACTTTCTTTTACAGAACAAACCTTGCGCTTCTCATGGTCGATCATGACATTGTGAGGTTTAACATCACGGTGCATGATACCCTTGCTGTGGCAGAAATCCAAGGCCTTCAAGAGCTCGAAAATGTAGAACCGGACATCGTAGTCGGTGAAACGAGGGTAAAGCGTGCGGAAATCGGTGTTGTTGACGTACTCGAAGACCAGACTGGGAGTCTTGCTCTGGCTGTCGCGCACAACGTCCAGCAAGGCAACGACATTGGGGCCGCCAGCGAGATTCTGGAGAATCTTGATCTCACGCTTAATCTTCTTCTTCTTGACAGGCTTGAGAACCTTGATGACGCATTTCTGGTAGTTCACAACATTGATACCCTCGAACACCTCAGAATACTTCCCGCGACCTGTATTACGGCAACAAAAGAACGTGTTAGTTTGATAGAATATTGCAAGGGTGTCTGACAGACCCGGGGGCAGTTTGTCACTAAGCACGGGAACGATTTACCTATTTTGCGAACGACCTCATAATTTTCAAGCACGCCCCAGGAAATATTGACACTATCGTAGTCCCAGTAGGAACGAGGCATATGCTCGTTGACATCGGCGTAGACACGAGCCATGGTGATGGCAGCTCACAGACAGCCCGTCACGCCGCCCACAACGTCAGGTCAGGAAAGCGAAGTGCGGCGGGGTAGAGGAAGGCGAAGGAAGTGACAGGAAGCACACGAGACGAATTGCAAAAAGGACAGATAACAGCTGCTGCGTGGCAGGCAGAGGAAAGCAAGAACCTCCAGACAGCAGCCCTGCTATCGTGTCCGCTGAGCGAGGGTGGGATAGGGTGATGCGGTAGAGGCTGGATTGATTATTGGCGATGCGGATCGATTCAAACTGGAGCAAGGCCCTGGAGGGTCATGTGACCGACTGGCTGGCCGCCCGGAACAACAGTTGTTGCGGGGGATTTTCAAGCTTCCGTTCTGGGACAGCAGAAGTCACATTACCTTGCCAGGGAACTTGACGACGCAGAATAGAAGGGTCGCAGAGGTCTGAGGCGGCAGAGACGGCTTTTATCTGAAAGATGTTTTACGATTTGAATGTTCCGTATGCCGCGGATGACCATGAGATCTCCCAAACGCTGAGCTTTTTGGCCGAACGTTCGTCACTCTCTCTCTTTCAAAGCATACGGCCTGATCCGCGAGGATGGGGTACCTGAAGCACATGAGGCGCTGACCCTGATCACAGTCGGTTACACAACAGTAGCTCTCTCTCAGACGATCACAGGAAAGCTGCCTTCCAATATCAACCCTCCGAAACTGCCCACCAACCCGCCGACATCCCTCAAGCTTCTCACCCGCCTGAACCTGACGCTTTCCGACCCCGCGCAAAACCAGCGGCTGACCAGCCTCACTCAGTTATATGACATCATTGCGGTGCGACCTCTCAACGAGAAGATGCTCCTGAACGCCTGCACGAACCTCGAGTGCGATGTGATCTCGCTGGACCTCTCTGTGAGACAGCCATACCACTTCAAATTCAAGATGCTGTCGGCTGCGATAGCACGTGGCATTCGCCTGGAGATCTGCTATGGGCCAGGCGTCACGGGTAGTGGCGCTGATGCACGACGAAACCTTATCGGGAATGCAATGGCGCTGATCCGAGCGACGCGTGGCAGGGGCATCATTGTGTCGAGTGAGGCAAGGCGGGCACTTGGGGTGCGCGCCCCGTGGGATGTGATCAATCTGACGTGTGTCTGGGGTCTGTCACAGGAGCGGGGCAAGGAAGCCATCTGCGAGGAGGCAAGGAAAGTGGTTGCTCTCGCGAAGCTGAAGCGGACAAGCTGGCGCGGAGTCATCGATGTGGTCCATGGGGGACAAGCAGGCACGAAAGAGGAGTCGGCCACGAAACAAAAACAATCTTCCAGGAAGAAAGTGGTGGAGAAACAGACCGAGATGGTTGCTGGAGATAGTCTGAAGCGGAAAGCGTCCGTGAGCTCGGAACTCGTCGCGGAAGAGCCCGAGAAACCTTTGTCGAAGAGAGAGATGAAGCGCAGGGCGAAGAAGGCCCGTCTAGACGCGCGAGGAGGGGTCCTCGACTCCAACAAGGTCTCTACCGAATAAGGCCTTCATCTCGGCAGTTTCAATTGAAAAAGAAAAAAAAGAACCATTCCAGAGTATGGTTTATACCAAAACCGACACGCCTGGTTTCCCTCACCGCAACATGTCTGTCTGCATATTGAGCCTGAAAATACTCCCTGCATCGGAGAGTATACATCTCACCAGATCAACATCCCCGATGGGCAAACCAGCTATGCAGTGGTTTTATAACCAACACAACACACCCCCTATTGTGGCCGTCCACTGCTTCCCAGCAGAATACGGCCATTACAGGACATAGGATCGCCATTTTGAATTAATCAGAATGGCATTAGCTTATCAGCAGATCCACGAGATCTGCAGCTCAGTCTGCACTAATTAGAAGTCAGATTCACGGGCCTGGCGCTTGTCCCAGGCTCTGTTCTAGTGAATCAGCCTCCATATCTAAATCCTTACTCTAATTGCCAAAAATCAATCTTAGTCGGCTTGTAAGACCTTGTTCTTGTCAGTGGACACTGGGCTTGGGAAGATGAATGTCCGTTTCACAAGGATACAGTACAGAATGGTAGTAAATTGCCTATTCCATTATGATTCACTACATCGAGGCCAAGGGTGTCAAGATGCGACAAAAATCCAGTCCTAGCTTGCTGGTTGTACATGGATAATAGCATGCAGCACAAGTATGATAGATGATTGTCAGAATCGAGTTTCAAGACATCTCTTCAATGCACGAATGCAATGGAAAGATAGACTGAGATGAAAGGAACTGAAAAAAGAAAGTAAAAAAAAAAAAAAAAAACTGAAGGCTGGAATAGGGTATTGGCCGTGGCATAGAAATACAAGTGTAAAGGGGAAGGAGGCATTATCACATTATTAAGGTACAGCAGTGCGGTGCGAGTTCAAGGCTGGCCCGTTTCGACGAGAACCTTGAGATCGCCATCCATCCAGTCCACGCTGCCCGCGGACAGAAGAGCAATGGACCACTCGCCGTCGGTCTGGATCGGGGCGATCCCCTCGGGGAGCCAGACCTTGAACTTCCAGGCCGGGTTCCAGGCGGACGGGTTCGCGTCGCGCGGAAGCCGGCCCATGCAGAAGCGAGTTACGGCCTGCCGGAGGGAGTTGAGATCCGGACAGTGTTCGGCGGGTAGGTCGAGGCGCTGCAGAATGCGTTTGCCCTGCTGGAGGATGTTGACGCGCAGCAAGATCTGGCTCTGGGAATCGGGCGCAGCGGGGGCGGCAGGCGCAGCAGCATTGGCGACGGTGCCGGTGAAGGCGTTGGACGATGGGACCGCGGGCGCTGCAAACGCTGGCATGTGCATCATCGGTTGTGAGAGCTGGCTGGTAGAGGTGCCTGGCGCAGGGCTGTGGGAAGAACGCTTTGCGAGGGTGTCACGGATGACACGGGAGACATCACGGGTGATGCTCGTAGCACTGATCAATTAGTATAATGATAATAAAAAAAAGAGAAAAAGGAAAACTTACAATTCATTCTGCACAACCTGGTTATGAACCCCGCCAATTCTCCAGTGAAGGCTCGAGGATACGTCGGCCGACAAAATGCGATCAATGTTGTGATCCTCGCAAGGCTTGGGACATTCGTAGCTTCCATGATGATAAATCTGGTAGTGACTGTCGATGGCCGCAACCAAGCCGCGCCATTCCGGCTGCTGGAGACCCGAAATAGCCCACAAATTGTCCAGCTCGGAGCCCTGGTTGTAAAGGACGTACGAGTCGGCGATCTTGTCCCACTCGGTCGGGTAGCCTTCCAGGAAGAGATCAGTCAGTCCCAGCTCGGTGGTCGCATCTGACTGCAGGTGAGGCTGCGACTCGGCGACGTGTTCGGACTGCTGCTGCTGCTGCTGCTGCTGCTGCTGCTGCGTCTGTCCCTGCGTCTGAGGCTGCTGCTGCGCCTGTTGCTGAGGTGGAGTCATATGCAGCTGGTCATTGGAGAAATATGAGGGGGGACTACCACCGGTGGCACTGGGCTGCTGGCCATCCTCTGTCTTCTGCTTCTTGCGCTCGTCGGTGGCGCCTCCCTTACGGGTTTCGATGGCATACTGGCGCTGTCTTTCGTTTGTAACCATCCGGCGCAGTAAAGGGATCACCAGCGAGATGATTCTGTGCTGGTCGCGCGGCCAGATATTGGTTCTGGGCCCCATGCCGTCGCCGATGGCACCTTCACCGAAGAAGCGCTCTCCGTTTCCTTCGGCGTCGAGAAAATGACGCACACAATTCCACAGCCTAAGCTTCACCATCTCGGAGTCACCTTTGCCGCGCTGCCCGACGCAGTCCCGCCGCTCAGGGTGGTTATCGTCGAGCATGTATGTCTTGGCAGCGGCCTGCAGATGAAGGAAGTTCTCGGGCGACAACTCGAGCGATGAGAAGAGTTTGGACATGGGAGGGCGGGTGTACTTCTTGCTGTTGGAAGGCTGGCGGAACAAGGCGGCAGCGGAATGCACCCCCGCGGCACGCGCCTCAGACAGCGACTGCTGAGTAGGCAAGGTACGGATGTCCAGATCGCCACCGTCGAAGTCGTGCTGCTGGGGGTGGTGGTGGTGATGATGATGATGATGCTGCTGCTGGGATTGCTGTTGGTTTTGATGCTGCGGATGCTGCTGTGATGCATGCTGACCAGTCATTCCGGGGCCGGGGGCAGTCAAGGCAGGGTCAAGAGCATCGTCGTTTCTCTTCCTCTTGCGCGACACCGCCCTCGACAGGCCAGAAGACTGCACTTGGTCCGGGCCGGAGGCCGGACCTGAACCGCGAATCTGTCTGCCACCTGGCGCGCCGGTGCTGAACGTCTCGTCTCCGAACTCATCGCCCTCGATGTGCATCTCCGGGCCATATCCATCCAGATGATGATGGTGTCCCACGGCGCCCGCTGCAGCCGCTACAGCAGCCGCGGCGGCCCATTCAGAGACGTCCTGTCCAGCAGCCGCGGTCGCGGCCTCGACCAGGCCCGCCAACTGGTTGTCATTGGGAGCGTAGCCGGCTGTCGCGATCTGCGCGGTCGGGTCAAGGTGGGAGGTATGCGGGGCTTGGTGAGAAGCAAAGTCGGCAGAGGAGGTGGACGGCGCGTGCTGGTGGTTTGAGGTAGAGGTAGAGGCCATGGTGAGCTCTAGAAACACATTAGGAATTCCGTTGTGAATAACAAGCAGCCCCCAGCTTGATCCAAGAGCACCTACCTGTAGGCTAGCCTTGAAGCTTGTGAGATAGGATCAATCACTCTGGAATTTGGAAAATGTTGCGATGATCGAGACAGCGCAGCTTGCCACAGTAAAAATCTAGGCTACGCCACTCCAAGGACGCCAATTCAGACTCGAGACGCCGGTGCTGATAGCTTGTTGTCGTGGATCTTTCTTCGTTGTGGTCTTTATCTCTGCGACGGGAGACGACAGGGCAAGGAAAACAAGGCAGGATGCCCTGTACCCAGCCCAGCTTGCACAACGACGGTAGGAGAGCACACGCAGGTGAGAAAGAAGCAAGAATTGCAAAGGGGAGAGGACGGCTGAGAGAAGCTCGAGGCCTCTTGTCGAGGCAGACGCAGAAGTGAGAGCTCGCGGATAAGCGCTTTGGGGGCAACGATGACGCTGTTTGCGTGGTTTGAAGGATGGACAGACAATGCAAACTTGGATGGGATTCGGACAGGGATGTTCCGTTCCGCTGTCAGCAGTACGGAGGATTATGCTGTAGTATACTAGTATTACTCATATTTACTTAGTATTGACTTGATATTTATTTAATTATCTGTGGTGATATAAATACTCTTTTTTTAGCATCTGATGCTTTTAAATGTCGTCCTTGAGCTAGAGTTTGGTGAATCTGTTGCCTACGTAGTGGCCCGAGGGGTTTAGTAACAACGTGGTTAATAATCCAGTATTAATAATAATAGTAAGCATATAGATATATAATATATTATAAATAGTATTTAAGCTAGTATTATAATTTATAAACTAGTTTTAAGGTTGTGGTATGGTTATAAAATAGTTATAATAGTTATAATATAGTTATAGTAAGGTTATAAAATAGTTATAAAAGATAATTAATAATAAAAAATTAATATAAATATTAATATTGTTCACTACCACAATTAATACAAGAAAATTATTAGTTATTAAGAGAGTTTTAAATAATTATATATCTATTATATATCT